CTGCCTCAATCCCTTCAAAAACCCTTCAACAATGGGTCCGGTGGTATTGGGCGTGTGACTGGGGAACCATGCATGAATATCACCACCTTCGACAAAGATATCGTTGTTCAAGATATCAGGAATCAACACCTTGAAGTTCCCTTGTTTGGCTAAGTTGTCGGCCACCAAGAGAACGTTGTTGAGCTTATACCCAAAGATATCGGTCATGATGACAAGGATCTGTTTGGATTCTTCACCGGTGACGTATGTATCAAGACCTGCCACGGTGGTGAAAGTACCGGCAGGTGTCCCTTCGTGAAGGGATACTTGTGTACAGCAGGAGTTGAAACCAACGGACGCCATTTTGACAAAAATGTGATGTTTGGGCCATGTTTGGGCAATGTTTGCTTTTATATGGTGGGGCGCGGGAGATTAACGGATTTAAAATGTTGTAGATGCAACATGGCGATCAACGGAGGTAGTACAAACTCGCAAAGGCACCGTATAAACCTCGAGTAGTACCCAACTTACTAATTTCTAAATGGCTTCCATTGGATTCACCTCCTGCTGCACGCAGGTCATTCACCACGAAGGAACTCCCGCCGGCACCTTCACCACCGTTGGAGGACTCGACACTTACACCACCGGAGATGAGCATGGGAACAGTCACGTGCTTGTGATCTTGACAGATATCTTTGGCTATAAGTTGAATAATACCCTTTTAGTGGCGGACGAACTCGCAAGACTCGGCAAGTACAGAGTGTTGATTCCTGACATCTTGAACAACGACCCGTTCGAGAAGTGGGTGCTCTATTGGTTCTTATGGCACCGTCCTGGTATCACCACCCCCATTGTAGATGGATTTTTGAGTAAAATGAAACAGGAGTTGAACCCCAAGTTTATCGGAGCGATTGGCTACTGTTTTGGAGCCAAGTTTGCCATCCCAAACTTGACGGAGACTGGGCTTGTGGATGCTGCTGCTGTTGCACATCCTTCTCTTGTGAAGGAGAGTGAGGTAGCTAGAATCACCAAACCCATTCTCATCTCCATTGGTGCTGATGACAAGTCATTCTCGGTGAAGTTGAGACACAAGACGGAAGAGATTTTGGCTAACAAACCTGACCTCCAGTGGGAAATAAAGTTGTTTCTGGGTGTTCCTCACGGATACGCAGTTCGAGGCGATATCACCATTCCCCAGGTGAAATACGCCAAAGAGAAGACGATATTGGACCAAATCAACTTCTTCAACAGCGTGAGTGGGCACAGCTTCGAGTGATAATTTTGTGTAACTAGATAGTATTTTAGGTAATGCAACAATTTTGCAGTTGCAGCCACTGAGAGCGGAATTGGCGCACTTGGCTGCACGGCACTGGTTCTTATCCCTTTTTCATATCTCCAACTACATCACCATGTATACCGACAAAACCTCCCAATTGCCATTGGCAGGCGTCCATCACTCCCCACCCTCTAGACTCTGGTGGCTGAGGTACAAAGCACTTTTGGTGTTACTTCCAGGATTTTATTTCTTGTTAACCTATCACCAAGTCCCGCTTATCTCCACCAAAGGAACCACTTCGTTTTGCCCTGAAGTCGCCAAAATCAACCCATTGGATGTTATATACAGCCAGGAGACATTACAGATGTTGCTCCACAACCAAACGTTCAAGTTGGAATCGGCCAAGCGTTTGGCTGCTGCTATCCAAGTCCCCACCGAAGTCCACGATGATATGCTCAATCCCAACACCACCGACTCATATGATGACTTGTACAAGCTTGAGCCTGCTTGGAAGAACTTTGAATTTTTCCACAGCTTTTTGGAGGAAACTTATCCGTTGGTGCACAAACACTTGAAGGTTGAAAAGGTCAATAAGTTTTCGCTTGTATTCACCTGGCAAGGGTCCGACTCCACCAAGAAACCATTGATGTTAACGGCCCACCAGGATGTGGTTCCTGTTCAAAAGGAGACAATTCCTCAATGGGATTATCCTCCTTTCGAGGGGGTCATTGCCAACGGAAGTGTTCATGGAAGAGGTGCTTCGGACTGCAAAAACCTTCTCACGGGCTTGATGGACACAATAGAATTGTTACTCGCAGAGGGTCAATTTTCCCCAGAAAGAACGGTAATTTTGGCATTCGGATACGACGAGGAGTCCGAAGGAACTGGGGCAGTTGCTATCAGCGAGTTTCTTCTTGAACGGTACGGAAAAGATTCGATGTACCAAATTATTGACGAGGGAGGTTCAGGGTTCACTGAACAGAATGGGGTCAACTTCATTCTCCCTGCTACCGCAGAAAAGGGCCATTTAGATAACATCATCGAGCTCTACACACCTGGAGGTCACTCGTCTGTCCCCCCTCCACACACCCTGATTGGTATTATTTCGGAGTTGGTGAGTTTGGTGGAAAAAACTCCCTTTGACAGTATCATCACTCCACGGAACCCGGTTTTGGGAATGTTGCAATGTGTTGCCGAGCACTCTGATATCGACAAACTGATGAAATCTACCATCTTGAAAGCGCATGTTGACAAGAAGGCCAACAAAAATCTCTTGAAGTATCTTTCAAAGGAAATAAGAACCAAGTATTTGGTCACCACCTCTCAGGCAACAGATATCATTAGTGGGGGTGCCAAAGCCAACGCTTTACCAGAGCACGCACAGGTGTTGATAAACAGCAGAGTTGCGGTTGAAGAGTCGATTAAGTCGACCTCCGATAAGATTTTGGGAAATGTATTGAGTATTGCCCACCGATTTGACTTGGGGGTTTACTTCGAGGGAGAACAATTACTTGCACCCACAGAAAATGGGTACTTCAACTATACTTTGTTCAGTCCTTTGGAGCCTGCCCCAGTTACTCCAATGTACTCTGACGTTTGGAATACATTTGGGGGTCTGTTACGGTTTTTGTACGAAGATTTGGTGTTTCCTCAGGACGATAAGAAGTTTGTTTTTGCACCCTATTTATCCACAGGGAACACAGACACAAAGTGCTACTGGGACTTGACTGCCAATATTTTCCGGTACATGCCCGGATTTCCTGGACCTGATCGTCATGTGCACTCTGTCAGTGAGTTTGTGCCCATCGAATCCCACTCGTTGATTGTGGCCTTTTATTATTACTACATCCAACTTGTGGATAAGAAGTAAAGTGCGATGCTCTTCGCGGACTCTGAAAATTTTAGTAAGCTTTTTATACACACTTCTATCCAACATGCCTACGCAGCTAGAAGAGCTTGTAGAGTTCTTACACTCACCACAGCCCGCAGTAGTGCTGATAGCGCTTGACAACTTGGTGGGTTACTCGCAAGGTTCTCATCAGTCGGTTTTTGCGTACAATAACTACGAATCGGTCACTGACCTTAAGAAACTTGCACAGGAAAGCGGAAAGGTCACTGTGAGCCAGTCGGTGACTATATTGGCTAACTTATGTACCGACACAAAGGTCAGAGACTTGATAGTGGAAGACGCCGACTTTTTGAAGTTTTTGGTTGGGTCGATTATCAGACTTACTAATATGAGTACTGACTTGATGTGCATCTTGTTAACCAACTTGGCTAAGAACGACCATATCACCAAGGTGTTCGACTTTGACCTCGAGCATACCCCAGAGCAAGCGAAGGTGTTCAAGTCTACCAAGGCCATGGACTGTTTAATGGACTGTTTTGTCAAAGGTTTCGATAGAACATTGAATAGATATGCCAGCTTCGACTATTTGGCCTATTTCTTTGCTGATATCTCCAGATTCACCAGGGGAAGAGAGTATTTCATCACCGAGCAAAGTTATGATGAGGTGGTGCCAATCTCAAAGTTGTTGGTGTTCACCGAAAAGTACGACTCCAAAATAAGAAGAGAAGGTGTCGCATCCACCATCAAGAACTCTTTATTCGATGCTTCTAAACATGCAGAGTTGGTCAACAACGCTAAGATCAACCTCTTGCCATATATATTGTTGCCTATTGCTGGGCCAGAAGAAATTGATGAAGATGACATGTTTGACTTGCCCGAAGAATTGCAACTACTTCCAAGCGATAAGAAAAGAGAACCATTAAAGGGCTTAATTTGCATCCATCTTGAGTCCTTGTTGTTGTTATGTACCACCAGAGAAATGAGAGAGTACTTGAGAGGCAAGGCTACCTATGCACTTGTTCGTGAAGTCCACAAAGTGCACATGGAAGATGACAACATTGTCGATTTATGCGATAGACTTGTACAGATGTTAATGAGAGACGAAGCCAACGAAGATGAGCAGAAGGTGGAGGAGGTTGACATGGAAGAGGACGACAGTGATGACGATGCTATAGTAGAGGTATTGTAGATTAGTATTTTTGTAAAAATTTAAATATAGATGTCTACTCTTTTAAGACCAACATTCCCTTTTCCAACTTTAAGTTCATTTTAACTATCATGATGATTCTCTGTTTGTTGTCCTCATTGGCATTGATTCTGCCTCTCAATTTTATCAACAACTCTTTGGGGGGAAGTGGGTTTCCCTTTACAATATCCAATACTTCTTGGATTGTCACTAAAGATCCAGTGGGGCCAGCATCGTTCAAGTCTACGGCTGGCACCGATGGGGTTGGCGATAAGCTCTTTTCTCGGGGTTCATTTGGTTTTTGTCTCTTTTGGGGCGATTCTGACACCAACTTAATGGGTCTTTTACGGCCCTCAGGTAGCCATTCGCCCCGAGGAAACGCTTCTAAAAACTTGGGTGGAGCCTTGATAACCACAAACCCATCCCCAACATTGTACGCAAAGAACAGCCGTGCTTTAGGATGTCCTGGTTGTGAAAAGAGATTGTTCTCATCAGGTTCTTGTTTAACTTCAATTCCGTCGTCACTTTCATCATCGCTTTCCAAGTCGGATTTCGACAAGTATGGATTCAATTGATCATCGTCGTCACTATCATAGACACCACCTTCGGTCTTGTTCAATACCTTCCGCAATTTCTTTCCTTCCTTATCAATCTTTCTAGACTTTTCGGTTTCAAATAACTCGTCGAGATCATCATCGGGTTCGGCATCAGAACCAGCATCAAAGTGCGATGCCTTTAACATCTCCTTCTTCATCTTTTGTTCAGCCATCTTGTTTTCTTCTTCATCAGCGTCCATGATTGGAGCCTCTTCGTCATCGGCAAATTCTTCGTCGAAATCAATGTCATCATGATCAGAATCTCTATCGTTGAACTGTGAGGCTCCACTGACAGTTCTTAATTTGTTTCCAGCTCCATTACTATTGGAACCTCTAATGTGCACTTGGTTTGCGGACGCATTGCCATTGTTTCTGAACCGGTAGTCCTTTTCTTCCTTCTCAGACATGTGTTTCATCAACCATCTGGGAACAGCAGATTTCTTTTCCATCTTGGCTTCCGCTTCTTCCAAGGTCAAGGTTGCATACTTATTTCGAGGATTAAACCTATACACCTTTTCGGCAGGAATCATCTTGAAACCATCCTTGTCAAACACAAATAATACATGAGAAGCTTCGGAGGCTCCAGCTTCGTAGTTTCCCACGTATACATTTTGACCATCATAATCTTCCATCACCCATGGATAGTACTCTTCATATCTCAATTTACGCTTTTCGTCCGCCATCAAGTTGATCTGCCGGGTCTTCCGTTTGAAGATGTTCCTTCTGAAGTTCCGTGCTCCCCCTTCTGGCGCCACTTGCGATAAGTCCATTTGATTTTTATTCGAGGGTGTGCCGGAGGAGGAAGAATTGGTATCTTCATCCAATCCACCATCACCACCATCTTCTTCATCGTCATCGGAACCGTCTACCGGGATTCCGTCCAACCGCTGTTGCTTCCGTTTGGCCTTCTCAACAGCTCTCTGTTGTTCTCTTCTCTTTTTCTGATCTATTTCTTGACGTGATAGATGGAACTGGATGTTTCTGGGATCTTTCCGATGTAATCTCACAGGCTTGGTGAAATCTTTAAGTATATCGACATTGTTCTTGTTGGTGAACCTGACAATATGATGCCTTTTGTCTTTGATGTCTTCTTCACTGTAACACTTCAAAGGAATATCTTGCCATCCCTGGTCAGGATTCTTGCCGTTGGGTGATGAGGAAGACGACAGCAGACCTAAAGAGACCGGCACGGACGCAGACGCTGGCAGCTCTTGTTTGACGGTCACCTGATCCCTTGGTTGTGGCGTGCTCATCTATGGGTTTGTTGATGGGAAGAAGAACAAGGTTATGTTAGTAAGGTGAGAGTTTTGCCAGGAGCGCGAAAACTAGAGGCAGAAGCCATAGAGAGGTGTGAGAAGCCCAAAGCATGTCCTTCGGGGGACATGTTCGCTACAATAGGTAGTTTCCATCATAGAAGCATGTATGAACCACTCTGACCAATTTTCAGATTTCAATTTGGACAACATATGGTGTTTGTGATTTTGGCCAGTTTCCCCCACCGCTACCGGCGTATTCGCGATACAATTTTTCATTTTCCTCGATTCAAGAAGCATGTCAGTAGCAGTGACAGACGGAGAGGACAAGTACCTCGAAGAGGTGGCGGCCGCTAAGATACACCAACAAACACCCCCACCCAAGTACTTGGGGTTTGTGGCGGGAACATTCTCAGGTGTTACCAAAAACGCTGTGGGACATCCATTTGACACCATCAAAGTTCGATTGCAAACAGCTCCCAAAGGACAGTTTAAGGGCCCAATCGACTGTGCATTGCAGACTCTTAGAAAAGAAGGTATCACGGGGTTCTACAAGGGTTTTACGCCTCCGTTGGTGGGCTGGGTTCTCATGGATTCGGTGATGTTGGGATCTCTTCATATTTATAGAAGATACTGCAAAGAGTACCTCTACCCAAAGGAAGAGAAATTACCCCTAATGGGACATATCATCGCCGGACTTGGTAGCGGCTGGACCGTTTCGTTTGTGGCGGCACCAATTGAGCAGTTCAAGGCCCGGCTCCAAGTTCAGTACGATGCTAAAACCAAAATCTACAATGGACCGGTGGACGTCGTACGTAAATTATTCAAGACTAGTGGAATCAGAGGACTCTATAGTGGGTTGCTTTCGACCATGATCTTTCGAACCAACTTCATTTTCTGGTGGGGATCATACGAGCTTTTCACTCAGTATTTTGAACAGAATACCCAAATGTCGAAACCGTCAATTAACTTCTGGTCCGGAGGATTATCAGCAACGGTCTTTTGGATTTTTGCCTACCCTTCTGATGTGGTCAAACAGACCATTATGACCGATAGTCCTATCCGGTCACAGAAGAAGTTCCCTCGTTGGATAGATGCTGCTAAGTACATTTATCAGGAAAACGGCTGGAGAGGTTTCACCAGAGGGTTTGGTCCCTCGATTATTCGTTCCTTCCCGGCAAACGCAGCAGCCTTGGCGGCATTCGAGGCCGTCATGAGGTTCTTGCACTGATAATCCTAGTCCTGATAGACTTATATAGAAATATTCATATACCTTTTTCCCATGGTTTAACTCGTTGGGCCGCAGACGGAGTAGAGCTCTTTTCTGGCAAAATGGTATCGGGAATCTCCTTGATACCGGGAACGGGTGTTCCGGACATTATGAGCTCCACAAGGTGCTGGTAATTAGAAGAGTACGGTGGTTCATCGGTGGAGGTTGTGGTTGTGGTTGCGTTTGGGGAGGTTGAGTTTGTGGTTATATTTGGGAGCTGTTGTTGAACGATATTCTCTGGAATTGTCTCCGCCATCTCACTGATCCGATGGTCCTTCACAAACTTATCCCCGTTTTGCTGTTTCCACTGTAAGAAGTCGTCCAAGTTGAGAATATTACCCGTGTGTGAACAGTAGAAGAAGCTCTTGGCCTGGTCAATTAATTGTTGTTTGTCCAAGGCCGGAATGGCTGTGACGGAGGGATCCAGCTCCTGAAGATTTTGCAAGTAGTTGTCCAAGATCTCCTCTAACCCATTCTGGAACTCGGCGAACGAGTCCCAGTCATAGTTTAAGTATTCGATATATACCTGTTCTTGCGATGCCATAGTTGCAGTAGCCAATTCACGCGCCCAAAATATCGCGACTTTGAAAACCAAAAACACGAAAACGACAAATAAAAACCCATACCTATTCTTCATCCATAAACAAGTATGATTGTCAAAAGTGTGGTTTTGGCGTCAATTGTACTTCGGTTAGTGTTCTTTGCATATGGGCTCTACCAGGATGAGAACATGAATGTCAGGTACACGGATATCGACTATCTTGTGTTCTCAGATGCCGCCAACTATGTTTACAATGGACTATCTCCGTACAACAGGGAGACGTACCGATATACGCCATTATTGGCGTGGATTCTTGTGCCCAACAGTTATGGCGGCTGGTTCTACCACTTCGGTAAAGCTGTGTTCATGGTGTGTGATGTGATAACTGGAATATTAATCTTGAAGTTGTTGAGACTTAAGACCAGTTCCAGCAACAAACTGGCGGTGCTCTCGGCCATCTGGCTTTTGAACCCCATGGTGATAACCATCAGCACGCGAGGATCCAGCGAAAGCATTTTGACGGTGATGATCATGGCGTCCATATACTATTTGTACAGAAAGTCGGTGGTGAGTCTGGCCATTTGGCTAGGGTTTGCCATTCACTTCAAGATCTACCCGGTGATATACTTGCCGAGCATCATGTTGTATTTGGTGCGCTTTGGCAAGCCATTTATTGATTTGCCGGTACTTCGATGGGTGAATACTGTGAACATCAAATTTGCAGTGGTAACAGTGTTGACAGTTCTGGTGCTCAACGGCGTGATGTATCACTTCTACGGCTACGACTTCTTGTACAATTCGTACTTGTACCACTTCAGCCGTTTGGACCACAGACACAATTTCTCATTATACAACGTGTTGTTGTACTATAAGTCTAGCATGGATGGCACCGAAACTGGCCTCCTAAGAAACATTGAGAAGTTTTCATTCGTGCCCCAATTGGCATTGGCCGGAATAATACTCCCACTCAAGTTCGCTCGCCGGGACTTGGTTTCCAACTTGTTCTTGCAAACGTTTGCATTTGTCACCTTCAACAAGGTGATCACGTCTCAGTACTTCATCTGGTTTTTGATCTTTTTGCCGCAGTACCTCGCACTGTCGGCGTTGGTGAGGGCCCGTTACGTAAGGGGGATTGTGGTTCTAGTGCTCTGGGTGGCCACTCAAGCATTATGGTTGTATTTCGCCTACAAGTTGGAGTTTTTGGGTGAAAGCACGTTCGACAACGGACTCTTGTTAGCGTCGTGTGTGTTTTTTATTTCCAACTGCTGGATACTACGTGTGTTCATCGACGATACCGATACCACCTGCTAAAGTGCAAAGTTTGTGTATAGATAACGATAGAAACGACCCCAATCCAATAATTGCAGCCATTGTTCGCATCGCGATCGCGAGAAAAAACTTCTGAGTATAACCAACATGCCCAGACTAGAACTATATTCTCCCGAGGGATTGCGGGTGGACGGCCGTCGATGGAATGAGCTTCGGCGGTTCGAGTGTAAGATCAATACACATCCCAACTCGTCCGATGGCTCGTCGTACGTGGAGCAAGGAAACTCTAAAATCATATGTATGGTGCAAGGACCTATGGAACCCAAACTAAGATCACAAATGGACGTCAACAAGGCCAACATTGAGGTGAGTATTTCCATCGCACATTTCTCGACGTTCCACCGGAAGAAGCGTCTGAAGAACGAGAAGCGGATAGTCGAGTTGAAAACTGCCATAGAAAATACTTTTGAGAACAGTATCATTAGTCATTTGTACCCTCGAACGTTCATCCAAATAAACATCCAGGTGTTGGCACAGGACGGAGGGCTCCTTGCTGGCATGGCAAATGCCGCCACCTTGGCACTAATAGACGCAGGGATTGCCATGTACGACTACGTTTCGTGTGTTTCTGCTGGGCTTTACGACCAGTACCCACTTCTCGACCTAAACACCCTCGAGGAGAACGACATGAGCTACTTGACGATAGGGGTGATAGGAAAGTCGGAAAAGTTGGCATTATTGATGCTTGAAAACAAGATGCCATTGGATAAGTTGGAACCAGTGTTAGGATTAGCAATAGCAGGAGGCCACCGGGTGCGGGAGTTGATGGACGAAGAGGTACGGCTGCACGGGAAGCATAGGTCGCAGAGACAGTAGAGAATATATGATAATGGTGAATGGCGTTGATGTAGAGACGAGTGCGAGAAAAGTGGAACGAGGACCCTGGCGAGTACCGCCGTGGGCCCATGCCGACCTCAGGCAAGGTGAAATTCCGCGTGCACGACCGCGCTCGCTCCCCACCATAAACCGAAAAGAACAGATCAGAGCAAACTACCACATGTCATACAGAGGACCACAAAATCAATTCAATCGGCAGTTCAACAGTCCCCCCGTCATGGGAAACATGCCTCCTGCCATGGGTGGAATTCCCCCAACCCCATCCATTGGCGCCGTGTCGTCCAAGAAGCTGTTTGTGGATCAATTCGAAGCATTCGCCAAGCAGTGCGAGGACTTGGTGGACGACTACTGCAAACCATTTAAACCATACGTGGTTAGCATTGGCCGGTTCTTCATCGTCGCCACCTTCTACGAAGACTCGTTGCGGATCTTTACCCAGTGGAGTGAACAGGTTTATTACTTGCACAATTACAAACACATTTGGAAATGGTTGACGGTATTTTTTTTAACCTCCAACATCGTGTTAATGACCACCGCCTCCACCATGTTGATCTTGAGAAAGCGCAATGAGATTGCCACCATTGCATTGATATCGGTTGTGCTTTTGCAAGGGGTGTTTTATGGATTGATTTTCGATGGCTTATTCATCTTGAGGAACTTGTCGGTGGTTGGAGGGTTGATTCTCGCATTCTCAGACTCATTGGTTCGAGACAAACGGTCATTCAACGTGCCGGGAATACCCATGGTACAGAACCAGGACAACAAGAAGTACTATCTTCTCGCTGGCAGATTGTTGTTGGTGTTGTTGTTCATTGGGTTTGCCTTTTCGTCCTCATGGTCCTTCACCCGTACCATTGTGATCTTGATTGGGTTTGTCACCTGTGCCTCCATAATCGTCGGGTACAAAACCAAGTTTGCGGCGCTGGTGTTGACATTGATGTTGTTCATCTACAATGTGTTTGCCAATCAGTTTTGGAGATACGGCTCGCACGACTCGTCGAGAGACTTTCTTAAATACGAATTCTTTCAAACCTTGTCGATTGTTGGGGGCTTGTTGATTATTGTGAATGCCGGTGCCGGCGAGTTGTCACTCGATGAGAAGAAGAAGATTTATTAATTCTTCCTTGATCTATATAGTGTCTACGTAGTAGCTTTGGCTTTCGCACAATAAAAATCTCACTAATCACCATGAGTGAAGACCAACCCAAATGTCCCGTGGACCACACCACCCGGTCCTCGTGGTCGCTGTGGCTCTGGGCCCAGAAACCCAACCCACCAGACACCTGTCCCGTCAGTCTACCACCCGTCACCACGGACGAGCAGCCCAAATGCCCCGTTGACCATAACGCCAGAAGTGATTGGCTAAAAAAGGTATCTGTGTCAGCAACAGTTTCCACCGAAGCCGTGGAAGAACCCATGTCCTCTGCCACGAGTTCTGGCCTCAAGTCACCCACCGCCACCCACGACGTGGCCTTACCCACCGACCGAATGATCAGTTCCATTCCTCGGACCTCCAGCCAAAGCAACTGGGTGTATCCGTCTGAAAAGCAGTTCTACGAGGCGATGATGCGCAAGAACTGGAACCCCAAGGCGGAGGACATGAAGACAGTGGTGCCCATTCACAATTTGGTGAACGAACGGACATGGAACCATATAATGAACTGGGAACAGCCATTTTATGAGCAGAGTCTCCAAAAATGTGGAGGCATCAAGTTGACTAGCTTTAAGGGCAACCCGCAGAAGTTGACGCCTCGGGCCTGGTTCCGGTCCAATGTTTTAGGGCTCCCGGCACCATTTGACAGGCACGATTGGGTGGTGGATCGGTGTGGAACCGAGGTGGAGTATGTCATCGACTTCTACAGTGCCACCGACGACAACCCCAATGTGTTCTTGGACGTGCGACCCAAACTCAATACGTGGGAGGGTGTCAAGTTGCGCGTGGGACGAGCAGTGTCGGGGAGCTAGACGAACTTGTAAATATATATATTGAAGTATCATAAGTATGTACAGAACCGGAAACATAAACGGTGATTATTGGAAACCCTTGGGGCTTATTGTCTTCCCATAAACTGGCCGGATTGTCCCATCTTTTGCATGTGTTCACCCACTTGCACGTTGGTTTCAAAATACTTGGCCACGCATCTGTCCAAACAGAGGGCTTCTTGCTTGCTAATGTCGCTTTCACCATATGACTTGTTGATACACTTGGCATGGCATTGTTCCACCAACAGGTTGAACATACCGGTGACCATGTCCAATTCGGCTTCAGCCGCCTGTAATTTTTGGTCACTTGTGACCTGGGGTGCTCCACCTAATCCGAACATATCTGTAAAGAAGTAGTATTGATTGAAAATTTTTCAGGAGTGTTAATGTGCGAAAGTGCCCAAAGCGGATCGATTACCTAAAAACTATTTGCAACTTATAAAGATGGGAAGGTGATCTGGATATGGGCACCAAGAATCATCGATGGGCCAGGGAACTGGGAGTCTAAGGCCTCGAAATCAGCCTTTTTCTCCGTCACAGGTGTTACAAGCCCATGGCAAATGGTGATCGACTTGCCGTCCAACGATACTCCGGCTCCATGATGATACATGTTGGCGTTGACAAGTTCCCGAAGGTGTTGGAGCAACTCAAACGACTGCTGTGACACGTTTTTACGGATATCGTAATAGTACTTGTAGAATCCCCATGTTTGCGTCTTGGTGTTGTATACCAACAACCGACATATTTCCTGGTTGGTGGTGGTGGTCCGAACTCTGGCGAGTCGAGACACATCAAACTTGTCACTGTGATAGGGCTTGGGGTCGTAGTTCCTCAAATAGTGGTTGGTGAACCCTCCAACGAAAAAAACAAACTCACGGCCGAGTTTATTGTAGTAAAGGGCTGTATGATGAGAAGCTCTAAGCTCGGCTTCGATGAGATCTGGCTTGTCGATTTGCTTATCCTTGGTGAGGTTTTCACTGGGATCATCGTCATAAGGTTGAATGTTGTTATCGAAATGGTTGAAGCAAAATGTGTCGAGTTTCTCCCATTGACGAGACGCAAACTTGAAGAGGTACATGTCGGAAAACGTTTCATTGTTGTGGTTGCATCCTCCTTGAATCAACAACGCCTTTTTCTCGTAGAACTCTTCGGGAGTGGTGATTTTGACCAATTTGCTGGGATGTCGACTATTTGACGTCTGCATTGACGTGGAGCTGCTGGCCTCATCGTCGAAAATCGAGCCTGGTGACCATGGTCTGACGATGGTGTTCCACTGGCAGTTTTCTTCCTCCTCAAGGTTGTGTTCTATCAACGTAGATGCACAATATCCACTGGCATTGGGGGTGTTGGATGGGTCTTCGAGCTTCACCTTGTAGATTATGGCTTCAGGATCCATGTTGGTGGACACAAAGTCACCGTCACACACCAAGTCGATTCGTAGAAAGTCATTGGTGGCTTCGAACGCCTTTGAGGTGCCGTTATCAACGAGAATAAACCCTCCAAATATGAAGATGCTGGTTAAGGATGCTCCTGGCTTCACAAAAGTATTACCAAAAAGGTCATTGGGACTCAGGGGGTGTTTTTCCAGTTTCAGCTCGTCAACTTCCAGTGGAGACTTGGGTTCAAGGCCGTCATCCATTGAGATTTCATCGGCCGTGAAGGTCATTGGTTTTGAATTTTCAGCTCTGAACAACGAAATGGGTTTGGGAGACATCATGGGCAGCTGAGGGCTGGGCGAAACCGGCCTACTCTTCATGGATCCTGAGTTGGACCGGTGCAGCTTCATGTGGTTGGAATACGTGGAAGCCATCGACATGGGCGGGTTTGTCTCATGGTTCTGCGGATTGGTTTGTCCATTTGAGGACAAAACGTTCATTCTGTCAAAAGCTTTTGCCAACGTGTTGGTGCCCTTTCTCGACTCCTTAGAGCTATGGCTCTTGCTCTTCTTGAGGAGGAAGGAGGTGGTGTTGGAAATCGAATCTGTAGACGAATTGGTGATGGTTTTGGACGGATTGGGAGGACTGGACGTCGAGGTTGCGTTGGAGTCGTTGGTCTGTGATTTGTTGATCTTATTGGTGGTACTTTTGGGTTTCCACGTGGGACTGCCGGTTGCAGACCTATTGGAATTATCATTAACAGGAATATACGGGCTGAGGTGCGTTGAATCCACAAAGTTCAGAGGCGTGGGGGGTCGGAAACTGGAGATGGTGTCTTCCATCACCACCTTGTTGTAGATGTTCCCGGCTATGGCGGTCCCCAACCGGCCAATCTGGAAGTCAGTATCGGTGACGTTGTCTTTGTCTGAGAATTTTTTCAAAGCGATCTTGGTGAATGTCAACGTCTTAATGTCCAAGACATATCCGTCTTCGTTCAAGACGATTTCCTTTTCTACGATCCATCGGTCAAGATCCTGCCGGTGCTCGACCGACTTGATGACTAATTGAAAGCCTCCAAACACAAACACATGTCGTGGTGAGATCTTTGTGTACGAGACACTATTCAACCCAGACGGCAAGTTCGATACCAACTGGTTCAAGAGCGTGACTATGCCACCGTGCGGGTTGAATCGTATGAACAGCTTGTTCTGCTCCAAGTACGGACTCAGTAGAATGGTTCTGTCTATGTGTGGAGGAAGGTCCACCGGCAAATGCACCGAGACTTTGGCAGGGTCGACGTTATCAGGCAACCCAAGGTCGCTAAACGCACACTTCTTGTTGCACTGAAGGCCTCCAAAAACATACACCACCTCGTCAATGGAGATGTGATTGTGGTACACATACGAAGTCATATGATTGAAGTTGGACGAGTTGGAGTCTTTGGCAGGAGCTGTAAGCGAGATCCGTGGAATCGTGTAGTAGCCGGAAAACGTGTGTGTGGAGTCCTGTGTTGAGTACAATAAGTCCATGGTCCCACTATCAGAGACATCGCTTGAAACAGCTTCGTGGTAGGGCTCGCAGTTGGTGGAAGAATGGTCTAAAGGCTCCAAAACCGACACTGGCTTGAAGAAGGAGCCCGGCGATGCACCCATGTTGATGCGGTCGACCATTCGCTTGCTGTGGTAGTACTTAAACATACTGATGGGGGGTTTCTGACCATGTATCCAGTGGGGGGAGGAGTTTGCGAGGATGAACTTGGAGTCAGTGAAAGTCACATCCGTGGGGGCCCCAGGTGATTCTGGGGGGTCAGCGCCATCATAGTCGATGGTAGAGAGAATGGACATGGCTGGCACGAGTCTGTGGGAGGAATTGTGCAATTGAAGGGATGCTATGGATTTGGCAAAGTAGATCTTGGATAAAGCTTGATAACAATGGGCCAAGATCGCGGGTGGCCGTCACGTGAGCAGGATCGGGGCTTTGAGATTGAATGAGACTACGGGCAAAGGATGGACTGGCAGAAGTTTGCACAACTTGTGTGGGTGTATGGGCCAGATCTTCTGGCAGAGGTGGTCCATTTGATTAGAAATCGTTAAGTGCTTTTCATTAGGAAACTATAAAAAACCTAAAATATGCTCACCTAAACCAATAATATATTTATGTTATGTATAATCCCTCTATAGTGCCCATGAGTAGTTCGGTTCGAGATCACCCACTTATCTGGCTGCTACTGTCTACATGTTTGGACTCAACATATCACCCTTGACTAAAGTGTTGATGTCCTGGATGGAAGCATGAATGAATTGTCTGACTTCAAGAGCCAACCACACCTTCATCATGCTTAAAGAATTCTGGTTCTTGAGAATGGCTCTTCCCTCCTTCAGAGCCCCCAATTCTCTCAACACCGGTAACGAGCTATATCATACAGTTAGTAATTTTCAACATCGTAGTCAAAGATCATCGCGTATACGAACCTTGCAAACAAATCGAGGCCGGGGTCCAATTGTCTTCCAATTCCCTCGAGTAGTAATATCGCTACCAATATGCTAATAAAGTCCCCTTCCATTCTAACATGATGTTTCCGGACCATTGTCATCACCTGTTCAAGGAGATCACCAATACTCAAATTCCCCAATGCAAACGTTCTTTGTTTCATTCGGTCCACGAGCTTTTCAACTTTCATGGCAAACAACTCGGTGTCAATGGCCGAGTCTGGTGTACGGGACCGTTCAATCATCAATTCCCCTGCTTTATATCCATCAAAATCAGAAAGAGCTTTGAACAAGTCAATGAAATTCACTCGGTCCACCTGGTTCAACTCGGTCACAATTCCTACGTCGAGAAAACAGATTTCGGCATGGTATCCTTGGTGGTAGAGGTCGTGGAGCTTTTCACACCACAAGTCTTGATCGTCAGGGAGATTAAGAAATTCTTCAGTGATCTTATTGGTCTCGCTTTCGTTGGAGCTCTTGATGATCTTATACTCCTTTTTATGCTGGTAATGGGTGTTTTTGTAGAATCTAACCATCATGTTTCCTGGGTGCAAATCAGCGTGAATAAAGTTATCCAAAATCAACATCTGCAAGAACGAATCAAGTCCTTTATCACTCACTTCCTTGGAAAGATTTTGCCCAAAGTTTTTGTGTATGGAAAGAAGCTTTTCCAACGGAATGGCATGCATGTACTCTTCCACTAGCACACATCGACTGGTGAAAGAAAGATATGGTTTGGGGAAATGGATATCAGGTTTGTCTTTGAAGTTGTATCTGAACTTTGCAAGATTGTATCCTTCGATTCTCAAATCCAACTGTAACCTCATGAGTATTTCGAACTGATCCACTTCGTCCGGTAGAGAGAGCCATTCCATGGTGGGTATTGCATTGATGAAGTTGGCAAAAAACCTCATGAGCTTTAAATCTCGACGTATTTTGACCTCGACATTTGGGTGTAGCACCTTGATGGCCACTTGCTGGTTCGATTTGAGTGGATCATCTTGGATAATGAACTTTTCTAGGATCGACTTATACCTGCTTTGGTTGTCTGGATTCTTATTGAACTTTAATTGCAGAGCAATTTTTTCCTCGTCGTCGGTCACCTCCTTAATAAACTTCTGGTTGATTTTCGCCAAGTACACCTGGGCAATTGCACCAACTCCCACAGGGGTCTCGTTAAATTCCTCGAAAATCTCCTCGAAACTGTGGTTTCCAAAGCTTGCACTGACAATTTTCTTGGTCTGATGGAAGCTGTGGGCTTTGGAATTGGAGTGTAAGTTGTTCAACTCCTCACACATTCCCTTAGGCAAAATGTCGGCCCTTGTGGCAGCCCATTGGCCCAATTTGATGAAAGAGGCGCCTGCAATTTCGGCTGACCATCTGATGTATCTGTACCATAATTTGGCTCCAGTTTGACGTTTTCGATCATAGAGACAAATGGGATAGCTTAGAAGCAACGGCAAGAATATGCAAGCGAGCTCTACACACCTTGTGAAGGTTATGATGGGGTCTATCACGTAGTCCAGAATCTTATACTTCAAATTGTACCATATTCTTGCAAACACATTGGAAGATTGGAGTCTTGCGGAGCGGCTTTGGTGTATCTGTTCCGAGATTTCATGGCATGATGCGCTGTAGAGGCCCATTTCAAATGTCTGGGCAGCTGTGTCAATTTGCAAGTCATTGTTCGAAATGATTGTGGATTTGTAGTAGTAAATTTGCAAACAACTCAAGCCTATGATTCCGAATTTTGTGTATTGAAAGCCAGAGTTTTGGCCTCCTTTCAGGTATGCCCTGAACGGGCTCATGAGACGGTTGATATGTATACACCGCACGGCCTGCACCGTCGGCCTCCTCGACTGGAAAAGGTAGCGGGCAAACATATGTGTGGGAGTTGTAGCAAGCAAGGTTTTGTGCTTGGAATTGATGCGAAAGCGACAGTTGCGGTTTTTGAGTACCAGACTACTTCTGAGCCGTTCAGGTGAAAATGATGATACACAAGCAGTACGAGACTTGTCTGCTTGCTCTTGATGAGATTACAGGTGGTATATTTTTGAAACATCTAATAGTTTTTTTTGGGTGCTTCCAGCTGGTTCAACCGAAGATTTGGGTTTTTAGGGATTACTATGGGTTCTTCATAAGAGGTCATTTAGTACGGAGGTTGACAGTCTACGAAGAGCAAAACGGATATTTCGATTTATATTCTAGGTAAAGAAATAGTGTAAGAACCTCTTAAGACCCTTTTTAAATCCAGCAGAACACAAGATCCCTAAATAAATATAGGCGCATCCGCACACTAGGATCATTGAGTACAAGTATGATTGGCATCGGTTTTGTTTTGATGCTATGTACCTCGATGTTTGTTTTAAATTACGGTTTAGTTCTTACAGAACATGCTGATGAGTTTATAGAAGAGATTTACATTGAGTTTCCCGATGAGTACGAATACGGTACTTCAGAAGATGAATCTTGAAGGTGAAAAGTCGGGGACATACGATATTTTCCAGACCCCAATGATCAGGTCACCTAGAAACACTGATTTGCCACTGGTAATTCTTATAGAGCTGTTGTCAGAGAGTTGTCACGGGTTGAGAGAGGAATAAGTTGTGCTGTCATAATTAGTGTAATATGATATGGCTGCGAAAACTCGCAGTAGGCAAATACCATGGCTATTTTAGAAATACATACATTTTTTTACCCACCAGAGAATTACTATTATACTCTGGCGGTAGACTGCCGCTGGTCCAAGTGCTCCCGCAACACACTGACCCACAACGCAATGGTGGCAGTACCCTTGGGATTGGTTCTGGGACCTCTTCTAGCAACAATTCCGTCATGTGCGTTCCAAGCATCGAGGTAAACAGGAAGCTTGACCCAGTTAATAGAGTTCAAGTTTTCCACCACCGACCGCTTGTCATCGTTCAAAGGCAAACGGTGTTCCTTGACGAAAACGGGGTAGCCTTTGGTATCCATTGACGATAATTGGTCTTGATGGACTCTAATGCACTCATCGTGAAGATTGGGATCCATTTCAAACAACTTTTTCTTCCGGCTGAACATAAGGTTGATTTGTTCGGCAGTAGAGAGACTCTCCAAGGGCGGAGCAGCGTCTTCACTATCAGTTTCATAATCACTGATAAAGTTGAAGGTCAAGTGGTTAGAACCATCTTCTTGTTCTTGGTCAGCTTTGACTGCAAGGTCCTGGTCACCGGCATTATCCTCCTCTACCTGGGCATTTTGGGCATCTCCCATGAACCTATCTTCCACATAGAGCATTCGCTCCATGGCATTTTCGGTGATTTCAGAAGTATCACCTTTGAAAGATTCATGCGTCTGTAACCTGGCTCTTTGGCTTCGTTTCTGGGTTCCGATCTTCAAGTCCTGTTCGTTGATAGGCTTGGATCCATAAACCCCGTCCTTTACCCGGGCCCAATGTTCGTTATATTCTGGATACCGCAATACTCTGATTTTGACCATGCTGTAGAGTGAGGTGACCAAACTGACGGTACAGATGGTGGGGACCCAAATGGGCAAGAAGAAGAGCGATCCGAACAAAATGATGAGCACTTTGTATAGTTTGCTGCTTCTGGTGACACTGGTTTCTTCCTGAGAATTAGCATTACTCTTAGAAGAGTCCGCTACAAAGTGCGTTCGTTTCAAGTCCACAAACTTACCACGCACGTAGACATTTCCTATTCTCATTTTGGGGAGGTCTTTTATGTACTTGACTTTGACCACATGAAATTTGTCAAAAGGCGAATATTCAGTGATATAGGACGTGAAAAATGCAACTGTCCGGTCGTTCTGGATATTGGCCATCAAGGTCCTCTTCTCAAACCGAGAAAGACCCTTGAAATACCGAGAACCGGGCTCTGCCATACTCTTGAGCAACTGGTCGTGGTCGGCCATGAACAACTCTCTTCCACTTTTTCCCAAGAGAAACTTTCCTAGGGTGTTTGCGGTTCTATCGAATATCCGGTCGTGGAAGAACTCCACGCCGACGTGGGGGGTGGCGAAACTCGAGTAGAATACGGGGGTGACGTACTGAAAAAAACCTATATCCTCCAAGATCCCAATCAAATAACGTCCTATCAAACCTCCAAGTGAGTATCCAATCACCGAGATGTCACTCACAATAAGGTTGTTTTTCTTCAAGGTCTCAATCTCGTAGAACATCTCGAGCAAGACTCTTTCGGCACAGATCTTAATTCCATCGTAGGTTTTCCAGAAACGAAATCCAGAAGGCCTTAAAACCACAATTTTTTTGTCCAGTTTTTTGGAAAGCAACTCCTTGATACACTTTTCGATGGTCAACAAGTGTTTGGGCCCGCCCCACAAGCCGTGGATGAGAACGAACAAATGGCATTCTTCCGCGGTACTGGAGGCTGTGGCGGTTAGTTTTGTAGATATGGAAGTATCGGCGGAATTACCGGATGCGGTGGGAGTCGTGGCACTCATTGGAGGATTACAGTCACGTGTGAGGTTGTGGTGGGCAGTGGCTGGTGGGATGGGCAAAGGAATTGGCGAAATTACACAGGTTATTAAGAGTGAGTGTTGAAAACGATTTTTTAAAGCTCTGATAACAGATAAGAAGCGCGGGTGGCGGTGGTAGGACACGGTAGCAGGGAAGAAATCACCGGCCGGTCGCGGAAAAGCCCCCTCTGTGAGATCGGCAACCGCAAAAATTGGGTCGATCGCGATAAGCCCGGCTGCCACCGCAGTATGCGGTTGTCCCGGTGCTGCCACCGCCATGCTGGGCCCAGCATATACTAATTCGAATACCACACATGTATAATTAACTATATAGAAAGTCTCCTCCTCTAGTTCACCTCTGGCCCCCTCTAGTTCACCTTCGGCTTTGTGTGCGCCTGCTCAGCCTGAGCCCGGCTTACTTCCTTCTTTTTCTGGATCTTGATTCGGGTGTTCTGATAGGTATTCAACACAAAGTACACGGCATTGAAGAAAACCACCCACAACTCTGGGCTCAACAAGTTCTGTGCCACCATCAAACACATCAAGTTGGTGACCAAAGACCCACGAAGAATACGAGGATAGTTCTGGCTAAGGCCTTTTTGCACGATGTTTTTCACCTTCAAAATCTCGTGCTTCAACTGCACCACAACCTTCTTGGGAGACGACAGCACCATGGCAGCCATGTCAGTGTCGGGCTTATAGTTGTTGATGATGGAGATCCAGCTGGTGAAAATCCCCGACAAAATTGGAGTGATGGTCACGAGACTGGTGATGATCTGAAGAGCCTTTAGCACCGGAGTCAAGTTCTTACCACCGGCGTTGCCGAAGATCCGTGTGAGCACTCCGTAGAGATTGTGGGAAACTGGAGTTAGGATGCACGATCCGTAGAAGATCATTTGGATGATTTTGGAGTTTGGCTTGAGAGCAAACGACGAATAGTCTTTGGAGACGGCCGATGCGATGAGTTCGTTGAGACCATTTAAGATTCCGGCAGTGATGGCCTTGGTGAGGAGTGGGTTCTTCGCGAGGGCGTTAAGGTACACGGCGTTGACAGAACAAATCGACATGAGTGACAAAAAAAGGTTGTTTGTTGAAATCAGCGATATGCGTTGCTTTTGTAGATAGATAAGCGCGGGAGGATCCGAAGGAAGATCAGCATTGCAAACTGGCTGTGGTTGCCGCGGCGGCCCTCCGCGTGCGCGTTCAGAATGCGTGCGCTCTACATGCTCTTCTTCAAACCATCCATACATTAACATATAACAATTACTCAACGTGGCTAACTTCGGTCTTCTCGGTCCATTCTGGATTAGTCACCGCCATTCTCTTCTCATGCTCGTACAATGGCTCCATGGGAGTCACCTTTCTTCTGAGCACATGTTTGTTGACATTGTTCAGGAATTCCTGAAGCCTGTACCAAGCGTGCTTCCTTAAAGAAACCCCAAACACCTCATCCAATTCTTCCAACGTTAATCCCTTCGTTTCAGGAAGGAAAAGTAACACCAAGAAAAACCCAACGATGTTCCAGGCAGCATAGAATCCAAATGCACCTTGTGGAGTGAACGCATTTCTCAATCTAGGCCAGGTGAACGCGAGAATAAAATTGAAAAACCAACAGGTTGCAGTTGCAAAACCCATACCCAAGTCTCTGATGTACAATGGGAACGCCTCAGCCGAGTAGGTGAACGGAACCGGTCCTTCACCGCACGAATAGATACAGGAATAGACGTAGATACCAAAGGCAATCAACCCGATTCTTCCATTTGGATTGGTGTCCTGATCGATCCAGAATCCACACATGGTGATAAGCAAAAAGAGCGACATCAATGGGAAGGTCGTCAACAACAAGTTCCTTCTACCGAAAGTATCGATGGTGTAGAAGGCCGGAATGGCGAAAAGAAAGTTAATCATTCCGAACCCCCAGGATGCGAGCAAAGAGTCTCTGATACCCAAACCTGATTCCACGAAAATCGATGATGAGTAGTAGGCAATGACGTTGATACCACAGAACTGTTGCATGAACATAACGATCCAAGCTCCTAAGGCTCCGTTTCTGTTTCTTCTGATGGTGAACATCTCAATGAGTCTCTTGTAGGTGGAGATTCCTCTATACGAGTGCTCCTCTGCCAACAAAACATGTTGGTAAAAACAGTCCCGGGCTGCTGCTATCCGCTCGTGTCTCAACTTTACCAACGACTCAAAGGCGTCGCCATGCCTGTCATTACCCATCAACCATCTGGGAGACTCGGGAACAAATGGAATTTGAAACAACACGATGAACGCCGGAATACACGCACTTGCAACCATTAATCTCCAGTTGAGTCCTTCACCAATTCCTCTGTCAGGAACCTTGTAGAACGCCAACGATGCGACGTACCCAAACATGATCCCCACGGCCGTGAAAAACTGCCACAACATTACCAATGCACCTCTGATATGTCTAGGTACACACTCAGCCGCATACGCGGGAACGGTGGCAGACTTGATACCAATGCCGAACCCCAAAAAGAACCGGGCAAGAAACAAGTGCCACCAGTTATTGACAAGACCCTGCCAAATACAGGTGAGGGCCGACACTACACAAGTCCAGAAAATGACCCATTTTCTACCAACTTTCTTGTTGCACCAATCGGATAACCAGCAGGCAATGGTTGAAGCAGCAAGATATGGGGCTCCGTTGATTAACCCTTCAATCAAATCTTCATTCTTGTACTTGACAATGTCCAATTGTTTGGGGTAATAAAGCACCGCCCCATTAATAACTGTTTCATCCATACCTTGCACTGCCGCAGCCATTGACCCCAAAGCGATCACCTGGAACAACTTTTTGGGAACGTGCCACTTTTTGGTGGCCTCGAGGTTTAATCCGATTTTTTCCTCCTCCGTCAAGAACAGCATGGAGTTGAACTCATCGGGCATTCTGGCCAAGGCAGCGGCCCTAGCAAATAAATCTGGGTCTAATCCGTGCTTGGATGCATAATTGCGGCCCATTTGCATAACTTGTTTTTCACTGTACTGGGACAAGATATTACCTTTTTCGCCATTACCTGGCTCTGCCAACTTGGAGTGAAGACTTTCGGCATCATCAGGGAGTTTGTGCTTTTCCTCCTCGATTGAAGAGGAAGACGTGTTTTCATGATCTTCCGTAGTCATCAATGCCGGAGCAGTTGTCTCATGATCGAGGTGGTTTTCACTCATGTTGAATTCTGAAGGACTTGATAATTGTGGGGGGAATATGCTAAATTTATACTGCTAGGGTTTTCCAACTTTGCTAGTCATCCATTTGGTTTGCAAATTACGTATTGCATGAAGAAGAAAAACCATCTGGGGTATCGGTTACGAGCGTTGCGGCGTATATCCGGGTTTGGGATTGTAATTTTTTGGCAGGGCGAGGGCGGATAAATGGGGCATTCCGGATGGGCACGGGACAAGGATATCCATTGGAGATGGGAGGCGGATGATAGAAGAATTATAACAACAGGCCTGGTAACCACTATCCTCAAACAACCACCAGAACACGAGTTTTGAGTTTCTACTCCCAATCTAGAAACTCCACAAATCTTATTGTCAGGGATGATAACTCGTGGAGTGCTTTGGTGCCGTGCTTCCGTGAACTAGGGTGTAAGGTGGGGGTGCCTGGGTTGTGTACCCTTGGATGAGCCAGGCACTGTCTCACGGTCGGAATATGCAAATTCCGGATGTGGCAACCACAATCTCAGACCTTCCCTTTTCCTGTTTTTAACCTCTCCTAGTGTGCCCTCTACATTGCGCACCTCTTGTATCCGTATATTCCTCTCTACCTACTCGACATGGCTCACCTCCGTCTTTTCGTTCCACTCCACGTTTGTCACCGCCATCCGCTTTTGATGTTCATATAACGGCTCGATTTCCTTCACCCGCCGCCTCAAAATTCCTTTTTGAATCACGTTTTGGTTGAACTCCCGGAGTCTGTACGCGGCATGCTTCTTCAATGACACCCCAAACACCTCATCCAATTCTTCCAACGTTAATCCCTTCGTTTCAGGAAGGAAAAGTAACACCAAGAAAAACCCAACGATGTTCCAGGCAGCATAGAATCCAAATGCACCTTGTGGAGTGAACGCATTTCTCAATCTAGGCCAGGTGAACGCGAGAATAAAATTGAAAAACCAACAGGTTGCAGTTGCAAAACCCATACCCAAGTCTCTGATGTACAATGGGAACGCCTCAGCAGAATAAGTGAACGGAACCGGCCCTTCACCCGAGGAGTATATACATGTGTAAACATAGATTCCAAATGCAATTAACCCGATTCTACCATTAGGATTTGTTTCCTGATCGATCCAGAATCCACACATGGTGATAAGCAAAAAGAGCGACATCAACGGGAAGGTCGTCAACAACAAGTTCCTTCTACCAAAGGTGTCTATGGTATAGAAGGCCGGAAGTGCAAAAAGGAAATTGAGCATCCCAAACCCCCACGAGGCAATTAAGGCCTCTCTGACACCCAATCCCGACTCCACAAAGATAGATGAGGAATAGTACGCAATGACGTTAATACCACAAAATTGTTGCATAAACATAACAATCCAGGCCCCCAAGGCTCCGTTCCTGTTTCTCCGGACCAGAAACATCTCCCACACCTTCCGATAAAATGGCACGCCCACATACGAACCCTCTTCTTGGAGAAGAACGTGCTGGTAAAAACAATCTCTTGCAGCCGCTATTTTCTCATGTCTCAACTTGGCCAACGACTCATACGCTTCCAGGTGCCTGCCCTTCCCCATGAGCCACCGGGGGGACTCGGGGACAAATGGCACTTGCACAAGCACTATGAACGCAGGAATCCCAGCACTTCCAAGCATCAACCTCCAGTTGAGGCCATATGCCACACCCCTATCAGGCACCGTATAGAATGCCAACGAAGCCACGTACCCAAGCATAATTCCCACAGCTGTGAAAAACTGCCACAACATCACCAAAGCCCCTCTTATCTGTCTGGGAGTGCATTCTGCCGCATATGGTGGAACGGTGGCAGACTTTATTCCAACTCCGAATCCCATACAAAACCGGGCAATGAACAAGTGCCACCAGGTGTTGACAAACCCCTGCCATACACAGGTGACTCCTGAAATTAGACAAGTCCAGAAGATGACCCACTTACGGCCTAGCTTTCGGTTCCAGTAATCGGATGTCCAGCACGCGATACAAGAGGCTGCCAAGTACGGAGCCCCATTAATAAAGCCTTCAAGCAAATCCGGATTGGCCATGCTGCTAACTCCCAACTGGTCCACATAGTAGAGGGTAGCTCCATTGATCACTGACTGGTCCATTCCTTGAACTGCAGCTGCCATAGACCCCAACGCAATCACTTGCACCAATTTATAGGGAACATGCCATTTGCGAGTAGCTTCTTTATGAAGACCTTCTTTCTCAGCATCTGTCACAAACGGCATAGCGTTGAACTGAAGGGGAGCCCGAGCCAATGCAGCGGCCCTTCCAAACAAGTCCAAATCTAAGTTGTGCTTGGAAGCGTAGTTTCTTCCCATTTGCATCACTTGGCTTTCACTGTATTGAGATAATATATTTCCCTTTTCTCCGTATCCTGGCTCGGCAAGTTTGGAGTGGATACTGTCAAGATCCTCGGGGATTCTGGTTTTATCTTCGACCGATGCGGATGAAGAGGTACTGTCGAGAAGTCCGCTCTTTTTTGCAGCTGTGTCGACGAATACCATTAGGTTTTTTTTTCTGGGGAAACTCCAGCGAATGGCTACGATATGGCATATTTATACTTGGCTGAAAGACCTGGGGTTTGACTATAGATTTCTTGGAACTACTTCTTGGCTAGTGACAAGTTCCTTGTAGTTTTTTCTTAGCACGATCATAATAGATGCAAAAACATCGGCGCGCGCCCCTTGCTATCCGGACAAAAGCTGTGAATGTGCCCCCAACACCCACCCTCGAAAGTCGTTCTGGCTGGACGCAAGTCTGCAGAGGATCGCCTCCGTCAAGTAAATTGCGCTAACAAAATTAGGGTCTATAGCACACAATTGATTATACTACAAAGCCCTTGACTGCCATACACCCATCCATTCTCCAACACTGCCATCTTTATCCGCCCAGCACTAAGGATTCCGGACATATGCCCCGACCCTGAAACAAACACCAAATGCAACAGCAATAATAGAATAGTGCCCAGCAACACCAACTACATTAAGGTTGCTGCTGGAATTAAGCCCACCATGCACTGCATAAAAATACCTCGAATTTCGTCTGAACTTACCTTGAGGGGTTGCCCGTACTCAAACATCTTCAGTATATTCGTCGTATCTCCCGTGAGACTCTCCGAAAAATCATACAACATAGTAAAGGGCAGTATCATCATACTATAAATCTAGCATATATGCAGAGCCTGTCAAACTTGGCTGTCCGGTCTTGCCCTAAACAGGTTCTAAAAACCGCGCCCTGTACTAGCCACCTCCTCTACCCCACTGGTTTGCTCCACGCAGCTGGCGCCGGTGCAGGTGTTCATGCGCGATGATATCATTCACCGTTCTCCAGTGGCACTATTTTTTGTACTTTCCTTCCGAGAATCTAATTATATGAGCGTGAGGTTATGCCTGATGTGTTACGGACGCTGTGCTCAATCGGGGTCGTCGGCCAGCTTTGTGCCCTATCGGTTACCAGGACCTGATAACGCTTACCATTTGTACAATTCTTGTGGGGATGTGGAGATTATAACCATGTCGGGATCTCAGACCGCCACAAGTTGTTGATGAAGACTTTGGCGTTCGATTTCCGATATCCTCATTTTGAAAAACTCGTGACAATTAACAGAAACATATAGAATTTGGGTGAATATTAAATTGAGATCGATTTCACATCTGAAGAGGGCTCCGTTCAAACGGACTTAGAAAAGCATCCGAATACAAAGCATTAGTGAGACTTTATAAAGGTTAATTGTCTCAGATCTATCTGAGTCTGTTTTGATGTGTTCGGAAATATGGAGTTCGACGAGTGTTCGTGTGCAACACTTTGCTAGCTCTTGCTGCGAATGTTTCTTTGTGGTTTGGGTAAGGATAGTATTTTGTATTTACAGGATACCTGCACAATCACATGCCTATGGATTCAACATGGATGCAAACATTTGTTCAAATGAATTTGAAGATCGTGCTTGTTCTTTCCTTATTTCGATGAATGATCAGATTTCGCAGCCACTCGGGTACAATAATTTTAATCTGAGTTCAAAACAATAATACATGGAACAAGGACAACTAGTGCTACTATAAGGTGTATTTATTGAGTTCCATAAGCCACCAAAATAATAGCCACCTCTGGAACAAGTTTTCAAGTTCAAAACACAAAGCCAAGGTGATATAGAATCATCATGATTCTCATATCTCTGGAACCTGGTAGACTGCTGAAACCGTATGACTGGTATATTTTATCGATTTCTTGATCCGAAGAAGTCACTAAGTCTGGTAATGTCCCCGGATAATTTGGCCACATGCCGTTGACCTTCATCCAACAGATTGGTCTATCAGGTTCGTTTACTATGTCGTGGAAGGAGTTAGCATCACGGATCATATTCTCTTCTAACACTTCTTCCTTATTTTGGTCCCCATCAATTTCAGCTCTTGTTCTTTCAAGTTTCGTATTGAAATCGTTGAATTCAACCGCCAACTTGGCGATACGAATGTCTTTCTCTTCATATCTAATTCTTTTTTGAAATGATGCAACGGGGTCAAGTAAGGCCAAAACCCCACTGGACAAGTCCAAAAAGTATGTGGCTTGATCTGCAGTCTCTTTGGTTGAACAGTCGCTCAACTGAACAAATTTGTTGGTCATTCTGATTGTAAGCATGGTAGTTGTACTTGGAATTTTCCACAGCTTTGGGTGCAAAAAAGTAATGATCGCGTCCAGCATTCCAACTTCATAGGAAAGTCCAAGAGGTGATAAGGGATATGGTTAAAAAAAATTATTACAATGGTGATGTTTTGTGAGCCTCTAAACTATCTCTTAGGGTGTATTAAAGTTTAAACAAACAAATTAGCCACCTCTCGGGTTAATACATAAAATTGACTTTTCCGATATATACGTATAGAGTAAAACACTCATCTCAAGAAGTCCCTCAAGTAGTTACCAACCTTATTCGCACCATCTTCCAAAACATCCTTCAAAACATCCAAATCCTGATTGGCATTACCGGAAAACTTACTGGCAAAATCTCTGGCGGTACTTTCCAAATCCCTGAGGGAGCCGGAAGTTGCTCTGCCTCTTTGTGGGTTACCTTGTTGTTCATCTTCGCCAAAGTATGAAGCCGAACTAATCAGCTGAGCGTTACCAAACTTTTGTAACTTTTCCCGAGCCTCTACCTGGGCATCTTTATCGAATCTTGGTCCTCTACCAAAATATTCATCCGACGAAAGAGCCTTTTGAGCACCAAACCGTTTGGACACTTCTCCAGTATATGCGGCCTCCTTATACTGTTTCTTGTTGGAATTGATAGTGTTATCACCAACAACCATACCGAATCCTAGTTTTTGGAACTGCTGGGTGGTTTCCTTAATAGGTGCGGGAGCCAACCTTTCTTTCTCCGTGGCACCTGCTCCCCCTAAAGACAAACCACCCGACCCACTACCTGAAGTTTTGGAACTTTGCACCGGCTTGGTGGAAAAATCGTACTGTACTTCTGCTTCTTCCTCTGGCTTATATCCCAACTTCTTAGCCTCCTCAGCCTCCACCTTAGCCTTTCTTTCAAGCTCATCGAAATCGATGTCCTCCACCTCAGTCTTGTTGATCCGCTTGTTTTGCAAGCGAGAGTTCCTGGGAGCGTTTCCCTTGCTGGATAAAATTGACGACTTCTTATTGCCCAAGGTGGACGCTGAAGTTGCAGTTCTGTTTATCCTGGACGTCCTGGTAGTTATAGGTTTTCTGGCAGCAGGAGTCAGAGTCGTGCTTGGAGCCGTCAAGTCTTCGGTGGATGCAGAAGGAGTATTATTCTTGGACCCAAGTGGTGATGGGGTCGTAGTAATGGGTTTACTCCAGTTGGAAAAAAAGTCGTTATTTGAGTTGGAATCACTACTGTTACTGCTGTTGCTAACCTCCTCCGCATCGTTCAAGTCGTCCAAAGTCACCACGTCTGGATTCTTAATGGCATCTTCGGCCGCTCTTTGCTTCAATTTGTCTTTGTACTTTTTGGCCACGTTAGAGTTGTACTTGGCAGAAGCTTCAACCGATTTATTCAAGTACTGGCTTCCTCCGTTCTTCATGAAGAAGTCCTTGGCGGCATTGTTGCCACCAAACTTGAAGTTCCGTAACTGGATTCTCTGCCAGGAGTCCAAATTTGATGACTTGACAAATGATATATGGACACCTAAGTTCCTATGGACAGCCGAGCACTCCAAACATAACATCACCCCAAAGGGGATTGAGGTCCAGGTGGGATTTCTGTTCTCACAGTCAAAGCACACCTGATTGGTGGGGTGCTGCTTCAAACGGCCAAACACTTTTTCTGCCTCTTCTTTACTGGCAAACGAATCGCTCATGTTTGTTTTGTCCTTTGCTTTTCATCAACATTTCAGATCAACCGGTGCGACAGGCACTTGGACTGCGCGCACGACCTCCATTCACTCGATGACTATATGTACATTAAAAATACTATTTACAAACTAGTGAAAGGGTCTGGAGCCACCTCGGGCAAACTCCAACACCTTCCAGCCATCGGTGACTTCGTTGTGGAACTCTTCTGGGTTCCGGGTCAAAACTAACGCATATGTGCTCAACTGGATATTATCTTCGGTTCCGGCTGCCACTTTTCCAGTCTTGATGTTTCTGTACAAATGAATTTCCTGAGCCCGACAGCTCACCACGATCACCGGCACGTCACTGGGCTGTAACAACTTGCACGTGACCACCTCTACCCCACGGAGGTCCAAAATCTTGGAATCAGAGAACACTCCTTGTTGCACAAACTGTTTGTTGGTGGCTTTCCACACGTTGAAAGGAGCTTCACTTAACCAATTTTTCAATATCTCTTCGTCGTTCTTGACGTAGGCATCTAACAATTCAGGAACAATGTAGTTGGTCAATGTCTTTTGGAAGTCGGTCAATCTGAAGCTTGGATCCATCTGCTTAAACTGCCTAACTACTTTGGCTTGCTCAGTCTCAGCAAAGAATCCCACCACTTTCTCCACGATGGTTCTGATCAATGAGATCAAGCCGTTTTCACTTTCGTCCCATCTTTCCTTCACAAGCACAAACACTTTTCCAATGGGATTTTTCAACTTGAAGTTTTCCCATTTATCATCAAAACTTGGACCGGTGGCTTTATGTTCAGTAGCCACCAACTCAGTACGTACGTTTTCCTCGTCCTTCGAGAGCGGCTTCCACATCTTTCCGCTCTTCAATCTTTCCTGTAACTCCTTTTGTCTCAACTTTTCTCTTTTCTCTTTGGTCAAGAATCCCCCATAAGCATTAGAGGTTCCATCATCTATAACTTCGGAAACATCTTTGTAAACCTGAGTCTTTCTCACCGGCTCGAACGCCTTATCCGCGGCCTGAGCACTGGACTTAACGGTGGTTCTTACACCTTTCCCTATCTCGGATTCCCATGCTTTATAGGCCACTTCTCCAATGTTCTCAGCTGCTTTAGAAGCCACCTTTCCTGCTGCACTTCCTCCCTTCTGGGCCCTATCGTAGGCTTCCTTGGCTTTTTTGAAGGCATCGCTTTCTCCCAACCGGCCGGTCTCGTCTTGTAAGGCCTTGATGTTTTCCTTTAATTCATTAGACTTCTTGACCTCGCTCTTGAAGGTATCGAAGAAGACTTTCATTGGAGATTGTGGCCGGGCATCATTCCAAAGCAAAGAACTGCTGCTAAACATTCTGACCCCCACAGACGACGTGCGGGTCCAGTGGGACCATCCACTGCTTGTGTGTGCAACGTTTCTAAGCATATTTCTCCACTGTGTCTGTGCACTAGTTGAAGATTTTTCACACCGAACTGCGAAAAGATGATTCTGCGAAAGGCCCAAATAAGGCCGGTAGTCCCACGACACCAACCCCATCATTACTGCTTATCATTATATTTTTACTATATAACCCGACTAATTGCGTTGAAACCGAGTGTATGCTTGGTAGCCCTTGACTAGGGCCAACCCCAAAACTCCCAATGCTCCACCGAGCTCAAGTCTCCGAATAAACCGGTCTTGCGTGTCTCTGATGTCCACCGCTTTAGAATACGAAATATCGTCTCTGAATGAGATCATAGAGTACATGGGAATCCACTGAAAATAACGGCCATTTGCATACTTTCCCAAATAGTAGTCGATTTTTTTTCTCCACAAAAACGATGCTTGGGTGACTTTACTGGCCATCTCATTATAGTTATCCATGGCCAACTTGCAAATCGTATCCAAATCATCTTTTCTTACCTCGGAATACTTTTCGAAACTGACGGCCAAATCCTGGTACTGGTCAAACAACTCAAGCAACACCGTGATATCTTCAAGGCCACAGTTCATTCCCTGGCCGTAGAACGGTACCATAGCATGAGCAGCATCTCCGATTAATAAGGCTTTTTTGTTTGGTGAGTGGTATGGATAAGCAGACGTCTGGATCAACGCACCTCTAGGATACTCCTTGTATGCCTTTACAAGTTGTTCCTTTCCCAATAAACTGACGGCATCGGGGAAATGGGTTTCAAAAAATTCCCCAAACGCCTCAGGAGACTCGATTCCCTCAATCACGTGCCACGGACTGAAAAACGTCGATGTGAACGACCCATCCAGGTTGGGCAATGCAATCAACATAAAGTTATCTCGAGGCCAGATGTGAAGATGGTTGGCATCGATAAGAAATGAGTTTTGGGGTCCAGGAGGAATGTACAACTCCATGTATTGCATGTCGATGTAGTCTTGGCTTGTGTTCATTCTCATGGACTTTTGAACCTGGTATTTGAACTGAGAAAATGCTCCGTCACTGCCAATGATGTAGTCAAATTCAAAGTCATTTATTTCTCCCAAAACATCAAACAGAAGCTTGGGAACATCCTTATTTTCCACCGCTATCAACCGGTGATTAAAGAGGACCTTTATTCCTCTGTGCTGTGTTTCTTCTATCAAAAGCTTGTTAAATACACTTCTGTCAATTGAGTTGTTGTGCTCACCAAATAATCCGTACAACTGTGACTCACACTTGGTACCAGTTCTGTCATGGATCATTCTTCCCACGAGCGGCACCGACGACTCGAGAATACGTTGGCTTAAGAGCGGGTCCACCTTGTCCATGGCTCTAATTCCCCTGTTACTTAAGCTTAAGTTGATGGAACGAAGATTCTTCATTTCGGGCTCGAGTTGAGGATCTTGCCTGAGCTCAAATAAAGTCACGGAAAACCCTCGGGCTTGTAGTGCCAATGCAGCCACACAGCCTACAATACCAGCACCTACAATTCCGACTCCTTGGTGTTCCATTTTGAAGCTGGATATCCTTTTTAGGTATTAGTGGTGATGAGAATCAGCCTTCAATTTGTCAAAAGACGCTTTGCGCGCATCACCCAACTTTAATAACCTTAATTCGTATAATTCATAAATTGCATCATATTTACATATTCGCTCATACTAACAGTCCTACGTATACTTGGCGACCTTCTCTGACTTCTTTGCGATGCTGGCCTTGAGCTGTTCGATTTGTGCCTCGAGCTCCGAATTTCTCTCACTAAACTCCTTGTTGGCCTTGATGGTATTGTCCAAGTTGGCTTTCATGGTGAGTTTCTCAAACCTAGCTTTTAACTCGTTATACTTCCCGTTGAGCTGGTCATTTAACTGCTCGTTTTTATCCACATCTTCTTGGTATTGCTTGAACTGGCCCAATATTTCTACGTGGGTTGTCCTCAAACTGTCTATTTCGCCGTTAAGCACCAGAATCTTAAGGTTGAGTTCTTCATTAATCTCCTTGCAATTGACCAATTCATAGTTGTTGTTGTTTAATGAGTTGACATGGATGAGATAGTACTCATTTTCGTACTTGATGATATCAGGATGGTACTCAAGGGTCTGTCTGCTGTTAGAGTCGATTATCACTTGTAAAAGATCAGGACTCTGGAGGTACTGCGAGAGCTTGTCTCCTTCAAGGCTTAGTATATGCTCTTGTGCTCTTGTGAATATGTGGACGAAACGACGACTCAACCACGTAAACCCTTGGAACACAATAAAGTCCAATGTTTCCAAGCCAATAGCTTGGTCGTCAATACTATCGAGTAGACCTTCAACCTGGTGTAGTATTATGTTCTTTATGTTGATACCTTGTTTGGCTATATGGGCAAACACTTCGTCCACCTCGTCTTCGAGTGCCCTGCTGATTTCGTAGTACAACTCGCTAAAATTTGTGTTGCATAATACCTTATTGAATTTCAACAAAAGATACAATGCTTGCTCTTCAGTCAACCCAGGAACGTTTGTCAACAACTGGCCAATTTGAATGATTGTTTGCAACTGTTTGCTCTTATCCTGTGCCTTTACAATCTCATGATTAAAACTTCCGTTGTTGCCGACCTCTATCTTATTTGAAGCTGAAGTCACCACTTCATTGACATAGTAGTTGAATACCCTGAGAGCATCACGAATCTTCGGTTCTTTTATGGCATCGATCTTGTCTTTGAAGGGTAAATCGGCGTGAATACTCTTGTTCAACAAGCTGTTGTATCTCTCTTTGCTCAATTGGTACTTCACATGAAACGCCTTCAAATACACCAAGCTCCGGAGCTGCGATGGAATCCCTTCCACGAGAGCATCCTCGAGCCTTTTTTCTTGGGCATACGCAAGAATGTCTCTGTCTGGAACGGTGACAAATGCCTTCCAAAATTCGTTTATACCTTCACCATCACCACTCTGAAGAATACTCTCAGTCTGCTTCTTGATAGCTTCCTCGCTCAAGCTCTTGATGGAGAACATATCTGACATTTCGTTCATAACGGGCAGTGCGTACGTAGACAATTGTCTTTCAAACAAAAGCACAGACAAGGTATCAGGGTTTGGGGTAATGTTTGTGTTGGCAGTAGCAGAGGTTGCGTCATTAACATGGATTTTCAACCCGGAAAACTTTCCTGCCGCCAACTCTGCCTCTTCTTCACTGTGTACGAGATTGGTGGGGGTGTCGCGAGAAGGCAACGGTGGAGGTGATGCACTCATGATGATTTTGTTCAAGTAGTAAGCTAGAATGCGAATTGATAGGTTCAAGTTTCTAAACTTCGAACGCGAAAAAAACATAGATGATTTGCAGTCAATTAGTATATTAGAATATGTGCAGTAACGACTCAAGTTCACAAAGCAGCCGCTGGTGTTGATGAGTACCCTATGAATGCAAAGCTTAGGTTCCTCTTTGGTTCTTGAAAAAGAACCACCAGGCCATTGAGCCATCGAACATGTGTATTCAAAACCAATTCCATTGCTTCACCTCCCTTCTCATTCACCCTCTTCTATTACCACCACTAGCCAGATTCCCCATTCACCACTTCCCCATTCACCATTTGGTTCGGCCAATTCATTATTTCGTTGTCGCTGCTGGCACGAGATTTCGAATCCTCACGCGCGATTGCGATTGCTCCTTTCTTCACTATCAGTTTATCAATCGCATCTCAATGTTTCTTCTACACCAATGTCTGTAGACAATTCTCTCGAAAGAAAGGTTAAAGATGTGACTGCCGGTTTCGTGGGAGGCGCTACCCAGGTGCTTATCGGCCAGCCATTCGATCTTGTCAAGATCAGATTGCAGACCCTGTCGCAACACGCCAGTTCGGCCTCCATCATCAAATCGGTTCTCCAGAACGAAGGACTTTCGGCGTTCTACAAGGGAACGTTGGCGCCGCTTGTGGGTGTCGGCGCGTGTGTGTCGTTGCAGTTCTACGGGTTTCACGAGTCAAAACGTTACATTCTCCAAAAGTACAACCAGACCCAATTGAACCTTTGGCCTCAAACATACATTTGTGGAGCGTTGGCCGGTATCATCAACACCCCGGTGACGACGCCGGTGGAACAATTGCGGATCTTGTCGCAGTCCAAAACCAGTAAAACTAGTGTCAGTCAACTTGTTGGACAAATTTACAGAGAAAATGGAGCCAGAGGGCTTTTTCGGGGTTTCAACATCACGCTTCTACGGGAAATTCAAAGTTACGGCGTGTGGTTTCTTGCCTACGAGCTGACGATCCAGCTGCTCCTCAGTGTGCGTGGCTACAGCTCTCGAAATGAGATTTCGACTCCAGAATTGCTCTTTAGTGGAGCATTGGCAGGAAACCTCCTATGGCTCAGTGCGTATCCATTGGACGTGCTCAAGTCAAACGTGCAGAGCGACGGGTTTGCTAATTCCAAGTTTCGGGGCAGTTCTGTGTCTGCTGCCAAACACATTTATGCAACGGCAGGCTTGAGAGGGTTCTGGAAGGGAATAGGACCATGTCTCTTGAGGGCCACGCCGTGTTCGGCCGGAACGTTTGCGTCTGTGGAGCTTGCTTTGCGGTTGCTTGGGTGAGAAGAGGTTTGTTCAATTATGGATTACACTCATATACTTCTATAGACAACAATACATGAAAAATGGGGTTTTAGTTTTAAAAATGGTTTTTGGTCCTCCAATGGTTTTCCATCCTACAAATCATGCTGTTAGAGATGTTACAGTTCCCGCTCCCAGGCCACTGTTAAGTTGTTCTGACTGGTTCTTGCTGTCCATCATAAATGAGAGTAAAGCTCCTAGAGCAAAACCAAATTCACCAAAAACACACCAATTTCGATTCTGAAAATTCCCCTCGGATCATTTTACCTTCCTTACCTCTGTTCCTCTCCCTTGATTGCTCTACTAACCCCTTGTTCTATTTTACCCTCCTCCGATCATCACATTTGCACCCAGTTGGTGAATCAGACGGTCCGCGCACGCACTGGGCGCGCACAGCCAATGAGAACAGATAGATTTCTTGTTACATTCTCACAAAAAAAATCTTGCCAAATCCTTTTCCTCAACAAACAATCCTTCTTACTCATGTTCAGATTGTCCACACAAGTCCCAGGCTTTGCCAGAGGCTTTAGCACAGCCAGCCGGCTCTTCAAGCCTGTTGCAAACGAGTACCTCACCACCGGATCATCCACCCAATCGATCTGGCCCAAGGGATTCAGATTGCCCCAACCCAAATCTTGGGAAGAATCCAGTGAAAGTGCCTTGAGCAAAGCCACCAAGTTCTTCTTCTTGAACGAAATCGCCAGAGGAATGTACCTCTGTATGGAAATGTACTTCCGGGAACCATATACCATTTACTACCCATTTGAAAAAGGACCTATTTCTCCCAGATTCAGAGGTGAACATGCCTTGAGAAGATATCCCAGTGGTGAAGAAAGATGTATTGCTTGTAAATTATGTGAGGCTATCTGTCCGGCCCAGGCCATCACCATCGAGGCTGAAGAGAGAATGGACGGTTCAAGAAGAACCTTTAAATACGACATCGACATGACCAAATGTATCTACTGTGGGTACTGCCAGGAAAGTTGTCCGGTGGATGCCATTGTGGAGACTCCCAACGTGGAGTACACCACTGAGACCAGAGAAGAGTTGTTGTACAATAAGGAGAAGTTGTTGGAAAATGGAGACAAGTGGGAGCAGGAATTACAGTACTGTATTGATGCTGATGCCCCATACAGGTGAGGTTGACACAATCCAATCCATTCCAATCCACAAAAACCAATCCAAGAGCCAAAACCAGCTCAACTCCCGGAATTTGGCCCTGGCACATTTCATCAGCACGGGCGCCCGTGGCGCTGTGTATGCATTTATTTATAATAAACATTCAGATCTACTGTATAGAACCTTCCACACGTGATATTATCTTCTGCTACATTAGAAAGCTTTGTTTAGTGTCGTCGTTACGTGCAGCGATAACTTGTCGCCAATCCCTCACCCGTTGTAAGCGTCTCAAATTAAATTGTTTCAGATCCGAATTGTCAGGTACAAACCACAAAATACCCGCACCGTTTCAAGGAACCAAATAAAAAATTTCTACATACACCAATCCACACTATGAATGAACCCGCCATGGAGTCGCCCTCGCTGTCGTCCATGTCGGCGTCGGGGTCTTCTCTGGCGTATCCCAACTCCCGTTCTCGAGACCTGTTCTCTGGATGGCCCACCGTTCCCACACCTTCTCAGTCGCTGTTTTCACCTGGCGCTTACGTGATTCCCTCCCCATCTTCCACCCAACATATCAACTGCCGGGCCGACGTGACACCGGTACTCGTGGACACTACCCCCAAGCTCTCGGCACCCCGCCTGCTTGCTGTCACCCCTAGACGTGAAAAACTGTCTTCCAACGTGTCCCACTCCACCAGTTCATCTTACTCATCATTTTCGTCTCCACCAGACAGCGACTCGCTGCCCAAATACATGGTCAACTATAGTCCCAAACACTCTCGCAAGCCAAGTTCCTTGACGTCAAACAGAAACATAAATATGAAGAACTTGTCACTCAATTTGGACGATGGTAGCAGTATCACTGCGGGGCCCACCAGCGGTGCCAGCAAAAAAGCCTTATCCATCGGCATCCTGGCGCTGGACCAGCCGTCCGACTCGCAGTCACCGTTCCTTTCCTCTTCTCCCATCGTTCACAATAACTCCAGCACTATGCTTTTGGACCTGAAAACATCCTCCTCGCTTAAACTCCTGCCAGTGGAGTCGCTGCCACGCGTACGAAACAACCCGGCTTTACACACATCGAAAGACTATAAGTTCCCCCATTCCGACCTAACTGAAAGTTTTTCCAAGTTGGCCGTTAGTCAGTCAGAAACCCACACTCTTAGCTTCCGTCCAAACGTGCCAGAAGAGCTCCAAGAACTGAGCCAGCTTGATGCATATCCCAACGGACCGGCCAACGTTCTTAACGGTTCGGTATTTTTGTACTCAGAGCCCACCATCGATGAAATTAATCAATTTGACCTTGTGATTAACGTGGCCAAAGAATGCCCTGACTTGCTGGCCGAGTTTAACAAGGAGAACCTTGCAAGTAAAAAGTATATCTACATTCCTTGGAACCACACGAGCTCTATCTCGGAGGAGTTACCGCAATTAACGCGACTCATGGCTAGTTATGATGACCTGGACTCGAGGTCTCGCAAACGAAAGATCTTGGTGCACTGCCAATGTGGAGTCTCACGAAGTGCGTGTGTGGTGGTTGCCTACTTTATGATGAAGTTCAAAATGAACGTAAATGACGCATATGAGTTGTTGAAGACAGGCACCAGCGCCAGTTCACCAGAAAAAACCAACCGGCAAGTATTTGAACGAGGCTACACCATCCAGAGCTGCGATCGGATCTGTCCAAACATGAGCTTGATCTTTGAACTCATGGATTTTAATGAGACTTTAAACCATGTACACTAGCTGTATAGTATGAATATGATGCCATGAAAATTAATCAGTTGGGACCTATCACTTCTCCTATATTCTTTCTACTACCCTCCTCTCTTTGCTACAAAAGTTCGCGAAGACTAACTAAAAAATCTTCATAGCTTTATGTCAGGTAACAACTATAACAACTATAGGAACCCGAAAAAATATAAGTATGGCAACTATCATGGAGACTACTATGATGGTCTGTCGGGCCTGTATTCTAATAATCAAGACTCGGGGCTGCATGGAATGAATTCTATCGCAAACTCTGATAACTCATACAGGCCAAAGTACAAACGCAAACCGAACAAGCACTACGATAGATACGATCCCAAGAAACACAAGCTCTCCGGTCAAGGATCCAGCTACCACCCTGGAGCCTCATCGTCCACAAATTCAGGTGGAAGCTCCTATACTCCCAACTATGGTAACTCAACTTCAGAAAGAACCAATCCTTACTATGACCGTCGAAATGAAAACCGTAACGGTCCATACGATGATTACCGCAAACCCCGTCCGGCCTTTGAATTGAACTCTTTGAAGCTGAGACTGTCCTCTGTGGAAAGAAGAGACAAGTCCCATGAATGGGAAAGAGACTCGTATAGCCCTTCACCGTCAATAGCTTCATCAGCCGATGCTGACTCCTTCACAAGAGACAGACTGTCAGATGACCCAGGCCTGAGAAATCGCCTGAAATCTGCAGATCCGGAGCTGAATACACCAAGAGTCTCTTCTGAAAGACGTGAACTGGTTGTGTCCGAGAACCACTTAACTGATGTTCTAGAGAATGATGAGGAAGAAAAGTATCAAGAAACACCAACTTTGTCCGGAGATGCTCCTGGTGAGCAAGTCGAAGTGAGCAAGGTGCCTGTTGAAAAGGAGCAAAAGGAGGTGCACAAACTGGAAACCGAAGATCAGGTGCTCAAGCAGGAACTGAACCTGTCAGCACGGAGTGCACCTATTGAAAGTGAAAGCGCTGGTCTCACGAGTGATATTGTACACAAAGAGGACACTAGCGTCGACACAATTACCGGGTACAAGAACACTGACTCAAAGGAACACAAAGAACCTAGTGATCTCCCACAGGCGCCTACACCTCACCTTCATCACCCTCTTAGTGCGACTGGCTCGCTCGACTCGCCGCTCACGTTTGTTCCCAGTGTCGCCACCTCAGCTCTCAGCAGCGCTCCAGTAGCTTCTGATCTCGATCCAAAAATCAATGCTATTGTCAAAGACTACGAGTCCGACATGGAATTTGATTCGGATGCTGAAACTGTCGTGTCTGATTCTTTACCAAGCACCGAGTATTCCAGTAGGTTAATGAAGCGGATATTTCCAGAGAAAAGCAAGAAACCTTATGTTCTTAAGCGTGATTCAAGTGGAAGCTCGTTATTACAAAGAGCATGTAAAAAAGGAAATTTGGAAGAAGTCAAATCATTTATCGAGAGAGGTGCTGATGCCAATGAGTCGGACTTCTGTGGTTTCACTTGTCTTCATGAAGCTGCTTTAAATGGAGATGTCGAAATCGTCAAGTACTTGATTGAACATGGAGCCGATGTCAATAAACAGGCATTACCTGACGGTGATTTGGAAACCCCTTTAATAGATGCTGCCGACAACAAACATCTCGAAATTGTTAAGATTCTTTTGGACAATGGAGCTGATCCTAGAATCTTCAATAGAGATGGTTTCACGGCGTTGACCAAGATTCATAATCAGCATCAAGGTGAAGAGGGCTATGGCGAGGTAATTCAATTACTTGAAGAAGCAAACAACAGATTCTTAGAAAAGTCCGAAAGCCATAACAACCAGATCACTTTTCAGAAATCCCCTTCACCCAACACTATCATCGAAGATCCCAACGACAACTATTTCAGTGAACTTTTGAAGAAGAAAAATCACACTGCTCAAGTCTACAAGTATGCAGCTGAAGGTATCAAAGATTTGGCAGTGCAATATCTTGTTGAGGGAGGTAGATTGGACTTGAAACCCGATATTTTGATTTTGGCTGCCAGAAACGGCCATTTGGAGTTGGTTGAAATTATGTTGGGATTGGTGGAAGACTATGATATCAACTTGAAAAACAAGTGTGGTTTGACGCCACTTTTGGCTTCTGTAGGAAGAGGACATCACGATGTGATTCAATTATTGTTGGACAGAGGTGCTGATCCATTCCTCAAACGTCGCCAGGATGATTTGAATGCTTTAGAGATTAGTCAAAGATCTCCTAACTTTGACTCCAAGGAAATTGAAATGCTTGAGAATAATATGAAGGTCAACCACAATCTCTCGGTCTCCCCCAAGCATTTTGCTTCATCTTCCACCAACGAGAGCAAGGAACCTGAAAGAGAAAAGAAGACAAAATCATTGAGCGACTCCAATGAAAAGAAATTGAAGAAAGTCAAGTCTCGGGATGAGCCCAAGAGAAATGAAGTTCCCAACTTGAATAAGCTGATATCTAGGGATATTGAAAAAGATGAACCTTTGAACATCAAACCCCAAATTTCCACTCTTTTTAAAGACAAAGCCGAAATCAAAAGAGAAGTTAGCGAGTATGAGCATTCTGCTTCTAGAGATCAATCTCTCACACCTCCTCCCCAGATTGCCAAATCATTTTCCCCTTCACCTCCTCCTGCTGAATTGACCAAAGAGGAAGAAGAGATGAGAGCTCAAAGAGAAAAGGAGTTGAAGATTTACCAGGAGAAATCCGAAGCAAAGAAGAGGGCCAGAAGAGACATGTTTTTGAAATCAGAGAAGGAAAAGGAACGCAGACGTGAAGAAGAAAGATTGAAGCAAATTGAGCAGGAACAACAAATGAAATTGTTGAAAGAAAAGGAGGATCAAAACAAAATCAGGGAAATCGAAGAAGAAACTCGTAGGGTCGAAAGAGAAAAGGAAGAGGCCAGGAAGAAGCGAATGATGGACTCGATTCCTGTGGGTTTGAGATACCTCAAGACTGGCTCGTTGGATAGGTCGGACATCCTTAAATACTCACCCATTTATGTGTTTAACTTCAAGGGCAGCGAGTATGTCCTTGACTTGCACTTAGTGTTAGTCACCGGAATCAGCTATCTACAATTGGCCAGAACCTGTGATGAATCTGATAAGATACCTACAACAATCGGAGACAGATCCAAATTATGGAACTTGTTTGCCCCATTACTCGGAGGAAAAAGACCCAATGTCCCAATATCTAAACAGTTGTTGGTTGAAGGACACCAGAACTTCAAAAACCTCGAGGTCCTGTTCATCGGTTTGGACAAAGCTAAGCAGGTGTTGAAGCTGGATGCTCATTTGGCATATGAAGTGATTGTGGATTCTAACTTATTCACTCAAGTGGACTACGAGAACTTGAATGAGTTCAGTGAATTGAACATCTCTAGACCTCCAGTAAGAGAAAATGCTTCTATTGATTTCGAGTCGTCGGGAACCTTTATTCCCTACAGTTTCAAACATAGACCGGACTTGCTCAAGGCGGTATATGAAGCTAAAACCACCATGTGGTAGCTGCTTTTGTATATTATTGTATTATAAGCCATTGTACTATTTTCAAAATGTATAAATTAATTATTAGATGAAGGCTGCGAAAGCAAATTGAAATTTCACAAACCCGCCGCGATGGCTTCCTATACCAAGTATGTGTGTAGTTGACTGCTGTTGACTCTATTGAGGATCCGTGGTGTCTCCACGGTGCAGTATTTGTCTTCTATTTTGTTTATACTAACCCCAAACCAGAGTGTCGAGGTCTTCACTCTATGAATCCGGAGATGAGCTACAAGACAATCCAACATATATTCCCGATTTGAACCTAGAAATCATCGAGGTGGAACATACCGAAGACTTGAAAGAAGAGCAGCCTGAAGACGAGTTTGACTTCCCGTTATTTTCGTTTGGTTCAGCTCCCTCATCCCAAAACCATCTGGTTGGTGATTCTCAAAAAAGAGGACGAACAGAAACCAAGATCATGAAGGTCAATCTCAGAGAAGAATCTGTTGAGACTTTGAGGTCGGAAAGGCCTAGTAGTTACTACTTCGCCCAGTACACTGAAGAACAGAGGGCTAATTTCCATCTCGTGGCTGTAACTGGAGAAGACATATGGAGTCGAGTAGAGTTGGCCACCAGCACAAATGATTGGTACCGCCATCGTATTCTTGATGCCGATGTACACAATGCCAATATAAGTCCAGAAAGACCTAGTAGGAAACGGCCGGGGAAGAATAAGAGAGATGGGAGAATAGAGTCCAAGAAACGTCAGGCTGAAGCAAGAAGAGTACATAGGGAGAACGAGAGACGTTTGTTAAAGAAGAAGATGCACAAGCGAGGCGGCAAGAAGAACAAGAAGGCTGCCAAGCCAGTTTCATGAATCATGTATTATAGTATCTTAATGTACAGTAGAAGATGAAATAAAAACGCGATCGAGTGAATCGCCAAAAAGTGGACAGCATGAAGGGCCAGGACGAACTAGAAGATTTCGAAGCGTTTTTAGAAAAAGACTTCAGCACCTATAAGTTTGCTAATGACCTTTTACTTGCTACCAATGATCGGGATACCACGGAAATCGATATAGATACCAGTATCAAGAAATTAACGTTTGATATCGACGAGGTGGAAAAGCGAATGACAAGTATATCATCTCAAAACCACGAAAGTTTGGTGGCCAACTTCAGTGAAATCGAACATACCAACAATGTGATAAAGCAGAAGATTACTCCGCTGCTTGGTCGGGTGAACGGGCTGTTTCAGAAAATAAAATCAGAGATCATTGAGCCTTTTGATGAAGCGCAGAAGATGAACTCAGCATTGAAAAAGGTCCATACAACTCTTGACCTTCTCAGAGGGTCCAACTTCTTTTTCCTATTAGTGCTGCAAGTGGAAGACCTCGAGAAAAGCGTCCAAAAAGACGACAAAACCAAGAAGAATAATGACTTGATCAAGTTGGCTAAATTGTATAAACAGATCACTGAACTCTACGAGAGTGAGAGAACTACCAAAGAAAACGAACTACGAGTGTCGTTGGTAACCATAAAGATCATAAGGGACTATCAAGTCGTACACATTAACAAAAACCACCAATTGGTCAATACTTGTATGGAAACCATAGTCAACGAGTTCAGCCATAATACTACTTTTACTACTGCCAATATCAAGCTCCAACACAATTTAATCGCATACTATATCCTTCAAAGGGACCGGTTCTTGGACACTCTTGAACGGGCTACCATAGCCAAGCATGTCAATACCATTTCGAGCCAGCTCTCTCGGTCCCTTCAGTCTCCTAGAAACTTTATCGTGATCTTGAAAGAAGTGAAAACTGCCAGTATGGACTTTTTGCTGAAGTTGACAACTATTTTGCAAAGCTGTGAAATATACCGTCTCGAAAACACAACCACATTGTACCGAATACTTTTAGAAGAATTTGGGAGCCAGTCTCTTGAACAAATTTACTGGTCCAAATTGGTTGCTAGATTCAAAAAAGGTATTGCTTCAACAATGGCTAGAGGTGGGCCTATTGCAAAGAATTTGAAAACGTATCAACCAGGCATCCAAAACTCATTAAAAGAGACTTTCAACAGCTCTGAAGAACATGAACAACTTGATTTATTTCTTGATGCGGTTGAGTTGATATCACTAGGTCGTTAGTTTACACATGTATATTTTTTTAGGAAAAGATAGTATTAAAATCCATTATTGGCTAACTTTGCCTTTTAAAGTGTTCAAAAACTCTCTGTAAGCTTGGTCGCTTCCGGTCTTATCCTCGACCAAACAGCTAGTAGCCCACATTCTCAAGGCCATCAAATCCCGCTGGGTAGTGATCTCCATCGGTTCATGGGACGATCCTCCAACCACCACATACAAGTTTTTCCAAGTGATTTGGTCTTTTTGTTCTCTCAACTTGCCGATGATTTGACGAACTCTGTAGTTGAACTCTGATTCCTCAAACGAAAACTCTGGTAATTGAGTCTTGCCAAATGGAATCGTGTATAAGTTTTCGGTTCCAAACAAATCGTGAACCAATCCAGGTACAACATCTCCTGAAACCCACAAGAATAATTCCGTAGTGTTATCAATCAAATACAAACCATAGTTTTCCCAGCTAGTTTTAGAGTCATTTATAGCTTCTGGTAATAAGATGTTGGTCGAGGAAACTGTTTCTTCTTCACCGGTTTCTTCGTTGATTTGAGTTACCTGTTCAGGCAATCCACAACCATCAGGCATATCGTGCAAAGAATAAACCGATGGATAAATGTATTTGATCAAATGGTGGACTGGTAAAGTGGCCAAATTGTTCAATGCAATAGCTCTATAATCGGCTGGAACCTTTTCAGCTCTTAATCCAATATGTTTGGTTAATGAGAACAACAATAATGGCAACATTCTTAAGTTTGTGGACACTTGCAAAGGCGAGGATCCAGAGATGTTGCCGGCAACCAACTCCTTCTTGTAAACACTGACGATATCCACCAACGATTTAATCAACAAATCTCTAGCATCTTGCAAAGAGTGACTAAAGGCCTTTTCTACTGCCTTTTGGGTAAAGTAGTTCACAATAGCTAGTTGATCAGCAGAAGCATACACGTCGTCCAATTTACTGGAAGTAGGAAGGGCCAAGTTAATCACTCTGATTCTTCTTTCGCCAAAATGAGTGGAGTGTAATACGGCAGCCTGGAAAAATACCAATGGTTTGGTGATGGTTTCTTCTATGGATACTTCAATCACATAACTTTGATCTCTGGGGTAGGTTGGGAAAGAGCATAAGTCGGAAGATCTGTTAAAAAAGTTCCCGAAGAATGCACTTCCTCTAACACCGGAAGAAGACCTAACTCTCAACACCGCTTCTAATGCAATTTCCATCGACAAGTGTTCGGAAACTTCCTTGGAAAACTTCGTAACATCTTCTGCCGTGGCAGCTGACCAAGCTCTGTAGAAGTGTGTCTGACCCGCAGTATAACGAGGCAAATTAGACAACGTAGCCACATCCTGGTACTTGGAAGAAGTCAAAAACAAGTCGACAGTAACTTGAGCAGAATTACATTCAACCGCAAAAGCTTTATAGAACTTATCAGCAACAGACAACAAGGTTTGAGATTCCTTTGGTTTACCCGATTGTTCTTCGTCTCTCACCAGTAATTTTCCTTCGCCAATGTTGGGCAAAGAGGCAGCAAAGGCAATCACCTTTCCACCAATGGAACTAATCATCTTGTGACCACTCTTCAATGCTGGGCCCAATGCCAAACCAGTGTTAGCGGTTCCTTCAAAATAGCCGGGGAAGTCCAACAACAACTTTTCAATTGCGGGTCTATTCTCTTCTAAGTTCACCAACAAAGAGTCTGGGTAGGGCAAGAAAGGATCATCGATATCAGACACAATCAACATTTCGACTCCATCAGTACCTTCAGCAAACTTGAAGTAATGCAAGCTGGAGTCCACCCCAATAAACGCCACACGAGAGGTTTTGTTTGTGTTGGGGATCCGGTCCAAGCTCTCCAAGATGGTTCTCGTGACGGTAGCCGTCAACCCACTATTGACAGCATCAGCAGATACATCAATCAAGAAACAGTACACACAAGGAGGTGGGCTACGAGCAAGGTACTCTTTTGGAGCCACAAACTCAGTGACGGCGTAGTTCAACTCGGGCCGGTCGTAGAAGTTTTTGGAGGTATTGGTCAACTCGTCAAACGTAAATCCCATGGGGATATCGTTCAAGAGATTACACAAGTTACACCGCCAACGTCTTCCCTGATCGGCCAAAGTGATGAAGGGATTGATATACGCCCTACACCTCCGACAACGGCTGATGACAGTATCCACAGATACTGCTACATCTTCTTCCGAATCATGTAACGCGGTGTAAGGTCTCACCACCAAAGCCAAAGGCAACTTTGATTTCTTCAAAAGTGAGTTGGTGGTCGGCACCACGTTCAATGTACACCGCAAGAAATCAGGCGACGCATTAGCAGAATCCGAGTCGGGGACCACAGTGGCATTAGGGGGAATAATGATTGGAGGAGGAGGTAAACTCAAATCGCTAATTGAAGGAGGCAATTCTCTGATGAGGTCTGTCGAGTAGAGCTCGTTAAGCGGAAGACTTGGCGTGCTAGTGGAAGCACCGTACGCGGTGCCTGCTGAGAATCCAGTGGCAGGGGCCCCGTAGGCGGCCCCTGGTGCATTGTATCCACCAGTTTGGGGCTGGTACGGTTGGTTGGCACCAGGTTGTTGGTAGTTCCCGTACTGGTACTGCCCATTGACAGCAGGAGCCTGGGCGGCTGGGGCCTGGGCATCACCGACGTTCATGCCTTGGAACTGCGATGCCAATTGATCGGGTTGATAGTAGTTGGCGTTGACACCAGGTTGTTGGACAGGTGGAGACTGAACACCAGGAATGACGGGAGGGACACCGTACGCAGGTACTCCTGGTTGGAGTGGAGCCACCGGAGCCTGGGGAGTACTGGCATACTGAGGCTGAGGATACGCTCTTCTTTTGGACATTGTTGTTGGAAAGAATTTGGGTTTTTCTGTTGTGTTGATCGAGGTTGAAATGATTTGTGCGAAAGTACGTGGCGGGTTCGTTTGGGAGGTGCACGACCTTGCCCGTGCATTTGGTGAAGGTGAAGAGAGCTATTTTTGGTGAGACAATTGGCGAGAATTAGCGAGAATTGGCGAGCCGGTAGAGCAAAAGCACTAGAAATAGCAAACTTCTGATAAATAGCAATCTGGGACGAGTGGAAGACGATTTTAAGTAGTAGAAAGGACTTGCATTGATATTCGTAGTTGAGATTTTCTCGTTTTATGTGTTTTTCAGTAGATGTCAGCGGTTTAGAATAATGATTTACGTGATTTATGTAATTTTAGCAGCTTTTATTTATATTGTAGAAATAATTCTCCATCGAAGAGAGAAAAAGTTGCCAAAAAAAGTTTCTATCTCATGGTACAAATATAAAACAAACCACGCAACTCAACTCACACGCTCCTATCACCCGGTTGTTTACACCAAACAACCTCCAGGAGTGGTAAAAAGCTTCTCTTCCCGCGCCCGGCCAGGTGTTTCCCGCTACCGCCCAATCACCCGCCCGGCCCAGTCCACCGTCTACAACTCCCGTCAACCACGCTCGTCTCTGTGTCCATGGCCCCATGGCCTCCGGCACCGTCGCACGACTGCCAAATCCCTTTGCCCAAAATAGCGCCTTTGTTCCCTAATGCTTCGCGAAAAATAATCATTTGGGCGTGTTTATTGTTGATCATTCGTATACGATATTATTTGTCTTGTGACCAAAAGCCTTTCTCGGTACCAGCCACAAAACAAACGTCAAAACCCAACATTGTGAAGGCAAACCCCATCAACCTCCTTTGGTCTGAATACCAACGTATGGTTGTATTCGCCCCCTTCCCTATGGTCCTATCACTCATGAAGCCATCCAAAGCCGCCTCGCGGGCCCCTAACTTCTGGGGAACAAAGGACGAAGGCGTGCGCGCACCACCAAACATGCAGCGGTCCTCCACTTGATATAAATGCCCTGAGAAATCCAGTTTTTGTAAACTTACAGTAACCACTACAAAATGTCCAAGAATAAAATGCCCCAACTTCACAAACGCAGTGTTTCGTCGTTCAGCGCCGACATGCGCCACCACCTGATACACGAGAAGCTTGACTCGCACGACCCCGAATCTCTTGAACATAGGCGGAAGAACAGTCGGATTGATATTGTGTTGATAGTGTTAGCGCTTTTTTTGACAGGCTCCGTCATCAACTTCTTTCTCATTTCACGGAGCGTTGGATCTTCGTCGTTGGTTGACCATTTCCACAAACTAGTTGGCTCCGATCCCGACGTTGGCCGTGATACCACTCTTGAATCCTTATTGGGTGTGCAAAGCCTTGGAAATGATATGAACGAATGGGAAAGGTTATCCGGGGAGTTACAGAGCCAGGAGCAAGAACAGGATACAGAAGACTACCTGCACGTCCAGCACCAGTACGGGGCGGCTGATGTTGAGACGGAAACGGTGTCTGAAGGTTCCAACAATCCCCAACAGGATTTGGTAGAAATGCTTTCCATCGATGCAGTGGTTTTATTGCTCAACGACGAAAACCTCTTGAAGCAGGAGCGGGCAAAGCAGATCTTGAACAGCTTGAAAATGACGCCCGAGTTGAAGACCATCAATTTGAAAAAACATCCTCACTATGCGGAGATTATGCATTACTTGAAGAAGTTCAGTAGCCATATGCAAGAGGACGCCGAAGAATCGGATGAGTTGGACACCCAAGATGTGCTGGACTCGGACGACATTCCTCGGTTGTTTATTGGAGGCCAGCCGGTGGCTGGTTTTGGTGACATTATCAACAAGCACAACGACCAGGTGCTCACCCAGTTTTTCGCAGATGTTGGCCGGGGATGGGTCAAATTAGAGATATGATTAGATGATTAGATGAATATGTACCATAGGAAATGAAGGACGAGGCGGCATATTTGTAGTCGAACGGCTGGGGTTGTGTAATCGAACGGCTGGGGCTGTGTAATCGAACGGTAGGGGTTGTGTAATTTTAACGGCAGGGGTTGAGTAGTCTAATGGCAGGGGTTGTGTCATGAAACATACACCAACGATTAATCATAAAAGGACGAAGATAGGAGGAAGATGTGATACGAGTGATGATAATACGATAAATATGAGGATATGAGTGATGAGAAGAGTTGATGTCATGTACATAAGGTTTCTATTTAAGGTTGCAAACTGAATTAGAGTTGCTCATACTAGTTGATAAGATTCTCAATGCAACATCAAATTAAAGGCCTTCCTAGTCCACTATGGGTCAATTTGAAATCTCCCTGGAATTAGTATTTTTCACCAAAACTTCAAAGACTGTCAGCCATTAACAGGGTAAACCATAGGCCCATGAGAGCCAGGGTCTCTAGGTGCAAGTGGTTGCAAAGCAGAACGTTCACCACCAAAGAAACAATAACCCTCTTTCACAAGGCAGCATCGATTATGGTCGCAGTCACCATCCACTGCAACTTACATGCAAATCAGGCACCTTTCGCAATTTGCAACAATGCAACCATTATCAACTGGGCATTATCACAGCTCCGCGAAAACCTACATAAACCCTCCGCAAACCCACCAGTATGCCCAGTTCACAATGAAAAACTTGTTTGTCTTGTTGTTTGTGCTACAAGTAGTAGTTGCAGTGGTGGTAAATCCATTGCCCAAACCCATTAGTATTGAATGGGTTGACCAAAACTACAAGAGCTTCAACCCTCACTTGCTGCTTCTGAACAGCTCTCCCAACAGTTTTGTAGAAGACTATTTTAAAACAATGCTTGAAGTTATTAACCGGCTACAGTGGTACCCTGAGGCTATCGAGGGTCTTAGAATGCTGTATGAACCAGTGCCAACAGGCCCGCCCACAAACTCAAAGAGAGATGATGATTTGGATGAGCTTAAGGTGAATATTCTTGACGATGCTCCATTGCAATATGGAGTAGACGAGTCTTATACACTTGAAGTTAGTGATAGAATCACCATCACCGCTAATACTACGTGGGGTGCCTTGAATGGTCTCAAGACCTTACAACAGCTCGTCATCTACAAAGATGGACGCTTGATTATTGAAGGGTCAGTCAAGATCTCTGATTATCCCCTTTATTCCCACAGAGGGGTATTGATAGACTCAGCAAGAAACTACTTATCACTCGAGTCGATCAAGGAGAACATCGACATCATGGCCATGGCAAAACTCAACACTTTACATTGGCATTTGCTGGATACTGTGTCATGGCCTCTTGAAGTAAAAGCGTATCCCCAGATGATTAATGATGCTTATTCGCCAGAAGAATCCTATTCTCAACAAGACGTTTCCAACCTTGTCAAGTATGCGTACGCCAGAGGTGTCAGAATAGTTCCTGAAATCGAATTGGCCAGCCACGCCAATGCCGGTTGGAGACTAGTGGACCCTAAGATCATTTCTTGCGGAAAAGGCTTTTGGAACGTGGGAGACATTGCTACTGAACCGGCACCGGGCCAGCTTGATATTGCTGGTAACAAGACGTACGAGGTGGCGAAGACGATTTTTAGAGAGGTTAACCAGTTGTTTCCTGACTACACATTTCACGTTGGTTATGACGAATTGCACAAACCTTGCTCCGACTTCTCCAATGACGTATGGGAATGGTACGAGCAGAATGGGTTTGGCCCTGCTGGTAGTGACGAAGGTTATGCTAGTCTTGTGCAATATTGGACCGACCGTCTGTTCAAGTTTTTATCCGAAGACAATACAACACAAGTGATGATGTGGGAAGACCTTATTACCAACTATGCTGCCAAACCTCCTAAACAGAATTCTTTGATCCAAGTGTGGTTATCGGTAGAAAGTATCAAGAACATAACTTCGAAGGGCTACGATGTGATCTTATCTCCCTACGATCAATACTACTTGGACTGTGGATTTGGAGAATGGGTCACCAACAACCCGAAAACAGCTGGATCGTGGTGTGATCCTTATAAGACCTGGGAAAGCCTCTACAGGTTTGATCCCATGATGAATTTGACTGAGCTGGAAGTGAGACATATAAAGGGCGCCGAAGTGGCCTTATGGGGCGAGGTAGTTGATTCCAGTAACTTGGTACAGAAGATCTGGTCCCGGTCCGCTGCTTTTGCCGAAGTGTATTGGAGTGGAAATAAGGACGAAAACGGTGATATTAGAGTTTACGACTTTACTCAGAGAATGTTCAACTTCAGACAATACTTGTTAGCGTTGGGCTATAGGGTAGATCCTTTGGCACCACAGTACTGCTGGAGAAACCCCCATGCGTGTGATATTTCTATATAGCCGTACTCCCGATTATATGTTTTTGACCCAAGTTGTGTAGATCTGTTTGTGTAAACAGTAACTGGCTTCGATAGGCTGCGAAACATTTCCTTTTTCTGTTTGCAAATGCGAACTCGAATTTAGAATTATTCGATGAGCGACATGGACTTAGCAAAATATATTGAGGAACTCGAGCTAAATGCTACCGGGTTTGACTCCAAGATCACACAAATTGGATCTATGGTAACCCAACTGATTAGTGAACCCGAAATCCGTGTGGTGTTACGTTCAAAAACAGCCAAACTTCAGAACCTAATTATCCCTGCTTCTGATGACATACAATACTTAAGACTCTTCAGAGGAGTACTTTTGATAATTCGAAACTTGGTGATAGAGACCAACGACTTTGAGATTGAGACCATTGCCACCAGCTTGGAACAGTTCCAAAGAGTGGTGCCATCCTCCAACGAAATGTATACTAAAACGGTTATCGTATACTACCAGATATTTGCTAACATATCACAGACTAAACAACCTCAGTGCATACATACTTTAACTAAAATAATGAAGTTTAACGATAACACAGAGCACCCAGTTCTTGTGACACTATCCAACTTATTCAAAAACGACCAGAACATTTATGACATGCTTTACAACGACTATGGCATTGAGACAATGAGGCATTTGACAAACTTTGAGGTAACCGAACACCCCAATGAAATCGAACGGCTATATCTCGAGATATGGGAGAAAGTGGTTGCCCACGAGAGCTTCAGTAAGTGGATCGTCAAACATGACGACGAGAAGGTACTCAAAATCTGTCAGATCGTGATCACCTCGAAGGATAATTGGAACAACTCCCAGCTTCTTGGGATTTTGAGCTGGCTCTTTGAGATGTTCAAGTTCTTGAACGGCGTGGCTGTTGCATCACTCAACAACAAAGACCTTGACTCTCTTGGAGCAGTACACCCCAAGCTTTTAATGGTGTTGGACTGTGTCAGCGAGTTGAGTAAATTCAACATAGCCAAAGACTTTCTCATAAACTACGAGATGGTCAACTTGCTCATACCGTTGCTTCGAGTGGTTCATGAGAGCATCGAACCAAAGAATATGATGAAGAACAAGAACCAAATCATAGAGTTCCCCCATATCAAGTCCATTATCATCGAGATCCTCTCGTATTTAACGTTTGAGAACTTCAAGATCCAGGAGCTCATTCGAGAACTTCACGGAATTGAGGTCATTTTATCAAGTTGCGTTATTGACGATAGTAATCCGTTCATGAAAGAAAGAGCGATCATTTGCTTGAAATACTTATTATATAAAAACGCACAAAACCAGGAGTTTGTGGCCTCGTTAGAAGCCAAGAAACTGGTGGATAGTCTGCTTCTTGAAGAAGCCGGATACCAAGTTAGCATCAACAACAGTGGAAAATTCGAATTGATTAATGGTTCAAGATCTCGATGATCTTGGATTTGACCTTTTCCAACGACGCTTCGTCAATCAAGTTGATTCTCTTTTCCTTGGTGGAGAGAGCCTTCAACTCGGCTGGTAATACCTTATCTTCGAACGAGTAACCATCAATGCCACTCAAAGAAGCATTCACCACCTCTGCGAACTTGGCAGGATGGGCAGTAGACAACGAGATATAGTTCTTTTTAGAGTCTTTAGCAATGAAACTTAATGACGTAGCAATGCCCACAGCCGTGTGAGGATCTAATACGTAGTTTTCTGGGTGGGTAGTGTAGATATTCTTGATGGTAGCACCGGTTTCAACATCGTCCACTGCTTGAGAATCAAAGTCTGCTCTTGCAGCCACCAACACCTCAGGTTGGGCGGTGATGGAGCCGGAAGTCTTCAATTGTGACATCCAGGTACTCAATATTTCCCCGGCTTTGTTATCATCTTTGGTGACGGTGTTTCTGACGAGGTACCATAACAATCTTTCAAAGTTAGAAGAAATTAAGATATCCATGGCAGGAGAGTAGGTGGCCTTAACTTCACCCGACTTTTCGTACCGGCCAGTCTTCAAGAATCTGTCCAAGATGTCGTTGTTGTTTGTGGCAATGATCAACTTGTCTGCTGGCAACCCCATTTCCTTAGCAAAATAACCAGCCAAAATATCTCCAAAATTACCAGAAGGAACCACAAACCTGACGGGCAAATCCGACTGTTTCAGCACCTGGAAGTAACTATAGAAGTAATAAGTCATCTGGGCCAAGATCCGTGCCCAGTTGATGGAGTTGACGGCTCCCACATGGTATGTTTCGTTGAACTGCTTATCACCAAACACCTGTTTGACGATATCTTGACAGTCATCAAAAGTACCCTTTACCGACAAAGTATGGACATTTTTGTCCTCCACTGTAGTCATCTGCTCTTCTTGGATGGGGGAAATTCTGCCGGTGGGATACAAAATAAACACATCCACATCCTTCTTTCCTCTCAACCCATATATAGCAGCACTTCCAGTATCACCACTAGTCGCACCAACCACGGTGATGGTCTCTCTGGCATCACCCTGCTTGCCGTCATTTCTTCTCTTCAAAAAAAACTCAAACAAGTTACCTACAAACTGCAAAGCAACATCCTTAAACGCATAGGTAGGTCCATGAAACAATTCCAACAAGTATAAGTTTTTGGACTTGTCAAGCACTTTAACAGGGGTGACCTCGTCAGATCTGAAGGTAGAATATGAACGGGTAATCAAGTCCTTCAACTCGGTGTCGGAGATCTCGCTGGAAGAGATGTATAATCTCAAGATATTAAAGGCGAGTTCTTGAAACGTGCAATCCTTCCAGTCGTCCAAAAAGGAGGCTGGAAGTTGGGGGATGGTCAGCGGTACAAACAACCCGCCATCGGAAGCCAATCCGGTCATGACAGCATCCTCGAATGAGACCGCCTGGTCCACTGCCGAACGGGTGGATCTGTAAGTTTGGGAAGCCATGGTTGGTGTGTGTGTGGAGTGAAAAATTCGCAGTTAGTCATAAATCACGGTGCGCTTCCGGCGGATTGGGCTGCCGGTCGTGCGTGCAGACATCGCGGTTTTGTGGAGGACCAATTTTCAACCTTCAGGTTACAGCAGAATGAGACAAATGGTACGACGGGCTGTGTGGACGTCGGGTAGGGCCGTACAGCGAGGAATGGAGACGGCGACGGTGGCACGACTCGCTAGTGGTGGCTACGATGAGGCCCGGCTCATCTGCAAAACAATTGCCAGTACTTCTCGCGGCCTCAGTGACAAAGCTGACCATGACACATCTTGTAAGTCAGGCACGCTTACGGGCTTGGTAAACCATTTTGATGGGACCAGCACCTCCATAGGGTACGGCTCTGGCGTGTTTGAGCAGGCGGGCTACGGCAGTGGCTCCAGGCCGCAGATCGACCTAGTTCACGTGGTGGATTCCACCAGTGCATTCCACCGCCAAAACCTTAATAAGTATCCACACCACTACTCAGCCTTAAAATACCTTGGTGTGCGTGCCATTGACTGGGTGCAGCTGTGGGGGCCCGGGCTCTACTTTATGCCATTTGTGCACATGGATGGTCACGTGATCAAATACGGTATTGTGAGTGAATCGACCGCCATTCAAGATATCGTTGAGTGGCGGAATATGTTCCTTGCGGGACGGCTCCAAAAGCCGGTACGCTTCATTGGCGGTGACGGAACCCTTGCCAAGCTAAATGAGTATAATCTCCACAGTGCGATGGTGGTTGCGGTGTTATTACTCAACACCTCCAACTTCACCAAAACCGCACTTTACGAGACCATTACCCTGTTGTCATACTTAGGCGATCCGCGGATGTCGGTGGGAGGAGAAAACCCCAACAAGGTAAGAAATATTGTCAGCAAACAATATGATAGGTTTGACCGGATTTATGGACCGGTTTTGAACGGTTTGAAATCCAGACAGTTGCTACAGATCGACGAACCAGCGGGCCAGATCCGCGTCACAATTGGATCCCATTCCCGTCATGAGCTCCTTTTACAATTGCCCAAACATTTTCGGCTGGTTTTGCAAAGCAACAGTGGCCAAACACTTGCCCAACTTGCACAATCTCCGCAACTTCAACATCAAATGGCACAGGCGTTACGCAAAACTGTGTCATACCCCGCGGTGGTACAAAGCGCCAAAGGCCTTATCACTGCAGGCATCTACAAGAGCATTTCGTATCTTATCCAAAAGCGGATTAAATACTTACGAGGGTGAATTTGGAGTTGACACCAAACTGACAGCTTAATAAAACAAAGTGTTTCAGGCGCGTGTAGCGAGGCGGTGAGTTTATTAGCCGGTGTGCTTGACCTAGAGGTAGGAAGAACAAAAATAATATATCGGGGCTGAACATCTATAAGCAGGTCGAAGATCTTTCTGCATAGGCTGAATAGGGAATGCTCGCACCCAGATATTTTAAAGTTGCTCACTGATTGGGGAATACGGTTAGTAGCCTACAAGTTTATTGCGAAGATCCCAGTTGCTGGAGGCTCGGTCAGGGCGAGCATCAAAATAACCAAAATTTAGCCAGATCGCCGTGGCAAGGCTTGCAAACCATAGCTAGTTATTAGTCTCATTTGCCGCCGCGGGCCAACATCTTTTTAAAACCGATGAGAACAATACCCAAAAATGCGGCGCTTGATAATGGATGGAGCAAATCGAAAACAAAGTGTGGTTTCACTGCATAGGAGATCCCCAGTTCTTTATTCATATGTTGTATTTATTAGATTATGCATCTTTGTTGCTTATGCATGCAGTAAAAGAGAAAAAATAAATCGACCGGGACCTCGGATCGGGCTTCAAACGCGCCCAGTGTCTGGTCTGGTAGATAGCACATTATACATTATTCAATTCATTAATCACTAATACCTATTTACTCAGAAAACCCTTATCAAGGATCTTTAATGTTTCATTATCACCAATACGAGTGGTGGGAGATTTCTTCCCTCCAGCTACCGTAGAAGCATATATCCCCCCCACGACTTCTGGAGCCTTAGAGCGAGGAATCGCTGGGAATCTGTCGAGATGTGAATGTTGATAGGCCTCTGGCACCGAGGCATCCACCGTGTTCCCGGTGGAATAAAAATACCCGGGATAGACCGAGTATTGATAGTATGGCAGCTGTGGGGGGAGATACTGGCCCTGTTGGGTAGGATAGTGGTATTGTTGAGGCTGATGGGCTTGAAACAGTGGGTGCGGGTGCGGTTCGGCCACCGTTACCGGCAGACCTTGTACCAGTGAACGCATGGTCCGCAAACCCATAAGAGACTGGTACGGTATGTTGGACACGCTGGGTGAGTGGTTCACTGGGAGCTGTGTGGGCGTAGGACCCGAAATCGATGAAGGTGCTGACATGGCTGATGGAGCCAGAATTGAAGACGGGGCCGATACGGGAGCCACGCCAGCCGGGGCCAAGCCGGGCTGGTAGTACGACACCGCGTATGGATAGCCTGAGTACATCAACACCGGTTGCTCAGCCTGCTCATAGTTCAGGTACTGGTCGTAGTACAATAAATATTCCTGGTAGATGTTCCCGTTCAACTTCAAATCCTTTAAACGAGGGTCTGTCGATGGACACGGAATATCAGCATCTTCGATGTCTTGGTAGTAACCGATTAAATGGAGTTTTTCGTGTTGCTTGGTGGTTAAGGAAAAGCTCTGCTTAATAAGACCATTTTTTTTGATTGTTGCCTTGTCGGAATCCAATTCTTTATAAACCAAAAATGGACCAAGGACTTTGGAAGCAGACCAGTTCTTACCGTCGGTCCACCGCTTCATACCACATTCAGTTTCGTTCCAAGCGAAGACGGTGTTGGGCTTGATAAATTCCCGTTCAAGGCCATTAAGACGACGTTTGATTTTAGGAAGGTAGCCAAGCCGAGATCCTTCAAGGATGAGCAAAGCGTCTTTTAAGGTTTTGATGCGCCCATTGTAGGTTTCAATCTTGAGGTTTCGGGGATTAGCCTGATTGTTGAGCTCTGGGATTATATACATGTAATCGATGTATATAATTGGTTTTTTAGCGGATTTGGGAATTTTGAAAGTGTCTCGTAATAGATAGGAGAGTTGGACTTCGGGTGATGGGGGTGAGACAGTATAATGACTAAGCTGATGAACTCGGACAGAAAATGGGGGAACTTGGGGAACCGTAGTTGTAGCTAAAGAAAATAAGGGTCAGAGCCGCAGTTGTCTGGTTTTCAAATAGTTTCTTCACAAGTACAAAGCAATGGTTGCTTGATACAGTCGGTGTGCTATTGTTACAAACCGGAGTTGAAGTGAGCAAGCAGAGTAATCCTTAATACGTGTATCAGGTTTGAATGGAACTCTAGTTTAATTTAAGAACAAGCTCTGCAGGGGCAAATTACTAAACAGCTATTCAGGGCTTTCAATTAGTTTAATGACAACGGATATAACGGAGTTGAGTCCAGGAATGTATTTCGATGAAAGGCGATAATAGCCTTTGGAACAATAAATTGAGGTTGAAAAAAAAGACTCCAGGATCTACAGGGGAATATCAATTAATATTTATAGAGGTATTTGTTTTGCATCAAGGTTGAAAGGTGCCTACAGGTTTAATCGCAGTTAAATGAACTAAAAATATTGAAAAAAAAAACAAGCATTTTAATTCATTTTAAAAAATAGAAATTTAAATTGTCTTGAGCGGAAAACAACACAAGAAAAAGAAATAAAACAATTCCTATGGTACAGCAACGTATAAGCCTGGCCACGTATGCGCCATATCCCCAATCTTGCATTTAATCAAGGTGAGTCCTTTATGTGATGTATAATTTGCCTTGCTTCGAAAGTAGTAACTTAAGTCTTTGGGGATGTACTAGTGGCATGATCATTTTTTAGGGATGCGGGCGGACCTTCATTGTTTTTTTGTAAAGTGAGTCTCCATTAATGAATTCACCAGTCCATGATCATGCATGTGTGTCTGAAATCAACTTGTCTATCCATCAAGATTCGTAAGCATTGATAAACCGCTAACCTCAAAAAATAAAATTACATTATAAATAAAAAAAAACAGACGACAACTACGAAGGAGTCACAACACTTATTCCGCTCTCACCAACACGAATTTTTCTATTTTGATAAACAAATTGACATGCATACATTGCCCTGTTCTTTCAGTCTAGCAATAACTAAGTGTTTATTCAGCAGCTGAATGATCCGCCTAAGCAGCAAGGGTAAGCTAAATTTAGACTTAATCTGGCAGGCGTTTTGGAAGAGATACACCTGCAGGGTATGGGGATGCGATAGAAACCTTCGGGAGTGTTACAGGGATCTTCTATTGGTAACTTCCTGACTTTCTACACTTCAAACTATCTGTTATAGTGTGTTTTGTATTTTTACGAGTCAGGTAAACAATAAAATACTAGCGGATTTAATTTTTTTGGCTACATCGATTATTGTCTAAAAACCTATTAACCTGTGGGCTTTTGCGTTGAAGGCACGCGCACACAACTGCCCACTGAGATTCTGCACGTTTCCGACTTCCTCTAAGAAGGAGCTGAAATTATGGCAATTTCATGGCTAAAAAGTACATTGTAGACGGCAACTGGCCAGGCTGTATACTCACTAGTGTACAACCTCCTAAACTTAAGTGATCCCATAACCGCCCTTCTCCGGATGCGGGATATGTAGAGTTGCAAAAGCTGTAAGGCATAAAATAAAAATAGGAAAATAAAACTCCTACATTTGAGTTAATTTAAAAATCTCAAAGTAGAGTATTTTTTTCCTGATCGCTTTATGTTGCACTTTTAAGCTATTGTTTTGGAAAAGGAAGTATTCATCGGCTTTTCTTATTTCATTCTTCATGTTGAGCGAACAACTAGTGGGGACGTGGTCACAAGTTTGGCAGCGTGGTTTACAAGACTTTTTGCCCACCTCTACAAAGCGCTACCAACCATCGAATGAAATTTGACGGCTTTTTCCGCAGTTACTAACCCTTTATAGTCTTCAATGGCTGGAGGCACAATTCTGAGGCACAGGTACAATTCTGAGGCTCAAGCGCGCAGCACAATAGTTCATAAGGAGGCGATCATACAAAAGGCCAATATTGGAATACAATGTCTATCGTTGCCCACCCTAATGTTCAAATGACCAATACATCACCAGTTAGCGCCTTATAAAATAGGGGCTTGCAGCCTTCCGGTGCATCCTCCATATGGGTCTTATTATTTATTTGGTTTTGAGGGTTGGAAATCAACTTGAGGCGGCCGGAATCTTGGGCGCGCCTGTTAGTTTATGCATACATTAGAGACGCTAGGTTACCAGCACGCGTTTGCCTTGCAAAAATACGGCTGCTTCCGCGCACGATGATGCCATGGTGCTGACCTTGCCCTAGGCTTTTAATGGCAACACCAGGATAGGAAATTCTTTTGTTTTTGAGGTTGATTTCTAAACCCCTTGAAATTGTGGATTATACTTTACCTTGAAGCACATGTCAAATCTGAAGTTTGAAAGCACCTTTACTGCAATGATGAATATTCCAGTCTCCTGGTCAACCTGTAGAATCATACGATTTTTTGCAGTAATTTTGCCACTAGGCATAGTGAGTTTCAGGAATGGGAGGTTCAAATAATATTTCCAAGCGTTGGCTGCAACATAACCACCCGCCCTGGTATTGCCCACCATAAAAAAACACATTCCCAGCGGCATGACCTAAATAGCTGCACTAAAGAATACGTCAATCAGAGTATGACCGTTATTATATTTCCTTTTAGAGCAAGTTTGATAAGAAGTCGACATCGATTTGGTCAATCCATGCACTGTGTCGATCACATTTGAACGGGTATCAAACCGATGATTATAAAAACGGTGACGTTAGGTTCATTTAGAGGTGGGGTTCCCAGGGAGTTGCGAGAGGGGCTCGCCGGGCTTCCGCCGATAGCTTCGGTGATCCGGTGGTACGGGCACGTCTCTCTCTAACGCTTCGCGATTGTTCGCACAAACTCTCCCATCACCAGCATGGCCAAGAGAGAATCAAACTCAGAGTCGGAGGCCAAACAGCCCACACGCGGAGTCCGGGCGCGGACAGCCCAACAACAGGCACAACAAGAGTTCCTATCCAAGCACATCAATTCGAACGGACCCCAGGATAAAGTGAAGATTGATCCACTAGACTTTAATGCGTTTACGGCTGACGAGCTAAACAACTATTCAAAGCGGTACAACTTGGGATTCCCCGAGTGCCAGAGCTTGAAATTGGACGTATTGAACTCCGAGATCGGCAAGAAGACGTTGAGCTCCAAGAAACACAATAAGGGGAAGCGGACTGAAAAGATTGAAAAGTACGAGTTGTCACATAACTTGAAACAGCACTTTTTGAGTCTGCTGGTGAAGGAGAATGAGGTGATTACCAATTTTTTGTACAAGGTGCGTAATGACGATAAGGATTTTAAGTTGGAGTTTAAGTAGGGTAGTGATTTACGTTTTATGAGTGCTGTAGATAGTACGATGTATGTAGATGGAGATGTGCATGGAGATTATGAACAGAATGTTATACAAGTCGTATGTACACCTCTAAGGTGGCTCTAAGGTGGCTCTACAATGACTCTAACCCGGTATAGTCCAAGATATCTATGATATCGCAACAGCTTCATCTCATCTAAAACGCTCGCCAACCGCGTAAAACTCGCACCCAATTTCTCACTCATCAATGGAAACCTCAACCATAATCTTTGCGGCCACGCTTGTAGTAGCGTTTGTGTTCCTCCGGTGGCTCATCACCCCCATTCCCCACGCGACCCCCCACGAGATCGAGGAAGTCCGCCGCTCCTACAACCCGTCGTCGCATACTTCTCAGACTTCCTTTTCCAACGGCAACTCCACTCCCACCACTCGTTCCAGACCTTCTACCCGTCAGGTCACTGACTCGATGATCGAAGTGGTCCAAGCCATCGCCCCCCAATTGACCCCCGGGCAAATCCGCTACGATTTGGAGTCCTCAGGCTCGGTAGAAGATACGGTTAATCGGTACATGGAAACCGGATCATTACCATTCCCACCAGGCGAATCGGCCCCAGCGCCACCACCAGCCGCTACCGACGCCGATACCTCCGCCCACAATATCCCACCCAGCACCGTATCGTTCAACTTGCTAGAAAAGTATGGTATTGATCCTGCTGAAGGTGAAGAAGGTTCTGCCGATGCCGGTTGGGGCTCGAACAAACAAGAGAGAACGACGCAGTTGCAAAGAAAACGGCAGCAGATGATTTTGAATGCTAGAAAGCGGTTGGCGACGCTGTTGGCCAACGACTTGGAAGAGCATTTGTAGGGGAGAGGATTAAAGAGTGAAGAACCTAAAGGTAGTTAGAATCCTCGGTTTGTATTGTGAATATAGTGTCCTCAATGTCAGTAGACAGGACTGTATGTTTCTGTAGGCGGTGCTTTCCGTGGGCAGGTGCTTTTCGTAGGCGGTGCTTTCCGTAGACGGTGCTTTAGGTGCTAGAACAGAATTCTAGATGCTAAGCGTGTGCTTCCTTAGTGTGTCTCCAAATCCACCGTCTCCACGGGTGTCGGAGCCACCCGCTTCTTCTCCTTCTTTTTCGTCTGTAGTAGGTTGATAATCGACGGGCCGGGCGACTTGTCCGGAGTCTCCAGACTTTTTTCTGGACTCGCTGGCTCGGGTGTGTCAACCACCTTCGTTTCCACCGCGATTCTCACCTCAGCTGGAGGCGATGGGTGTACTAAATCTACAACCTTCCCGAAAATACCCTCATCAAACCTTACTACCAGACAAAACCCATCAGCACTGCTCACCATGATCCGCTGGCCATCGCGGTCCCACGCCAAGTCGGTGATGGTCGAGTAATGCACGTTCAGCACCACTCCCAAGGGCTCGAGCCGCTCGGTGTCATACACCACCACCGAGTCCTGTGTTACCACCGCAAACACCATTTTGTAGGCAAGGTCAAACACCGCCGTGGGCGTCAGCCGCTCGTACACCAACGGCAGAAACTGTACGGCCACCGCCGGCCGCTTGAGCCCCGGCAAATGTACCACCGGTCGGTGGAACGCAGTACGAACAGATATGTACACGGTATTCGTCTCGTCATCGGCTTCAGGCCGGTACACCCCTGCCGCCGTAGCCAAGAGGTTCCCGTCTGGAGAGAATGCCGGACGGCGGAAGAACGACTGGAGTGTCTCCAGGTGGTAAAGACCAGCATGTTTGGTGGTAGCAGTCGGGTCCTCACTAAGCCGTTTACCTGGCACATCGGCCTTATACAGCTTGTAAGTTTCTGTGACAAATAGAGAATTTTCGTCATGGTCTTCGCCAAGCTCGTACAAGCACATCCCACAGTCGGCGGCCTGGCTCGCCACGTACTTCCCGAGGGGATCCCACGCGAGTCCTTGGATATAGTGATTGTGCACAACCGCTTGGTGCACCATTAGTCCCAGTTTCACGTCGTAGAACCGCACCGCGTGGTCCATCAGCCCCGCAGCCACGTACCGGCCACACGGCAGCCAACACACGTCGTAGATTTCCAGCGTCAGTGCCCGCATCGCCGTGCGACACGTCCATGATTCGACGGCCCCATCGTCTTCTTCACCAAACTCCCGTACTAGCGTCGGCGAGAGTGTCCATATGAGCACGGTGCCATCATCGCCCGCGGTAGCAAGCTGCGTGCCATCGGGACTAAACCGTACACAATTAACTGCTTGGGTGTGCTTATTTAAAGAACTGAGATATTGCACTGGAGACTTGTCGTTTTGTGGAGAGAGTCTCCAAATACGCACATTATTATCGCCTCCACCGGTGGCAAGACGCGGCGACGGCGACGTCTGCCCCACCTCCGGCTGGAACAGCACCGAGTACACCGGCTGATTGGCATCATGCCAGTGGACGGTGATGGTGGATGAGTTCATGTTGTTACAGTATTAAGAACGCGAAAACTGCTAGTAGCGCGAGCAAGTTTTGTGCGCAGAGGCAATGAGAGAGAACTCAACATATGGCACCCACCATAACCAAAGGTATAAAAGGCGAAAGCGAACCCACATTGAATGGATTCAGCTCCAATGCCGGAAACGGCCACAATTCAATGTTATGTGGATCACACTTTTTTTGGTGCTTTATCTTCCCAATGCCCTCTGGTCCTGTGGCTTTTTGCAACTTCGCGCTGGCTTATCTCGCAAAACCACTTATCCCTTCAACTCATACCTCATGCCAGAAACATACGCCTTCATCGACGCAGAAGATATCCTCTCATGGGACGAACTTTCCACAGATGATGAGCACCCGGTGATTGCACCCGTGCAATCCTCGTCTCAAAACTCGCCTTCTACGTCCACTTGTCATAAGTACCTCGAATTTACAGATATGAATCCTACTACTTTCCATGTGGTCCGCCACTTTGCCAAACTCCTTGATGACAACGGATTTGTGTTCATTGATGAGCAAGAACCCATAACTCCCGAGTTGGAAGCCCAGATCAATGCGGGGGGCAAGTTCTACACCCTTCGTTCCGACTTGACAATTCTTCCGTTTGTCATTGGAGGCAAGTGGACCGCCACCCAAGGTGTGGGGCTTGCCGGGTGCCACATCGATGCCTTGACCGCCAAGCTCAAGCCGCTGAGCTTGAAGCCAAAGGTCGATGGATATGAGCTTTTGGGTGTAACAGGATATAGTGGAGGGTTGGACCATCTTCGTCTCGACCGAGACTTGGGACTCGGTGGGGCCGTTCTCATACGCCGCAAGGACGGTACTTACGCCCGAAAATTGGTAACATCTCCATGGCCAATTGCCCGGGTCCCGTCTCTCGCAGAGCATTTTGGTGTGGATGCAAAGTACAACCCCGAGACAGAAATGGTACCGGTTATAGGGTTTGACACCGAGCCTGAAGTCCCAATTGACCATCCCTTAGCTGACCGGCACCTGGCGAAGCTCTTGCGGTACGTGAGCTCTATCTCTGACGTTCCGGTGGACGATATTGTTGAGCTTGAACTTGAACTTTACGATACGCAAAAGGCCGTTATTGGGGGGCTTAAGGGAGAATTTGTGTTTGCCCCACGGTTGGATGACCGTTTGTGTTCCTGGGCTGCCATATATGGGCTTATTGAATACGCCAATTTGTATGATTCCGATTCGTTAGCTGCTCACGACGGTTTGAGTATGGTTCTATTGGTCGACAGTGAGGAAATTGGCAGTGGCACCCGTACGGGAGTGAAGGGCAAGTTTCTCAATGCCACCATCGACAAAATCCTTGTGATCAAGAAACAGCCTCCAGTGCAGTCGGTGGTTTTTGCCAACTCGATACTTCTTTCGGCAGATGTAACGCATTTGATGAACCCCAATTTCAAGTCGGCATACTTGGACAAGCACTATCCGTTGCCCAACACCGGGATGACGATCAAAATCGATGCCAACGGTCATGTGGCCAGTGAGTATGTAGGGTATAACTTATTGAAGACACTCACCAGTCAGAACCAATTGAAGCTTCAACAGTTTCATATCAGAAACGACGCCAGTCTGGGAGGCACCATTGGACCATATTTGGCGACTGCTACGGGTGCAAGGGTTATCGACATTGGTCTTCCCATATTGTCGATGCACAGTGTCCGTGCCATGTGTGGACTGGAGGATGTACAGAATGGAGTGGACTTTTTCAAAGCATTTTTCGAGGGATGGAGGCAAGAGTACAACAAGTACAGGGGGTTATAGAGCATGTGTCAACTGGCATATTCTACGAGCGTACAAATCAAATATTAAAGGCCCAAGACACCACTCAGTAAAACGACAATTCTATGAAACCAACTATTATTGGTAATATTCAGACTCCTATCAACTCACAAGCACCTTGTCTACGTAATGGTATTGATACCGTTACACCCGATATTTCAAACGTCTGTCACCTCACGTTACAATCCATACGCAACAATGTCGATTTGCTACATAGCTACTACTATTCATTCATCATTAATTACTCATAAACCCATCACACACTGCCAACAACAGCCGTAGCAAACATCAACGACCCCAATATCACGTACAACTTGACCGTAACCATATCAAGAGTGGCAGCCGCACTGTTATCTTCTAATGAGCCTGAGTTTCCCAGTGAACTGGAAGCAGCACTGCTACTGGTGGTATCGGCCGCCGAACTTAATATCGAGTCACTGGCACTCTCCAACGTTAACGTTTGTGGCAGCGACGAGTATTCACCGATTTGGTCCATTGAGTAATTGCTCTCGTCCAATAACAACCCGTTATCACTGCTGACAGCCTGGTTCTTCAACTGGTCGGCAGAGGAAATGAGTGCAATGTTGGTGACACGCAGCAAGTCTTCCAAGCTGGACATGGTGGGTGTCAGTAAAGATGTGGAGTCGATTAGTAAACTCATTGGAAAATACGTGTGTTGATAATTTTATGTAATGCAAATATAGGAAGTAGATCAGGAATTATAAGATCCCTAGGCGAGGTGATTTCTAAATGATGGACACAGTGGGACTGTTAATTAGGGAGTAGAAAAAAGTATGTACATTTGTTATTCAAGGGGTATGTTGATGAATTTATACTCAGGAGGAAATGATTAAGGTACAAAAAGTTTTTCTATTGTTGAAAGTGTCCCTGAGTGGTGGCTGTATGCACACACGCCGATCCTCCGCAGTTATAAAGGGGAATTGGTTCGCAGCCCCCGTGTACCTGTTCGTCTGCCTGCAAGCACATGCGAGTTCCAGCGCGTTATTACATCACATTAAGTCCGACGTTGGAATTGAATTTCTGTCATTGGATACATCTAATTATCCATCACCCGTGTCAGGCTTTAATGCAGCTCTTCTCACCGGGCACCTTCAACCCCTACTGTTGTAACAACTTTCTATGTATTTGTTCTCGGTCCTCCGGTCCTGGGTTTGGGTTAACAATGTAACGCGAGTTGTGCAACAATAGCCCCTACACGATCACATCACAATGTCCCAATTAGGAACATAATCTGTCGGCTGTTTACAGTGCTACGTCATAATTCAATGGGGGGTTAGATTATATTATTGTTACACACATTATTATATATACAATTATTGTTTAATCGTCCTCTCTCTCACTGGCCTTTTTCATCCGAGCTATTTTAACCAATGGCGACAACAGACTAACATCGTCACTTTCAACAATAAACTTATCATTTAACAATTGGTCAGCGTCAGCTCGCTTGTTGAAGTCCACCTGTAAACACCACGACAAGAACTTGCGAATATCGTAACTCAAAGCTTCGGGTTCTTTTAATTTGGGGGTACCATTGGTGGCTATCAAGTACAATGCTCTCAAAGGAGTCTCATTCAAGTAAGGAGGTTCACCTTCGATCATCTCAATCATCATGATTCCCAAAGACCAGATATCCACCTTGGGCCCATATTCCTTTCTGCTGACCACCTCGGGGGCCATCCAATAGGGGGTACCCACCATGGTTGTTCTCTTGAGGTTGATCTCGTTGATTTGAGCACAGAACCCAAAATCGGTCATTTTGATGTTTCCATCAATGTTCAACAAAATGTTGTCACTCTTGATATCTCTGTGGATGACACCTTTGCTGTGCAAAAATTTCAAGCCTTTCAAGGTTTCTCGACAAACAGCTCCAATCTGGCCCTCGGTCATCACACTGTGGGTGACGATTTCGGTTAACGATCCTCCTTCCATGTACTCCATAACCACCCATAAGTCGCCCTTGTAAAGGTAAGAATCAATGAAGTTCACAATATTGGGATGCTTACTACCCTTCATGACAAGAATCTCATTGATGATCAATTCTTTCTTGGGCTGCTGTTCTAAGTTCATCTGCTTAATGGCAACCGTACTGGACTTGTTACTGACTTCGTGTGCAATGTAAACCCCTCCGCTAGCTCCTTGTCCGACCTTCATCAAATCGGTATACAAGGTGTTGGGGTCTCCCTTCGTACAAATGCTTTGCAACTTAGCCAAGATCTGTTGGTTCTTGCGCTTTTTGTCTTCTCTCTTCTTCTGAGCTATCAACGCAGCCTGTTTGGCATCCCTCACCGGGTTCTTCTTCTTATCAGCTGCGCTAGTATCTTCTTCCCGCCTGGATTTAATCTTTGTAGGAGACTTCAAGGCAAGTTTGGGAGGTGAAGAAACTGGCTCCGATACTGTTGTGGGGGTTGTCACTTGAGGTTCCACGGCCTGAGAAGGAGGTGGAGGTGGAGGTGGAGGTGGAGGTGGAGGTGCCCTAGGCTTTTGAATGTGCTTGCTGGTCTGCAGTGGAGGTGGTGGAGGAGGCCTGTGTCCTTTGAGATTTTTGGCAGAAAAATCGTCAAATTTGGAGCTTGACGTGATAGGTGCCGTGGTCGGGCCCTTCTTTGTTTCCACTGGTTGAAGTTTCGAAACCAAAGAATTGTTATGAGACTTAGACTTGGGGATCGAACCTTGTGGCTGGACCTGTGGGGCTTGTGACTGGCCTGTTGGGAATGGCACCGAGATTTTACTGCCATCACTGAACTTTCGGGAGTTCTTCAAAGACTTCAACGACTTTGATGAAAACGACCGTCCGTTAAACAAAGACTTTCCTCTGGGAGAAGTTTGAGAGCTTGGAGACACAGGAACATTGGCGTGTTGTTCGGGAGTCACAGCCGTCGATGTCGACGTCATCGAAGGCGTGGATCCAGGTGGTGGGGGGCGGGGAGCGGGTCTCGATGGGATAAACTGGTGTTCGTATGCAGCCGGGACAGTGGTGTTTGCATTCACACTGCTACTACGGCTCCTGTGATCTTGCAGAGGCGTCAGGACATTGCGAACACTTCCACTCAGGTTCTGGTTCGGTACTGCTCCGGGGGTGCCTGGAGGTGTGATAGAATTGTTCACAGATGAGGCTGAAAAGTTGCGATCATAGTTGAACTTCTTGAAGGCATTTTCGTCTGAATTCTCGTTATTGTCCTGGTAAAACGCCACAATATCCATGACCGCTTGTGGATGTTGCAACTGTTCCGTCTTAGAGATCCCACTAGCACTCAATAACCTCTCCCATTCAATGGGAAGACCCGTGTACGTTCCGTCATCGTCCACACCCACATGGGCCACATGTTTGGCATTGAAAGGTGTACTTATCTTCATGTTGACACTGGTAGCGCTAACCTCGGGAGATGCTACCAGCTTGTTCTTCGTGAACATGTTGCTGAACACCTTGAACCCACTCTTACGTTTCCGGCTGCCATTGGAAACAACCGAACTGGAACGAGGAGACGAATTGATGGAATCTCGGGCGGTAATTCCCATCCCTAAGTGTTCGCGAGGACTCGAGGTAATTGAGCCGGGCGTGGTGCTAATGCCTGGGCCGTACCGGGCATTTTGATTCAATACAGGCGTCATGGCCGCCGTCTGGTGGTACGACTGGTTGGGAGTCGTCACCGAAGAGCTGTAGGTCGAGTGTTTTGGAGTTTGCAAATGATAAGGCACCGGTGGCGGTGGAGGAAGCTGTGGGCTGCGGATCACCGTGGCATCGGATAACACCCGTTTCTGTTCATTCGCCTGGTCGATGGCTCCGGCTCCATCATTGGGTTCAATTGTATCTTGGCTGACTTCCAACGTATCATCTCCAACGTTCTCTTTGTCATCAAAGTCATGGCCATGGCCGTTGGCCATCTGCAACTCTGGAAGGTCCTGACCCTCGGAGTCGGCCACCTCACTAACAACGTCAATATCAGGCGTTTTCTCCTGGGGAATGTCGTCGATGTTCTCGTCATCAATGGTGGTGATCTTGTCAAGCACATCATGTTGAAGATTGTTGTCGATCTCAGACGTGACTGAGTCTTTGTGCAGATGGTTCAGGTCCAAGTACTTCGCATAGTAATGCTGGTCTTCACCCAAAGACTCTTTATCGACTTTGCCAAACTGGAACGAGCTCTGGTTGCTTTTCTGCGGACTAGCATCCACCGTAGTGGTGCCACTGGCTGACTCGACGTCCAAAAAATTGGGGTCGTTGGATACTCCGGGGTCTAATGTGGACTTATAAGCTGGCTTCAAAGAGGGAGACTCAACTGAGCTCTTCTCGTCGGTCAAATCTCTAAAGTCGTAGGTGGCAGGCATCCGGGGCAACGAGCCCTCGCCGTTTCCTGCCGGCACCGGACTCGACTCGAGGTTTTCGTGGTTAGTGTCGTCGCTCTCAGCGATGGAAACAATGTCCATGTCACTGGTGGGCGAGTCATGGTCATTTTTTGACTCATCGACTTTGATGTTGTCGAACTTGGAGATGGTGTCCTGTAAGGGCGACCCCAAACTGGTTTTATTGACTGTGTCCGACATTGGTGAAAAATAATAACGGATAAAGTATATGTCTAATTAGGCAAACGGGAGACGTGCTGCATTCAATGGAGGTAAACGAGAAGAAACGCGAGTGGGCTTGAGTATTGCTGGTCGGAGTATTGAATTGGGAGAAACAGGTACGTCGCGTGTGCGTGGGCAACTGGGGTAAATGAATGGATACAATTAAGCTGGTAACTTGGTTCCCTGAGTTGATTTCAACAAACATGAAAAAGTAGGTCGCGCGCATACGGTCGGCACACGTCCTGCCTCCACTGCATAGACTACCCGCCAGGGTGACAACGCAACCTACAACCTACCACAGATACGGGGTTTGTAGTATTAAACTTAAATATATCATATATAGCGGAGTTATGGCTTTACAACACCCTAAATTTCCCATTTTTAATTTTCCAAAGTGTATGCTTTTATTCATGCTTCATGCAAAACTCAAAATTTTAGCCATGCACATTTTACACCTTTTACACCTTTTAGGTTAAATTCATCCAGAATCTTTTCGTTTTCCCAAAATAATGTATCCCCATGTCTCTTCGGTGTACATATACATATGACTAGCAAGGTACTTGCCTACCGACACCTTGATACGAGAATAGCCTTGTGCAGAATGAATTCCTCGTCCCGTTACCACCCTCAACGGTTCTACAAACTGAGCTTTTGTTCCATAGTGACTCAACTTGCCGTCCTCAATCCGTTCCTGTTGCTCCTGTGCCCACCAGTCACGAAGGGCCATAGTGGTGGCTTGCATGGCATCGGACACGCCCATCATGTGGAGATCAATGCTGTGGAGATGTGAGATTTTGGAAACTGGGGACAATGACGTCTGTACTCCACGGTTTGGAATCCTCTGCAATCCCTTGGCCTCGGTCTGTTGAAGGAGTCTCTGTCCGGCCTTGGGTATCTTCAAAACGTCCACTTTGGATCCAAGCTTCTCCTTGGGACCAGAGAGTTTGGGCATCTCTTCACCTGTAAACCATTCGCCTGCGAAAGTCTGCCGTTCATACATTGCCGTTATGATGACTCCAACCATCTCAACCGTCTTGTTGAGATCCCCTTTGAACATCACCAAGAGCTTTTTCAAAAACGGTTTGCTGATAAGTCTGAAATCAGGATTGGTGTTGTAAAAGTCCTCCAATTCCCGGAATTCTGGTAGGCCCTCGTCATACACATACTGGGTTTTGCAGTTGTATCCTCTGTTCACTCGCGAACGAGTAGCAGACTCGGAACTACCCAAGTCCACCTCATTTATCACCAATTCGATGAATGACTTGCCGTAATCACCTTTGTTGAGATCCAAGTACTTCTTGCACGTCGCCTCATCCATTCCTGTGGTCCGAACAATCTGGCCTAATGAACATGGAAATCCTGCACTGCCAACCACTTCGTTTCCTACCAAGTTTAACACAGCCAAATCCATATTTGAACCGTTTGTTACAAAGGCCGCATTCAACGTGCCCAAGCTCATGTTGGGAAACATTTCTAGAAGAATGTATACCTCATGGGGGTAATTTTGGTCGGGTTCGTGGCTAGTAAGAACCAATTGCACAAGTTCCTCAATCAGAGCTGCCGGATGCGATTTAATGGTGAGTGCTAGCACACGGCGAGGCTTCTCTGGAAACACCTCCTGAAGCTGTCGGAGGGTGCCTAATCGATGCTGAAAGTCGGGATCTTCAAGTGGGTCCACACAATCGGGTCCACCACTCAAGTGTATTGATGTGGGACCTTGTCTCATCCCTGATGTTCAATTTTTTTTTTGTGCGCACTGGCTGCAAATAACTCGTCTGTGCACCCATAAAAGCTACTTTACCATTATTAATGTATATTATACTACTTCACACTGTTTCTGACAACATTATTGTGTATTGTACCACTCTACACTGGCTTTGAACTATTATACCTCAACCACCTGGCTCTCAAATGCGTCTTTTATCACACCGATAATGGCACTCGAGTTAATCTTATCGTTTCCCCCCTTCGAAATACCGTACTCAACTTCACTCAAGCCCTTCAAGATCTTGATTTTCGTCTGCTTGTCCAATTCATACTTGTTCAATATTCCAACGAACCCCTCAAGCAAGTCTATCAACGCCAACCCCTTGACTCTCTTGAACTTGTCCATTGTTAAATAAGCAGTAGTCCAATCGTCTTTCAAGATCGAGTCCAACACGGTTTCCACATCCTTTGGCTGGGGAGCACCTATGCAGTTATATATCATTTCCTCGTCAATTTCGTCGTCAGGATTATCCAAAGATGCCTTACAACTTTGTAGCACATTCAAGGCTCTTCTCATATCTCCTTGGGACAACGTCAAAAGTGACTCAATGGCATCTGGCTTGATGGTGATCTTCTCCTTGATAACCACGTTCTTCAATCTTTCCCGTATGGCATCGGTGTGGATAGGTTGAAACCGGAAGCGAGTACACCTGGACACCAACGCTGGGTTCAACTTGTGGGAGTAGTTGGCCAAAATACAGAACCGAGTGTTCTTGGTATACTTTTCGATGATTCTTCTCAAGGCGTTTTGAGCAACCGATGTCATGGCGTCTGCTTCGTCCAAGATAATCAACTTAAAGCCTTTACTAAAGATTTGCATGGTGGAAGCAAAGTCTTTGATCTGGTTTCTCACCACATCGATACCTCTATCATCCGAAGCGTTCAACTCCAACACCATGTTCTTGTACTTGGGTCCATAGATCTCTCGTGCTAATGCAATGATGGTGGACGTTTTCCCGGTCCCCGGAGGCCCATAGAATAGTAAATGAGGAAGTTTACCCTCTTGCACAAACTTGCGAACGGTATCAACAATTTCAGATTGACCATACACTTCATCCAAGGTCTCAGGTCTATACTTCTCCACCCTTTAATATGTTAGTACGTCAGCTGTAGTAGTTTTCTGATCATTTTGTACTTACCATGGTAAGTTCTCTTTATTCTTCTCCATGGTGAATAATGTTGAGATAGTACGCGTTCGAAAGTTTTTTTTACGGTGCGCACTTACATAAACCGTTGATTAAAACCCTATAAAAGTGCCAACACCAACACCGTGGCGAAGGCCAATGCATAGTTGACGAGGTAGCGTGGGGGTGCAGCACTCTTGGTCGTCGCCGTCTTACCCACAAAATTGCACGTCGGGTACTCTTCGTCAGGGTCCTCCCAGTAGTACGAGAGCACCGTCCGGTTGAAGTTCGGACACCCAAATCCTAGTTCAGCAGGACAATCGCGCACTATGGCCTCACACACGTTCAAGCACGGAAGCATCTCGTAGTACATGAGGTCCGGGTCGAGTACGTCGTTGATCCAGGAGTTTCGTGAGTCTCCTGGCTCGGTTTCTCGGTACCCGGTAATGTTTCTTGTGGAACAACGAGGAATTGTCACCGCACAAAGCCAGTTTTTGTAGCTATCAGCGCAGTCGTCACACGTACGGAACGGCAGAAATGCCAGGACGTCTGATTCATCACATGGAATCTGCTGCATCACCCGACTGAAGTTGGCGTACAAGCTACGGGCCCGGTCGTCAAAAAGACTCTTGAGCTCTTCCTTCGAATAGGCATCGCTATTGGGCACCGAATACGCCACCTGGTCACAGAAATCTAGGTCGTAGATCAAGTTACACGCCCCACTGTCCATCGTCTTAAACTCGAACGGCTGGTATACGGCGCCGCCAAAGTCCCGTCCACTGAAGTCCGATATCAAGTACGCAATGTACTGGGTTGACTTATTGAGACCACCCACGTAGAACTGCTGTTGCCACCCACCACCACGGGTTGTGAAACTGGACTCGAACAAGTCCGGGTCTGAGTCCGAGCTGAAAAGTGCCGGGCCACTCCGAATCGCACACCAACTGTTATTCAAGACACGGAAATAGTCTTTATACTGGTGCGAGTAAATGAAGAGCGAGTACCGTGAATGCGAAATGTTATAGTCTGACGAGTCGAACCCGGAAGAATCAGACAAGTTCCCCGTCACGATCAACGCCGATATCTCGTCCGTGTCAACCAACAGCGCCCAGCTACGGTCGTCCCACTGGAAAACCAAATCATTCTGTGACACCCCCATTTCGTACGACCATACGGCGCTGGCATCCGTGTTCTCAGGTGCTTGCACCGCAATGTATAGCACCGCGTTGACGTTGGAGGTGGCAGGAACGTCGGCAAGCGCTTGGAAGTAGCCCGACGAGAAGTAATCCATGTCCCCTAGTTCCAAGTTCTGGAACATACTGCCATTGAATGAGTAATATACAGTTAGACTCGGATCATCCTCTGTGAGATTGGCAGGCTGTGAACAGATATTCCCGGTGATGAAAATCAAGTACTCGTAGTACAGACCGATTCCGCTTGACGTGTTGACATTAAATGAAAAGTATTGTATTTCTGACTGGCCTATGGTGGCACTTATGGGGGTAAATTCCTCAAGACCCTCTGAGCCATCTTTTCTTTTGGCCCTGAACGGATCTGAAACAAAGTCATCGAAGAAGTTATCCCCAGCCTCCATCGGTTGGTTGATATCTATCCCCAAGTCAACCCACGCATCTACACGGGCGATCACTCCCGAAAGGAGCGACACCATCGCTGTTAGCGCATAGATGAGGTGCATGCTGTGGATAAGATATTTCCAAAAGTGCGCATTAAGTCGCACGGTTTATTTATAACAAATATTTGAATGCTTCTATTCACATCAACCGGACAGGAACAACTTCCAGAACCGCTTGCTACGTTTCTTAGGCTCCTTTGCTTCCGTGGGCTGGTTGCCGCTCGACGTATCGTACATCGTGTGCAAGTCCGGGTGGGACTTTAATGGCTCTAAACAAGGTCTGGTATCTCGTGAACCTTCGTCTCCATCATGGGAAAACGACTTTTGGATCGTAGAGAAATCCTTGAGCCTCAGGCTTTTGGTGGATTTCTTGGGAGTTTCTAGGTTCACAAACTTAAGTGTTTGCTTTGGTGGAGACGAAATACCACTGGAGGTGGCACTTTGTTTGGGGCTCTTGGGAGGTGAAATCACATTGATGGTTGGAGTGTTCTGCTCTTGTCGAGCAATCATCTCTTTTTCTTTCAATCTACGTTTCAAATCTTTGTATGATACCTTCGGCACATACAGCAGCAGGCTTGCATCGGTTTTAACCTTTTCCAATGGGGCCAATAAAGACTTGGTCTTAAATGGGGATACTCCAAACCGGGTGGATCCAGTAAGAAGTCGAGCAAGCTTGGCGCCCCTACCTCTAAAATCAGGGTCGATTGAGTTTACTTCTCGACAGAAAGTTGCAGAGCTATCGGAAAGTACCCCAAGGGTATCTGAAAAGTAGCTTCCTTGGTATCGGTTCAGTTCAAGTTCTTGCATCTTGGTGCGAACCAACTTTTTGTGACGGGCATAAGCCTTGGTGATCTCTGTGAATGACGAGTATGACTCTTCTGACGAAATGGAGCTGAAGGAAGCACGGTCTTCTTCGTCTTCATCTTCATCTTCATCTTCATCTTTATCCAAGCCTGATTGCTTGGACAATAACAACACATCGTCTGTCCCTTCATCCGTCTCTTGAATCACATCCTGGCCCACATCGTTATATCTCATATTTATCTGTTTCTCAAGACTCTTTTCAAAGGGGCCCATGTGAATGGCTGGGGTAATTATCACTGGCAACGGGTAGTTCTTCACGAGCCTATCAGTAATTTTCGAAGAAGCCCATGATCGGAGTGGAGCCCCGATACGAGTGCTGGGTTTGGTGCCGGTGGCCACGATATTTGGCTCATACAACTTGTACATTTCCTGGAGCACCTTCTTGGGCTTTCCAACAGCCAACTCAATAGATACCTTGGCAATGACATCTGGGTTTATCACCTCCATGGCGTAACTCATGATGTGTTTAGCGATGACCTTGACAAACTCGGGCCGGTTTCTCTGTCTAAGTCGCATCCTCTTGGTCATGGCCGTCTCCTTGCCACTGAAATTGGAGAATTTCCTCTTCTTCGTGAGACTGGGCAGGTCGATGGCAGACACAATAATCACCAGGTCTCCGTTCTCAATGAACTTGCTCAACACCCAATCCAATGCCACCCACGTATGCTTTCTTGCCGATATATACACCAAAATCACCCGGTTAGGAAGGATCGGTTTCAAGAAGTTGTGCTGCTTATTATTCAACTTGCCCACCACCAAGTCGTCAAACTGCCGGTGCATCTTGGTGAACGTGCACCCGTTGTGTGTAATAATTGGAGTGGTGGGATAGCTGGGCCCGGCATAGTTGGACAAAAACCGGGTCAACTGGAGTCCGTTAGAGATGTCAAGAGCAGGAGACACTACTCTCCTAGTAGGGGACGTTGATGGCGACTGGAGTGGCGACAGGCTGGGCGAGGCCCGCGACATGCGCCGACCTCTTTCCAAGTCGGCCTCATGGCCCGCGGTTTCAAAGCCCCAATCGTCAAGTTCATTTTCTGACAGGTCTGCTTCGAACTTGAGGTTCACGGTATCAAACGACACACGTTTCTCATAGTTCTGGCGAGCAGCACTTATATGTGTTTCTTTGTCACCCACCCTAAGCTTGATACTGCGGTATGTGTAGTCGACTTTTTGTAAGTAGTCGAGTAGATCAACGTCCAGATCCGAAGAGTCTTCATCATCGGCCGCCGCGTGAGAGCCTTCGCTCTTGGTGGCCCGACTATCATCCGACGCACGCCGTTGGTCGGAGACAAGGTCGGGGGCACTCCCCGCGTGTAAAAGTGATGGTTTTATCAGGGTCTTGGAACCAGCCTCGTGAGCCAATGACATTGTTTGGTTTAGTGGAGGAGGTTACAGACGGTTAGAAAAAACACCCGAGGGGATAAATGGATTTGCTTCGGCTTAGTGGTGTAATTGGCGAGGTAGTGAAGGTCCAATCGGTAAATTTAACGTTGTTCCTCTCAAAATATACGCCCGGCTCCACAAAATTAAATTATCCTTTTTTCTCTGCTCGCAGATAAGAGCGAGAAAAACGGTGCAAAAAGTCAAAAGTAAAAAATACGAGTCTAGTGATTTTATGCTATTTACTTAAGGTCTAGGCAGACGCTTGCGACAACTGCGCCTGCTTTCTCTTCTTGTACAACTCGGTCTCAGCATTGACATATGCTACGTTGACCCCGCCAATAAGCGCCGTGAGCACCACCAAAATAACATTGATGGGCGTAGGGTTCATCTTAAAAGTGGTATGAGTCCATTTATCCAAGACACTCTGCGAGAAGTTGATGATCCCCGACGTGCAAATGATGGCCCCGTATACAGTTCCGAACGTGTCAAAGCCAAACACCTTGGCACAGAAGTCAGAAACTGAGGTGTAGAAAAATGGTCTGTACACCACAAACAAACACACATTAATGAAAAGCGTAACATAGTGGGTGGTCAATCCCAATGCTCCAATGATAAGCGAAATTCCCAACAACCCGGCCAACACCGTCACGGTGGAGCAAGAGTCCAAAAACAACCCCACAAACGGAATCGAAAGTACTCCTCCTAATGGCAAGGCCACATCGAAGAACTTCACCAACTTCTCCGACAACGCCACCGATGACAACAAGTACGTGTATTGGGTGCTGATGGTGGCGACAAAGTAGTTCAACCGCAACATCTGGATGGTTGCAAACAAGCACATGAGGTAGAACCATGGGGTTCTCAACTGGTACTGAGCCGAATAACCGTGTAAAATCCCAAAGATTCCTCCCGAGTATTTTACAAGGTTGGCTTCTCCTTCCTCGGCGTAAGGCTGTTTCAAGGCATCTCCAATCGAGTCTCTTCTGTGATGTCCGACCGGGTGGTTTTCTCCATTCAACAATGGGTCTGTTTCGCTGATGGGTGCGGCAGAAGACGCTAATCCATCTGGCACATCATCCACACACAAGTCAGTTTCAGGAGGCGTCTTGTACGAGTCCTTTTCCATCACAAACACTTGACACACAGCGATGAATACTGGCACAAGGATGTAGCATTGGAAAAATTTGTTGATGGTGAAGACTCCGTTGGAACGATTGTAGAAAATACGGTAAACCAAAAACACAGCTGAAGAAGCATCGAACGCACCCGTCAACAATGCCAACACGGTTCCCGACTTCTTGGGAAACGAGTTGGATAACTGGAACTGTGAGATGTAGGAGAAGGGGCCTCCCAAGGCCATGGAAGCATATCCTACCAAGTAAGGGTCAAAGTATGGACCGATAAAAGACTTGTCGATTTGACTGGCAAAGATGAACACAAAGCACGCCAAAAACAAAAAGAACGCTCCCACCAGGCCACAGAACCGTGGACCGAAGTCGTCCAAGAGTTTCCCAATCACAAGGGCCGAAACATTGGTGACAACAGCCCCCACTGTGAACATCATGTTCAACTTCAAGTCCTGAGCAACACACTTGGCCACTGTTTGTTCTTCTTGAACACCAACAGCCTGGCCCAATAAGAGGCTCGTCAATGACTGGGGGGCCTCGAAGTCAAACATACCTCTGACGGCATCTGTCTGGATATCACACACCAGTTCGTAAACTCCTTCCCTAATTAACACTGGCTTCAACGCAGCAAACCCGAAAATTGGGCCTCCGGCTAATAAGCACCAGAGAATGGCACATGCACATTGGATAAAACGGCGCTTTGTAGATGCTTCGTAGTAAAACATAGTAGTTACAACAAAACTTCTTTGTAAAATTTTTTCCACTATATTAAATATGTCTGGTCCCTGCTGCATGTTTTTGTCGATGCACCTCTTATCTCGGAGGCGCGCACACGACCCAAAAAGAAAATAGCCTATTCTTCCCTGTAAGCGAGTTGAGTTCAGGGTTTACAGGAGGCCAACCGATGCCTACTATTCTTCAGTGTCCTAACTGAACTCCCCTTCATGTTAACATCAATGTAATCATCATGGTGTCTATTTGTTGGAGCACTCGTGTGAATTCTCCAGTTGCCTCGGTGATCAGCGAACCTCTGATATCGCATGTCGCCGGTTTTTTTTGGGCTGCATGTCGTACGGGCTATCGGCTTTAGTTTCATTTTTCTCCCCTTTTAGAAGAGGCCCTTCGTATGTATCGGCCCAATAGGGGAGAGGCTAATGACCTTGGGTGTATGGGTCTGTTTATGGTGGGTGCAGGGGTTAGAAGGGCTGACCCATACAGTACTGTTGGTCCAGATATTATCTATGTTATTTTCTACGGGACGTGCTTGCGGTACGAAGCCATATCTGGGATATTTTAATTGTACGCCTGGGTACGATTAGCCAAACCCTCATCATGATGAGAGCACTCGCAATTTTTCCCCGAATTGGTCACAGTGGCCGAGTGGTTAAGGCGACACCCTGCTAATTTATTTGGTGGTTAAGGTGTTGCGCATTGCGTGCGCAGGTTCGAATCCTGTCTGTGACGATTCTTTTTTTGCATCCTACTATATTTGAGAATGTGTAATGTATATTATGTTTAATCGGCACCCATGTTGAGCCATACGTCCAAAATAAATAGGTACTTGTACTGAAGCTTACGGCCATATTCTTCAACCCGAGCCTTGTCAGTAGATTGAGGACTGCCAACTATGTCATAAGCACACCAATATGGATGTCCTTGTCCATGAGCAAACTGATGTTGTCTCATCCATCCATACTTTGGTTCTCTAAACTCTTCGTTATGAACTGGACTGATAAGCACAGGTGGTGCTAATGCTGCTTGAATGAATAGGGGGTTCTTTTCTATGGTTTTTCTGAGAATCTTTTTGTTTCTTACATACCGTGGCTGGTCTTCGGTTTCTTCCTCGGGGATTTCCTCTTCATCTTCTTCGTTATCTTCTTCATCTTCTGGAAAGTCCACGTTGAGTGCATTTGCTGGAGTTTCTGGGTTTGCGGGGGTTTCTGGGGTTTCTGGACTCTTTGGGTTTGGTTCTTGGTTCTGATCATTTTCCAGTGGTTCTTCCCGCTTTCTCTTATTCCGGTTCTCATTGCTGTCCTCATTCTGGATCTCCTGGTCCAAGTTCTCCTGGTCCAGGTTCTCTTCACCAGTGGGGTCTACCTCTGGAGGTATGGCCAACGTCCTTCTCACTTCTCTCCGAATCGTAAACTTGTTTCTCAAGTCCTCTTGAAATTTGGGTATTGACAGCCAGTTTTCAAGCTGATGCGAAGTCACGTAAAGTAAAGTGTAGTCATCGTCTCCATCGAATTGTCCCCATGACGAAGAACACAACTCCTGTGATAAGGTAAGTCTATCCATGGGCTTGTTTTCTGCCGGTGTCAATACCCCAACAGCTGCTCCAAAATGCTTGTTAAAGTTAGCTCGATCAGATAATCCAGATGCTTCCAATCCTATCCAGAAATACTCCCCAAGTGCTGAAGCTTTTGCATCCTTGAACCTAAGATCAAATAATTTGTAACTCTGTACGCTGCAGGACAAGAGTAAACCTGATAAATGCTTTGGTTTGTTGATGGCAATCACACTGGTATCAAGTATGTCATCGACTCTATCGTCAAACACCTTGCTGCTTTGTGAGTTTCTTGATCGTCTTTTCAACCCAAAAATTTCTGTATCTCGTTTACTAGGCACAACTAACGACTTTATTAAATCATTGATTTCTTGGTACCCGGGTAGGATCTTCCTTTTTTCGATCTTGAAATGGGCAGGGTTCAAGAAGAACAAGTGTCCTTTGTCCTGATAGGTCAGTTTCAGGAAAATAGCTTTACCAAAGTCCTCCACCATTGGAATTACTCTATGGTTCAACATCACCACGTCTTCGAAAGAGTTGAAAATGGACGATAAACTCATGACAAACGCTGGACTCAGGAAATCTGGACTTCGCAGAATCAATGGGTGCTGATTTGAATTTAACATGTTGGTCATATCGACAAACCATATTTCTTGTTTGGGGAAATCCTGAGGAGTGGAGTAAGGATGGTCTTCCCGAACGATCTTTAAAAACTTTTCGTATGACTCAGGAAGTCCTGACACCTCGGTTCGAGCCAGCCGAATTAACCCTCTAATGTCGTCGTTTGTTATACGGTTTCTCATGTATGTGATCTGAATGGGGAGCTTGTTTTTCAACACTCTCAACACTTTTATCAACCGTTTAATATTCTCCAACTGTGTTTCCTTGGAGATTCCGGGGAGTATGGGGATCACGATACCTTTCCCGTTACTTTTACTTTTCCACTGGGAGAGAAAACACGTATCTTCAGGTTGAGAATTCCTGCTGGAATCGAAAACAGGTACTTCCCCATACTTGAGAGTCTTTCTTTTCCAGTCCTGGAAAATAGGGTACTGGTTCATTGCAAGCCATGGATATAACCTCTGTTCATATTCAGCACACATTCCCAGCTGATCTGGCTCCAACTTCTTCGGTTCAAGGTAACATTTACCAAATATACGTTGGTGATTGAGCTCGTGCACGATGCGAGTCTCAAAGTCAGCTAATTCCAACACTGCATTTGCGTACTGGTCATGCAATTTGGCCATATCATCACTGCTGAAGCGGTCTCCAGAACTCCGGAGCTGTTTCTTTAATGTCTTCTTCGCTAACCGCATCCAGCTCTTTTTACGGTAGATGGTCTTGTCAAGTTCGTGGCCCTGGATATACTCTAAATCCACAATATCAGGGCCTGGATGTCCGGGGAAAACGTGAGAAAGCTCATCAAAATACCACTTGCAGGTCTCTGGTAAACCCAACTTCTCACCTTCGGGTAGAGTATCGTAGACCGGGTTTTTATATGACTTTCTGGCTCGTGCGATGTCCATTCTATGGTTGGGCGTGAGCACGGGCTGTGGAGGAACTGACTGTCTCAGCCATAAATGTAGCATCAACAATCCGATAATGACAGCTAGTGCTCCAACCCGCTTATGTCGGAAGAGCACGTTAGCCACCACAAACCTCACTTTGTTCGTCGTTGATCCCATAAATATAGTTGTGTTCGTTGTCGATTCTAGAGAAAATTTCAAAACAGCGGTTCTTCCTGATTTGGAAATAGCTCAAGTGACACCAGGGGTAGGAAATACGAATTTCACCAGGTACAAAATTGTCAATACTGGAAATAAAAGAGGATAGAGGGATGCCTTTCCACCCAATGATTTGGTATTAGGTTATGCTATGGACCATATTTGTCTCTATGTACTCATTCTGTCTCTATAAGTTTAGGTGGCTGAACACTTTATCAAGTTCGTTTGTTGGCGGCTCTGCGTTCTTCGAGTTGGTGCTGCCGCTGTCACGCACTCCGGGGGTCAACACGGTTGAATCAAAGCCGGGAGCCACTTTTAGCTTCTGCTGATGAAGCCACTCTTTATACTCTTTTATCTGGGCTATGTTGGTAGGTGACAGGTTATCGAAGTCAGGTTTGAGGGACTCAATTTCAGAGATCCATCCCTGTAGGTCCTGTTTGGACACGTTAAGCTTTGGAGGTTTGACGGTGGATGATAGACTGGAGATTAGTTTCGAGTAGTTGGCATTTAAGGTCACTGGTTTGGGGGGTTGGAACAAGGGGCTTTTGATCAATGGTACTTTCTGTAGCACCGGGTCCGCTGTGGGTGTTAGTAGCGATTGGAACAATGGCGGTTTGTGTGGGTGTTTACATACGCTTGTTTGTATCGTCCATTATAAAAGAGACCCTCGATTTATGAATTTCACAAAATGCGAATAATATTTCTTTGTGGCAGAATTCACATAACCTTTAAACAACTGATAAAGTTTACAAATTGTCAAATTTGTCCTATGAATCCCTGCATCTGCCTCCAATGCCTCCAGAATCAAAGTTTCCATCTCACATATACCACTGCTCTATTTCCAGATATTATTGTATTTTCTATAGTACATATTTATTCCTTAAAATGACGGATGAGAATGTAAGCGTTTTCTTGCTTCAAATTGGACAACGATCTGTAGCCACCCTCCAAACACATCAATAAGCCACCAAATGAAATATAAACGGCCATTTTGTCCGTGGTTCCGCTCTCTTCAAACTTATAAATGGTTCCATACATCACGTAGTCGTAGTCATCAGCCAACGATCTGTCAGATGGCTTAGGAGGTCTCCATGATCCATTGGACGTCAACATGCTCGACTCATTCCCCAAAGTAGATGCTAATGCGATAGTTAAGGAATCATTATCATTCACTGGGAACAACTCGCTATTTATGTCCAAGGTGATTTTGATCTCTTGCGACGTGGAAGACTGCCCCGTTATACGAGCAACCTTGTTGTATCTAGCGGAGTCCACAGACTCCACGTTGAACATATCTTCAAAAAGAATGCTGCTGGACATCCTGAGCTTGTACCGTGAAGACTTTAGTGAGAAAAAAAATTTCACTGAATGCAATCGCACCGTCGTGCACACACAACTATTCATGAACTGTTTTGAGTTAAACCAAAACAGTGTAATTAGAGTTCCAATTTTAGCAGAAACCCAATTTTCTCCTCCAACTACTTTATTTAAAGACTACGTCGACAAAGAAACCGCCTCCAATCGTTTCCATTACTCTTTACCCATTTATTTCCATTTACTCCGGCTTCATCCATCTGACACTACTCGTTTCACTCGCAGCACTCTTGCTCCATGAAAGTCTTCACCCAAAATTCCGGTCTTTTCAAGCTAATTTCAATTATACTGGCAACAGCCATTATTTGTTTACTTGCAAACAAAGCATTTGTTCATACAGATAGCTTAAGCGACTTGATACGTCGCTTGGACTCTCTTGACGAAACACAAATATCCAGGCTCTCGGAAGCAGTTGGTGCGAGGCTCCACAACCCTCAAATACCTCCTCAAACACCCTTGCAAAAGAGAGGTGACAAATCAGCCAAGTCGGAAGACTCCAAAACCACCACCTCATCATCCAAGGCTTCTAAAACAACCTCATCAAAAGCGTCTAAAACATCCGACTCTAATGCCTCCTCAAGCTCATCGGACTCCAAGTCCAAGTCCAAGTCCAACTCAAGCCCTCTTAATATGACAGGTATTCGGGTGGCCATTGCGTTTGTGGCCATTATTCTCATCAACATGGTGGCAATTTGTATTCACCATGTATACATGAAGCTTAGTAGCTCCGAAAGGTCCTACCGGACTGTTGAGCATAAACTTTCCCCATACTAGCCACTTCGGATTATACCGTGAGCCGGTGTAATAATTTTTTTTAAAATCGGATAAAACGTATGTATAAGGCTGTACATAGCACATCCAGCCATAACATACATGAACTAATGCATATCTTGACGCACATTCCTGAACGTTTACCATGGGATATTCCGTAAGTCTCTCTGACTAGGGCATATATCTTCCGGATTTTGCGACTAGAGTTGCTGAAATTTTAGTTTAAAAGGTACAATATTTCTTTATTTAAACGAGAACATAATCTGTTAGTTGAACTAAAATATGAACAAAGAGTTGCCGTCTGCTCGAAGAAGAGCCGTCCAGATCTTGTGCTCTATTGCCTGGTGCTTGATGGCCGCCGGCCCGGTGTTTGGGTTCGCAGCTCTTAAACCTATCTTGATAAACGAGGGAATCTACTCAGAACATTGCCATTTCAATGACAAGGACCTTGAGAGTCCGGAAACATGCGTGGAGCAAGACTTGTCGTTGAACTTTCTCTTCACCGTCGCTTGTATGGTAACTAATATAAGTGCTTTGCCTGTGGGTTCTATTTTGGACAGTTATGGCCCTCAAGTTACAGGAATCATTGGTGCTGTTGTCATATTTATCGGCAGTTTGTTCTTGAAGTTGGGCCATCTTCTTACATTCATGGACGCATATCTCGCTGGGTATACCTTTTTGGCATTGGGAGGCCCATTTGTGTTTATTTCATGCTTTCAATTGGCCAATAGCTTCCCCAAGAACTCAGGGTTGATTCTTGCTTTACTTACAGGGGCTTTCGACTCATCGTCGGCATTATTTTTGGTATACAGACTCGTGTATACCAACGTGATAGAGGTGCCGTTGAGTACCTTTTTTACCTACTTTTTGGCGGTACCGATTTTCATTTTTGTTTGTCAGGTGTTTGTGATGCCCCATGATTCGTACAAAACAGTAGGAACTTTGGCCAAAATTGCAGAAACCGCTATTGACGAGACAGGAAAACCTTTGAACTCCGACCTTTTGCTTCCGGAAGACAGGAATGATGAACTGTTCATTGAACCCATTTACCAGCCAACAATCACCGAAACTACCACTTTATTGATGAGGAGCGCATCTTCTCACAGAAGGGAATCGACTATTTCCAGAGCCAGTTTCGCTTCAAGAGCCTCAATAAAATCGGTGTACGAGCAAGAAGCAGAGGACAAGTTGTTCAACTCTTCTGGAGGCGTGTTTGGTGTCATGCATGGATACACCATTACTGAGCAATTAAAGTCTTGGTGGTTCATCTTGATGGCACTCTTCACCACTATACAAATGTTGAGAATTAACTACTTTGTGGCCACTATCCGTTCTCAAGAAGAGTATCTCTATCAAAGCAAGGAGACGGCCATCATCGTCAACCACTTTTTCGATGCTGCTTTACCAATTGGGGGATTACTCTCCATTCCTTTCATTGGGTTGATTTTGGATAACCTTACCACTTTAACCACTTTAATAATCTTGATGGTGGTGTCTGTCACCATCGGAATAATGGGGATCTTGTCTTGGTTACCAGGAACTTATTTCGGTATCATCTTGATGGTGTTGTACAGACCCTTCTATTACACAGCAGTTTCCGACTTTTGTGCCAAGGTGTTTGGATTCGAAACATTTGGTACCGTTTATGGTTCCATTATCTGTTTTTCAGGAATTTGTAACATCTTGCAACAGGTCATGGATAAGGTTACCCACGAAACTTTTCATATGAACCCAATTCCCATAAACTCATTGTTGACTGCACTTACCATCATACTTGGTGGTATATTAATTCAATTCGTTCGTGTCCAGGAAAGAGACTTAAAAAGAAGAAACTTGGAGTTAGAAGCTCAAGAAGCATCTATTAGAGGAATTCCTAACTAAGCCTAGTTTGCAGTTTATATTATTAATTCCTAAAAATCATAGTACCATGTTATCGATGTCTCTTTTCTCTGGGAACCAGATCCGGGTCCAAGGCCACCAATGGAGGAACTGTCTCGATGGTTTTACTGGGGCCCTTGTTGACCACTCGGCTATTCAAAGGAGGAATGTGTTTATTCTCATTATTGCTGTGCTTGTCATCAAGATGTTTCATATCGTAAACTTTGGGAAAGTCGGAAAGAACCGATTTCGCACTCATTTCTTCTTGTTAGCCTTTTCAAGTTGTCTTCTAGACCCTTTTAATAACTCCAAATGTCCAACTCTACTAGAAACCAACTTTTCAGTATCGACCACCAATTTAGAATGATGCGTTTTCGCCAAGTTTGCGGTCAAATCTCCCTTCTTTGGCTTGTAAACTCTTGGAGATGCTTTCTTAGGGTTGATTTGTTTTTTGGTGACTCTAGCAGGCGCCTTATTTTTCAATTTCAAGTTCCCCTGAGCCATTTATACTGTAGTTTAAAGCTACAATTGAAGGCTCATCGCGCACTCAAGGGGAGAGACCAGGAATTTCGGTATGCGCACGCTGACCGCACTATGACTCTGGTCTAATTAAAATCAAGTGAGATGAGACATCAACTCAAGTTTGCATCTTGTGGAAACATCTTCCCCTGTTCTTTCAAGCCCAATGAGCGATAAGTTTCTTGTGATCCCAGGACCAAGAGCCTTGTCGGACTTTAGAGTCCAGAACTTCGTCAAAGAAATCGAATCCAAGTTGGGTAAATCTTCTATTATCAAACTGGTTTCTTCAAGTTATACTCATTATGTTTCTTTGAAGACTTCTTTGACCGAACCTCAACTGCAGCTTTTACAGACTTTATTGAAATATGATACTGAGGTTGATGCCTCTGTGGAATTTAACGCCAAATTGCTCGAGTTATCGGTATTGAGAGGTGATGATTCCAGGGAAACCGCTGCCTTTAAGCTCGACTCAAACGTTTACTTGATTAGAGTTTTACCTAGAAGTGGAACGATTTCCCCATGGTCATCCAAGGCCACAGACATTGCTGTTACGTGTGGGTTGGTTGATCAGGTGGAAAGAATCGAAAAGGGATTGTCTCTCTTAATCGAAGTTGAGAGTGGATTTAATTTCGGTGATGCGTTAGATAAAGGTGAAATCTTGACCAGTGTATTCGACAGAATGACCCAAACTTTGTTCGTCAACGACCACTTGCCCAAGTATAATGACTTGTTTGAGCACCACCTGCCAAAACCTTTGGTTCACGTTGACTTATTGGGTGGATCTGAGAACTTGGCTAAAGCCAATAAAGAGTTGGGATTGGCCTTGGATCAAGGGGAAATCGACTACTTGATCAATGCTTTCACCAATGTCATTGGAAGAAACCCAACTGACGTGGAATTGTTTATGTTTGCCCAAGTCAACTCTGAACATTGTAGACACAAGATATTCAATGCCGATTGGACTATCGACTCGGTGAAAAAGGATTTGACTTTATTCAAGATGATCCGCAACACCCACAGCAAGAACCCTCAATACACCGTTAGTGCCTATTCAGATAATGCTGCTGTATTTGAAGGTCCCGAAGGCTACGTTTATACACCCGATTTTGCAACCAAGCAGTGGAAGTCGATCAAGGAAAAAGTACACACTTTGGTCAAGGTTGAAACCCACAACCACCCAACGGCTGTTTCTCCATTCCCCGGTGCATCTACTGGTTCCGGTGGTGAAATCAGAGATGAGGCTGCTGTTGGTAGAGGTTCCAAATCTAAGGCTGGTTTGAGTGGATTCTCTGTCAGTGATTTGAACATTCCTTCTTTACCTCAACCATGGGAAAGAAAAGTTGGAAAACCCAACCACATTGCTTCTCCATTGGATATCATGATAGAAGCACCTCTTGGAGCTGCTGCCTTCAACAATGAATTCGGTAGGCCTGCTATCAACGGTTACTTTAGAACTTTGACCACTGAAGTGAACAACAGCAAAGGTGACAATGAAATCAGAGGGTTCCATAAGCCTATTATGTTGGCCGGTGGTATGGGTGCTATTCGACCAGATTTGGCCTTGAAAGACACGAAAATAACCCCGGGTGCTAAGTTGATTGTATTGGGTGGTCAGTCCATGTTGATTGGTTTGGGAGGTGGTGCAGCTTCTTCGATTTCTTCTGGTGAAGGGTCTGCAGACTTGGACTTTGCTTCTGTTCAAAGAGGTAACCCTGAATTACAAAGAAGAGCCCAAGAAGTCATTTCTGCTTGTGTGTCTTTAGGTAAAGAACACACACCAATTCAGTCTATTCACGATGTTGGAGCTGGAGGATTGAGCAATGCTTTGCCAGAATTGGTTCACGATAATGATTTGGGTGCTCGGTTTGAATTGAGATCCATTTTGTGTTTGGAACCAGGAATGTCTCCTATGGAGATCTGGTGTAACGAGTCCCAAGAAAGATTTGTATTGGGAGTTGCTCCTGAAAACTTGGACCTTTTCACCAAGATCTGTGAAAGAGAAAGATGTCCTTTTGCCGTGGTAGGAGAAGCTACTGAAGAACAGAGATTGGTGTTGACCGATTCATTGTTGAATACCACTCCTATTGACTTGGAGATGTCTGTGTTGTTTGGTAAACCTCCAAAAATGTCAAGAGTTGCCACTACTGCCGAGTTGCAGTTACCAGAGTTTTCGGTGTCTGAGTTAGATGTTTCCGACTCAATACAACGAGTGTTACAACTCCCAGCAGTTGGGTCTAAAAACTTCTTGGTCACCATTGGTGATAGATTTATTACTGGTTTGGTCGACAGAGACCAAATGGTTGGGCCTTGGCAAGTTCCTGTGGCCGATGTTGGTGTCACAAACACCTCTTTAGGTGACGAAATTCTTATCACTGGTGAAGCTTTGGCCATGGGTGAAAAGCCTACCTTGGCTCTTATTTCTGCTGCTGCCTCTGCTAAGATGTGTGTTGCTGAGTCTCTTTTGAATGTCTTTGCTGCCGATATCCCTGCTTTAGACAGAGTTAAGTTGTCTGCAAATTGGATGTCTGCTGCTTCACACCCTGGTGAAGGAGCCAAGTTGTACGAAGCCGTCCAAGCCATTGGTATGGATTTGTGTCCAGACTTGGGAATCTCCATTCCCGTTGGTAAAGATTCCATGTCCATGAAGATGAAATGGGATGACAAGGAAGTTACTGCTCCTTTGGCCTTGACAGTTACAGCTTTCGCACCCGTCGATAATACTTCTAATACTTGGACCCCATTATTGGAAAAGAAGGACGATACCGTTTTGGTGTTGGTCGACTTGGCTACCAAAGTCCAAAAGGCACTTGGAGGGTCTGCTCTTGCACAAGTTTACAAGCAAGTAGGTGCCAGTGCCCCAACTGTTCACTCCAACAAGGAATTCAAAAGTTTTTTGGAATCCTTGGTGGTGTTACACAAGGAGTTTGATGTTTTGGCATACCATGACAGATCAGAAGGTGGTTTATTGACCACTGTGGCAGAAATGGCCTTTGCTGGTAGATGTGGTGTGGAATTGGATTTAAAGGGTGAAAATGCATTTGTTGAATTGTTCAACGAAGAGTTGGGTGCTGTCTTCCAAATAGACAATGCTAAATACGATGAGTTTGTTCAAGTGTTTGTCACCAACGGCCTTCCTGCTGAATACATTTCTGTAATCGGAAAACCCACCACTGAACAAACGTTGAAGATCAGCTTCAACGGTGAACAGATTTACTCCAACACCAGAAGTGCATTACAGAAATTGTGGTCCAACACTTCGTACCATATCCAAACCTTGAGAGATAACCCCATCACGTCTAAGCAAGAATTTGAGTCTATCAGTGATGATTCCAACCCTGGTATCTCCTATCAATTGACATATAAAGTGGGTGATGACTTGGGTATCAAGAGTCTCTCCACCGAAAGAAAGCCCAAAGTGGCCATTTTAAGAGAACAAGGTGTTAACTCTCAACAGGAAATGGCGTGGTCCTTCCAACAAGCCGGGTTTGATACTTATGATGTGCATATGTCAGACATTTTGTCTGGTAGAGTGTCATTAAAACACTTCACCGGACTCGCTGCTTGCGGAGGATTCTCATATGGTGATGTCTTAGGTGCCGGTGCCGGGTGGGCCAAATCTATTTTGTTCAACGAGCTTGCCAGAAAGGAGTTCAAGGAGTTTTTTGAAAGATCAGACACTTTTGCTTTAGGTGCCTGTAATGGATGCCAATTCTTGAGCAGAATTCAGGAATTGATCCCAGGAACTAAGAACTGGCCTACCTTCGAAAGAAACTTCAGTGAGCAATATGAAGCCCGTTTTGTCATGGTTGAAATTGTTCCTGAACAGACGAACTCGATCTTTTTGTCGGGTATGGAGAAGTCCAAGCTTCCAATTGCGGTTGCGCACGGAGAAGGAAGAGCCAATTTTACGTCAGATGACGAAGAATCGGGATTTTTGGCCGACAAACAAAGTGTTATTCGGTATGTTGACAACTACGGAAACCCTGCCAGCCAATATCCTTACAATCCTAATGGTTCACCACATGGAATCGCTGGTATTTCCTCGCAGAACGGCCGGGTTTTGGCGTTGATGCCTCACCCCGAAAGAGTCACCAGAAAAGAGTCCAATTCGTACTACCCAAAACAAGACGCTGTCGAATGGGAAGGATACGGTCCATGGATTCGTTTGTTCAGAAATGCCAGAAAATGGGTTCGTGATAACTTTTAATTGTCACAACAAATCGTGACCTCGACACGACCACACGACCAGTTGGTTGAATTTAAATATCTTTTATTGTGCACCCACGACTTGCGAAACTTTTTATAATCGAGTGAAAAATTTTCACAACTTTTCATCTTTAACTACATACATATACAAAATGGTTAACGCTATCTTATCAAAGAAGAGAAAATTGGTCGCTGACGGTGTGTTCTACGCCGAATTAAACGAATTCTTCACTAGAGAATTGGCCGAACACGGTTACGCTGGTGTTGAGGTTAGAAGAACCCCAACCAAGTTGGAAATCATCGTTAAGGCTTCCAACCCTCAAGGTGTCTTGGGTGAACAAGGTAGAAAGATCCACGAATTGACCTCCTTGATCTGCAAGAGATTCAAGTTGGCCAAGGAAGGTGTTGTCATCTACGCTGAAAGAGTCGAAATCAGAGGTTTGTCTGCTGCTGTCCAAGCCGAAGGTTTGAAGGCTAAATTGTTGAGTGGTTTACCATTCAGAAGAGCTGCCTACGGTGTTTTGAGATTCGCCATGAACAACGGTGCCAAGGGTGTTGAAGTTGTCATCTCCGGTAAGTTGAGAGGTGCCAGAGCTAAGGCCCAAAAATACGCCGATGGTTTCATGATCCACTCCGGTCAACCAACCAAGGACTTTATTGATATTGCCATCAGACACGTCTTGATGAGACAAGGTGTTTTGGGTATCAGAGTTAAGATCATGAAGGACCCAGCCACTAACAAGTTTGGTCCAAAGGCTTTGCCAGATGCTGTCAAGGTTGCTGAAGCTAAGGATGATGAAGAAGTTATCCCAGCCCCAACTGTCAAGTCTTACATCCCAGTTGTTGAAGCTGAAGCTTCTGCTTAATTTTAGGTTTAGTATATTGTAATATATTATGTCGACTTAAATTCCAAGTAGGTTACCCAATTTGCCATTTGTCCAAAACTCTTTTAATCCCACTGGTTCCAAAGCCTTGAAAACATCGAATCCGGAGTTATCCAATTCCATAAACACTTGCATGAACTTCAATGCACTTCGAAGCCCATAAGCTTCGCCCACAAACTGTGATACTCCTAATTTCGTCAAGTCCTGGTTCTTGATGTAGGTGAAAAGTCCTTTGTAAATAATTTCTATTTTCCACGCTTTGTAGTACTTTGGGCTGAACTTGAACTGGTGAAGAAAGTCAACGCACACAAAGAAGCATATCTCACAGGTAGCAGAAAACAACGGCTTGTCACCGTTAATAGCCACCTCGGTCGCTCTTACCCTTATAAATAGGGCGATGGTGATTGCAAAAATCTTTTCAACAAGATCTATAACCTGATGTGCAAGAAACCACTTGGATTGAATATTGCATCGGGAAATGAGCCGGATACTATCTCTAAGGGCATCAATTGTGTGACCCAAGTACATATCGGAGTATTCAGGTTTGTTTAGAACGTTGACAATCACCAAAAGATGAAACATGACGGAAAGCTTGCATGTCTGTAGAACCAAGAGACACTTTAAGTTATATGCATTTACCATATGGTTTTCATGCCATAAGGATAGCCGTGCTTCGGTATCTTTGAATTTCTTGAGAAGTTCATCTTCACAATTGAATATATCGATCTTGCTTAAAAGAATCTTGATATCAAGAAACAGTTCGTTGAGAAACGGAAGGTTCTGGTAGATTTCTTCCGAAACAGTACTTTCCAAAGCTGTATGAGGAACATACCCACAAGCAAAGAAGTTACAGGGAAAATTCTTGTTCACCACCAAACTGTGGTTGACCTCGTGTAAGACATGCCATATTTTATGCTGGGGGTCTCTGCTAAGCCGCATGTTATCAGCCATAATTATCAAAGCATTGAGTAGATCCCTCGATTTTTCTGGAGGGTAGTAGCTAGGAGCATCATTTTGATGGAACAAAAGTAACACCCCCAATTGCAACACAAGCATGTTGCTACAGGAAGAAAGATCAAAATGTGCTAAACAAGCTTCCGCAACATCAATAAATTCCATGGGAAGATCACCGGCACTTTCCATCTGTTCACAATAGGATGAAAGCTTAAGTATCACTAAAAGTATGCATAAGATGAGCGTATTATCTTCATTTCCAGTATCTACCGATTCAACTCGGAAAACAAACACCCCACTTGTCTTGAGGATTTTCATTAAGTCTACCCGGAATTGTATTTCATCAATAGATGGTAGAAATGGTAGAAAGTAGTTGAAGAAGTGGTTAAGGAGCCTATTGATGTCGTTAAAACCTGAAAGTAGAGCCTCGGCCCGTAGGTGGATCTCATAAAGGTCAGAATATGCACGAGGAACATCGGGGCTGGTTATTCCTTCTTCGATATAGTGCATGTGAACAAATGAGTCAAGATGAGTGAATTTGGGTAGTCGACTGGTGTCAAAAAGGGATACCTTCATTGAGTCGGTGTAAAACCGAGTGTAGAAGTGTCCGATGATTCTGTCATTTCGAAGGATGGCTTTAGGAGTGAAACTAATAAACCTGATGTAGTTCTCATTGAAATATCCCTGATTCAGGTCCACAAAATAGTCAGCTAGAGAATAGTTCTTGTATCCATTGTTTGATGGTACATGTAAATTGTTCAGCAAAGGCTCCGTACCACCAGTTCCATCGTCCCAGCGATCCTGTGACTGAATAAATACTTCCTTGAATAATCCATCATTGGCATCATCAAAGTAATCTGCTAGCGAATACAGCCTCAGCTTCTCTTGTAGTGGTTCTACAGATTTCGTTTCCACAACCATTTTGTTTCCATCAATATTTCCGAACCCAGAATCCTCATAGTAGACCTGATCATCTGAAACAGGTTTATATTGGAACGGCGAATTACTAATGTTGAAGTCAATAGACAAAGAGTCGGGCTTGCCGTTTTTCAAATTCTTTTCAAGACCCTCTAAATTCTGCAATATCGACTCCAAGAATCGTTCACTATCTTCAGCACTTAGAGTTTTGGTGATATTTATGAACTTGGAGTTTATGGCAGTTAGCTGAGTGAGCATTGAACCTTCGTTGGGTTCAAGACCGTAGTCACACTTTTTGTTTCCAAACTTGACACAACTAGTACATGGGCTCTTTTTATCACAGCGGATCTTCCGCTTGCGACAGAAGTTGCACACCTGGATTGGTCTTTTCTTTTTCTGAGACATGCTTATGATAAAGGGCTTGGCTTGGATTATCGCGAAAATGATGTTCGCGAAATCAGAATATGGGGTAACCAAGCATGCCAGGTTGATGAGGTCTCGGTCCACTATATTGAAGATAGGGACCAAGATATTCTACTGTTCCCTTTGGCGATCTTATAATATATTCGAATGGGCATACATAAACTGGTGGTGCTTCGATTTCCTATATATAGCAGCAAAACCTATATGCTACTTGGGAAGAAGTCCTTGAATATCTCGTCAATATAGAAACCTGAAGAACCGGCATCAAGACATGAGTCAAACACCGTATCCTCACCGATATCCAAGGCCAGCTCCGCAATTGAACAGTCAAGGGGACTATGTTGCTGGTGCTCAGATTCGTTTTTGCTTAGTGCTATGATCAATAGCCACAAAGCATCGGTGTTTTCAGGCATGACATTCATAAATTCACTGGCCATCAAGGATGACCGGTTAGACATTGACTTGCTGATCATGGTGATGAGTCGAGTGGTATTTTCGTTGGTCAAACCATACCCGTTGGGAGGCACTGCGGTGCCAAAAGTGGAGCAAAAGGTGGGTTTGCGAACTTCAGTCAAAAGTAACGATAAAACCTTACTGTTCTTCCAGGGTGTATAGTATCTGTTTCCCAATACCAGTAAGAAGTTCAACAATACATCTAGAGCCCTGGACAAAAGACTTTTTAACACAAACAAGTTGGGTCGAAGGTCGGAAAGCTCTTGCGGCTGATCAAGAAGCATTTCAACTTTGGTCAAAAGTGATAAATTGATCACAGAAGCCAAGTATATGAACGAGTGGATGCTTGGAGTGGTTATCAACTCATTGACGTTTTCAAATATCGGCTTATCGTTGATGACCGATGTTTCCATCACTGTGTGGAATTGTTCATAGAATACTTTGAGTGACTTGTGGAGATATTCTAAGGCAACCTCGTCTTTTCCAATACTATAGCAGTAGTTTGAAAAATGGAAGTTTAAGGCCATATTTGCACCTCCCATTTGACAAAGATACTTGATCTTGAATGTTTTGAAGTAGTAGGTAGAAATTTCCCAGCTCTCTCGATCTGGAAAAAATGCTGCCCGTGCATGCTGGGTTCGAGACTCAGTTAAAAGGTTCATACATTCACCTAGGGTGTTGCTGATATCTCGCATAGAGAACTTCTCGTTAACATTGGAAACAGCAGAAAACACCTTTTGTAGTGGCTGCTTGTAAGAGGTGACCCCATCCATCAGATTCAAGATCACTCTTTCAACCTTCAAGTCCTTAAAATTGGCGTTTCTATCATTAAGATACGGGAATTTCACGTCAACTGAAAAGTTGGAACCAGTACTCGAGTAACCTGTCACCAATGCACTCGAAACATCCAAGATATACAACAAGTGCCAGAGTTTACGACCCACATGGTTCATTCTTTCGTTCTTATTGCCATCTGGGAATTTATCGGGTTCTCGATGAAGTCCCAATGAGTAAGCCATTTGCATCAATAATGCCGAAAATACCTGAGGTTCACTAGAGTTCGGTTCATCTCCGTACTCAGGCCCATATATTTGGTAGTATCTGATTAAGGTTGCCAATTGTAAAACTACCAAGTTAGAAGAATTGACAAGATTGAACAAGTTCAAACACATTTGGGCCACGTTAGAGACTTCCCAATTTACTGGATTAGTCATCAAATACTTCAAATCTTGAGCCGCTTGGGAGGTGCTAGCACTGTAAATATTTTGTTCATTAACAGCTCTTATGTTCGAAAACAACGAAAGGTAAGTCAACCGTAGAAACACTAAAAGCATACCAACGTAAGCAAAGTCTAACTTTTGTTGCATGTTAAGAGTGTGAATCGGTTCATCCTTCAAGCTACGAGGTCCTATTATCCTTTCGAAGTTGGATATGCACTCGAACTCATCCACTATGCCGAAAAAAGGCACCAAATTGGAAAAGAACCGATCCAACAACATCCAAACCACCTTCTTTTTGGGCAAAACCATCTTAATCTTTGTGAGTAACTTTCTGGTGCCTCTGATATCCCCTTCAAAGAACAGTAGGCCGAAAAGCTTTGCTTTTTCGTTGAAGAGGTTTTTCTTCGATAAGATCGCAATGTCCGATTGGTCCTTCATCATACGGATACTCTCATACTCCCCAAGTTCGTCATACTTCTGTTCCAAACTCAATGAGCCTCGGTAGTCTCCAGTCTCATGGGAATTAAGGGAGCTCATCAACTTGTCTTTGCCCAGAGTGTTGTTGAAGCTCATATACACTTTGCTCAAGATTGGATCTGCTCGTAGAATCGAGTCGGACGTCCAGGGACCAAAGTGACCGTTCCTAGGACCGGCATCGTTGCGACTACAGTTGTACACCTGAGGCAGAATCACCATGTCGTGGTCATCTTCGTCTGCCACATTCGAGACAGAATCATCGTGAATGAGACTTGCTACACTCAACCGCTTGGAGGGTATCGCACTTGAAGTCGTTGACGTCGACAGCACCGAGTTTGTTGGTGACTTTTGTGTACTGGAGTTCGAAGGACTTGGCCCTTGAGCAAGACGGGCCTCTAGTTCACGAGTTTTGAGTTGCAATCGTTTTAAAAGCACCAATCGGTCAGTTGATGGGGGGTTGTTAGCAAAAGGGACAGTTCCATAAACACACTTCGTACCGTATTTTGCACACATGGAGCAAGGAGTCTGCTTGTCACACCTGACTTTTCTGCTTCGACAGGGTTGACAAACTGAAGTTGGACGTGATCTTTTAATGGGCATGTGAGATCTGGGAGTTGATGTTCAAGGTTTAGGAACCAGCAAGTTTGTGGAGGGACTAACTGGGTTTGTGGATGAAGAAACTGGGTTGTGGCCCAATAAGTGACCGGGTGTGAGGGTTTGAAATGAAAATAGTAAGTGTATGCTGCTTCACTAATGATGGACGTAAATAACCTGGGGTTGGGGTTGGGGTGTGGGGGTGAGATGCATGGATAGCTATACAAACACTAGAACAATAAAAAATGAGCAAACACCAGAAGTCTAGTTCAAGAGCCAGCAAGATGAGTGTCAAACAACCAATAAGGCCAAGCTAACCTTATAATGCCTTCGAGAGGGTTGTAAAAATTGGTGATACAAAAATCAACCTGCAGTGACATCGCGCACCTCAATCAATGCGAGCATGAAATGTCGTCAGTGTTCATTAATATTCTACTTTCTAAGCGCTAGTGTCTCTCCAGCAACCGTGACCCCGGATAGACAACACCTGGAGCCACACTGGGTCACCTGTCTGGATATTCAAATCACGAAGAGTTTCTGCAAACTGCAAATCGTCGAGTGCGCTTGAAATTACTTCAACCACTTGTGGAATCTGCCGAGTACTGTACGAATCCAGGAGAATTTGGTTGTAGATGATGTTGTTCATCTTCACGAGTCGCCAGGAGTAGTAGCAGCTCGAGGCAAAGTCCAGCATTAGGCTCATAAAAAACTCTGTTCCTTGTGCAATCGCATCGCGAGTTTCTCCTCCGGTATTAGCCAAGAGCCCAAGATGTAATTCCACGATTCTGTTGAGCACTGCTTGGATTGGCAAAACTAAGGCGATTCGGCATAATCTCTCCTGTCCCACTGGTTGATTCTCACGAAGCTCGACCAACACTTCGTTTATAATGGGTAGAATATTCCGGTATATCTTTGTCCAAAGGTCTACGCAATTACGCAAAAACCGTTCTTCAGTAGACGTTTTCAGAATACGCCAGAGCATTCTGGCTCGGAATGCCAATGCAAAACAACTGTTGAAGAGATAGTACTGGAGCCTGAGAGACTTCATAAAAAGGTGTTCAGGGTCAGCTGAGTGTGACACAAGCTTTTCAAAGAGTGGTGAATCGGCGATTAGATTATTGGCGTGGGTTTGGAATTTCTTGGAGAGCGACTTGAACTTGAACTTCTTTTCCAAGTTGAATAACGACTTCTTGAATGGCTTGATACGTTCTAGTGTGCTCTCAGCATGACCTAGAACAAATTGGGTGATTTCTTCAAGACCAGTATCTATATTATTGGAGTTTATTGCATTCATATAGGGGGCCTTGGTATCATGGAGAAATTTGAATTGATTCAGAACATTCCCTGAAGGTCCGGTGGTCTTATTGTCGGTGATGCTGGTGAAGTACCAGAGTTTCCGACGCAAATTGAACAACTTCCCATCTTCACCGCGGGGATTCAAGATCAATGGATCTCGGTGCAACCCCAACAGATAAGCTTTCTGAATGACGACCGATGCCAACAATCCCGACGAGTTTTGCTCAAGGCCTTCTCCAATATCTGGTGCAGTAATGTGGAACACTTTGAGAGTGAGTAATAGCTGGAAATAATCGAGATCCGTATACCTTATTATATCATATCGATTGGCACATTCAGTAGCTAGTTCCAAAGCTTTTGCATCCACAGATGGGAGAGAACTATTGTTCAAGTAACTGAGTCTAATTACCAAAAGCAACTGCCCGAAGAATATAAACGATTTGTCATTATGAATCTTCACAATATGGTCGGCATCAGTACCGACCAAAATATCGATTTCATGCCTGAAACTCTCCTCGTCAAACAACGGCATAAAAACATGAAGCATCTTGAAGAAGTAGTCAATCAACACCTTGATGTCTTTGTTTTCCGGCAACATTCGTATGATTTTCTGGAGAAGGAGTTCATTGCTGTGAGCAGAAAACGGCATCACCAAAAGCACCAACCGAGCACTAGAAGGACTCGGTATATCATATAATATACGAAACTCATTATTAGATTCCAACAAGTTATTGAATATCTTCTCCACTCCCGGTTGTATCTTCATCATCGCTGCATAACTGAGAGGACCTAGAAACTGGCCCTTTTCCATAGGATCATAATCGTCAAATAAACAGAATTCGTCATCAAAGTTATCATCGGTCTCATCGTCCAGGTCACTTTCGAAACCATCATTGAAGTCACTGTCGGATTCGCTGAATCCTCTGATGTTGATGTCATTTACCCGTTTGTCCAAGGTATCGATTCGATTAATGAGCTTGCGAACCAACCTGAGTTCACTCGACTCTAAAGGAACAACCCCTGCCGGATACTCACACACTGGATTATTGAACTTCACACATGAGGAACATGGTGATTCCTTGTTACATCTGATTTTCCGTTTCTTGCAAAAACCACACACAACAGTGCTTCGTGATTTGGTCATAGTTCATTATTTTGTAATCGCGTTATTGATTCGTATATTATAGTCGCATTTGTACAACTCTTTTACCCTAAAGTAGAGATAACATCCTTATAAAAGTCGTCAAGACTGAAGTCTTCCTTGTGCTCTTTCATAGATAACATAAGGAGCCACAACAGGTCTCCATCATCACCCGCTTCTACTTTTTGATCAAATCGGTCGGAGGCTGCATATCCATCAGTTGAAATGAACGGATAGTCACTAGGAATTGAAGCAGAATAGAACGTCTGGTTAATTTCAAACTCGTTGATAGCTTTTGTCAAAGAAGACACTAAAATTCTGATGCAGTTGGTGGTAAATCCAAAATTCCCAGTGCAATTCACTCTTTGTTTGATCCTGTCCAAGTTCACCTTGCTGGTCAAATGTTCATAAATCTTAGTGAACTTCCAACTTGCGTAGCACAGGCTGGAGAGAAGTCGATTAATGTCTCGGAAAAAACTGCCTAACTTCATCAAAAGGATTTCAAGGTCTGTAGTTTCCAAGTCGATTATCCTCAATTTTATAAGGGTTGAAGCGATAATGAGAGACACTCTCTGGACAGTCACAAGTAAACGAGGAAAGAAGACGAACCTGAGCATTTTCCCTTTACTTTCAGGGTTTAGAAACGCTCGGTCAATCAATGGCAATACCGACTTTCCAATAACATTGAAGATTCTGATCAAATAGGTGATTCCTTTTGCGGGTTTATTTATGGTCAAATAGTGTCCATAAAGCATGTTGCACATTGATATTAAAACGTACCCGGTAGAAATGTAGAACTTCACAGTGTACGAGTGGTACATTCTCATTGCCACTATATCATTACTTTCATGGAGGTACCATTGGAAAAGCTTTATGGTGTTCTTCAAGTTGGCAAAACAGGACTCAACCACCTGGAAAGATGAACCGACGTTCACCTTTTCATCGGAGGCATGGATAACATACAACTTGTTCAAGCTCTGGAAAGACCGCTTCATATGGACAAACATTCTGATCGAATGCTTATCAACCTCGAGGTCGAGGGCGTTTGCATCTCTTATATCATCACTTGCTACTGGCACCGAAGTGTTGAAAAAAGACTTACCAACGTTGGAGGGGTGGCCCAGAGTTAACATACTGGAATGGTCATGTAGACAAATTAGATACCAGAACTTTTTCCTAAGGTTGTCTTCGCTTCGATTGGAGGTATGCGAATCTTGATGTAGACCTAACGAGAGACCAATTTGCAACATTACTGTGTTGATCATCTGAACTTCGTCATCGTCTATCTCTTCTGATACTTCAGGGCTTTCGATTCGCCAGATCCTGATAAACATCAAAAATTGAAGAATGGTGAAGTTGGACTTGCCGAACAAATCAAACTGATTAAGAAATATCTGGGCAAGTTGATACACTTGCCAGTTTTTAGCAGTGTTATGATCACAGTTGAGCTCTTGGGAAATTTCTTCATCTTCGCCGCCAGTGAAAAAGCCCTCCTGATATATCGTTACCATTACAAGTCGGAGAATAATTAACAAGATCCCTAGATGGGCAAAGTCGATGTTGGAAGAAATGTGGAGCTGTGTCACCGGTTTCAACACATACTTGCGACCCCCTAGGATCCTCTCCATGTGAGCAATGAAATGGCTCTCATTAAGGAATGGAAAGATCGAGTACAATTCGGTAAAATAATGGTGGAGGATAATCCAGATAATCTTATGTTTGGGTAAGATCAGGATCACTTGATTAAGGATCTTTTCAAGAACATCGGGGTTATCCATCAAGTTGTATAACGCTTCTTTTGAGATATTTTTAGATTCTTGCCAAACTCCATCCTTGTACGCCTGTAAGCCTGCCACTTCAGATATAGGGTCGTTGTCATTCAAATAATTAAATGTATTTGCATCAAATATGATTCTTTGGTCTCTTCCAAATAACGAGTCAGATCTTTTCCCAGTTTGTTGGGCCTCCGTGGCCAGGTCGAATGCCTCTTTCAATATGGGATCGAACTTGATCAGCCCCCAAATTGTGGGAGCACTGCAGAACTTATTTGCGGCTGGAGTTCTCTGATAATGACAGTCGTGCATTGTGAAGAAACTGGCTTCATCATCACTTTCGCCGTCATCCTCTATCGAATCCCGGAGACGAATGGAAGACTCTAGGCGGGTTATTTTTTCGTTAAGTTGGAATAAGGAAGATGATAGGTCTAATGGATCGGAAGGTGACGGAGATTCTTTCTTTAGAGAAGGCAGGGGTTTGGTGGGTATAGAGTACTCACAGGTAGCTTTGAATTGAATGCATCGATTGCAGGGCTTCCCCTTGTCGCATTTGATCTTTCGCCTACGGCAAAAGTTACACAGCACGGTCTTTCTCTTCTTGAGAGGTAGCAGCATGTTTGGCTTTATTTCGCAAATGCGAAAACTGATGTACTAGACCCAAAATACCAAATAGACATGCACAAGTGGGCAAGAAAAATAGACATGATCTCAGGTAAGTAGTGTAGTGAGATGGCACCTGTAGCGGTTGCCGATATTCCATCAATGGCTAATCTCGGAAAGAAGCTGATTCCAGACAATCAATTCAGAGAGCGGCGATGACAACAAGGAGTAATAAGAAAAGGAAGAGATCTAGAGGAAAGTCTGCAGAGACCTCGGGTAATTCCATATTTATATTTTCCAAGTCTATTATATTCCTAAGTATTCGTAAATTTGCAGCACCACATCAACACAAACAAAGCTCCCATTTCATCTCTTGTACCACCTCCACCCAATCAAACAACCGTGCTCCGTTCTCATTACGGTCCCAGCACTTAAGTATCACTGCCTTGGACCGAGTCACATTTCCCACACTGTAACAGGCTTGGACCTTATTCATGACATCCATAAACAGTAGCCGAGCAGGCCCTACGGCGTTAATGCCCACAATTGTTAACGGAAACGTCAAACAGGAAACGAACCTCGAGTGCACGAGGGAGTGGATATGAGGAAGAGCCTCATCCACAAGTAACAGGATATCTACCGATTTGGGCACCAGACGTTTGAAGTACATGTAAAGCACCAATTTGGTAGCCACTTTGTAGAGCTTGAAGAGCGTCAAGTAGTTGTGTTTGGCACTGTCTTGCAAGAGTTCGAACTGGTGGTTGACAGGTTCACACAGTTCGACCTTGGCCCAAAACCGGTGGAAAGCAGCATCTAGGGCCTGGAGGTCGTCTTCATCAATTCTCACCTTCTCATTAAGAATGTCTCCCAAGTGACATATCAAATCGTTATTACACCCCTGGTAGGGGTCCACCCCGTAGTTCACAAGGTTCAACTGGTAGTTTTCAATGGGGAATCGGGTTCCCCGTATGAAGGCTCCTGACTGTAAAATATCATGATATTGAAAGTTGGAGATGAGCCATTTGACATCGTTGGAATGCAGAAACTTCTCCAACAAGAAGCTGAATCCACCGTTGGCATCGATGCCGTTGAAGCAGTTGGTGAGCATTTTGTGCCAGTAGTAGACATCTCCCAGGCATACCTGTATACCCACCATGATCTGGTAGAAACACAAAAGAGTGTAGTAGCGACTGATGTCCAGAATACTGAAGTTCTGAGCAAGTTGAATTGACTTGTTCATGTACCGTTTGACCTGGAGGTTTTTAAGGCCGTTACCCTCTCTGAAAATGCCTCCCCAACACGCCAACGCATTGGAAATCGCTTCTTCTGTCAAGCTGATTTGGAGAAATGTCTTGACAAAGTAGTTGGATGAGTGTTTGTCAATGCACAAAAGCGGGCTGACCTTCTCTTCGAAATACTGAAGAAACTGGATGCCGTGCTCATCGAGGTGGAGGTTCAACGTAGACAATGATGGGGGAATTAATTGGGGACTGGATTGCGATGATGGAACCAATTGTGGACTTGATTGCAATGATGGGACCAATTGTGGAGTTGATTGCGGGCTCTGCGACATGAGGTCGTCAAGGGAGAGGTTTTCATCGGCATCCATGAGCTCTATAATCTTACGCCATCGGCTGTCGGGAGATGTGGGTGTATTTATAAGCACTGGTGGTGTGAGGACCTCCAAATTGTCTGGCACTGGCAGGGTTGATACCTGGTACGTGGGAACGATTGGTACCTTGTACAGTATCAAAGCCTCTATCTGGGGATCGGGTGGTGGTGGTGTTTTCAGTTTGGTGACTTTGGCGGGTCTGAAAGTACGATAAGCACACTCAATACCTCTCCGTTGACATAAGCCACAGGCCGGTAAGGTCTCGTCGCATTTCTTCTTGCTGTGCTTACAGGCGGAACAGCCATTGCGGGACCGGACGGTGGAGCCAATGACAAAGTTGAATCTCTGACGCTGCATTACCATGGTTGGTTTGTAATAATGATTTAGATGTTAGCGCGGGCTGCGAAAGCCGCCGATCTGAGGTGAGGCTCAAGATGCCAGAACACAGATATTTTTGACACCAGAGCAAAGTTCAGATGAGGTAGCCTAGAACCCCTGGTGGATCCTTCCACAGTATCTCCCAGTCTCTCCCGTCTCTCTCAACCTCCCCCAGTCGCCCCCAGTCTATATCCACCCATTAATCACTACCAGTCCCTGCCACTCACCCTCTGCCACTCACACCCCGATATGGACCCCACTTCCCAATGGCTCGCAACTGCCCCCATGCCATTATAAGCCTCCGCTCCCTTTTTAGGCAACCGAATACATGGGAGATCTTGGCCCGTCAGGCGCGCCAACATCAGTTCCCCACATCTATTGTTTGAAAAAGTTGGGGCTCTCGAAGCACTCCGGGTGATGCCAGCATCGGACACAGTGGCAGCCCTGTACCCCTCGGCCCCTCTCCAGGAACCAGTAAACACGTCTCTTGGCTCTAATTACCGCAAGGCTCTGGTATCTAGCTCCCCCCTCCAAAAAAAAACAGGTACACCCATCTTGTCCGAGTTCGCAGACTTTTAGGGTCCCCCCACGCTTCCCCAAACTTCGCTACCAAAACTACTTTTCCGATCACCAGAAAATAAAATTCTACAACTACTTCTTTACACCTATACCAGTCCGAGATTTTAGCCTCCCTACAGATGTCGGCCCAAATCCACTCGAACATTGACGTGTCCGACTGGAACCTTAAGAACAACCCTTCTTCCGTGACAATGAGCGAAACGCCTCAACCCCATGATTCGTCAGCCGCCCGGCCTCAGAAACCTAAAACCAAACGGTCAATTCGAGCCAAATACTCTCGGCCTTGTGATGGATGTGCCCTTAGAAAGGTCCGGTGTGACCAGCAAAAGCCTTGCTCTCGGTGCGTGGAGCACAATGTCCCTTGCACCGATAACCGGCTCAAAAAGAAGTGTGGGCCTAAACATATCCACAAAAAGACCAGAGACTCCATCAACAATTTATCGATGGGTAACGCCAAAATCAACACCTTGGGCGACCATAACCAGATCTTAACCTTGGATAAACTCTTACCATGTCTTCAGATCTATCAGACCTGGTACTACGGGATTTGGCCGGTGTTACTGGTGGCTCACTTGGTGCTGAGAATCGTCCAATTAAACCCCAACAGCGACTCGACCCTCAGCAAGGAAAATGCTACCAGCTATGCCTTGTGCTGCGCCGTGTGTGCGGCCATCACTCGCCAGCTCACGTTCTTGACGGCGGGGAACCCCATTGTGGGGGCCCCAGCCAATATCGATGCCAGCCAGTACGCTAAAGAGGCTATTCGGGCACGTAACTTGTTTGACTACCGACTTGACCCTTCTCACGACAACTTGTTGATCTCGTTCTTTCTTTACATCTATTATATCAACATTAAAGATGGGATCCAAGCAGCCATCTTGTATATGAAAGAAGCCATCTCCATTGCTCAGTTACTTGGTTTACACGATCCTAGAACATATTCTGCGAGACCCACCGCCGAAGTCCACCGGTTGCGAAAAATTTATTATATGCTTTTGGTGACCGAAAGGTTTCTGTGTATCGAAGATAATGTTCCAGTGTGTTTGGAACCTTCAATCCCCTTGCCATCGTTGGAGGATGAGGAGTATAGTGGCTTGTTGACGGGCTTCATCGAGTTAGTCAAGATCTTTTCCATTCCTGATAAGCGGTTTTTCGATAACTTGATCAACTATAGTAAGAAAAATCCCGGCAACTTGAACAACTTCCAAAACCTCTTTGTGTCAAGTGGGACTCCAACTCGCAAATGGATAACAGATGTGCAAGTTCGCTTGAGCAAGATCGAAGTCACCAATGCTTCAAGTGACACCCAGAGGTTGAACATCATTCTCTCCAAGCACTGGATGCGTGCATTGGCCTGGCACATTTCTTCTCAAAACGGCCTTTTGATCAAGAAGGATACCGATCTGGAAAACCCCTGCCTTTCTTACCAGTACCCCATTGAAATAGCTAAAGACTTTTTGATAAGCACCGAAAACCTCCCTATTTTTGCTTTCGAGTCCAACGGACCCGGGGTACTGGTTAAACTACTCGAAATCGCCTTGGCAGTGGCCGACTCCGTCAATGAGTGTATCATCAATAAAAGTGAGTATTTCACTGCCTATAACTTGTTGACGTCGATCTTCAACTTGGTTTCAAAATTCAAAAGTGAAATCACTATTTCTGAAGAACTATATGTGAAGGTCGAGTCCATTGTGCGGCGTAAATCTATGCCTCTGCCCATCTACCCCAAGAGTTACATTCGTGAAGTCAATAATGATGGAGAAAGCATTGCTTCTGAGGAACAGGTTCGCTTGACACCCGAGGATCCAAGGCCTAAAGCCGACTTTTCCAAACTGCATGACAAGGATATTATACCCTCTGAGTTTAAGTATTTGGAACCAATTCCTTCATTGCTCAATTCTCCTGGAGAAGGCGATTTTCAACCTCATTCTCCTTTCACTCAAATGACGATGGCTTTCTCGATGTCACCCAACCAGTTTGGACTAGAAGAGTTCAACTTAGAGATACAAAATAGACAATCGCATGAGCCGTTCCAAACTTTCCAACACACCCAATCACCCTCGTCTGCTCAATTGCACCAATTGGAACTACAGCTTCACCATCAGTTTAGCCAATTCCATCCCAACCAAGATAACCAGTACCAGTATGGGACCCCCAACAAATCTCAAGTCAATGGAGATGGTCCTGACCAGGGTCAAATCCAAAATGATGATGTTTCTTCCAATTCTCACCACGACAATGACCTGACGTCTTCCTTCAAGAACGATTTCGGCTCCCCGTTGAATTCCGATATTAGTTCTTCGTATGGTTCATCCGTAAGTTCTGGTGATCAAAGCAATGTATAAATCAACTCCAGCATGCCCCTGATAAATAGCTGTGCACAATATAATGAATATAAATTACGGAAATTAATGCCTTATGAGTAGTTTTTTTCGCAACCATCGCATTTCTCCTCGGATATTTTGTGGTAAAGTTTATCGCAACTACAGAAAATTGCACGGAATTACTCCGGGCTTGATAAACATTACTGTAAGTAAATGAAACCTGAAATGGCTATTTGTATAGTTTATCCGGGTGTGCCCCTCTATTACCTCATCATTGACCGGCTATACTTGCTGCTGCTGCGAGCAGTGGGGTGATGAACCAGGAATGAGGTATTTGTGCTCCCTAGTTGCGGTCTGTGGTTCTATTGCAACCTTCTGCTATTTGCATTCTGTAGTCTATTACGTCTCTTGTTTATCCAGTAGGATGATCTGGTGTCATTGTCACCACCATCTCCGCAACAATACAGTCCGTTCTGGTTAAACCTTGTGTTAATGTATATGACAGTTCGACACCTAAATTGTTACAAATGTCCTCTTCACTCCTGGCTGTATATGAGCCTTAGATCTATGTTGATAATCTCAGTAAACGGCTCTGTTGGCTCGTCGATATTCCCAATGATCAAAAGGAAAAAGTAGGGAAGCAACAACAAATTCCGAACTATTTCTAATACCGAAATCACCACGAGCAAATACTTTTCCACAGCCAACTGAACCAATTGGGCTATCATTGGGACGGATACGAGCAATTTGGTGCCGTTGGCGGCCACTTTATCGTTGGCTCTAGCACTCACTTTGAAGATAGGTTTATGCTAAACACAAAGTTTGTATTATTTCGTTATCTACGGATTCTTGTTTTTTACTCATTCCTACAAGCCCTTTTTGCACTTTGACATTAAAACTTGCTCTGGGGCTCTGGTCTACGGATATTTGTCCCCACCCGGCCTCAGTAATATAGGTATCAAATTATAGATTCTTGTTGCACGGAGCTGCTCCTATCACCGACGTGGCCGGGTTTTGGTGGTGTTGGTTCTACGGGAATGCCCTAAAAGATGCGCAGAATTTTTGCAGCTATGGCAACCTGACGCTTTTATGTGTATTTTTTTTTAGCTACAAAGCCTACAAATCAGGCTCCACATGTGCGCGTTGTTTGTGTGAGCGGTGCTACTGCTAAGTTGTAGTCAAGTTGGTGCAGTATTTAAGTTCAGTGTAGACGCGTCTTGGACGATTCACGGTCATACTTATTGCAATTTCAAAAGTCCCTTCTTGCCCTACAAGGAGACGATCGTATCGGTTGTATCACCCTGTGGTTGCCTTTTACTTACGGCAAATACATCAAATACGCGCATCTAAATGTGGTTGTGTGATTTGAGTGCCCAGTTGAACAAGTGCGTTGAGAAAATAAATTTCAACTTATCAACATTGTGAACACAGCCAACCCCATGACAGGAAAAGTTATAGATAGGGACGAGGTGGACGTACCGTCACCTTCGCCTCAGCCGGTGGTACTGATTCCACAGGATACGTCTACCTCCACAAACGTGGGCCAAAACAGACAAAAGTACTTTGTAACCTCCGACAAGCCCAGGCTTGATGCTGAGGATACAGCAAAAAGATTCAAATACTTATTGGGATTGACAGACTTATTCAAGCACTTCATCAATGCCAAAGCGGAGAAGGACGCAGGCATCCGGAAAATCTTGAATAAAGTTGAACTGGAAAGAACTGGTGAACAGGTTCCCAATCACAGAGGCAGAAAGACCGAAAAGGAGGAGGATGCTGAGTTGTTGAACGATGAAATTGAAACTCCAGCCATAACCGAGTTTACCGAAAGTCCTGCTTATGTTCATGGAACCCTTAGACCTTATCAGATCCAAGGGTTGAACTGGCTTGTATCTTTATACGAGAACAACTTATCGGGAATATTGGCAGATGAGATGGGGTTGGGTAAAACCCTCCAAACTATCTCATTTTTGGGATACTTGAGGTATTTCAAAGGCATAAATGGCCCCCATATTATCATCACCCCCAAATCCACCTTGGATAACTGGGCCAGGGAATTTGCCAGATGGACTCCTGATGTAAGAGTTTTGGTACTACAAGGTGATAAAGACCAAAGAAACCAATTGATCAATCAGAGGTTGATGACCTGCGATTTCGATGTAGTCATTTCTTCGTATGAAATTGTTATCAGAGAAAAGTCGGCTTTGAAGAGGTTCAAATGGGAATATATCATCATTGATGAGGCCCATAGAATCAAGAACGAAGAGTCATTGTTGTCCCAGATTATAAGAATGTTCCATTCTAATAATAGGTTGTTGATAACCGGAACCCCTTTGCAGAACAACTTGCACGAGTTGTGGGCGTTATTGAACTTTATATTGCCTGATGTGTTCGGAGACTCCGAAGCGTTTGATCTGTGGTTTCAGGATAATGAGGGACAGGATGAAAATTCGGTTGTACAACAATTGCACAAAGTCTTGAAGCCGTTCTTATTACGGAGAATCAAAAGTGAAGTGGAAAAGTCTTTATTGCCAAAGGAAGAATTGAATGTCTATGTCAAAATGACCGACATGCAGAAGAAGTGGTATCAAAAGATTTTGGAAAAAGATATCGATGCTGTCAATGGAGCCAGTGGTAAAAAAGAAAGCAAGACTAGATTACTCAACATTGTTATGCAATTAAGAAAGTGCTGTAACCATCCTTATCTTTTTGAAGGGGCTGAACCTGGTCCCCCATATACCACCGATGAACACTTGGTGTTCAACGCTCAAAAGATGATAATCTTGGACAAATTATTAAAGAAGTTCAAACAAGAGGGTTCAAGGGTCTTGATATTCTCTCAAATGAGTAGAATGTTGGATATTTTAGAAGATTATTTGCTCTTCAGAGAATATGAATACTGCAGAATCGATGGACAAACCGACCATGCTGATAGAGTAAATTCCATCGATGATTACAATAAACCGGGATCTTCCAAATTCGCCTTTTTGTTGACCACAAGAGCTGGTGGATTGGGCATTAACTTAACAACGGCAGATATTGTAATATTATTTGATTCCGACTGGAATCCTCAAGCCGATTTGCAGGCTATGGACAGAGCTCATAGAATTGGCCAAACCAAGCAGGTTAAAGTGTTCCGGTTCATTACCGAACACGCCATTGAAGAAAAGGTGATTGAAAGAGCCGCTCAAAAGTTGAGGTTGGATCAATTGGTTATTCAGCAGGGAAGGCATGCCCCCAATATCAGTAACCAGAGTAACAAGGCGGCTTCGAAGGATGAATTATTGAATATGATTCAACATGGTGCCGCTGAGATGTTTAAAAGCGACTCTACTTCCAAAGCCGGAACAGTAGAGCCAGAAGATGATGATATTGATGCCATTTTGGCCAAATCGGAAGCCAAAACGTCTGAATTGAATCAGAAATATGAAAAGTTGAACATAAATGCCTTGCAAAACTTCACTAATGACGAATCAGTATATGAATGGAACGGGGAAAACTTTAAGAAAAAGGAACCCACAGCCATCACCAACATTGGACATGCTTGGATAAACCCCGGTAAAAGAGAAAGAAAGGAAAACTACTCCATTGACATGTACTATAAAGATGTGTTGAATACTGGAGGAAGTAGATCAACTATCAAGTCGGGACCAAAACCTCCAAAGCAACATAACATCTATGATCATCAGTTCTTTCCGGCTAAGTTGCTTGAGCTCCTTGAATTGGAAAAGAACTATTATAAAAAGCAGATAAAATACCAGGTTCCTCTTAAGAGTGGACCACCCAATACCTTGGATGAACGACAATTGGAACAAAAACTTGAGCAAGAAGAAATAGAAAAATCGAGGCCTTTGACCGAAGAAGAGAAACAATTGAAGGATGAGCTCCTTACCCAAGGATTTGGTAATTGGAACAGACGTGATTTCCAGCATTTCATAACCTTGAATATCAAATATGGTAGAAACTCGATTCAGTTGATCACCAACGAGTTCGAGGATAAAACCATCGATGAGGTCAGAGACTATGCGAAGAGTTTTTGGAAAAAATATGAAGAAATCGACGGGTATGAACGTTATATCAATCAGATCGAAACTGGTGAAGAGAAAATCATCAAAATCAAGTTACAGAAAGAAGCATTAAGGAGAAAACTCAGTCAATTCAAATATCCTTTACAAGAACTCACATTGAAGTTCCCACCTGCGTCTTCCAACCGAAAGGTTTGGTCAGAGGACGAAGACCGGTTCCTATTGGTACAGCTCTACAGGTTTGGAATCGATAGACCTGATATCTATGAAAGAATAAAAGAAGCTATACGCGACTCGATTTTGTTCAAGTTTGACTTTTTCTTCCAATCTAGAAATACCACCGAGATATCCAGAAGGTGTCAAACCTTGTTGGGTTGTGTTTTGAGAGAAATGAACCCACCGGTTACGGGATCCAAAAGAAAGTCTGAAACTCCCGACGTAGGTGAAAAGACCAAAAAACCTAAAAAGTAATCCACAATGGACTTTTACATATTTATAAATATATTAATTACATGAACGTCCACTTATACAATTATTATCTTACCCAAACGTCACCCGAGTAATGGGGTCAAGTACTTCTCGAATGTCAACGGACTAATATCACTGGGGAACCTATATACAACGTTACCGTTTCTGTCTATAACAAATTTTTCAAAGTTCCAAAACACACCTTGGAATCCGAGTTTACCTGGCCGGGCAGCCTTTAAAAACTTATAAATATCGTCTGCATTGCTTCCGTTCACCAAAACCTTGTTCATTATGGGGAATTCTACCCCAAACTTTTGTTTTGTTTCCCTTACGATCTCATCTATCGGAGCCGGCTCTTCGTTCCAAAATTGGTTACTTGGAAAGGCCAATATCACAAGTCCATCGTCCTTGTATTTGTGATATAGCGTTTGAAGCTCTTCAAACTGCGGAGCAAACCCACACAATGTCGCGGTGTTAACAATAACTATCACTTTACCCTTATATTGGCTTAAGGAAACCTGTTGAAGGGTAGAATCTAACACCGAGATGTCGTAAATTGATTGAGCCATTGGATTATTTTGAGCAATGGGAACGAGAGTAAGATCAGTATCTACTTGAATCGGGTTTCTGAATGGACCTGGAGGCGGTATTCACGTTCTCAGACACCCCAGCACCGAGTAGATTCTTGTAATATCCAAACAGCTATATGAAATGAAAATGACCAACTGGGTCGTGTACCACCCCCGGTTCTTTCGCACTTTAGCTCGTCTGATCATTTTGAGATCCTTACAAAATTTTTTGTGATTGCACAAACATTGTCTGATCAAGGAGACTCAGTTAACCCCGAACCATTTATTGTTCACAAGAACGTAAACCATTCATTTATATATCATCCAGTATCGACCACAAATAACCTATTTTTTTGATTTGAACAGTCTGCTCAAGTATTTTTATTTGCCCCTTCCTAAGACACACATTGTTTTTATTTCCTGAACCCGATAGAAAATGTCTTTTAACGTGGATTGGAACTTATTAGAGACGGAGTCTATGGCCCAGTGGACCAAGGAGCTACTCACAGAAACGTTGAATTCGGGCAAACGTCCCAATATATTAGCGTCTGAAATCGAGATTAAAGACTTAAACTTCGGCAAAATCCCTCCCACATTTGAGATACTAGAAATTGGAGAGTTGGAGACAGACCGATTCAGAGGCATCTTCAAAATCAACTACGATGGGGATGCTCACATCACTTTGCACACCAAAGTTCAAGCCAATCCGTTAAAGATTTACAGTGATAACTTAACTGAATTGGAAGACTTCATCGGAGGTTCCAGTGACTTTATTAAGCCCAATTTCCAGCTCTCGAATGACGAATTTTCTTTGCCTTTAGACTTGAAGTTGAGTGATATAAAAATCTCTGGTATTGGAATCATTGTATTCTCCAAAACAAAAGGATTGACCCTTGTTTTCCGTAACGACCCCTTAGACTCCATCAATGTCAGCTCCACCTTCGACATGGTGCAAGTGTTGGCTAAGTTCTTACAAAGCCAAATTGAAACTCAAATCAGAGACTTGTTTAGAGAGACTCTACCCACTGTGTTACACAAGTTGTCCTTGAAGTATATTTCCTCGAATAATGATAATTTCTTGAATAACTTGAACTTGCACAACTTCAATGTTAACAACAACAACGAGGTGGTCTTGTTTGATTTGAATAACGAATTCAATAACTATTCGGCCAAAAACTTGCAGAAAAACTTAAAGCTCTTTAATTCAAGAGAAACATTGAACTTGCATATTCCAAAATTCAAGAATGTTATTCAAAGATCCAACTTGCAGAAGTTCAACAAGAAATTGTCGCCAAATTTACTCACATCATTAAGCTTGATAAATGATAATAAGGTATTTGATAATAATGGCAGCAATGGAATTCCAATCAACTTTTTGGTGGATAAGGAGTACACAGATGTACAACACATTGTCAAGAACATCTCAGACATCCAGTCAAATAACTATTACCAAAAGAATGTGAACAACAACATGGCGAAGCCCAAGAGAAGAGTTATTAAATTGAACCGAAACAAGACATCCAAGAGTATTGACAATAATGCAAGCAATACTATGTCTGTAGCTGAAAGCACCCTATTATCTAACTACAACGGCATTTCTCAGACCTCAACGATGAATGATGATGACAACTTAGATGTTACACAGTCTGAGGACATGGAGTCTGAGGGAAGCACGTGCGTCGATGAACAAGATGATGTGCTACAACAACCAAGACCATTGAGATTAAACGAACTCAAACAGATTCATTCTCATTCACATTTCCACCGGAACTTCGACAATAGTTCACCAAATAATTCCAACAGCTCTTTCTTGAGTGGAGTGGGAATAGGTAACAACTACTTTAACTTCACCAACAAGGAGCACGTGAACCCTGATGAGTTCAAGAAGTCTGACGATGAGGTCTATAATGAAGTTAATGAGAAATCTAACAACTACCTTGATGTGAAAAGCATCAAGGAGAAATTGAACGAGTTACGAAAATTGCAGATGGAAAACCACAAACATTTTTACATGGAGATGCCGCCCCCTTATCAACTATAAAGTAGGAGCCGGCTCTCCTTTGTGTGTATTTATTTAGTTCTTATTTATTATATTTATTCATGTAAATAAACTGGTATGAATTTAGTTTTTTATTACATCTCTCAAATGGGTAATATTAGTTTCATCTCTGCGCGTGCGAAACAAAAACAAAAAAATTACCTTAAAATCAAAATCAGCTAGTTTGCCATTTTTTCTGTTGATGACGTTCGGAAGCTTTGAAGAGCTCTGCAAACATACATCCTTGCCCTTGTGCTCTGTTATAAGCACATCCAACTCTACCAGTGAGTTTACGCGGGGCGTTTTACCCCAATGTTACAGCAGATCGGTCGAATTGGCAAACACCATGATTTTCCTGGTTGGTAATGCTTTCATTCATTTTGCCACTTTAGGAGTGTTATTGATCATCTTGTTCAATGTCAGAGCAAAGTACACTGCCATCGGAAGAACAGAGATGTTGTTTTTTTTCTACTTGTTTATTGGTTTAACTGTAAGTTCATTGGTGGTCGATTGCGGTGTTACACCTCCTAGCAGCAGCAGTTATGCATATTTTGTGGCGGTTCAAATGGGCTTGGCCGGCTCTTGTTGTATATCGCTATTGTACAACGGGCTTTTGTGCTTCCAGTTTTGGGAAGACGGGTCTCGAAGATCCATGTGGATATTGAGGTTGGTGTCTATTGGGTGGTTTATTGTCAACTTCTTCATTGCCATTTTTACTTTCAAGAACTGGGGAACAGGCTTGAGTACCACAAACACAACCGGCTTATTTGTCGTGGGATACGTGTTGAACGCGTTCATTTTGTTTGTATATGTGGTGAGTCAAGTAGCATTGGTGTTATTTGCCTTGGATTCATATTGGCCCTTGGGTGCCATATGCTTGGGGGTGTTCTTCTTCGTGGCCGGACAGGTGTTGATGTACGTGTTTAGCGAAAAGATTTGTGAAGGGGCCACTCACTACATAGATGGAGTCTTCTTTGCTACCGTGTGTAATACTTTCACGGTAATGATGATTTACAAGTTTTGGGACATGATCACGACCGATGACTTGGAATTTTCGGTGGCTACGGTAGAGAACGGGGTGCGTTCTTTTGGTCTCGAAGATGAAAAGAGAAACAGCACCTTTTTCTCCTAGTTTAATAGAGAAAGAGTGACCCACAGAGAGAAAGATAACACCTCTCCATGCGAAATGCCTGTACGGGTTAGCATTTACCCATAAAAATATATACAAGGAAAATATATAACCTAAACCTGACATCCATAAAGCAGCCATTCTGTCTTGGAACTCGGTTCTATTTTTGGTCAGGCCAACGTCATGGCTGCGCTTCGCATAAATAAACACATCACCGCTTTTTCGCGCGACGATTCGAAACCCCATTAAAAACATAATTCACGATTGAAACTACTAGCAACCTTTTGTTTATCATGTCGGAAATAGAAGCACCCAGACTCTTAGAGCTGGATCAGATAATCAACATCTTGAACAACGATGGTAGTTTGGACTTGTTATTGAATAGATTAAAGAAAAGTGTCACCACTGGAGAGGAGTTCTCAAAGTACATCAAGAAGAAAGCCATCATAGAGGACGACCATTATTCTCAACTAAAGAAGTTTGGCAGTCAATCCAGGCAGGCACTTAAGAATCCTTCGAAGTTGAAGGAGGACTCGTTCAGTGATAAGTTGGACAAGATCATTGAATTTGACGAGAAACTATACGGGGTTGGATCTTCCTACGTGACTGCTTTAAACGTCATGTACGATGAATTAACGTCTTTGATTGCTGCCGTCATCAGATCAAGAAAGCAGATCAAAGAAGAAGGTAAGCGGAAAGAAAAGGATTGTCAGGATTCTATTCAAGCTGCTGAAAAGGCCAAAATGAAGTATAATCACTTGTGTGATGATTTGGACAAGCTCAAGAACGGTGACCCCAAGAAGACCTTTTCTTTGAAGAATAAGAGTTATGAGCAACAAGAAGACGACTTACAAAGGAAAGTCGACTTGGCGGATCAAGATTATAGATCCAAAGTGGCTACCTGTAAGAAATTAAAGGATGAAATCTTGATGGTATACAGACCCACTCACACTAAGAAATTAAAGAACTTGGTTTTAGAAATGGACATTGCCATGAATGTTCAATTGCAAAAATTGGCCACTTGGAACGAGACCTTGATCATGAATTCTGGAGTCTTGGTGGCCCCTTTAACATCGTCAAAACCCTCAATGAAGGAGCTTGCTAACGCAGTTGATAATGAGAAGGACCTTTACAATTACATCCTCCGAAGTGAGAAGGAGTTTGCTCAAAACAGGTCTTCTTTGGTGCCAATTGAGTATAAGGTCCATCCATCCTTGGCCAAGTATGAACCACCCAAGTCCAACAAACCATTCTTAAACAACTCGAACCCTAAAAATGTATCGAATATGGCTCTCCCACCTGTTTCTACAGCCTTATATGAATCAACCAGCAGCTCGGGTAGTAACACCAATTATGCCAACAACTCCGTAAACGATTCCGGATTATCCACTTCTGGGTCAGGAAATGTAAATAACTCATATGGAGCTCCACGTCTGCCAAGCGGTGTTAGCGATGCCCAGACTGCACTCACCTACAACTCATTAGATCCAAACAGTCAGCCAAATACACCAGAGCTAAATGGAGTGAAATCATTGAGTCAAGTGTCGCATGCTAATCTTGGTAGTAGTACTTCTTCCAATAGTCAACCTACCTTTGGAGTATCTATTGAAGAATTGATCAACTTTGCAGGAATTGATAATGTTCCTTTGGTGGTAAAAAAGTGTATTGAAGTTATTGAAACGCATGGTTTGGAATTGGAAGGTATATACAGAAAGAGTGGAAATGTTTCCATTGTACAGAACTTGAGAGAATCTATTGACAAAAAGTTCACCAATTATTTATTGATAGGCAACAACATTGATCCAACCAATGTGATAGACACAGACATTTACTGTATTGCATCCTTATTGAAGTTGTATTTTGCCAGCTTACCAGAACCATTATTGACAGAAGAATTCTACCAATCATTCATAGAGACTGTTAAGTCGCTAGATGAAAACTTTATCGCCAAAAAATTGCACCATTTGGTGTACAACTTACCAGATGGAGCCTATTTCACCTTACGAGCATTAATATTCCATTTGAATACAGTTGCATCCAAATCGGACACCAACCGAATGACAGTTAAGAACTTGGCCATTATTTGGGGCCCAGCTATTTTGAACGATAACTCAATGAACCCCCAAGACTTGAGCTACAAGAGTAAGGTTGTGGAAGAATTGATGTTGATTGCTAATGACATCTTTGATACAGAAGACTAAGACCAGCTAAATATGCAGTTTATGTAACAACTATTAATACATTAAATGAAACCCTTTTTTGGGTGCCTCGTTGGTGGAACCTGCCGACGTGCTACTATTACCAGACGAATTCCCCTCTTTATTGGTGCTGGAATTTCTCGACGTGTTTACACTGTTGTATTTGAATCTAGGAGCTTTGGTTACTTTGTTTGGACGGTAACTAGATCTCTCTTTATCTGAATTATGAATCTCCTTATCCTTTTGTAGTTGAGCTTTCTTTTGCTGCTCTTGTTGATGCTCTTCTTCAAGTATCCTATTGAATTCCTCGTCGGTAATGCCCTCCTCTCTCCTCTTCACTTCCTTCAACTCCTTCCTCAACAACTCGTGGAACTCAGGGGAATCAATGATCTTTTCTTGGATGTCTTTATCCACAATACTTAGCAAGCTTGTCAGATCCTTGGAATTGTGTTCACTCATGATTTCTCCCTGGATTAATGCTGCCATCTTTCCCTTATTCTTCATTAGTATATCAGGATTATTCTTCACCTTGCTCTCAACCATTAGCTTCAATTTTAACAACAAGTTTGAGTGCGTTTCCGACGACTTAAAATTCTCCAACAACGTTTTCCTCTGCTTGTCGAATGCTCCTCGCTTCTTGTATACCCCCGTGAGGGCTTTGGGGTCGGTTATCTTCGGTATTTCTTGTCCAGACATCTAAATTGCAATCTGTATTTTTATCCAAATGCGCGCTTCTCATATATATTGAAGGGATCACTAACTGATGGCTGATATACCCACAGAAGAGCTTTTGAATTTCAAAGGGCTGGGGTCGGGATTAGTAGCTCCTAGTGCTACTCTTAGTATGAACCTAACGAAGGCCTCTAGTACCAGTTTGAACACTAATGATATGGCCATTTCTCACAATCCAGTACCTTCCCATTTATCACAATCAAGAGCAAGATCTTCTAGTGCTAATAAGGTGAGTTTTAAACGGCTCAAAACTCACTCCTCCAAATACAGAAACGAAGAGCATTCATTGAAGCAATTGGAATTTTCCAAAGCTTTGGTTCATGAAGCAATTGACTTGGTATTCAACTCTGAGCCATTGAAGTATGGTTACAGCTTTTACTACCAAAAAGTTGAAGCTATTTGCAAGTACAAACATGCAGAACAATCCAAACTTGCAGAACACTTGAAGGGGAAGATTGAGGACCACTTTTTCCTGGTCGTCAAACCAAAAGTATTTGAACTTGTACATTCCCATAATCTCGATGTAAAGCAGTTCATTTCAGACCTCCTAAAGGTGTATGAGAAATGGGAATCAAAACTCAGACTTCTTGGGAAATTGTTCTTGTACCTAGATAGAAGCTATTTACTTCAGCACCCCAACAAGAAAGTCATACTAGAATTGGGACTTGAGTTATATGTGGACAACCTTCTTGCCGATCCAATAGAGGAAGGTATAATCACCATAGACCGCTACACGTCATACTTGTCTCAGTGTCTACGTAGCGAGGTCCAAGAGGATCTAGCCCTTGCTGAAGTATTTTCCAGAATGCTTATAAAGCTAAATTTCAGCCAGAAAATCAAGTTGGATAATAAAATCATCAGTCTGTGTTTGAATTTAGCCAAAGACTTAAGAGAAGTATGGTCTCAAGATTATGATGATTACGTTCACAAGACTTTGAAAAAAATATCTAAGATAATTACATTTTTCAAAGAATGTGGACAACCTAAAGACTTTTGTGAAAAACTACTAATTCAGCTCAAATGGGTCACCATATTCTTTGACTTCAACGAGGTCATTCTGCACTGTTTACCTTATATGCTATCGAGCGAGAATGGATTACAGTTATCCATGATTTATAATTTTTGTGAACTTACTCCTAAGGAATACAGCATTGACTCTATTCCTATTTTTGTTTTGCACTGGGGAAAGATAGTATCACAACAAGTGCAACAGGAGATTGACAAGGAACTGGATATTAGTACTGGAAGCGTCATTGTGAATTTGGTGAAGGTATATGAAAAGTATAGAACGGTGGTTGAAACCAAGTTCAAGAAAAATGAAAAGTTTGAATTTGAAATCAGACATTCGTTCAGCCGGTCTATCAATGCCTCTAGGAAGACGAATTCCTTGATAATAAGCCATTTGTGTAAGTACAGTGATACTTTCTTCAAGACTAAGAAGGCCGGTATTACCTATGACGAATTTGAAGCTCACTTCATGGTTATCTTCAAGTTTTTGAACAATAAAACTGACTTTATTGTAAATTACAAAAATCAGTTATCACGGAGGTTGTTACTCAGTAGAAACTCATCTATTGTGCTTGAAAAGAAATTGGTAGACTCCATAACTAGTATTGTGGGTGAAAATGATGATTCCATTGGATTGAACGTGATGTTTAAAGATTTGGCTAAATCTCAAGAGAAATACTCTCATTTGAAAGGTCTTGGTAACGACTCGATTGAATTTAATGGATTGATATTGGAGAAAAAGCATTGGCCTGAGGTTCCTAAACAAGATAGCAGTGTCATTCTTCCGCCCAGCCTTCTGATGTTAATTGAATCATTCAATAATCTCTATAAGAGCCTGGATGAAAAGTTGAAAAATCATTCTTTAGACTGGGGCTGTTATAATCTACACCAGCTTTTGATTTCATGTCATTTTAATGGAGGTGCATATGAACTTAATGTGAATTTACTCCAGGCTATAGTGATATTGTTATTCAACGACAAAGATACGATCACCATGGATGAACTTATTCAGCAGTCAAACTTGGATGTAAAGCTTCTTCGAAGAATTATCCTTTCATTATCGGATAAGTATAAAATCCTCATTGAGGATGGAGACCTTATTAGGTTCAACCACAGCTTCACTGATAAGTCTAAAAAGTTGAAAATTCCTTTACCAAGAGACAGGGATATTGGAAGTAGTACTTCTAATATCCCAGGTGACGATAAAATAACCACCAGAAATCGGGACACTGAAATAAGATCTGTAATCGTCAGTATCATCAAGGTTGACACAAAAATTCTCTTTACCGACTTGATAAATAAGGCGATAGAGACTGTGAGCAAAAAGGGCCCAGTATCCATTCAAGATATCAAGAGCAATATCGAATTTTTGATTACAAAAGAGTACATTACAAGAGATACGGATAACGTGACATTAACCTACGTTCCCTAGTAACCCGAAGTTCATGTGTTTATTAAGTTTAATGATAAATAAATGTAAATATTTTAGATTGGAATATCTTCTGGATCTGGGTTATATTCCCAGTGTTGACCAAAATAAGGAATCTTCTTATAGAAAGTGTTTTGAAACAATGGAACCCCTTCAGTGAAAGTGGCAACGGCGGCACCGGCGGCACCTCCCCATAACACTAAGTTTGGTAAGTATTTCTTAGCAGTTGGGATTGACACACCAGCGAAGCTGGCAATGGATTTGTAGGCTGGACCTCTAATGTACTACAAAAAGAAGTTAGTATTTTGTTATACATCTTCAGTAACACCGTGTGATGCCAATTGTGATACCACATGGCTCGTTACAATTATCTTTTAAGCTTGACATACTGAAACCATGCTGTTGAGTATTGATAATTATTTCAGTGTAATTTTCGCACTTCCATTGGTTGAAAATCAGTCGAAGTGAAGATGGGTCGCGCACAATCCAAACTGCTAAAAGTCTAAGAGGTAGCAAAGACAAACAGTCAACAAAACGTAACAACTCACTTGCTACCACGTGAGGAATCAGCTTGGTATCAAATCTGTATTTCGTGTAAAAGTATATGAGTTCTACAAACCATAACTTACTCTATGATAGTGTTCTTTTGAAACCTAAAAATACAACAAAATGATTGTTACATGCAACAATGATAGCTCAGTAAGCTTCTTGGTCCCTTTTAACAAGCATCTGGTTGGGCCAAGATGTAGTCAATAGTCTGACCAACAGTTTTCAAGGAGTCAGCTTCGTGATCAGGTATTTGTATGTTAAATTCATGTTCCAATTCCATCACCACTTCTACAACGTCCAAGGAATCCAATCCCAAATCTTGAATAAATGAGGCTTCTTCTTTCAATTCTTTACCAGAGTCGGCGATTTTTTCATATCCTTCAAGCAATTCAATTATTCTTTCTCTTGCGATCTCTCTGGTTAATTCTGGGAATCCTGAGTAAAACCGGACACCTTGAGGCTTTTGAAATTGAAGGCTGTTGGATAAAACAGGGTTGAAAATAGCTGGGGAAATGGCTCTTCTGCCTGATGAGACTCTTGGGAGTTGAGCTTTAATTAATGATCTGAACATTCTGAGTGTATGTAATGAGAATTCTTTGATTTTTGAGTGGTCGACTGACAATGCGAATGCGAATGCAATCAAGTGTGATTTTTTTACCCGGCGCAGACGAAGTAAGACTGATTTAGAAAAGGTAATGTTGTACCTACATTGTAGAGAAAGTGTCTTAACATAATATCAATGATTTCGAAGTTCCTTTACAAGTTTCAATAATTTTCAGTAATTATTGCGTATTTTACTGAAGGTTTTCTCTCTTTAACCCTCAAATATGCATGCATTCTTCCAAATCTTGTTGGAAACTTCTTGATCTTTGCCTACCAGTTCTTGTGGATATTTCAACTAAAAGAATACTTTATATGTATGTGCTTACTCCTTCTCGGTGGGATGGGACGTAGTCATTTATCTTATGTACCAGTTTATTGGGTGTGCGCACGCTGCCACTTCAAATTGTCGCACTACCCAATGTAAATTTTTCATCTTGGTCAAGGCCGACTTTAATATGTTCAGATCTTTAATAAGCGGTATAAAGGTGGTTAAACCTGCATTACTGTCCACGAACTACGTTTCTAGCATAAAGCAAAACGTCGGTATTCAAACTTCCCTTATTCCACAAGCCTTCAACTACCAGAAAAGGTATGCCACCTTAAACCAGATTAAGAGTGGAAAACAAGGCATACCAAATAAACCATATATTCCAGGAGCTCCTCACTTACAGGGAAACCCATTCAAGAAAGGGGTTGTGTTGAGAGTGATGATTGTGAAACCAAAGAAACCTAACTCGGCTCAAAGAAAATGTTGCAGAGTAAGATTGACTAATGGGAATGTTATTACAGCTTTAATACCGGGAGAAGGACATAATTTACAAGAGCATCATGTTGTGTTGGTGAGAGGCGGAAAGGTTCAAGATTTACCAGGAGTGAACTATAAGCTTGTGAGAGGAGCATACGATTTAAATGGTGTAGCGAATAGGGCTACTTCTAGATCAAAGTATGGAGTAAAGAAACCTCAACAGTGATTGGTGGTTATACCTTTAAATTTTGTAAATAACTAGCTTCACATATAATGTATATATAGAATAAGGATTTCATTTCAACCTCTACCGACTTCAAATCTTCTTCCACTGGCTGTTTTTCTATTTTCAATCAACTTTCCTTCATCATCAACGTTTTCAGGCTTGGCCCTATTCAAAACTTTCAAGAACTCCTTGACTCTAAATCTCATTCGTGAATGCATGTAGGCTTTGGCACACTTGATGTGGTAGTGGAAATAGTTTCTGAAGAACTGAATGTGAGAAATGCAATTCTGTCTTCTATCACCTTTGACTAGATGCCTAGGGAAGAGGACAAATGTAACATACCCTTTATTGTCATCAGCACGTCCTTGAATTACATTCCTTATATCAAGAGGGGGCTCAATGTGGGAGTACAATACTTGTGGAGCAGTTTGAACCGTTCTTCTTCTGGCATCAACAAATTCTTGCAAAAACACTCTACCAAAGATCTTGTCAGTTTCATCCTTGAAAATCGTTGAAAAGATGACAGTGACTCTATCGAAAGACGGTTTGATGTAAATACTTTCATCCAACCCTCTGTAGTTGATAGTCAAAATTGATTCATTTTCCAATTCTTGTTTAACCTCCTCAGAATAAACATTGGAATTGGCATATGTTTCGGCCAACTCATCGTATCTGCTAAACGCTTTTTCAAAAGGGGCTGCAATAGAGTTTCTCTTTAAGTTTGCAAGTTCGGAGACTAATTCCTCTTTGAACTCGACATCTTCTTTCTGTGCTACACTCAAGTCCAACACAAATGAAAAGTCGTAACCAGCTTCAGTTTCAATCTTTTGTAACACCTTGTTGAACTTGGCATATTTTGCTTCTAAGTATTCCTCAACGCCATAGTTGACTAAATCCAGCCAACATTTAACGTAAATTGAAACAACTACCAAGTGTTTAGCTGTCGAGTTGGAGACTTGATAGGTTGTGAAGTCGAAGTCAGTGAAGGTTCTTTGGATACCTTTTAAGCTTTCTATTTCTGTGCTAAGGCACTCTCTGATTGTTTTTTCCAACAACAAATTACTCAGTTCAATCTGTAACATTTTCAGAATCTGTGTTTCGTTGACACTTTATTGATCAGGGATTTAACAATTCAAGTGCGAGTGCGAGTGGGATTTTCATTTGCAGGTCGCAGCAGGATGCAAAACGAGAGCAATAACATACATTTTTATCTATCAACGATTAACGAAGCTACGGTTGTTGGTAAAAAGACCACCTCTATGAAGAGCTGGGGCTCTGACTTTACCCTTTAAGATCGAGCTCACATTCTCTCTTGGTTTGTTTCCAGATCTATTGAGCTTCTTCTCGAGTTGCAGCTTGTTGATACGTTCCTTAACGTATGCCTCAAAGCTAGCCATTGGTGTGTCCTTATACTTGACAAGCCAGGGATGTTCAAGTAAATCTTGGTAGCTAGGTCTTAAATCGGGATTCTTATTCAAGCAAGATTGCACAAATTGTTGAGCTTCTTTGCTGAACAAATTTGCATCTAATTTAGGTGGTTCACCATCAACCATTGCACTCAATTGTGAGAAAATGTTTTCGTAAGTCTCAGCCGGGTAGGGATAATTACCCTTGGCTATTTCTAAGATGGTCAATCCTAAGGACCAAATATCCGATTGCACTGAATAAGTATTGTCATCAGGATTCATAGTCTTGATTCTCTCTGGAGCCATATAACTTTGACAACCGATATTGGTTTTGGCGAGTGATGAAACTAAATTACCACTGACACCAAAATCGCAAAGCTTCACCTTCCCATTAGAGTTCACCAAAATGTTTGTGGGCTTCACGTCTCTATGAATAATGTTGTGATTATCCTTTAATTCTTTCAATCCTCTAATGATACACTCCGAAATATATGCCAAATGACTTTCATCTTTAATGCCCACGTCTTTCTCGTAAACCTTATCCAAAGATTCACCGTCCATATTCTCAATGCACATATAAACAGCACCTTCGACGAAGAAGGCTCCATAAAAATCCACAATGTATGGAGAATGACACTTGTGGAGAACTTCTAATTCCATTAAAATCTGGGTGAATTTAGATTCATCAAGCTCTAACCGAACTTCTTTCATGGCCATTAATACACCAGTGGGCTTATGTAGAACCTTCGACACAGTACCATAATTACCTCTTCCCAACTCTTCGATGAACTGCAATTGATCTAAAGATATACGGAAGGAAGTCCCAGAAGAGAAGTCGATACCTGTAGAATTTAAAGATGCTTTCCCCGTGAACTTTAAAGAACCCGATTTTATGTCAATATACTTGGAGTAATTGGCAAAAAGCCCTTGCAATTGTGGTTGTCTAGGCTCATTGTTCTGGTTGGCAATAGTGTTATCATTGCTCTTAGTTTCATTACTGTCATTAGGGTTATTGTCGTTACTATTAGGTCTGGATGAAGTCCGAGAAGAGTCTTCAGACAAATTCAACTTGAAGTTCGGTTTCTTCTTTCTTTCTGATAGTCTTCGAGATATCTCCCCAGATGATTTTGGACCAGATCTATCTTCATTCAACATCACAGGTGGACTTAAAGTATCTGGAGATCTGTCGGGGGTTCTATCGTTGATATTCATTTTCAAGCCTCCTCGTCTTTGAGACAACGAAGGTTTGAGACCAGATTCGAGCATATCTTTGGCAGCGTTCAAGCCCATATTTGCAACCAATCCTGGGCCCTCAGTTGCATCATTAGTGGATAGAGATCTCAATTGTTGAGAAGGTAAGGGAGGAATTGGAGGTAGGCTCTTTTCGATCGGTTTAATACTTGGATCCGATTTGATAAAGTCTTCGTCCATATTGGTATTCAACTTCCCTGAACGCTTCTGTTGAAAAGCCATGATTCTGGCTTGAATATCGCTGTTTAATTGCGAGTGGCTTGGAGTGATCATAGGGCTGGTAGGAGTATTCACTAGGGAATGTGACTGAGTTGGTGTGATGGCCTTGGGAGAGACCTCCTTGGAGTTGGAGCCCAGTGAAGAGGACGAGGTTGAAGCGGTCCGAATGGCCAACCCGCTTAACTGTTTGGATAAGTCGTTGGAATTGTAGTTGGAGTTGGAGTTGGACATCATGTAGTGATGGTTTTAAAAATACAGAAAAATGCAATGAGTATCTTTACAATGGGAATTAAAATAAGGAACGAACACTCTTGAAAAGCATGTAATCACCTGAGTCTTCTTTACAAAAAAACCGGTATGAAATTGATAAGACCAACTTTGAAAGGGGTGCAACAGTTGATTACTCAACACAAAAAAAGGTGCCGGACTAACACTAAAACAATGTATCAGTTTAAAAGGAGTGCTATCACCGACTCTCTTAGCTATTGATCGCAAAGCTAGTTGTAGAAGGCAAAAAATAGGCAAGGATCTGGTATGCCGATGTAACTCAGTGAGTAATCACAGCAAGTTTGACTTGATATGCAACAAGGAGGAAAAGGTGGAGGAGTCAAGGAAACTGTCGATGTCAGATGAACAGCAAAGATATCACGAACGCCTTGGATTGATCAATACCAAATATTCAGGTAATGAATGGATAAATCAAAAGGATCAATAGCAATGTATCAATCAAACAAAAGATATTTTCTACGAATTCGACCCTAATATCTCACAAATGTTCCCAAATACCACAATTAAGTTTTCTGAGCAATTCCGGTTTCAACAATGAAAACAAAAGCTCTTGTTAGGGTACCTAACCTTGTGCACGACTGAACTCGGACAATATTAATGAGATTACGATAGTACTGGTTAAGAGGCTTTTATAAACAGGTTTAAACGGTGGGGGTGTATAAGGGCTCTTCGCTTTGGTATCGAGTCGTGCTCTGGTACCCTCCTTGGTCAAAACGAGATATTTTTGGTTCTCTAATTTTAGATAATAAGCTGTTATTTTTGACACATCCTGAAACCACAAAGCACTAATTTCAGTTCGTACCCTTATTTTGGACATAGACATTTCTTTTGCCCTTTGTTGATTATTGTTGGGTATTCAGGAGTGTTGAGAATTGTTTATAAAATTACTTGGTTTTCAGGTACACGCCACTAAGTACAATTCGAAGGAACACGCCTGTATATCTCAACAATAGAAACTATTTGCCCGGGCCGGGTCAGGTGACCGGAGGTGTGGTAGTTGGAGTTCTGGTTGTTAAGAAGTGGTTTTATAGTCAATCATATATTGGCTGCAAGCTGCTTTACAGTGTCTATATCTCTTCTATATTACCTTAATCTCTGATTCTGGTTTTGTTGGTGACCTGCACGCTTCTACTTTTCTTTTTGATTCAGGTAACTTGCAGCCTTTTTAAATTCTGTCAAAGTCGCGAAAACCATAAATTATTTCTGTAATGAAACATGATTCTATTCGTATTCAGGTAAATAATTATGATTCATACCAGAGTTTACCTCTGTGCCTCGATAGTTTGGAGCTACAGGTAGCACAAGTACCGGTGATACGCGTATATGGTGCCTTAGTGTTTATTCACAATTCGGTAAAGTATGGGTACAACGCGTTGCTCCATATCCATAACGTATATCCGTATGTATACGTGTCATGTGACTATGAGTTCGTGAAGTCCCTTCCAGAAATTACCCACTTGGGTCATGTGACATCATATCTTGAGGCGTTCATGGCCGCTTCGGCGTGGCAGAAGAAGAAACAACCAGAGGAGGAAGATGAGCAGCAGTCGAATGAACTCGATATTACCCAACTCAAATCAGGAAAAAGACGGTTCATAGCCAAAGTATCGCTATGTAAAGGGGTTCCCATATACGGGTATAGAGTGGGATACAGGCTATTTTACAAGATCAACTTTCTTTCTCCCTTGTACAAAGCTCGTTTTACCAATTTGTTTAATGGCAAACAAGTGGATATGAAGCAATTTTCCAAATCCAAGTTTAAGTTTGAGATATACGAAAGTCATATTCCTTACTTGTCTCAGTTTCTATCCGATTATAACTTATTCAGTTGTAATTGGCTTAACTTCAAAAATTGTTATTACCGGTATCCTGTCATATCCGTCAATAGCTATATGGATTCCAAACAGCTTTCGATATTGAAACAGTATCTACTGAAACGAATAAGAAATAACGTGCTTCATACACGGTTTGAAAGAGTCGGAAAGTCGGTGTTGGAGTTGGATATCAAATCGAGCCACATCTTGAATCGTGATTCACTCGTGGAACAGCAGTATAATATGGACTTTAGCCAATTCAACAGAGAGCCAAAGAATATTGGCTTGAGCTCAGTAGACTTGTTGATCAAGGAAATTAAGTTTCAAGCTGATATTTGTGGTGTGAGCTTTGATTTCAACAGTGATATAATGGGTACAAACGTGGATGACTCTACTACTATATGGCCCAATGACGTTCAGCTACGAGAATTATTAGATTACTCAATCACATTAACTGGGAAGATAAAGAACAAGAACTTCAAAGACTACGATAATGCGTACTTTAGAAGCTTCAACCACATATTGGAAAAGTATCCCACCGCCTTCAAATTAGTAGACGTCGAGAAGTCTTATATGAACCTGAATGTATTAGTCAATGACTTGTACATGTATAATGATATCAACGAGCTATTCATTGCTCAAGATTCACTGTTCCATGAAGATATAAGCTTTGTTGGATCTACACTTAAGGATTCGTACTTTGACAATTATGCCAAGAATGATAACGAAGACCCCAGCAGTGAGGTTGAAAGAGATATTGAGGCTGAAGATGATGGCCCAGTATGGCCTAGCGATTCCGATTTCACCTTGAGTGATATTGCGGAAAGTGCAATTAACGATAGTCAGATGTTTCTTGAGCTTACACAACAACAAGGTCATACTCAGACCCCATTAACTAATGAAGGACAGGAACCAACCTTATCAACGCGAGATGTTCTCAGGGAATTTGGTGAATTGGGTGTGGTGAAAATCAACTATGATACTCCTTATTATGATGATTACAGGGATACACCAGAAAAGCCTTTGGTCTTCTCCAACAAGAAAATCAAGGTGCCTGTGAAGGAACTCAACACACTTCCAAATTTATCTTTGGATTCGACAGAATTCTCAAGTCTTGTGAAACAACAAGTTGGACATAGTAGCATGAAGCTCCAAAGCTGGGAATATTATTCACAGCCTCCTCTGAAACGAGCTATTATCCAGTCCTATGAACATGAAGCGCTTGAGCTGAATAAGCGATCCAAATTTGTATCCCAACTAGAAGCTGGGGGTTCGAAGTCTAACGACTTCAAGTTCAGTCTGAATGATACCATTGACAAACGTCCAGATGATTTTGTTGAGCTAACTAACTTTCTTATGGAAGTTCATGTTAACACTTCTTCAACCAAACTACCAAATCCACAGACAGATGAAATTTCGGTGATATTTTACAAGTTTATTGATCTGAATGCAATGGTTCCATCCCCAATTTTAAAATCTGGAATTCTTATCAATAAAAAATCTTTTCCTGATATACTGAAGTTAAACTTAGTTGGCCTAAGACGGATTTTAGGTGATATCCAATTTCTAATCTTTGATAACGAACTGAGTGCTGTTTCTAAGTTGTTGGAAGTAGTCGAGTATTTTGACCCTGATATTCTTTCTGGGTTTGAGATCAATTCAATGTCTTGGGGCTATTTAGTTGAGAGATTCCAAAAGAAGTTGAACATCAGCTTGCTCTCCCAATTGAGCAGATCCAAGATAAACAATACCGGAAAATTCGGTGATCGATGGGGATACACTCACACATCCAATATTCGAATTGTTGGAAGATATACTTTGAATGTATGGAGAGTGCTTAGAAAAGACTTGGCTTTGAACAATTACACTTTTGAAAACTGCTGCTACAATATCTATCACCAAACACTTCCAAAGATTGAAAATCAGAGACTATCGCTGTTCTTGAAAGGTGAATTCAAAGAACAGCTTTTTGGCTTCTCCTATTATGTTAACAAATTAAACATTGTTGAGTATTTCATCAGTTCCCTTGACATCATAGATAAGAATGTTGAACTTTCAAGATTAGTTGGCATTGATTTCAATTCAAACTTCTACAGAGGGTCTCAATTCAAGGTTGAATCTATTTTATCTCGATTAGCAAAAGCGGAAAACTTCTTGTTAAATTCTCCTTCCAAAGAACATGTTCACCAAATGAAACCTTTAGAACAGATTCCATTGATTATGGAACCAAACTCCGGTTTCTACAAATCCCCCTTGTTAGTATTAGACTTTCAATCATTGTACCCATCAATTGTGATTGCCTATAACCTATGTTATTCTACATTTTTGTGTCGGCTTCACGGTTTCAAACCAAGTAAGAATCCCATTGGATACTTGAATCACATGAACCTCTCACCTATGATTATTGATCTTCTACATAAGAACGACTGTTTGACAGTGACTTCCAATGGACTAGTTTTTGTGAAGAGCAAGATAAGGAAATCAATTCTAGCCAAGATGTTACAAGAGATCCTCACGCTTCGGATTAACATCAAGTCTTTTTTGCAGCTAATAAACCAAGATGAGAATCCTCAAATGGTCAAAGTATTCAATTCCAGACAGACAGCTTTAAAACTAATTGCTAATGTGACCTACGGGTATGCATCTGCCTCCTTCAGTGGTAGAATGCCCAATTCGGATGTTGCAGATGCAATTGTTGCCACAGGTAGGGAAATCTTAACTGCATCAATTGATATTATAGAAAAGAGCGAATTCGGGTGCAAAGTTGTGTATGGTGATACCGATTCATTATTTGTTTATCTTCCAGGTAAATCAAGGGATGATGCTTTCGAAATAGGCGAAACTCTAGCTAAGACAGTCAGTGCAGCATTTCCTAATCCAGTGAAATTGAAGTTCGAAAAGGTCTACCATCCATCTATTCTTTTGAGCAAAAAACGGTATGTGGGATACAGCTACGAGCTCAAAGATCAGTTAAAACCCAAGTTTGATGCTAAGGGGATAGAAACAATTAGAAGAGACGGAATACCTGCTCAACAGAAAATTGTGGAAAGAGCATTGAAAATACTTTTTGACACAAGTAATTTATCTTCGGTCAAGAAATACGTCTCAGAGGAATTTCGTAAAATCCTCTCAAACAAGGTAATTATAAAGGATTTCTGCTTCTCTAAGGAAGTCAGATACGGCACATACAAGAATGAGGCATATCTTCCTCCAGGAGCAATAGTAGCCAGGAGGAACATCGAAAATGATGAAAGAAGCGAACCTCAATATAGAGAAAGAATTCCCTATATTGTGTATCGAGATCCTACCAAACAACGATTAAAAGATCGGTGTGTTTCTCCTGAGGAGTTTATCGAGAGGTTGAATACTTCCGAACCAATGCAGTTGGACTATGAGTACTATATCTTAAAAGTATTGATACCTCCGTTGGAAAGAGTCTTCAATTTAATGGGAGTGGATCTCCAACAATGGTATAAGGAACTTTCAAAACCAGATAATGATATTCAGCTGACATCGTCTGGTATCACGAATTCAGTGTTTATTCAAAAGAAATCTTGTATCAATTGTCAAAGACGAATTATCGTGAAAAATTCTAAGCTCTGTCACGTATGCTTGAAAGATACACCTCTGTTGATACTCAGTAGCAAACTTGAACAAAAGTATCTACAAACCAAATTATCTGATCTCAACAAGGTATGCGGTATTTGTGTTAGCCATGAAAATGTTAAAGCCACCAACCAAGTATTTTATGACAACTGCAAGAACAAGGATTGTTCAACTTATTTCAATCGTATAAAGACCATGAACGAACTCAAAATATCAACCCAAAGAAGTGACGAACTCTTCGAGGTTCTTGATCGGTGAGGTCTATGTTCCCATAATTTTGCATTTATAGAGTATTGTCAAATTTCAACCGCGTTTTTATCAAAACATCATCAACTCTATTTAAAGAAAATACCCAATGCCATACACGAAGGAAATAACATTGCCCGAGGGTTACACCTTCAGAAGGTTAGAAAAGTCTGACTACAACAACAATTATAGAGAAACTTTACAGGTATTGACGACAGTAGGAGAAATATCCGAGTCCAAGTTCAATGATCTATTTGAAAACTGGAACGCATTACCCAACATCTTCCACCCGCACGTAATTACCAACGAACAAGGCAAAGTGGTGGCAACTGGAATGTTGTTTGTGGAGAAGAAATTGATCCATGAGTGTGCTCTGTTAGGTCACATTGAAGATATTTCAGTTGCAAAATCTGAACAGGGAAAAAAATTGGGTTACTCCATGATCGTGGGATTAACAAAAGTGGCTCAACAACAAGAATGCTATAAGGTAGTATTGGACTGTTCTCCTCATAATGTGGGCTTCTATGAGAAATGTGGATATGGTAACGGAGGGAACAACATGTACATCAAGTTTTAGATCGGTGATTTATTCATACTATACACAATTAAGTCATTTATAATGTCTTTAGACCATTTATATCTTTTCTAGAGCCTAAAATCTTGTTAGTATTACCTTCAACGGTAGTTGGTGTTTTCAATACATACCTCCATTGAAACAATTGAATTTCCTCTGATAACCTTTGAGATTGTTAGTAAGCTGTTGAGTTAAATATTCTCCTTCAAGTTGTTCAATACATACCACTGTTCCTATGTTGGACGTATCACCATTTTCCCTGACCTCTAATGCTTCAGATAAGGTTATATTCAAAAATACATCGAATGCTTTCAATACTCCCGTAACGGACCTGGTACCATTTAAATGAACAGAGATCTTCTTATTCATATACTAAAATCACACTTGTTAGTAAAGTAGTCTTATAGTGTTTCTCGATATCTCTAGAACATACCTTCTTTAATTCGGGAGTGGATACCATCTTTGATAGTAATTTTGAAAAGGAAAAGATGAGATACCTCGATCGCGTTTTCCAAACAATATCTAAAGTACAAAGATGGATGATGATTTCACCTCCTATTCGGACCTTGTGAGATCACCGACTCAGAGCTCTCCACAGGGATCATCTCGTCGAACTAGTGGTATACATAGAGGAATTTCATCTCAAGGCTCAACTGGGAGTCCTGGGGCATTGAGGAGCCCTTCCAAGCAGGAGATTATTGAAAAACAAAAGAATAAAGTCCGATTAATGAAACAACGTGATGAGTTTCTATCCCAAAGGGAAGGCATTTTGCGGGAGATCAACAGCCACAAACGAAACAATCGGAAACTTAGAGAGGACAAAGAAAAGCTTAGAGCTGAAAGAATGCTAGAAACCTTGATCCAACAGAACAACGCCGATTTTGCAACTGAAGTAGAACTAAAAATGAGGAAGGCTGTCGAGACAGAAACCGATGATTCTGTAGAGCTTGATGAAGTATTGAAGGTGCACCCTTCTTCCAATTGGACCTTGAGACTAGAGGAAATCAAAAGGTTTCTTCCTCATATTCTAATAACAGATGCACTGATAAACGCAGAAATTCACAACCAGATCCACATAAGATTATACAAGTTCACTATTCAGGCACCTGAAATATTCAAGGTTGTGTTAAACTTGAAAATAGATACCCAAACCCTTTCACTTTTGGCAGTTGCTATAGAAGGATCTCATAATGCAAATAATGCTTTCAATCGGCAACCCAAATACCTTAGGAGCATTGGAGTGATATCTCCAGACGTTTTCAATGCGTTGCAATATGACTACCTTCCAAACAAAAAGATTCACTCAATAGTACAAGTCTTGAACTTTTTATCAGCAGTATCCAAAGAGAGAGTGGAAATTGTTGCTCAAATTGTAACCAAATTTAAAGCCTATGTGATACCCACAGTAAGCTTGCGAGATTTCTTAAACAGTATAGAACAAAACCGAAATGGTCAGTTCAGTTCTCAGCTCAAGAGAGTCAGTGAAATTATGCTCTTAGTACCGAGAACATCTACTTATGCTGAGCATAAGCTTTGCATTAGCATAGATATCGTTGTTCAGGATAAGATAACTGCAAAATGTGGATTATCCATCGCAGTCAAACTCGAAAAAGATAGAAAGATCAGCGATATAACTCCCACATTTTCAAAACTATTAGCCGATAACGGTGTTGTTGACACCATTTGTATATTATTCAGAAATATTTTTGATATTATTATATAGAACGAATTCATGAAAGTTGCATTTCTTCTTTATCTAAATCAAAAGAAATATGTGATGATGTCGACTTTTTTTGGTAGCAATCTTTTATCCACGTCTTACATATAGATAATAAGTCCGCAATGTACTGGGATCTTTCATTTATCATCTCAAAATCATAGAAAGGAGAAAATTCTTCAGAGGCATTATCCTCTGACTTGGATTCAGGTTTCTCAAACTCCTTTGAAAATTCTTTTCCTTGATCTTTGTACAATACAGTTTCAATTCCATGGACAATCTCATATCTTAAATCCTCCCATTCCATATCAACCAAGCCATTCTTGATGGACTTTTTGTATTGGAAAAATTTGTATACCCATTCTTTAAGTGCTTGAATACCTCTCTTACTTTCATCATCAGCAGTTTTCTTTTTCAATGAAGTATCATGTTTTAGTACTAAGGCACGGATATTGGATTTCAGTAACATTTCGTCTGGAATCATTGGTTTTGAATCAAATGTTGTTCTATTTTGTTCTTCTACTTTATCCATGAAAGGGATAGGGAACGTTAAATGGCTGTTGCTTAACTTCCTTGGAATATGACCATCATGAACCCTCTTTTCAAACTCTTGGTTTCCTACCGTGGCTTTTGTGATTGGGGACAGAATGCTTAACGACTTAGGAAGTTTCTTCTTTTTTCTTTCCGACTTTTCACTGGCCTTCTTTTTGGCTTCATCATCATCGTCGTCGTCTTCATCATCATTTGGTCTTTTTGCTCGGTTTCCTCTTTTAGGGTTACTGTTATGCTCCTCATCTGCCAAATACTTCAACCGGGTTCTGAACATTCTCTCAGAATACTCTATTTCATAGTCCGTATCCTTGTCAAAGTTATCGATTTGGTCTTCTGGAACATATTCGATAGGAGGCATTTCATGAGGGTTGAAAGGGTTATTGGCCAATTCTTCTGGTGTAAAGTTGGTCTCCAAGTATGTGTACATCAACCATAAGAACCTTTTAGCTCTGTTAAGCGGGTGTATCTTCGTCTCCAAAAAAAATTCCATGAAACTATTGGAAACATGTTGGCATTCAGGAGTGTGTTCATGATGAAATTTGATACCGTTGATGTTGTTGCTCAATAAAAATAGCAACAATACCAAGTTTGTGTTGGGCTTAGATTGAGGAGGTTTATGCAAAAGATCTTCAATTGATTTGAAGTCTTCTTTGACATCACTAACAGCCTTTAAAATGGACTTCAATCTTGGCGTGTCTTGTAAAGGCTTTGAAGCCCCCGTAGTCGAATCTGCTTGTAAGGAAGGGATTGAATGATATGTTCTTAAGGTTGATCTCATTTCAGGTACAAAGTTAATGGTAGTATTCATTCGTCCTGTGTTGACCAACAAACAGACCTTGGCAACCGACTTACCCATGTCCAAGTCTCTCAATAGTCTTTCTTTTAAAATCTTGGAGCACTTGGAAGACTCAGCTAATGTTCGAATATAAATCTCAGCAAATGTGTAATGCTTGCCGTTATGGAAATCGGGAACACTGCAATATGGGAAAGGATTTGTAAAGACTCGTTGATCGTTCTCAAATAAAGCATCTAAAAAGTCATATTGAATGTCTCTCCTCCAAAATGGTTCTCCATCCGATTTCTTTAGATATCTTACGCCCTTAGGTATAGAAGCACTAACAGGTCGTCTGCCCTTTGTCTTTTTATCACCGTCCTCTAACATTGAGTTATCCCCGTCCGCGTCTTCATTATCTTCATCCATCATATTTGCATCTTCACCAATGTCATGATCAGCATCTATCTCACTCGACATTAGATGAGCCATTGCTTGATGTGGTTTGTCGGAGAATTCCGATTGCCCCGAGAAGAGGTGACCGTTTGTAGGTGGTAAAGGAGAGCTTTGAAGATTTGAACTTGTATTGGAAATTCCAGCAGGTGGAGCATGAGCAGGAATACCAGCAGTACCAAGAGGAAGTGGGGGTAGGTTCTGTGAGGATTGCTGGGCTTTATCGATGTTTCCCACAAATGTATCATGTATAGGATCGTAGTTCATCTTGACTATATCCTTAGTTGACGTTCTCTACTATTTGGTGAAATCTATCGTTCAGTTTTTTGTGTGTAATAAAAAACCGCGAACTAGTTGACTAGTGACAAAGATACATAATCTTTTGAGAATCACAGAACAAATACATGTCATTGCCAGCAAATTGGAGACAATTACAGCTCTTTGATGTGCTACCCATCAGGGATCCTAATTTCAATACTGGGGATGCCTTGTACTCGAGTCCCACGTTATCCGAAATCGAGGCGACCCAAAACTACATGGTGATCACGATAAATGGCTGCTTTGTAAAGATAATCTCAAAACAGTTCACCACCCTGAAGTCATTTATGGCTTATGATACTGACTTTAGAATAAGCTTCCTTAGATCACTTCCCAAGTCTGATTTGTTGGTGACAATCGCTGAGAAACAGGGTTCTCCATCTGTCCTTAAGTTATGGGACTTAAACAAATTAGTGTACTTGGAGATAGATTCATCCAAAGAAGATCCGATAGATATCGTGAAAAGAAAATTCCAAACACAGGTGTTGATTCAAAATGGTGACAATTCCTACCCGATGAGTTCTTTTACTTTCAATGCTGACTTTACCTGTCTTGCAATCGGTTACACGAATGGTAAGGTTCTTTTGGTCAGAGGTGACTTGATCAGAGATAGAGGTGCTAAACAGAGGCTTATTTATGAGTCACCAGACCCCATCACCGGGTTGCATTTCAATGAATTCCATGAATTATTGTATGTCACTACTACTTCAAGAATCCTCACCGTCCCAATCACCGGTAGAAACCAAGGTAAGCCTTTAAATGTTCTTTCCAAGAAAACAGGAGTTCCATTACAGTGCTCTGTGATTGATCCGGGAAAGCAAGAATTAATAGTGGGGCTAGATTCGTCTATCAGATACTATAATCAAATAGGTAAGAGCCATACCATTAATTTTGAGTTACGAAAGAAGATAATTTACAGGTATACTAAGAACTATTTATTGATGGTTTCTCCAATGGAAGATGTCAGTGGATCTTCCCGAAAAATGAGTACCAGGGTGGTAATGATTGATCTTCATTATAAACATATATCATTCAGCTTAACCATTCCAAACGTTGCAATAAATCATGTTTTTGAAATGTGGAATGATTTGTACTTGTTAAGCAGTGATGGTATGCTTTATAAATTACATGAGAAACCTATCAACCAACAAGTGGAATTGACTTTGCAAAGAGAACTATTCCAATTAGCTTACCAATTGGCCAAAAACTCCAACTTAGAAGTTAATGTACTTCTCAAAATCTGCAAATTGCATGGTAACTTCCTTTATCAGAAGCAGGATTATGAAGCTTCCATCTCTTCCTACATCAAATGTTTGAAATACTTCACAAATGAAAACTATGTTGCTAACGATGATGAAGAATCATTGAATGATTTCATCATGACCATCATCACCAAATTCAAGGATGCTTCAAACATTCATGATTTGACTGAGTTTCTTTACCAATTATATAATCTCAAAATTGCCAGCAATGATCATATAACTTTGCTTTTATGTTGCTACTGTAAATTAAAGCAGGTTGACAAGATCAGGGGATTCATAAAGGAGATCAATTTATCGGATGCAACCAATAATGCTGATGATAGTGATATCAATGAGGGAAAAAAAGACTTTAGAAACATATTTTTGGACTTAGATTTCCCTTTGATAATCAATCTATTCAAAGAATGTGGATATTTTGATGAAGTTATAAGGCTACTCTATGAATTAAACCAACCAAACTTGATTGTTGACATTCAACTTAATGATTTAAAGAACCCACAACGGTGTTTAAACTACATTCAATCTTTGACCATTGATGACTTGTTGTTAGTCTTGATTGACCACTCAAAAAGTTTATTAGATAACCTACCGATTGAGACAACAAGGCTTTTGATCAACGTATTTACTGGTAAATACGAGCCAAACCAATCTACAAAGATTTTGGACAGCAATAACTCGAAGTCTGACAGTTCTACTACCAAAGAAAAGTCTTATGAAAGAGATGAAGGCATGTTCCCATTGAACAGCTATAAAGCCTTTTTGGTATATTTATCTGGAAAAGAATCAGAAGACGATGAAATGACCATAAGCTCTTTAAATGGTGCTAGTGAGCCCACCTACCTTCCTCCAAGACCAAGCTTGATCTTTCCAAGCTTCATTAATAACCCTAACGAATTTGTCATATTTCTTGAAGCTTGTATTGAAGCATTTGATAAATACCAAGGAAGTACTAAAGATCAGAAAGAGTTATTGATAACTTTGCTCGAAATGTACTTGTCGCTTTCAAAGAAAGACAAGCACAACTATGAAGAATGGCTTAACAAAGCAAAGCAATTAGTTGATCAATATTCTACTCTACTTGATGAATCGTCCTTACTACTTGTTTCTCACTTGTATGGTGTCGATGGAGAACTCAAGTTTACTAGAGAAGAAGGTTTTGAAGAGACAGAATTCCGCACCTCCCAGTTAAGCGGTGATGTCAAGAGGTGTTTTGAAATCACAAAGACATATGGAAATAAGAAACCACAATTGTACAAGATGCTTCTCCGGTTTGTCATATCTCGTGAGGAAATATTCAAGCAGATTGACCGTCAACAGTTCAATTTTATTATCAACCAGTTACGGACTTTGAAGTTGGCATCTCCTTTGGAGATCATTCAAATTTTAGGTTCAACTGAGTTTACTACTATTGGCTTGATAAGAGATTATTTGATTGAGACTCTCGATACAGCCAAGCAAGAGATCACCAACAATGAAAAACTTGTAGAGTACTACGAAAAGGAGTCCATCAAGAATAGTTACAAAATCACCGAGTTGAAAACCAAGCCCTTTGTTATCCAGCAAAATAAATGTAGTGCTTGCAATTTGAAGCTAGACTTCCCAGTTATTCATTTCAAATGCAAACACTCATTCCATCAGAGATGCTTGAACGACACCTACTTAAGTAACAACGAGTCACTTAATGCCACCCCTACTTGCTCCATCTGTATCAATGATATTGATCTGATTCAAACTTTGAGAGATGAACAGTTCAGAGCCAAGGATGAAGTTGAGTTGTTTGAGCTGACCTTGAAGGAATCTTCGGACAAGTTTAAAGTGATTTCTAACTATTTGGGTAAAGGAGTTATGGAAAATGAGTTCGTGCAGATTACCAACGATGTTTGAGGTGTAGATTTGCACGCAATAATATTTTATATTTTTCGCAACCGCATCTGGGTGGAGATGTCTCAAGTGTTTCATGTTTGATGTTTGAAACAAAACCCCCACTTATAAACCAATTATATAAACCCCTGGGATTTTCCACGAGCTTAAAAGTCTTATTGAAAAGTAATAGTCTGCAATGGTTAATAGAAACAAACGTAATTTGGAAATCAGTTCCATTTATTCATCTGATTGTGAGGACCCTGTGAGTCCCAACTCTAAGAAGATTGATACACCACTTTCAAGTAAAACATTTGAAGGGTTTGCGAATATATCTTATGAACTTGAGATGAGTTTGGTAGAACTAATCACTGGAGAAATTGAATTCTACCTGGTGGTTCGGTTAGTTGTCACGGTGTTCCAATCACTATTGGTGAATGTAGATGCTTATAACAATATCTTCAGCACCAGTGAACAGAACTTGATCTTTGATAATATCAGCCAAATCACCAGAATACACAAAGGGTTTGTTGTGAGTATGATCAAAGAGCTTGCTAGGACGTCTTTAGGAACCAAGTATAATAGTAATTTGGACGATGACGATTGTTTCAATGTCAATGTTCAACTCCTCGTTTTTAACTGTAACAGGGAAAAATTGGACGTTGGAAAAATCTTCAACGAAACCTTCTTTGCAACTCCGAACTATGGTCTGATGGTCATGAGGTTGGTGGCTACAACTGACTTTACTAACAAGATCATCCTGGAAAAAGGTCAAACCTTTAAAATCGTCAACAAGTGGCTAACCGAGTCAAGTCGATTGATCCAAAGAAAATCTTGTTCTGTGAAGTTGGAATCTTTGCTAGCCAAACCCATAGATAATTTATACAGGTATCCACATATATTGAAAAAGATTATGGATAATAGCCAGAGTGAAAACAAGCACAGTTTGGGTATATCCCTCATAAAGATCAATAAGGTTCTTGATAGGATATACGAAACTCCCAAGATAACTAGCTGGGAAGCTCTTCGTGACTTTAGTGTCAGTCCCAAAGGGTATCAATTAGATAACAACTTGGAGTATAGAGTTGATTCCGAGGACGAATTCCGACTTTCCAAGGCAAAGCTTTTATCTATCACCCAACCCCGGGAGGTTAATCTTCAACTCATAAAGTTGAATAAAGTGATTAAAGAACGCCATAAGGCACTGGAGAAATTTGAAAACCAGATAAATGAGTTGGTAAAAACTTCATCTACATTTACTCGGTTGCAAATAAAACATGCACAAAACTGGAACCTCGTCCTCTTGGGAGAGGACTTTTTCGATTTTGTCTACCACCAGTACCAGAAAAAACTCAGTGAGTTTGCCGTTCTGACATCAGAGTTCCAAAAGTCGATTTTCCAGGATATTTTACCTCGTGTGCACTTGTGTAGAAGTTACCTACAAGATACTATAAAGTGTGCCCGCAAAATAGACCTGTTCAGACAGAAAAGACTGGATCATAACCTCAGGCTCGAGAACCAATTGATCGATAAGTTGCCTCATCTTCTTAAATTCGTGACTGAGTTTACGAAATTGATAATCTGGGACCTCAATCGACACATTATCGAATGGTTGCAACTGTTTGTAGGCATGGGGAAAATCCGTGAGTATGAAATTCTCAAATCCCGAGGATGCACAGACCACAGCGACATCGTCGATTTCTATATCGACCGGTGTTTGAATGCCGACCCCTTATAACCAGTGGTCTGGTAGAATATTATATATATGTTTCACAATATATTATGTTGCTATTGTGTCTTGCGGTATTCCTATTAGTAGCTCCAGGTTGCAACCATCCCACTAAATCGCACTCATTTTGGTTGCTATCACAAGAGGTAAAGATTATGTGCAGGGGGGCTACCACAAATTTTCCTGGTTTGCCCTCTCGTCTCACTTCACATCGGTGAGGGCTGAAATTTTCATAAATATCCCCTGTTTCTCTGCTACTCTCAGAACCACAGTTATTATTCAACTAATACTATTGCAGAAATGTCTAGTTCTATTGCTCCTACATCCTCAAATACTTCATTGTGTGAATTATTGACCTGGCAGAACCCAATCAAGACCGGTAAAGTCTTTGGATCCCTCATTTTGGGATTGGTGGTGTTCAAGAAGGTTAACTTAATTAACATTGTTTTCCATTTGACTTACATCGCCTTGTTATGTATGTATCATCCTTCCACGTTCCCCTTGCGGAGTGAACATCCATTGAGTGGCTGTTGGCCTCGGTGGGAAATGAACCATTGTGAATATTCTGATGGCGAGACTTAGATTGATCATATGTGACAGATCTTTTTGATCCGCTAGCCCCCTAATCGCTCATTGACTTAAACGAATATCACGGTTTATTTTTGTTATCTATCGTTTACTAACAATATTTCTAGTTTCTGCTGCTGCCGAATACGCCGGAAAGTTGGTCACTGGTGAAGGATTTGTCACCAAATACAAGCCCACCAGTAAGGCTTATGCTAAAACCGTCAACGATACCATTTTGCCTGCCATTGGTAAAGGTGCTTCTTATGCCGAGGACGTGACCAATAAGGTCATTTACAGTCACGATATTGAAACAACCTTGAAGGCTGCTGGTGTCTCTTATGTCTTGTACAAGCTCACCTCATGGTTCTCCGTCTTTACTTTATTGACCACTGCCCTCGTTCTTGCATTCACTTTCCCAGTGGTGTACTCCAAGAACAAGAAAGAAATCGATGCTGCCGTGGCGCAATTCTCTACCACTGCCAAGGCTAAGGTTGGGGAATTCTCGAAATTGGCTCAAGATAAAGCCGCTCCTCACGTTGAGAATTTGATCAAGAAGTCCGGCCCAGTCGGCAGCTTTATCAAGAGCAAGATTCCAACCAGAACTGCTGGCTCCACTGTTGGAGCTGACAGATCTGCTTCTTTTGAAGCCGAAAAGCCAACTACTGCCACCACTACTGGTGCCTCTTCTTTCCCTGAAGTCCCAACCGATTCTATCAAGGACGATAGCACTTTTGAAGACTTGGTCGAAGAAGCTAAGACTGCTGGTGTCAATGCTGCCCACCAATTGTAAATGTTGTTGCGGTTGCCCTTGAAGCTTAAGTTGGACCAAGTCACAGAATACTGAAGCACTGTTATTTGTACCGTTTATTTATCAGCTTTAAGCTTTTTTTTTATTCGTTTTGTAACTTTTCCTTAATATAGCTGTCTATAGACCTCAAAGGTTGAGAGTTGGTCTTACAATTCTTGGTTACCTTTGGGTGATTAATAAATATTGTACAAGGTTCATACCTATATAGTGGGTGTTGGAAGTCTTTTATAACAAGCTACCCACTTGGATCCCTTGTTACGAGCAACCTTTTGTCCTTCTTCTGTAGCGTTGTACATAATCTCCACGCATTTGTCTTGGGCTTCCCACTCTTTATCTAATCTTTCAAATAAGGGATGGTCTTCCAAATGCTCCACCATCCACTTGTGCAAATCTTCAACATCAGTGATAGTGTATATAATTCCTCCTTCTCTTAACGCATAGGCATATTCAGATAACAAAGTGTTAGTGATGATTCTAGCCTTGTGTTTACGTTGCTTGAAATGAGGGTCTGGGAAGCAAAAGAACATCTTGGATAATTGGCCCTTCTTGAAGAAGTTGGGTAAAAACTTCATGGCATTTCCTCGTATGACAGCTATATTCTGGTAGTTCACCTTTTGTTTCTTGTGTTTTTCTCTTAATGCTATGATTCGGTCTTCAACGTACTGAGAAACTTGCACTCTGATTTCCATCCCCAAAAGTAGTTTATCTGGAAACTCTTTGGTTAATCCAAGAAGTAACCCACCATATCCACATCCAATATCGGCTATTTCGACATCCTGGGTCATCTGATTGGTTTCCTTGTCATGGTAAGCAGGATAGAATTTCCCCCAGTCCATCGATTCGGGATACTTGGGGTAATCTAACCGGTGGTCACTGAAAGGGTTGGAATGAGCTCTCTGTCTATAGTATCTCTTTCTAGGTAAATCCAACTTTTTCTTTTTGGTCTTTGGTTGAGGCTCGAAACTGACCTCTTTTGCATTTTTTCTGATCACCTCTTTACGCTCTCTATACGTTTTTCTCTTGGAATCAGCCTCTAACTGCTGTTCCTTTTGTGCTTTTGTATCAGGTTCAGCCATGATCGATGAGATGTAGAAAAAAATTTTGAAATCTCAATTTGAGACTAGGTAAATACGAATGATATCGAATTCTCTATGTATGGACTATTTACAGAGGAAGAAACTCGAAGGACGTCTCTTACGATTCATCTCCATTGCTCCTATCCTTGACACTTTGTTGCAAACTCAAGTACAAGGTAGTTTGAGTACTGGATAAGGTTTGTACCAACCCAGCTCCACTTAACACAGTTAATAACCCAGCTAATTGACCCTGTAATTGATCCTTAGTAGGTAAGTCTTTGAATTTATCTACCTGGTCGATGTCGAAGGTGTCCTTTTCCACCTTGGCCCCCACCAAAATCAACTTTTCTTGTACACTTTTCATGATTTTTAACACCTGGGCAACCGTTGGAGGATCCGTGGATGGAATTGTGACGATGGCTGTAGGCCCATTTAATAAGGGGTCTAAAGGATGAATCAAATCTTTGTTTCTGATGGAGGTTTCTTTATCGGCTGGGTCTTCTTCGTGCTCAGATCTGAGATACACTTTGTAGATACCATTTCTGATCACATTCAATTTGGCACCCACTTTGGTCAAATCGCTTCTGATCTTTTTGTTTTCGTTTTTGGTTAAGTTGTTGTGGTGGACATATAATATGATGTTATTTGTGTCGTTTAAGTATTTGTAGTAGTCTACTAAAAACGTCTTCCTGGATAATACATGTTTGGTAGTGTTTCTCTTTGGCAACTGCTTGATCAACTTTTCCGATAACTCAGGGTTAGCGGTAGAATAAAGCCTCAGCTTTTGTGTCCATATTGGCTGTATGATGCTGAGACTTCTGGAAATTGGCTTCAAAAGTCCAGTGAGCCTTGTGGGCTTGAATATGCTTAACATTGTTCACGGTTTCCAGGTTTTTTTCACCACATTTTTTTCACAGTGAGACTTTTACAAAATCTGGTAGTCACACGGGGCCTATCAAGCGATAAAACAGAAGTAGGCTGCAAAGTGATTTCAAAGGTGTATTTGGTGATTTTCGAAAGACATTGGCTTCTCTCTTTGGCAACTTGTAGAATCCTCCTTAGGATAGTAAGCACTCCTCACTTTGAACGCCACAATATTTCTCTACCGCAAACATGGCAAGCTCGCATCACTAGAAAATTTCTAATTAATATTCTTTACTATAAGGGAAAAGGTATGAATAAGGACGTTTACAACCCTATAAACGACTCCTTCCGTACTTTTGATGCATCGCATACACCTCTGGAAAATGAACTGCTTGTCGATCAAAAGAGACATATGACAGACTCTGCCAAAGACGAGGGTTTACCTTATCCCAAACGGTCTGGGTCTGTTAATTCTAATTCGAACGTTGACTTGTCAAATAGCCTGGGTGAAGGTTTGACAGGCGACGGATCGGGGAGGCCTAGTTTTGGGTTTGTGGACATAAAAAAGTTGGAACACAGTGCAAGAATGTTACAGAAGAATATCAAGTTAATAGTCGATGAGGCACCCAATATCGAATACTTGAACCAGTTAATAAAGTCTCAGAGAGGCCTGCTCGATTCATTGACTTACGATAGTTTACGGACAAACAAATTGGTTCACTTGGCTGCCCAGGTGAAGAGCTTGTATGAAGAAGGCCGTTTAAAGATTTTTGATGGCATCTTGGAAAATGATCTCAACAAACTGGACCTCAGTGAAATTGAAACTCCTAACGAATCTCCTCAAGATAGAAGTACAGCTCCTATTATCCCATCTTCAGATTCAGAGAATGAAACGTACGTTTCATCGGTTCCTGATATTATCAGGAACAAAGATGAAGAGCAATTTGCAGTTGGCTCGACTGATGATTGCCCCGAACTACCATTGATCAAAGATCCTCATTTATACGCCAGGGTGTTTATTCACAAGTCTACTATCAACAACAAATCCTACTTGTACCAGTCAGAGCTTATTACCAGCCATAACGAAAGATTGGAGTTTCTCGGGGATTCTGTATTAAACAATTTGGCAACACTCATTATATACGAACGGTACCCTACAGCTCCTGAAGGAGAATTGTCGAAGATGAGATCTATATTGGTGAATAACGTGACTCTTGCTGAGTTTTCCATTAAATATGGATTTGACAAAAAGCTCAAATCCAATATCAATGATACCATATTGAGACAAGGTAAGCAGAAGATATTTGCCGATATTTTCGAAGCATATGTGGGGGCCTTATCTATGGAGGATAACCTTGAATCGGGGGTTCTTAAATCTTGGTTGTTCAAATTGTACTGGAGTCGACTTAAAGTGTTCGATGAAGAAATCAGAGAAACTGAAGAGGTTAATAAGGACGCTAAACTGGAGTTGTACTCTTTGGTAGGAACAGCAGCTTTTCATCCCACATACGATGTCATCACGACAGGTGATGGAGCATCTAAACCATTCAAGGTTAGTTGTGTAATGGGGGATGAAGTTCTAGGAACAGCGGTTGCACCCGGTTTGAAAGAAGCAGGTTTAAGAGCTGCTATGGTTGCATTGAAAAACAAACCAATGCTTGAAAAATATATTCAATTGAGACTCAATACCGACAAGACGCAGTCCATCGTTAGTCACAAACAGGGTTCTCCAATGGAATTGGAGACAACTACGTTGGTTGACCCAGATATTCAATTGCCCTTGAAAGCCGAGAAAGATATGGAATTCGATAGTGATGCAAGAAACAAGTTGTATGCCATAGTATCCAAGAAATTCAATTTGGTTCCAGAGTACTATTGTGAAGAAACCGAAGATCGGTTATTTACAGCAGAATTAAGAATTGATAACAAAGCCATTGCATTTGCAACCGACATTTCCAAGAAAAAAGCCATGGCCAAAGCAGCGAAATTGGCATTAGACACTCCTGCTGTGTTTTGGAACCTCCACAGTTGAGGTCAAACAATTGGATATATACCCTTTGCAACCATGTCTATATACGATTTGTATTTATAAAGCATATATACTGATAGCTGAAGCCTCACCGCAGTAGGATATAATCTTAATTCCGCTTGGAGCCGCATAAAACCCGAACACAAACCCGCAGAGCCGTAAGGCCCTTCAGTATAAAAACTGTTATCAAGCACTGTTCATCAACAACCACCATGAAATTATCTGTTGCTTTAGTCCAATTGGCCTTAGCGGTTGTGGCAATTGGTTTTCCTACGTTTGAACAGAATGTGTTCTCCAACAAACATCAAGTGTTGTTAGATAACCCCCAAGTCTTGCAGGAATATCACACTCTCAAAAGCAACTTCCCAGGAGCCGAGGAGGGTTTTGGCATTGAAAACATTGAACAGGCGTGGAAGCATCTACTTCATGAAGTTTCTGTGCCTGAATTGGAAAAGTATTTCAAGAAGGCCGAATATGCTAAGAAAGTTTCTGATGCAAACCCCTTCAATGTTTTTGCAACCCCCAAGATTGACACTGAACAATTTGAAGTTGTGAGTCATGAAGACCATTCAAACCACCAATTGAGAATCAAGAAAACCGATCCTTACTCCTTGGGGTTGGACACAGTTCAGCAGTATGTTGGTTATATGGATGTAAGAGATGTTGATAAACACTTCTTCTACTGGTTTTTCGAGTCGAGAAACGACCCTAAAAGTGACCCAGTGGTTTTGTGGATCAATGGAGGCCCTGGATGTTCTTCTGAAGGAGGATTGTTATTTGAATTGGGTCCTTCATTCATTGATGTGAACTTGAAACCGGTTTTCAATCCATACTCCTGGAACTCTAATGCTTCGGTAATATTTTTAGACCAACCGGTCGGGACTGGATACTCGTATGCTGGAAATGAAGATGTTGCAACTTCCACCGATGCGGCCAAGGACGTCTATGTGTTTTTGGAATTGTTCTTCCAAAAGTTCCCACAGTTCCTCGGAAATAAGTTCCATGTTTCTGGAGAGTCTTATGCTGGACACTATATCCCCAGAATTGGAGCTGAAATCATAAGTCACCCTGAGAGATCCTTTGAGCTTTCATCTCTCTTGATTGGAAATGGTTATGTTGATGCGTATTTTCAGCAGCTGTATGACCAAAAAATGCTTTGTGGTGAAGGTGGAATCGATGTGATTACAGAAGAAGAATGTGAACAGATGGACCAGTACTTAAAACCATGTTTGGCATTTCAAGGAGTTTGTGAGGTAACTGGAAGTGCTCTTGCTTGTGTTCCTTCGATATACTATTGTGCAATGGCTTATGATCCTTTAACCAAATTGAACTTAAATCCTTATGATTTGAGAAGACCCTGTGAAACTGAAGGACTTTGCTACAACGAAATAGACTACATGTCCGACTTCATGAATCTCAACTCCACCAAAGAAGCTGCTGGTGTGCCTTCTGATTTAACTTTTGGTATGTGTAATCATGAAGTTGGAAAGAGATTTAATGACAAGCATGATGGTATTGTGCCTTTCCAAACGTACATCGGTGAAGTATTGGACTATGGAATCCCGGTTTTGCACTACGCTGGTGACAAAGATTTTGTGTGCCATTGGTTGGGATACAATGCTGTATCTAATACTGTGAAGTACAAAAATCAAGCAAATTTTACTGAAGCTGAGTTTAAACCTTGGGTTTCTAAGTCTGGGAAGGAAATTGGACAAGTTAGAGGTTTCGATAAGTTTACTTTCTTGAGAGTTTATGATGCTGGACATATGGTGCCCCACGATCAGCCTGAAGTTGCTTATGAAATGCTTGAAACTTGGTTATCTGGGGATTATTCGTTTGGATATTAAGAAGATAAACTGTGAAATTTGTAGCAATTGAAAAGTTCTTTTTTCGCTGACCAACTACTAGTCGGCGAAGCATCTCAATATAAGTCAGTGATTAGTCTTATCTGTCAAAACGTAGTAAAGCTAGAATTCCACTAAGTCCGAAATGAGAAACCCCACCCAAGCCGCATAAACCCGTGCTTACTTGAAAGTCAATTGCGTTCTGTACAAGAAGGTCCCAGCTTATATACAAAAAAATCTCATAGAAAGTAAACTAACATTTGGATGATTTCAAGATCCGCAAACTGAAGAGTTTTTCATTATCCCCATATGTTGTAATTAATATCTACTTTTTGACAGCACGAATACTTTATCATTTTGTTTTTGTGGTTGTTCGCGCGGAAGATTAGGGTGAGAATTGTATACAATCAAAGCGAACTAGCGAGTATCTTGTGTTTTCATAGACATTAATATGTACAACGGTCAAAGAGACACGCTAAAACCGATTAGCAAGTTGAGATCAAACTCGAGTACCGGGTACCAGCCCCATAAACAATCGGAATCCACATCTAGCATTCATCCTCCTGAGCACTTGACAGAGTTCTATTCGTTCGTGAGTAACAAGTCAAACGGGTCAATCACTCCGCAGCACAGCCCCAACGTTAGAGATTTCCAACTGCTGGAGTTCGGATCTAAACGGGTCACGAGGCAGCCATCGCTCAATACTTTCACGTCGTTCACTCCATCTGTGATGGATTTACCCAATATTCTCACGTCCAAGGACTTTGAGGCATCGATACAAACTTATGAAAACACCCTAAAGAAGGCGGAGAGGTTTCGTCGTGCATTGTTACAGGTGTCTGAAGCAGCCAGTGAATTTGGAGAAGCGTTGGAAAACACAATCAATGAAAACCCTAAAGTCAATAATTCCAAACAGGTATCGGATGGACTAATCAACGCAGGAAGTTTGCAGTATATTGTAGGCAGCAACAACCAGATCTTGAGCAGACTTTTGGAACAAAACTTTCAAGAGCCCTTGAAGAAAGAATTGCATCGATTAAAAGAATCCTACCGTAGTAATCATGAATACTACCAACAAGAGGTTAAGGCCAAATCTAGGGAATTACGATTGAAAGAACTTGAGAATATCCGGCTTTCCAAGTTGAAGACCCGAAATCTATCGGTATACAAAAATAACTTGATCCACTTGACTAGTCAGCTCGATGAAATCGATCGGTTGAAATACGATTATTATGTGGACATCAACACTATGATTGAAGAATTCAACCAGAACCAGCTTCTTATAAGGACAGGCTCAATAATCAGAGCCGAATTGGAACTCTTTGAAGGAATCGCCCGAAAAGGGTGGTCTGGTGGAGGACTTGACAAACTTCTTGAGATTTCCCCAGATTTATTTGCAGTCGATTACGAGGAAGAAACAGGGACCAAAGACCCGGACAATGGGCTTGGAATGGAAAGCATCAACGAAGAAGAGGATACATTAGACAGCACGCATGGCAATAATAACGGGAATCAGACCCTTGACATCGTGCGCAGTGACAACGAAGGAGTACAACCTGGGGCGAGCAGCCCACCAGCCTCGTGCGACACCGATGGTGTTGCGTCCCAAGCGGAGGAGGACGGCAGTACGGAGACCGAGCCTCCAAGTCACAGCCTACTGGCCCTAACGATGGACGAATCTTTCTCCTTACCCAAAGTGAATTCGGGACCATTACAGAAAGTAGACTTTCTGACAGAGAACATTCTTGAAGATGTAGTAGACTGATCTGGACGTCGCAAACCCAATCTACGAGGTATCTACGACGACGTACGAGATTTAGACCACTAGTAATGAACATTTATCCTCTCATAACCTCGTGACACAAAGACGTCGCGCCTGGAATATACAAGCGAGCATCTCGAAGCCACTTGAAAATCGCCTTGCAGCCGTTCCACGTAGGCGCACCCGGTTTTCTAAGAAAGCCAATTTGAACATCCCACCAATCCCATTGGATAGCACACCACTTGGTGTGAGATTGGCAATTACGGCGAGATAGGATCCACACATTTATTACCCAAGGGCCCCAATCTCACCGAACGGGTTCGATTCTGACCCATGTGTCAAAATCGACCTCCTGCTGTCAAAAGAACATCTGTGTGTCGTGGCGATACCGATGTCCTATGTTTGCAAGCGCCCAACGGCCCAGTTAGAAGCTTGTACGTATTCGTCACCTGCACCACGCCCACGCCCACCACCAGATGTGCCACAAGGCGATTTTTCTTAAAAAAATCATCCTATTCCCACTACTTCAAATTGCCTTAACGCCATCTCAGAAACGGCCCTGAAGATCGGAGAGCAAAAAAAAATAAAAACTTATTTGTGCGAGCCTAATCCCTGACATCTACCAATAGAACCTCAATACAACTAATACAAGCACCCCCCGGAAGCCACCGAAGCCAAGACCCAAGTACTCCCGATGCAGAGGTTTGTAGTACAATGTCTTGGGGGCTTTTAAAGGCCGATGGAACCGCCTGTAATACGTTTGCTAAACAATGCCGTCAAATCCACTTCCTGTATGTAGCAGCTTTCTGTCAGAGGTTTATGCTGGTTGGGGAAAAAAAAATCTGCGTGGCATTTTGAGGTCCATTTACGTTAGCCAAGGTAGATGTAGTACCTCCCTCATCACTGACGGGGGCGGGGGCATTATTTCGGGGGAGCCGTAGAGGTTGACGGAATTGCCTTATTCCGCAACCATCGCCGTTCCATATTTTTGGAACCATGCCAACCAGTAACCCAGGACTTCTATTCAATGTTTCTAATGGATCTTACCATCACCAAGATCATCTTATTGATAGACCTCAGTTAATATCTGTAGATCCGGGAGCTGGGTTACCCGAATACCCTTGCAACCGATTTGATGCCTTACTAGGGTTGCTGAGAAGGCCTTTGGATTGTATGCAGGCGCGTTCCACTTATCGAGCATTTTACTATCAGACGAACCACAGTTATCAGCAGCGGGCATTTTACAGAATCGTTTCTTTTTTTGGCACGATAACCACCTGTGGTATAAATATCAGAAGTTTCCCTGATTAGATCAATTTTTTCAACTAGTGTACATATGTCAGTAGATCTTAAAGAAAAGCCGGTTACTCCACCAGTAACCGATGATAAGTCTCAAACCTTGAACGAAGAATCTTGGTCAGACAACATCTCTGAAGCTGAAGATTATGACTTCGATGATGAGAGAAACTACAATACCAACTACGTGGATGAGTTAAACCCCAGAGGTTTAAGATTCCCCACTAAAGAAGAATCTCGTACGTTGAGAAGAGTTTTGGGCCATGCTCCTACGGTGGTGTATTTGATCTGTTTAGTGGAATTGGCTGAAAGAGCCTCCTACTACTCAACCCAAGGTTTATTAACCAACTTTATTCAAAGACCTTTACCAGCCGGTTCCACCACTGGTTCGGTGCCAAAGGGTCCAGGAAGCGGTGATCTTTCTGCCGGGGCCTTGGGAATGGGTTTACAAACTGCCACTGCCTTGACATTATTATTGACGTTTTTGGCCTATGTGGTTCCATTATACGGTGGTTATATTGCTGATACCAAGATTGGTAAGTTGAAGGCCATCTGGATTGGTGTCGGTGCTGGGTTCATTTCCCACGTTTTATTCATCATTGCTGGTATTCCAAGTGTTATTTCTAGTGGCCATGCCATTGCTCCAACCATTTTGGCTATTTTGTCCTTATGTTTTGGTACTGGTTTTATCAAGCCAAACTTGTTACCTTTGATCATGAATCAATATCGTTTCGAGACTGATGTTGTCAAGGTCTTGGCCTCTGGTGAAAAAGTCATTGTGGACAGAGAAAAGACTTTGGAAAGAATGACTTTGTTTTTCTACTGGTGTATTAATATTGGTGCCTTTTTCCAATTAGCCACCTCTTATTGTGCCAGAGATGTTGGTTACTGGTTGGCTTTCTTTGTGCCAATTATCATGTACTTGGTGTTGCCACTTGTGTTGTTCTTTGTTGGACCAAGATTAATCAAGGAAGAAGTCCAAGGTTCGGTTATGACTGAATTTGTAAAGATCTTGAGGGTTTCCTACCAAAGGGGTTGGATTGCCAGATTGAAGAGCGGTGAATTCTGGGAATGGGCCAAGCCAACCAATATGGTTGCCAGAGGTGTCACCACCTACAGAAAGACCAAGGCCATCACCTGGACTGACCAGTGGGTTTTGGATATCAAGCAAACTATTAATGCTTGTAAGATTTTCATTTATTTCCCAATCTATTTGATGAATGATGGTGGTATTGGTTCCATTCAAACTTCTCAGGCTGGTTCTATGTCTTTAAATGGAGTTCCAAACGATTTGTTCAATAACTTTAACCCATTGGCCATTATCATTTTCATTCCTATTTTGGACTACTTGATCTACCCATTATTGAGAAAGAACAAAATCGACTTTAAGCCCGTGCACAGAATCACTCTTGGTTTTGTTATCGCTGCTCTTTCACAAGTTGCTGGTGCCGTTGTTCAACATTTCATCTACAAGAAATCTCCTTGTGGAAACCATGCTTCTAGTGAGGGATGTACTGCCCCAATCTCTGCTTGGGTTGAAGTCCTCTTGTACATTATGCAAGCTGTTTCCGAATGTTTCGCCAACACCACTTCTTATGAACTTGCTTACACCAGATCTCCTCCACACTTGAAATCTTTGGTTATGTCCATTTGTTTGTTCATGTCTGCTATTTCCGCTGCCATTTCTCAAGCCATTACTCCAGCCTTGACTGACCCTCATATCACCTGGGCTTTCGTGGCCATGGCCATTATTGGTGTTTTGTTCGCCGTTGCCTTCTTCTTGCACTTCAGAAACTTGCACATTGAGATGGAACAAGAAAGAATTCTTAGAGAAGCTGCTGAAAGACAATTTTCTACTATGATTTCCCACGGAGGACTCGAAAACGACAAAAACTTAGAAGCCGTGACTTCTATCAAGTCTGCTGTTGGTAAGTAAGAAATAAGTTTATATACAACTACTAATGTATTTTAATCGTGATAACTTTATGCTAAATAAATCTCATTGCATGATACTTGCAGGATGGGATCATGCAAGATTAGGCACTTTTTGTGCAATCTCATGTCTGTTTGACAGTTTACGAGCGCTCGGGCTTGTCACCAATGGTACGTAGTAGCGGTAAGGGTATGGGGTCAACAGTATGGGGCGCGAGCCCTATTTGTCACGAGCACCTGTGCGCGGAGACACAGTTGGCCAAAACTCGGGGTGCGCGCACGTCTTTTTTTCTCGTGCTCTGCTGCGAATAGGTGAAAAAAAGTTTCAGTTATTCAACTACATCTGTATTTTTCATAATGGCTCCAATCGTATGTATACTAACGTTCTAGATGGCGAAAGGATTTGATATCTCCCTAGTACGGGTCAGTGCAACCAAAAGCAAGGCATCATGATTTTGCCCGTTTATTGTTGATCGGAAAGAAACAACCATTCGGTTGGTAATGCAAAACCCCGTCCCTGGGCTATTCTGTCTTTATCACATCTTCAAAAGATACTGTGCAGTAGGCTAACTGGGAATTTTTCTAGACCTCCAAGAAATCCAAGACCGCTAAGAAGTTCGTCGTTGACTGTTCCGCTCCTATCGAAAACGATGTTTTTGACCAAGAAGCTTACGTCAAGTACTTGGTTGAACACATTAAAGTCGAAGGTATTGTCGGAAACTTGGGTGACGACATCTCTGTTACCGCTGAAGGTAACAAGGTTGTTGTTGTTTCCAACGCCAAGTTCTCCGGTAAGTACTTGAAGTACTTAACCAAGAGATACTTGAAGAAGAACCAAATTAGAGACTGGATCAGATTCGTTTCCGTCAAGCAAAACCAATACAAGTTGCAATTCTACAACGTTGGTGAAGACGAAGAAGAAGAAGACGAAGAGTAAACTCTGTAATATAGTCGGGTTATTTTTTAATACACAAGAACAGAAAGTAAAAGAGGAGTTGGACAGAACTCCACCAAAATTAATAGTAGTCGCTTTCTAAACATTCTCCCATATATTACCTAACTCCGGACTCTCAAGATCCTAAGGCCTGGAAGTTTCCTACTCATGCCTCCGTCAGTCCCGTGTTTAGGGTTACCACTAGAAGCAAATTTTTCCTCTCGATGAGAGAATGGTCCTGCACACGGCCCCGCAGCTCAGCCGGCCTGTGAATCCAGCGAACCTTTTCTCAGTCATTTGTAACCCACTTGAACTAATAAGATTGTTAACGGTTTGTTTATAACCCAGTTGTATTATAAACTATGGAAGCCATCACCAGAGTGTCGATGAAGGTATGTCCCTTTGTCAAATCCCACTCAGCCCAGGCGTTACGCCAAATTAGTCAGAATTCTTCCTTGGCTAGCGAGGCCCGTCAATGTCCGTTCATGAGACAAGCTTTGAAAAATAAGCAATCAGTTAGACCTTATTCCAGTGCCACCAGACCTGTCAATGCCACCGCAGCACCTGCCACCGACTCCAAGGCTACCAGGTCGACTCCGTACTCATTTAAAGGTGACCAGTTGAAACAGGTGGATGTTGATTTGTCCTCCAATGAAAACAGCTTTGATTACTCTGGGTTCATGGAAACCGAGTTGTCCAACAAGAGAAACGACAAGTCATACCGGTTTTTCAACAACATCAACCGGTTGGCCAATGAATTTCCCAAGGCCCACAGGACTCAAGAAGAAAACAAAGTAACAGTTTGGTGCTCGAACGATTATTTAGGAATGGGAAGAAATGGCCTCACTTTGGCAGAGATGAAAAGGACTTTGGATAAGTACGGAACCGGTGCTGGTGGTACCAGAAACATCGCCGGGCACAACCGTCATGCTATTCGGTTGGAATCTGAGTTGGCTACTTTGCACAAACACCAAGCAGCATTGGTTTTCTCTTCGTGTTTTGTGGCCAATGATGCGGTTTTATCATTATTAGGACAGAAGTTGAAAGACTTGGTGATCTTCTCGGATGAGTTGAACCACGCCTCGATGATTCAGGGAATTCGAAACTCGAGAGCCAAAAAACATGTTTTTAAACATAATGATTTGGCCCATTTGGAATCATTATTGGCCTCTTACCCCAAAAACACTCCCAAATTGATTGCGTTCGAATCGGTTTACTCGATGTGTGGTTCCATCGCACCTATTGAAAAGATTTGTGATTTGGCAGACAAATATGGAGCTTTAACTTTCTTGGATGAAGTTCATGCTGTTGGTATGTACGGTCCTCATGGAGCTGGAGTGGCTGAACATTTGGATTTCGCTAGTCATTTGAAGGCCGGTATCAACCAGCCCGAAAACTCTCAGACGATTATGAACAGAATCGACATGATTACAGGTACCTTGGGTAAAGCCTATGGAACTGTTGGAGGATATGTCACTGGTAAGGCCAGTTTGATTGACTGGATCAGATCGTATGCCCCTGGGTTTATATTTACCACCACCTTGCCACCAGCGGTCATGGCTGGTAGCACATCTGCCATCAGATATCAAAGATCCACTTTACAAGATCGGATCTTGCAACAAAAGAATACTCGGTATGTCAAAAATAACTTGAACAGTTTGGGAATCCCCGTTATTCCTAACCCATCTCATATTGTTCCTGTGTTGGTGGGTAATGCTGCCGATGCCAAAAGTGCTTCCGACTTGTTGTTGGAAAAACACAACATCTACGTACAAGCTATTAACTTCCCCACCGTTCCTATTGGACAAGAGAGATTGAGAATTACTCCTACTCCTGGACATGGACCTGAATTATCCAACCAGTTGATCAGTGCTTTAGATTCGGTTTTTAAGGAATTGGATCTTCAAAGAATCGACCAGTGGGCCGCTGAAGGAGGTTTGTGTGGTGTGGGTGATCCTGAGGCGGTACCAATTGAACATATCTGGACTGACGCCCAATTGGCTTTGAAAGACGCCGATTTGCACCCTAATGTTGTTGATCCGGTGATTGAGCCTATTGGTGTCAGCTCTGGAGTGGCAGTTTGATCCACTCGAACAGTCTCTAGGAGCGTTCGATGCCTGGTTATGTGGTTGGTTTAGTTTTTTGTTACTTCCTAGAAGTTTTTCTGAACCTCTACATCTCGTACTATTTAGCTTAAAAAATACATTATATCTCACAAAACAAAACGCGACTATCAAAATACAAAATAAACAATAGTGATGGAGCTCGACTCAAAGCAGGTGGTGAGACTTTACACCACGCGGCTCGTCAATTCACTAGTTCCCTCTGAGTTTGGTCATGAGTATACACACAGTGTAACAAATGAGCTTTTAAATCATTTCTTGAAGGGGAAAAACAACAAAACAAGCACTCACGACTTCAATTTGATCTTGAATGAATACAAGAAGATATTTATCAGCCACAGCAAGAACAACGAGTGGGTAAAGTTTAACAGTGTGATAAGTATGTTGACGCAACTTAAAACGGTTGATCAAGTCAAGAGTTATTTGGTATTTTTTGGGACTTTAAAGGGTATTAACTTTGCCAGTACAGATACGCCTGCTGGACTTCGAAGTTCTCCTCGAATGTCATCTTCAAGTTCCAATTTCAACGTGAATCCTCGTTCAATGCAAATGAGACTTGAATCTTCGCCATATAAAAAGAGTGGTGCCTTGGTGATGGAGGAAATCATCAGACCATACTATGAGACGTTGGATGAGCTGCTAATAATCCAGTATTTATCGTACACGCTAATGGGTATAGACTCCAAGATCTTGGCCTTTATTGAAGATGGAGATCATATCAAAGTTCAGATCCCCCAGGATATAAACAACAGCTATTCCTTGCTTTTGGGAAAAATCATAGAGCCTGCCTTAATTTACATCAAGCTAAAGAAGGTGTTATCTCAAGCATTTGGATCCGGGTTGACTCCAATCAAAACATCTTTCTTGTCTCTAATAGAGATGGAACTTAACAATTACTCGATGTTCATTAACGGGTTGTTCAAAGAAAATCATGGCTCTTTGATAAAAATCTTCAATAAGTTATCTCCGACTATTTTAAGATTAAGAATATTCTACTCCTTGACGAACAAATTGAATCTCAGTGGCTTTGAGTTTTTACAGTCCACATACGAATTAACGAAATTTGGTGACACTACTATTAAAAGCTTAAGTGATGAAATCTTCAGCTTTATTTCGACTGAATATTATGAAATTCTTGAAAACTGGATCATAAGAGGTGAGCTCATGGATACCAACAATGAGTTCTTCATTGAGTTTGATAGTGAGGCCGATAATATTCAAGATATCATTGTGTTTCAACCTAGAAAGGTTCCTAACTTTTTTGTCATCATCAACAAGAACATTGGGTTTAAGATTTTCCAAATCGGAAAGATACTAATCTTCTTGAGCAAATACTGCAAAGAGCTAAAATGGGTGAACGACTACACTCTCAAATACTCTAAGTTTGTGTATGATGATAATTCTGGGTTGAAGTCCATGAAAATCAACACAATCAACAGCTTGATCAACCAACAATACGATGAATTGGTGAACTACATGACCTACATTCTCCACGGAAAATATGAAATGTTATCCCACATAAATAACTTCAAGAAATTTCTCCTTATGTCCTCGGGGGATTTCATGGATTCTTTGATTTTAAAAGGATATGATCTCTTTAATGAGCCTTCAAATCAACTTACATCCACTCAATTATCCAAAATTCTTGTTGAGTCAGTGAACTTTTCCAGCATCAAGAACTATAATATGGATTTCAAGAATCGACTAGATGCTAGGATCTTAAGTTTGAGTCATGGAAATATCGGATGGCAAGTGTTCACTATCGAATACAAAATTGAGGACTTGCCGATTAACTCATTACTCAACTACAAAGATTCGAGTATTGAGTATTTGAAGATGTTCAACTTTTTATGGAAACTCAAGCAGTTCAGTTACATGCTCAATATGAGCTTCATAGAGAGCAGCAATTTGAAACGGAATGACTTGAAAGAGTTTTTTAAGAAGTACAACCAAATACGGAAAATTCCAAGTGGACAAGTCAAGAGTCTCAAGGATCTAAAAATCAAATTCATCGTCAGAGCCTTCAAGGTGATCAGCGTTATTAGATTTAAGATCAGTAATTTTGTGAATGTTACCCTCGACTATTTGTTCAATGAAATCGAAAAGAACTATGTGAAGTTCACCAAAGCGTTCTACAATAAAAACAGCCTCAACAGCACCATGAGTATCAACCCGAGATTCAAAGCACTTATTCCCAATGCAGATCTGGCATCCTTGCCAGGGACTCATTTGATTCAAAGCAACCTTGACCAATTGAACTTTGAAGATATTATTAACCTCAATTCAAGCTACACCAAACAGTTCAACTTTAAGATTCTTGACACAAAAATTGCTGGGAAATCAGGAGAAGCATATATTGACCAAATATATGCTGTTCTTGAGACCGTATACAAATTCATTAACAGCAATCAAGAGTTCTTTTTTCTTTTGGTCGAGTATGTTACTTTGCTTAATATCGACCAGAATTACAATATGACCGAAATCGACAGTGACTTGGAATTCTCTGAAGGAAACCTCAAGAACATCATCGATAAAATTTACTTGGATATTTATCAAGAATTCAAAAGTGGTGTTGAGGCTCTCGTCAAGGATTTGCGCAGTGATTTGGACTTAAAGGAATTGGCCAAGTTGTTTTAGGGTCTTCGGACTTTAAAAATAATAAAAGCATGTGGTGACAATCCTAAAAAATCATGCCCCACAAAATGGACCGCGCACTACCTGAGCTCTCTGGGCACTTGAAGAAAAGGTCGTAAGACAAGAAGCTACATGCTACTAATAATGATATAATGTATTATAGTTAATGATAGAAGAAGCATTAAATACCCACCTCTAGATATTGTTTCGGACGATATTGCCAAAGTCTACGACGGCTGTGCCAAAAATAACTGCTGTGAAGATCTAATCCCGAGGTTTATTGAAAATTACTAAAATCGCAGTCCGAGGACTTTCACATTTGCCAATAAATACATATAAACCTGCACTTCTAACTTTTTTTTTGTCCATTGGAACTTATCGTGGATTTTTCTTTCATTTGTGGTTTCACCTTAAAGTCATAGAACTGTTATAGATATGGAAGAAGTCGATAGTGTATTAGTTGACAACGTCAAATCATTTGCTTCAGGAGGATTTGGTGGTATATGTGCTGTTTTAACAGGCCACCCCTTTGATCTCGTCAAAGTCAGACTACAAACTGGCGTATACGATTCTACCTTGAAGGGTATCAAGCTGACCTTGGTCAAAGAAGGATTACCTGGTTTCTACAGAGGCGTGGTTCCTCCATTGATAGGAGTTACCCCAATGTTTGCTGTTTCTTTCTGGGGTTATGATGTGGGAAAAAGACTCATTTCTTCCGCCACGGGACTTTCTCCTGCTCAATTCCAAATCTCCCATATATCTGCTGCCGGGTTTCTTTCGGCGATTCCAACCACCTTGGTGGCAGCTCCATTTGAAAGAGTTAAAGTGATGATGCAGATTCTGAAGGAAAAGTCCTCAATGGGATCCGTGATTGCAGAAATGTACAGAACCGGTGGTATCAGGTCTATCTTCAAGGGTTCTGCCGCCACCTTGGCCAGAGATGGTCCTGGTTCGGCCTTATACTTTGCTACCTACGAGTACTTGAAGCAGGCATTAACCAAACCAGGAGAAGAAGGCTTATCGTTATTGAACATTTCAATCGCCGGAGGATGTGCTGGTGTGTCTATGTGGTTGGGTGTTTTCCCCATTGATACGATCAAGTCAACTCAACAATCATCAAACACAAACACTTCAATTGTCCAGACCACCAAGAATATCTACGCGAAGGGAGGTATCAAGGCATTCTTCCCAGGAGTGGGGCCAGCTTTGGCCAGATCCTTCCCGGCCAATGCTGCTACCTTTGTGGGTGTTGAACTTGCCACCAACTTCTTGAATTCGGTTCTTTGATACATATTTATGAAATATATTCTTGTGCCAACGGCTTATACCGATAACTTCACAGCCATGTGCGTGCGCATACCCAATTTTACTCTCCCGCAGCGATTATTTTCGAGGAATTGAAAACTCAGGGAGTATCAATCCAATTGTTTCAATCATGTCTCTCACTGATGACCAAGTATGTAACATCACAAGCCGAACTACTCTACACTTCTGCCACCATTAAATTCATACTGATGGTGTCTAAACGGCAGTGAGAATGGTGCAGAATTGATGTCTTTCACCCTATCGCCCATCGCCGTCGCTCACCGACGACCGAAGTTTTGCTTATCATACCATCAAGTTTACTAACAATCCCGCCAGGTCAACGCCGAACTTCGCAAGATGAAGGCCTTCATCGAGAAGGAAGCTCAAGAAAAAGCTAAGGAAATTAAGTTGAAAGCCGACGAAGAATATGAAATTGAAAAGGCTTCCATCGTCAGATCTGAAACTGCTGCTATTGATGCTGCCTACGAACAGAAATTCAAGAAGGCTTCTTTGGCCCAGCAAATCACCAAGTCCACTATTGCCAACAAGACCAGATTAAGAATTTTGGCTACTAAGGAAGAAGTGTTGGACCAAATCTTCGACGAAGCTAAAACCCAGTTGAATAAAATAAGTGCTAACAAAGGTGAATATAAGGCTGCCTTCGTGGGTTTGATTGAAGAAGGTTTGTTTACCTTATTAGAAGAAGAAGTCACCATCAAGGTTAGAGAAGCCGACTTGTCATTAGCTAAGGAAGTTGTCGACGAAGTCACCAAGGACTTTGAAGAAAAGGCCAAATTCCCTATTAAAGTCTTCGTCGACGAATCAGACTTCTTGAGCAAAGACTGTGCTGGTGGAGTGGTTGTTATCAACAAGAATGGAAAGATTGAAGTTAACAATACATTGGACGAAAGATTGAAGTTGTTATCTGAAGAAGCGTTACCAGGTCTTAGATTAGAATTGTTTGGTATTTCTGAAACCAGAAAGTATTTTGATTAAGTCTCCATTGTCAATTGCCAATATTCACTTCTTCTCCTCCATTTCATTTATATGTCGTAATTCTCTCCACATATAGTATTTCAATACATTTGACTCCAGATGTTGTTCGCACTCAGTTCCAAATATAAAAGACTTCACAGGCTCCAAACTCAAATAACCAGCCGGTATGCTATCAGCGGGATTTAACAGAGTGGCCTTGACTCGAGCAGAGGTTCAGACTTTTGGATTGTATCGAAACATACCATGTCTCCACCGGAATTATCTGTCAGATCCCAAAAAAGACTGGAAAAAAGCCTGGAAAAATCCTTGGAATTATCAATGGTGGGGTCACTGCTGGCGAAACGGCTGGCGAAACAACTGGCAAAGTAACTGGAAGAAAGATGTTACTTCTCGGAGGCAATATAGGAGAGAACATTTCCTCAAGTATCTTCTCAAAAACAAAATGTTCCATCCCATCGAGCTGGTTACTGATCCTGAGAATCAGATACCCACATTCAAAGGATTTACTTCCAACGCCAACACCAAGATCGATATCAGTAAAATGGGGAAGTTAAAGCCTGTTCTTCCCAACGATGCGTATGTTTCTTGTACGGTATTTGATCAGTCGGGGAACAATATCGCAATTTCCAAGAGGTATCCCAAAATGCAGTTTTTAAAAGACCACAACTTACATCCACGGGATCTACGAAAGATCGATACCTCGTTGGTTGATGTGGCCCCTCAGATCATGATCCGGCCCCCCAATACAATTTTGGTGAATTTGCTGCATATCAAGGCCTTGATTAAAGAGGAACAAGTGATGATTTTTGATACTTCATCTCCAGAAATAGCCACCAAATTAGGGCTTTTCATCTACGATTTGGAACTGAAATTGAAAGCTCCTAATAACATGCCTTTTGAGTTCAAGGTCCTAGAAACCATATTAATCAATGTAATGGGATACTTGGAAGCAGAACTCAAAGTACATATCCAAAACTGTGGGGCTATCTTATCTGAATTAGAAAGCCAAGTGGATAGAAAAAAATTACAGGATTTATTGATTCGGCTGAAAGGTGTACAGAGTTACTATCAAAAAGTATTGTTAATCAAGCAAGCATTGGAGACTCTATTAGACAATGATGAGGATCTTGCAGCCATGTACTTATTGAAGCCTAGAACAGCTGAACTCAAAGGACATACCGAAGAAATCGAAAACATCTTGGAATCGTACTATTCTCATTGTGATGAGTTTGTGCAGCATTCGGGATCTTTGGTCCACGATATTAAAGCAACAGAGGAAATTGTGAATATTATTTTGGATGCAAATAGAAACTCCTTGATGTTGTTTGAATTGAAGGTTACCATCTATACCTTGGGTATAACTTTTGCAACTTTAGTACCTGCTTTCTACGGTATGAACTTGAAAAACTTCATAGAAGAAAGCCAATACGGATTTGGAGCAGTTGTGGCCTTTTCGATTCTCCAGGGATTGTTCTTGACAATGCTTAATTTGAAGGCATTAAATAAGGTGCAAAGGTTGACTCGAATGGGGGGATCAAGTCGTAGTAAGAAAATGGGAGAAACTCTAAATATGTCCCGACGGGATGTAAAACAAGAGTGGCTCTATGTGTGGATGAAGTACATGAAAATGAAAAGGACACATTATCATTATCCTACTATGAAAGAGAGGTTTGCAATTTGGAGGATGATGAACGATAATCGACGTAAATAATAATGGTAATGATTTGACTTGTACATATATATAATAGATTTTATGTAAAAAATTAATGAAATTTAACACTTAATCAGAATCCTCAGATTCATTTATTATAGCCTCTTCATTGTCAGATCCTTCCGTATAGTGTGGTACTTCTTCAGATATATCATTGTTGGTGATTTCGTCATTATCATCGAACTTCTTATGGTTGTTCAGGTTGGATGCTTGAGAGGCTTGGAACTGGTCATTGGATAACGACATTCTACGGTTTCTGAACACTGGCTGGTTCTCTTCTTCAGTTCCTGGCTTGATTAATGTTCCTTCAATAGAAACAAACCTTCCTGAGCTATGGATGTTTTTAACATTGAACTTCAACTTTCCTTCAATTTTGATTTCATTTTCGTCCACCCAGTGTCCCAAAGACTTAAATTGGCTCGAATTTTCCGTCTCATTATCTTCACCATACTCATCGATCTGAGATGGTATGAACTTCCAGTCAGAAGGAATATTGAATTTTTTGATGGATGCGTTGAATGTGTCGTGAACTAACAACCCCATATGGGATGCTGTTTGCATGTAGATGTAGCCCTCTAAAACATCGCCGAGTTGAGGTCTCCAAACGAGTAAGTCAACTGATATCCATGAAAAAGTGAATGGAGATGAATCGGAAATCTTTGCTAATGGAACATTATCTTCTGTTTTCCCATCTAGTAACTTGATATTTGAATATGCTATGACGACACCCTGGGCCTTCGGGAAGTAATTCATGATCAAGGGGTCCAAGTGTTGAGCTTTAATTCCATTGATAGGGCTTGATATATGGCATGGTGCGAGTGAAACATACATATCGGTTTGAAAAGACTGAAAGCATTCTGAAATTCCGTCTTTGTTAATAGGATTGTTACTTTCGGGTATTATAAACTGTTTCCTTCTTTTGTGACCATTCATGTTGTTCTTGTGATATTGTTCAGGCATTTTTGCAGAGCACTTTGACTACAGATTTTGGAAATATTTTTTTTGCGATGAGAAAACGAGAGCGATGAGAATGGTGATAACAAAGTAGCACGGAATTAATTATTCAATATTAAAATGCAAGGAAAATTATGCAAGTAGGTTATTAAACTGATATGATGAGATCAATGATGTTGGTCGGTGCTAGGTCAACTTGCTCTTCAATTTAAACTTTGTGTTTTGCAATGAATTAGAAAGGAATGCTTGTGGTCCAGTTTGGGCTTGATCTGGATGAAGCTGCGACTTGAAAAGGATACTTTCTTCTTTCTTTAACATTTGATCCTTCTTCCTAAACCCTTTTGTACTTGGAGTCTTGAACACAGCAAAGTTCTTGAGAATACGAGCTGAATACTTGGTTGGTGCATCTTCAGCTTCTGAATATGCTGGAACACCTGTAAACCGTACCTTCTTATTGAATGAATCACTCTCCTCCATTGGGGATGCAACAATTGTTTCAAAAGCCCTATCTGTAGAAGAAGAGATTTCAGAGCTCTTTGCTGTAGAACTCGAAACAGACGTATTGGACGATACATTGACCACTTGACTATTCCTCTTGGTATTCATCTTCGTCACCTCGTCCCTTGTTTTACGTTTCAATGGAGCTGTCTTAACATCTACAGACGCTGGGTCAAGTGTTTCAATCGGTACAGGGGAAGATACACTAACCTCTGTTGAAGCGATTTCTTCCCGCTCAGCATATCTTCTAATGTTCACCGATGACGGAAGATTAGGATCAAATACAACTGATGTCAAGATCTCCTTCTCTTGCGTCATCAATGAACCGTTTCTGGCAGCTTCTTTCAAGTGGTTCTGAAGCCTTTGGTTGGCACTCAATTTCGTGGGAGGCGTTGAATATGTTTCCTCTGCAATCACAGATTGCTTGGTAGGTGTCACGGGTTTTCTGGATATACTAGTTCTTCTCACAGGAGTGGGACTTAATCCCTTCTGTTTTAATGCAGCTGCTGCAGCTCCTGAAGATGCTATCCTCGAACTCAACGGGGAAGTAGATGGAGAGGGATAATTATTGATCACCAGTAAATGCTCTGGAGAAGACTGTGGTTGGGAATTAGATCTTCGACGACCATTAGCAGCAGAATTGGCAGAAGGTGCGGTCAAGCTAGTAATACTTCCAGCTCTGACTGGTAAACTATTGGCAGATCCGTTGGCAGTGGGACTCAAAAATATCATAGAGTTTGGCCTTTGCAGTCTAGGACTGGTGGTTGTCTTGGGAATAATAACAGAGTTACGATTAAATGAGTTGACAGTTGCCATTCTTGTTATGGAGCTGGCGGAGGCAGTGGAGTTGTTTGACGAAACTGAAGAAGACCTCGAAGGTCTGTTGAAAATGGACTTTTCCTTGGTGCTAGTACTAGAATTGTCGTCCACAGCAAGTTTTTTCATCTTCTTCTCTATACTAGCTGCATCATCAGTAGAAGACTCGGCTTTAGAGTTTGTGTTCTTCTCCACTGAGTTAGCAGTTTCTGTCAAGTAGAATTTTGGTAGATTGTTGATTCTTCTGAATCTCAATTCTGCAGCAATCCAGTTTCTACCAAATTCTTCAAACTTAATCAAAGAGCTTTCTAACAAGAAATGACCTTGACTGGCAAAGTTGTTAAAGTCTAACACATTCTTAACATTAACCTCGAACTTTGAATTCTGTCTAAGTAGTCTCGTCAAGTTGGCAATTAAAACCCCATTCTTCTTTGTTTGATTGAAGACCTCATCTATGTTCTTCAAAACAGTAAATTTAAGAAAATTGGAATTTGGGGACAGCATCAAAAACTTCTGATCATTTAAATGTTGAAAATTGGATAAATAGATCTTTCTGCCAAATCTCCTCAATATAATGTACATATCGTTCAACCGCAAAGTTAACAACATTATTTTATGTAGCGACAATTCCCAATCTTGGATACTGTTCAATTTAGTCAAGTTTGACTTTAATCCCTTAAACTTGGAAATTGTCACTTTCAAATTGGATAAGGCTTGCTTGTAGTTCTCTATTATAACAAAGATCATTCTGATATCAATGTCTATCAAAGTTGCTTCAACAAATGTATTGTCCTTAAGCAAATTTTCGTCTTTTGTGATGTCAAATAAGAGCTCGCTTGAACCCACCAAATCTAAATCCTTATCAGTGAAAGTGGCTTCGATTATCTTATCGTATTTGGAGGCATCATAATCAGGCAACTCGGAGAGTGCTTGTGCTAGTCTCTTCTCATAACCTTGTAAGCAATGATTATACAAAGTTTCCAATAATTTGGTGCATTTAGCACTGGTTGCTGTGGAAGGTATATCTATCATCGGATTAATGTTGACATCGTTACTATCGTAAGGAATATGGCTGACAATGGGAGAGATGTTTATGGGAGAAACCTTGAATAACTTGAAGTTAGAAACTGCCTCCAATTTGCTATTGAATAGTCCTTCATTTATGGCAAATACGTTACCTGATAATAACGTCAAATAATTGCATAGTCTAAGTTTATTAGCCGAACTGGACGACAACAATTCCGCCAAAAATGGGAGAAGATGCTTGATTTTGTAAATTGCATACTTGTACTGGAGTATCTTACAATCCACGAACGATATCCCCGGTACCAAATCTGATTGCATTTTGGTATTGAGTGTGGATGGTTTGAGGACTTTGTCTATCAAGAATATTAGTTATCCCACTAAATGTGTAAATTGGAAAATAGGTGGAAATGTGAACCTCTTACTACAATGAAAGATAAAGACGTTTCAATGTTGGGAGATCTATTTGTATCAATCGGTGGCAGAAATGATGAATCTTGCGATATAAGAGTTTGAACAGTTTTTAAGCCAAGTTCAGGTCGCGCTCAAATAAACAAAAAACTCTTAGGAAACCTTCGTGAGATAAACATGACTACCCGCGTGAATAGCAGTGTGAACAATAGTGAAACCGGCACTCCGTCCACCACCACAATAGAGTATGATCACCGGGTGACATCCGTATTGACAGAGCACTTTGGATATCCCCCGTTGGCGGTCATTGATGATGTGATTAATGCTGTTAATCATATTCTTTACAAATGCACCCAGGCAATGGAAACGTACCTAGTTGAGCAGCACACCAAGAGGATAGAAGAGTTCAAGCAGATCAAAGCTGAAAATGCGTCTTCTGATAAAGATGAGCAAGCTTTGTTAAAAGAGCATGAAGATTTGGACGTGTGGGTGAACCTACCCAAAGATGAAATCAGCTTGGGAACTGCGAAACTTGAAACTCTTTTAGAAAACCAAGTCGATAAGAACTTTGATAAGTTCGAGCTCTATGCATTGAGAAATATCTTCACGATTCCAGTGGATTTGGTGGATAATGGCTGGATAAGATTGAAACATCATGAGCATCTTGACTTTAGTAAAGATGCAAACCGAGAGGACGACGAGGTCATAAATAAGTTGATCAAAGATATACGGCTCGAGCTCAAGTTGAGAGAGATCTTGAAGCTCCAAGTCGAAAAAGGCAAGCGACTTGTGGACATGTTGAGAAAGTATAGTAATAACTTGAAGTACTTGAACGAAACCGAAATCAACAAGAACCTCAGTGAAAAGGGCAAAAAGATACTAGAAGATCTTTCCCCCATTGATGATAACTTGTACTTTATTTTGCAGCAAGTGAATGTTTTAATCGAACAGATGAATAGGCTATACGTCAAGTTCGAGAAGAATAAGGTCAACATGAACTTTAAGCCCAGCTTGAGAGACTTCTACATAAATGGTAAATCTTTCAAGCTACTACAGAGTATTGGAGTCACAATCGAGGATAGCTCGGTAGATTTGTTGGGTGATACAGAAGAATTGAAAAACGGGGTGGAATCAGTGGTCTTGGATGATTTGATGTAGTTGTACAATAGCGGATATATTCGTAAATAGTGTATTAATAGGAATAAATGGATCTCACACACACAAAAAAAAACATCAACCTTTTTCGCACTGACAAAAAATTCATCCAATAAAACTACATCAATTTCTAACCTACCCTCATAATGGCAGGTACATTAAGACCAGATAGAGAGCTTCAAAGGTTCAATACAGCTAAGGAAAATGCTGGGAACTACTTCAGATTCAAGCCTAAATCGATTATTTTCAACGTGTTGATGATGGGAATCGTGCCTTTTGGATTGGCATACTATGCTTATGGAAGTGAAGGTAAAGTGAACTTTTATAGGAGATTCAGAAAGGAGCCTGTGTTGTATAAGGAATACGTTCCCAGAGACAAGGATTTGTAGTTCTAGACACGAACTTCCAAACAACAAGAACTTATAATTTAGAAATTAGCATACACAATACACATATAACGATACTGAAGCCTAATATAGGCATAATCTACCACAAGATACTCTAAATTTTGCATTAATCGTAAATCATATATAGATGGTTGACACGAAATAAACGTAGGTAATTGGTGATGGTGAATTGAAAAAATGGTGAAGGAGTGTCAAGCAGAAATAATACTCCTAAGAATTGAGTTGAAAGTTAACAATCCCATTTTTCATATTTTTAAGAAGCTTCTTCTTTTCGAGATTAGGTGAACTACGCTTTTTCTTCAACATTGGTTTATCCACCTTCTTTGGGTTTTTAGTCCAATTTGTGGGAGAATGGGGTACCAGGGTAGAAGAAGGTGGTGTATTGGTGAAAAAAGTGTCTTCACGAATTATATCGAGTGAATTTGCCAGTTTAAAAGTACTGGAACACTCCTCTAGGGAGAAATTCTTGGGGGTGTTTACCAGGTTAGAAGGTTTTGATCCGAGTTTGGACTTTTTGGATGAACTGTGACTTTTCTTATCAAGCAGGGAAGCTGATTTTGTTGAATTGGGTGATGTTGAAGTAGGACTACGGCCGCTGGTAGTACTGCCAGCGGTTTTAGCTTTTCTTGGATCCTTGAAAGTAAACGATCCTGGAGTACCCATTTCATCAAGGCTACCTCTTTTGATTAGTTCGTCAAATGGAATTTCCTTCAAAATATCTTCCAATCTAAAAAGGTCTTCTTTTTCATAATCTTCAAACTCAAGCGCAGGGGCTTCGCCGTCCTTTTCCTTATTGAACAAAAAGTCGACGGGAGTCAAAGTTTCAATGGACATTTCATTGAGTTGTGACATGGAATTTCGACGCCTTAACGGCTGGAAGTTTTTAAGAGAAACCATTGAAGTATCAGTTTGGGGAGTAGGAATAACAGAATAAACTCCTGTATTGTCTTTGAAAGAATTGGCACCAAAACTATGTTTCCGAGAAACAGAAGGTGGAAATGGTGTAGCAGCATCCAACTCGTCACATCTGGAGTTAGTAACAGCATTGTCGAATTGGAGTGGCAGATTTGTGTTTGAAGTGAGCTGTTGAGGCAGCACTACCGTACTGGATTCTTCGATCGAGTCGTTGAAGTCCGACTCCAAATTATAGTAGGCAGAGTTTAGAGACACTCGTGAAAGCGGAGTGGATGCCACTGATGCGGAACTCAGGGGAGACGAAGATATCAGCGGCACCAGGGCCTTTTTCAGACTGGCTTTGTGACCTGTTTGCAGACCCTTCAGCGTACTTTGCGGTCTCAGAACCAGAGTTTTCAGCTTTGAAGGAGAGCTTTGAAGGCCTCTCAGCATACTCTTTATTCGGGTAACATTTTGCAGCCCACGCAGCACCGACTTGGCTTTAGTGGGCCGCGCGGTGGGGGTACTTTTGGGCGTCGTCTTGGCCGTTTTGGCCTTAGATGTCTTCACGCTTGGAGCTGCTGGCTGCAGAACCATATGGAACTGTGGAGACTGTTGGGTCATCGGCTGCTGCTGGACCATCGAGTGCTGTTGGACCATTGACTGTTGTTGACCCATTGGCTGCTGTTGACCCATTGGCTGCTGTTGAACCATTGGCTGCTGTTGACCCATTGACTGCTGTTGACCCATTGGCTGCTGTTGAACCATTGGCTGCTGTTGAACCATTGGCTGCTGGCGTTGCTGTACTTGGTTCATCAACTGAACCACCTGTTGCGGGTGCTGACCCGTGTGTTGTGGTACATGGTTCAAATTCTGTTGATTAACCGGCATAAATGACATAACATTGGGCTGTTGGTTAAGCTGATGCAGGGCAATGTAGTGGATTTGACCTTGGTTAGATGCTAAATTGGTGGCAAGAGATTGAGGGAGCATTTGAATGAGTTGTGTTTGAGGCGCCAATTGCATTTGCCGAAACGCCAGAGGGTCAATCATGTTCATATGAGTAGACATGGGGGCTTGGACCGGAGCTTGGATGTAACCTTGAGGTAGTTGTTGCTGGCCCACTGGAACGATGCCCAAGCCGATTATTTGCATACCATTCACCATTGACGGAAGAGCGCCTGTTAAGACATTACCGTTGGCGTCGGTGGTAGCAATACGATCGGTAAATAATTGATTATACGCCATGGGGAGCAGATGATATGATGACGGAGGAGATGTTAATGCCGGGATGGTATCAATGATATGGTACGGATTTTGTTGATGTTAAGAGGGAAATGAATGAGGCGACAATCAGGTGTTTTGAAGTAGGTTCTTGAGGGGCCTGAAAGTGTCTGCAAAAAGGGGAAAAAGAAGGTAAGCGCCAGAAGCTGGTTCGCGGGAAGATGAGGGAAGGTTGATGGGGGTTGTTGGGTATGAGTGGTTCAACAGGACACACAGGTATCAATGGTTGATGAAAAAGATGTTGTTTGGGTATATGAAGAGAAAAAAAAAACCCGGGTAGTAGTGGATTGTAAAGGGGCCCATACGGATCTACATACACAGGACATATTGTGCGCGCGCGTGCAATTAACCAGCAGACTTTCACAGTTTCTGCAGCCGGGAATGAATAAGCGCCTCGAAGATGTATACGGTGTCCTGAAGAACATGTAAATGAAGGTATACTTAATGATACACTGATATCAAGCGCCAAATTACCAAGTCTGTAGGTCTTTCACGGGCGGTTAAGCTTCGATTAATATTAGCCTTTAAAATGTTTACAACCGGCCTTGGTATAGACACCTAGGTGAGGTGTTCTATTGACTTAACATCTCCAATCATGTAGCATATCTTATTGGTTTAGCCCCCTTGTGGCCCCTAATAGTATGCACCTATGCGCCTGTTGACAGTTATACGAAAGACAGGTAATTAATTCCCCATTTAGGTAGATGATGATAACAGAACCTGCATAGATGTTTCCTCATATAACTCTTTTTCGTCAATTGTTGTGTTAATTGCTCGCGCATGCACCAATTATACGTCTTCATTAAACTAAATAGGGATAGTTATTGATTGTTCAAAGCCTTGTATACAGATTCTACCCGCCGATGATCATTGTTTAAAAAGGAATAGGTATTGACATTTACCGCCCGAGAGTCCCCTTCTTGGCTGTCGAAGGGGGATCTACCTCTTCCTGAACCTTGTTCAATCAAGGGCGGGTGAACCCTTGCAAGCATACCTGTGTACTGTTTTTGCCGGTGCCTTAGACGGAGAAAGGTTTGAAGAATACTAGACGCGTTTTCCCCAAGGCGCCAATAATATAGTTATAGTTCCGTGTGGTAGGTGTCCCTGGGAAAAAGGCGCTTGGCAGTCCCCACCTGGCAGACGGGCGCGAAAACGGGCGTGTGGTTTACCGACGGGCATGCAGTTCTGGGACCGCTACCCGTAGGTCCTGACCCATACACACCCGGGGGGCGTGGCCGTCTCATATCGGTCGTGGCCGTCTCATATCGGTCGTGGCTCCTCCCACTTATCTCAGGCAACAGGTGTGTTGGGCCCGATAGGCTGACCCTTCTACATCAGCCGAACCCGCCTCCAGGGATCCCATTCTTTATTCTCCTCCGTCACTATGCCCCCCCGCCGCACCCATTTAACTGCCCGGCACCTCTCCCCCCCTCACCATACATCGCCCGCAGTCTCCTCCCCGGCCCACCAAAACTAACTCTATTCTCTGTCTCATTGTTGCTTCTCTGCCTCACTCTCATACACGCTCACTCACTCAAATCTCTTGAGTATTTCTCAGCAGATTCTCACCCACCACCGTACATCCTTTCACACTAACATTAGCAATCGCTTGATTCTATTATCTACTGATATTCGCCTCAGCAATTACGGGAGAAATTGCTACTTTTTTCCAGAATTTTTCCCATTAGTGCAGCTTCAAAAATTAGTTCACCATTTGAACCCCTTAAATCTTAAAATTGGATAATTTCACATTTGTACTTTTTTGGTTGATTATTCTACTATCTTAAAGTATTGATTCTGGGTATATAATCTGTGGCTGGCTGCTTAAAGTCTCCTTCAGCCTATTCGCCTGTGACCATGTCGATAATTACAAATAGAAAAAGACCCAGAGGCTTCAGCGAATCGTTCGACCCAAATTTGGGCAACTCCAAGCCTGGTAGCACCGGTACCTCTACCACTACCAACACCTCCGACGTCAACTCGTCTATGTCACTGTCTTCTTCCTACAACGACCAGGTGATGTTCACAGGAACCAATAATCCGGCTTCTAATAGCAACTCCACCTTCTCCTCCACTGATTCTGCCATGCTGAAATACCTCCCCAAGGGCCATGATTACTACCACACGGTGTTTGAAGAAACAGAGCCTCTTGGAGATGATGATGTGGATGATGATGACGAAGATGCAGTCGATGACGATGATGATGTGATCATTCTTGAAGAGCGCAACCTCAATAACTATCGAATTCGGGCAAAACGGAATAACAGCGACCTGGTGATCTTTTTTGACAACGACTCGTTCAATGCGTTTAAAATGTTGAATGTCAACAACATTAACAACTATACCAGTGACACCATGATGGATGTGGCCAAGAAACAGCGCACTAATTCGTTACCTCAATTGCCCCAGGTGAGATGTTTTTACGAAAAGGTTGCTCATTTAACAAACCACAAAGTGGGAAATATCAAGGCCGAGGTGGTTCCTCACAACCCGCACGGGCCTCCATGTGATGACAAGGATGGCCATTTTATCATTGAGTTGAACAGCTTATTTGCTAATCGGTTTATTGTTTTGCAGCTTTTGGGCCAAGGAACCTTTGGCAAGGTTGTCAAATGTTACGATAAACTTAACCGACAACATGTGGCCATCAAGATCATACGAAATATCCCCAAGTATAGGGATGCCGCTAAGATTGAGCTACGGATTTTGGCGACATTGAAGAAGTATGATAATAACAACTTGAACCACTGTATTCACCTACGGGAATGCTTCGACTATCGAGGCCATATTTGCATTGTCACGGACTTGTTGAAGATTTCATTGTACGACTACTTGGAAAACAATAAGTTTATACCGTTTCCTGGATCTCATGTACAATCAATCTCCAAACAGCTCATTAGATCTGTTGCATTTTTACACGATTTGAATCTAATTCATACCGATTTGAAGCCCGAGAATATCTTGCTTTATAACGATTCATTCTTGAAGAAGCCTCTTCAGTCCAGTACGTTGATGCTGGCGTATCTTCATTTATCCAATCTGCTGGATGCCAAAAAAGTGCCTAAACTTCTGAAGATACTAAGAGACACTTCGATTCAGATAATCGATTTTGGCAGTGCCATTTTTGATGATGAATACCATTCATCCATTGTCAGCACTAGACACTATCGGGCCCCCGAAATCGTGCTTGGGTGTGGATGGTCTAGTCCGTGTGATTTGTGGTCGATTGGGTGTATATTGGTGGAGTTGATCATTGGTGAGCCTTTATTCAAGACTCACGATAATTTGGAGCATTTGGCAATGATAGAGAAGTTTGTGGGGTACCCCATTGATAAGTCAATGGTAAGGCGACTGAAAATCGCTGGAAATGAATGTGGAATCAGTTTTTTTACCGATGAAAATCTGATCAACTTGGACGATTGTGAAGAGAGTAATGACGAAGAAGAAGATGGGGATGCTATCGACGATGTGATTGAAGACAAGTATGACGATATCGACATTGATGAAGAGGACAACCACCTTCGGTTGATATTCCCTTCGTCGTCGATGCCCAATCAGTTTGTGGAGAATGTTGACCAGTTGACCCGAATCGACGAGTTTATCTCCAGCCGAATCGGCTTGAAAATCAACTTTGACTTTTCCTTGAACTACAATTACGAACAGAATAAGCACCTCATCAACTTTGGTAATTTCACTTTCTGGTGGTTCTTGATCGATTTGCTCAAGAACTTGTTCATAGTAAACCCTAAGAATCGGTTAACGGCACAAGGAGCCATGGATCATCCTTGGTTTAATTTGGGAATTGAGGACGAGGGCACCATCTAGGTGTCGACCGTCAAACTGTATTTTAGTTCTTTTATTTCGAAGATGGGTTTTGGTATTTAGTTTTTTATGTGATGTGATACGATCTGTATAATAGTTAATGAACATATGGAGTCAGCAGTGACAAAAGCAGTTTTAATCATACTGTCTCCTCTATTACAACCTCTTGAATCATATGCACCTTATAACGGCTACTAACGACCCAGCTGCCGCCTCCGGTGCAAGATCTTATCATCTCTTGCATATCGCCTGTACCAAGCGAAATCGATTCTAATATGCGAACCATCACACTTGCATCATAATTACCGAGCCACCTCCAACTAATCTCCAACTAGACCACTATACTACCATCATACAGGCTTCAGAGCCGCCGCTTGACAACCGTTGCATGGTCTGGACCCCAAAAGCCGCTCAAACGCTAATTTAATTTTTTGCAAGTCTGATCATTGGATATTTTGGAACCACACACTCCTTGCGAAGAAAAATTTTCTAGTGTTAGTAAATTCCATGCAAGCTATTACCCCCAAAATGGATACACCCCTATATTCACTTAAGGTTACATTGTAAGTCAACTGTGAACAACAGCATTACCAGCCTTTGTATTTATTGGAGTTGTACTGGTGTGTATTTGTCACGTGAAGTATGTGTGCAAATTATCGCTTAGCTGGCACGTTTTGACAATTTGGTCGTCTCGCCGCCCACGGTAGTGGGAGATGGACCGGCCCCCTGCCACCACGGTGCCACGGCGCGCCGGTGCGGTGTGAGCCATTATACAGCCCGGCCTGCAGGTGAGGCTCGGTCTAGAACGTTTTGCCTTTTTTTCCACTGACTCACACAATCTAGAAAGCCGCTTGCCGCATTGGGCCGGACTAATTATGAACCCCAGAGATCGCTATTTACTATTTTCACTTCTAGGGCCAAAACGCTTCTGGGTACTAGTTCCCTTTTGCTGGCGCAAACTTCGAGCAAATTGAATCTGTAGGCTCCCACCACCATCTAAAATACATCCACTAACTTTCAGGTACATACCATACCCCTAACATCTCTTCTGACGGTTCTTGATACATCCGGTATTCGGGTCGTGGCATGCTCATGTTCGCGGGCTCGTGTGCTCGCACTTTCCAAAAAGCAACGGAATTTTGGGTGTCAAAGCGATCTACTGAAACGAATTTTTTTGGCCCCCCTCTCCTTATAAGTGAATTGGCTTCCCCTGAGCGGATAATTTTTTTGAAAGACCTTTTTTCTAACACATCACTTTATACTTAAGCAAAGGCTTTTTATATACCCAGTCACTCCTTTGATTCGGATCGTTCCAACTTTAACTAACCTTCAAGTCCTTCCTTTATACTTGTCATTCTTTGAAAATCCTTCCGATCCTTCCTTTCCTTAAAATATGAAGTTTTTGTTACCTATTTCCGCCTTATTGTCTTTGGCTATGGCTGCTCCTGCTAACCATAACCATCAACACGTTCATTTGAACAAGAGGGCTGTAGTCACTACTGTGGTTTACGTCGACGTCCAAGGACACACCATCCAAGGCCCAGATGCCACTTCCACTGCGGCCATTGCTTCCTCGATTGTCGAAACTACCAGTACCTCGTCAACTCCAACTCCAACTTCAACGTCTACCCAGGCTGACTCCACCCAGGCTGCCTCTACCCAGGCTGCCTCTTCCACTCAAGCTGCTAGTTCTGCTCCACAATCAACTGAAACTTCTAGTTCTTCTGGTTCTTCTAGTGGTTCTGGTGGTATTTCCGGTGACTTGGGTAACTTTGTTGACCCAACCGAAAAGTTTGAAGACGGTGTCTACGATTGTGATACTCTTCCAACCGGTCAAGGTGTTATTGCCATCGACTGGCTTTCCAATTTGAATGGTGGTTTCTCTTCCATCATGAACGAAAACGGTGATACCTCTTCCACCTGTCAAGACGGTTATTACTGTTCCTACGCTTGTCAAGCTGGTATGTCCAAAACCCAATGGCCATCCGAACAACCTTCCAGTGGTATTTCTGTTGGTGGTTTGTACTGTAAGAACGGTAAGTTGTACAAATCCAACTCTAACAGCGACTACTTGTGTGAATGGGGTACCCAAAATGCTAACTTTGTTTCTGAAATTAGCAAAGATGTTGCTATCTGTAGAACTGATTACCCAGGTTCTGAAAACATGAACATCCCAACCTTGTTGTCTGCTGGTGGAACTGCTCCAGTTTCTGTTGTCGACTCTTCTACCTACTACACTTGGAAAGGAGGAAAGACTTCCACCCAATATTACGTTAACAATGCCGGTGTTTCTGTCGAAGATGGATGTATTTGGGGTACTGACGGTTCTGGTGTTGGTAACTGGGCTCCAGTTGTCTTGGGTGCCGGAACTACGGACGGTAACACTTACTTGTCTTTGATTCCAAACCCTAACAATGAAGAACAACCAAACTACAATATCAAGATTGTTGCTGCTGATGGTGGTTCTGTTATTGGTGACTGTAAGTACGAAAATGGCCAATACAATGGTAGCGGTTCCGACGGTTGTACTGTCACCTTGACTTCTGGCTCTGCCAAGTTTGTCTTCTACTAGTTTAGTTTGATTTGTATAATACCAAATAAATGTTTTAACTATCAAATTTCATCGGTTTCCAACCGAAGAAATGTCTAATCATAATTGCATACCACCTCAACTCGCTCCTCGCTACTGTAAGCTTCTAACTGGGTGGAATGTTACAAGAGCCAGCTGTGTCAACAACTATGAAATCATAGCCTCTAAAACCAGCCGAGTGTTTATTTGTTGTTTGCAATGAACCCTGCGACGTTATTTGGAATATTTCTCTTTTGGTTAAAATACACGGTGTGTTGTACTCTACTGTGCCATCTCCCGCGAAAGGTACCTATAATTCGGGCACCGGTGCCTATATCCCTGAAACACCTGGGGCTGTACACTCTGCTTCTGTATTGAGCAGGATATTTGCCTGTTTTGTCACCATCTGCCAGGTTTTATGTCCCATTGCTCATATACTAGTTAACCTGGGGCTTTGTTGCATCCACATTTTAAGTTGCTTACTTGCACATTTAGCGTGAGGTAGCAAATTAACGACCCTATTATGACTGGAAAGTAGCACCTGTTGTGTCCACAATATCTGTCATCGCAGTTAACAGGGTTTTTGTAACCTCCCTTGTCTAACTTTATTTTGTCTTTTTGACTTTTTGACTCGCCATGTGTATCATGTTGTTTGTGGGACGTTCATGTTGCTATCCAAAGGCAATTGAATTGCAGTAATTGATAATCAATTCGTTATTAACCCCAAACATCTGGTACAATTGCCCCAAATTCTCATCTGGATTAGGCTGGAACGAATTGGAGATGTAAACGTATATGGTTTTCAGCTTCAACCGATTACAGAGAAACTTTATCAATACACTCACAGACGAGCTTGATGATATCTTAAAGATCTTGGGGTTTACGGAGGGCGTTGATCCGACAGCTTTAAACCGAATTGTGATCTTCTCGTCATGGACTAAAGAATCGAGAAACATCTGTTTCGACCCTAGAAACGACTCTTTATCGTGGTTTTTGTTGTCATGATCGCTGTTACCATATTTGTCATTACTGACCTCTTTATTGTTCTCATTGTCTTCACTGTAGTCTGCCTTTTTTTGGTGGTCATTATCATTCGTATAGGGTCGCAGAAGTACGATAGAAGTGGTTAAAGTGTCTGGCTTGAGATCAATCAGGCCAATCTTCTCTCCGTTCAAACTATCTTCAACTCCGTCTCCCGATTCACTAGAATCCTGGTCACTATGCAACGACATCCTATAGTGGTCCACCTAATAATTGTTTAACTATTCGGGCAAGTAGTATATTTCGCGGACTCTATAATTCCACTGACAAGAAAGTTGGGAAGTACCTTTTGGAAATTACTCATACCACCCTCTTCATTTTTTGCTGGTGATTGTGATCATTATGTCCGATTCAGAAAGTGTGGGAGGTTCGTCTGTGACAACCATCGAAAGTTTACCATTTGAAACCATTATTTCCAACATCAAAGAGTCAGTGGCGGAGACTATTGAGTCTGAGGATTATTTGAGCTATAGTACCATCCTTGATATCTATCTATCGGATCCATCAAAATACACCACAGATGAGAGAGAGACTTTGTTACAGACAGTTCTAGATGTGTTGAATGAAAACCCAAAGTTGACATACGAAATTGGCTGGGACTTGCCCAGTCTTTTGATTGCGTTTTTTGAACTGGACTTCAAGTTTGATACTGCGTTAAGGCATTCTCCTTGTAGTGTCCGTGTATTCTACATATTTAATTGTTTGGCCAAGCTTGGTAATCACAAGGAGTTGTTTTTGAAGTGCTGTGAGTTGTTATCCACCGTTAAATTAGAAGATATTGATGTGTCAAGTGATGATGATAGTGTGAGGGAGAGATTCCTTTACTTGAAATTGTATCTGTTATATGAATTGATTAACACCAATCTCAAGAATATTGAAACTCTTTATCCTTCTCGGTTCTTATCTATGTGCATATCTTCATTCCTCAATTCAATTTATATCAGTTTGGATCGGACTAGAGACATGGAATTTTACTTCAAGAGAATTTATAGTTTTGTCAGGAATTATAATGCTATGCCATTGCCTAAGGACCATGGATTATCGAAAGAGGAATTGCAAAAGGTTATAGCAGATGAAGAGTACTTGCAAAGGAAGCTTCTACAAGGGTTTGTGTCGAATGCAATCTTTTTAATAGGAAGACACTGGATCCCAAGCCTGGCACATAATTACATTGGTTCAATTGTTAATCGTCCTACGGAGGATTCCACTTTGCTTGTCATAGACAGATTGTATGAATTGTGTATGAGCTTTGATATGGATTTGGACAAAGTCTTTACAGACATTATTGTGTCTACCCATGAAATATTCCACAAATTTGATTTGACCATAAACGAAGATGATGTTTTAAGCGAAATGTTCGAAAAGTTGGTGGTGGACTATCAAGAAAACCTCTTCACAAACATCATAAATAAGGATTTGAAAGAGATTGAAATCAGCAAGTTGGGATGTCTTCTTTACCATGCACGCTCAGTTGCATTTGATACAAAGAAGAACCATTTTCCTGTTAATCTCAGTTTCACTGATGCTGTGATGTTAACTTTAAGATTGATTGTCCCTATGCTAGTCAGTCCTAATTTCAATAATAATTCTGTTAAGGACTTGGTGGTCTTTTGGTCATGGTATGCAATCGAAAAACTGACCTTTGAAAAGAAGAATTTAACTTTAGAGGTCAGTGCCATTCCTAAGGTATATTTGACTACCTACTGCCTGATGTTGTTATTTATCTGTTCCTCTTGTCCTTCGCTGGACTTGAAGGACTTTAGGTTTGACACCTTGACCTTGGTATCTAAAGTTTTGGCTTCAGCACCCGAACAAACCAGTTATACCATTATCTTGGATTCTTTGAGGAATTGTCCTTTGGAAAATATGAAGGCTGCTTTGATCGGTGTTTTGAAAGAATTGTTTACCAAAGATAAGGCTACTGATGATGATCTTGAACTGGATTTGAAACTGTTGGCCTTGGATCTGGATGAGAGAACCTCAAACCCTCCTGCTTTACCATCTCGTGATGTTAAGAAATCCACCAAATATTTGACGTTGACTGAAAATAGGTTTTTGGATGTCTTGGATCTAATTGATACAACTATTGAAAGCTCTTTCATTGAAGTGGAAAATGACCAAGATTCGGAAACTGAAACAGAAACTGATGATGTGAAGTATTACAGAATTAACAGTGGGCCATTGAATACTTTGTCTGCTGAATTGAACCTTTTGGTTATCTTGAAGAGCTATGATGCTTTCAAAGCCCACCAAAATAGAGTTGATTCAATAATCTCAAACTTTAACAAGATTTTGTCGACCGCTAAATCTCAGTTCAAGGGTTCATCAAATGAGTTGAATGTCTTTGAGATGCTTTCAATTACAGTAGATAGAATCACCATTTGAATCAGCTTGATTTCCTTGATTAATTATACGTAGAAACTGAGTATATATTTATAAACATGAAGTAACGTTCAACGTTTCTTAGTAGGCTTCTTCACATTTCTTTCCTCGATCAAAGGACCCCAATATACAAAAAAACCTTCTTTGGTGGAGCTAATCTTCTCTTCCCATTGCAATTCGTCGTCATCGATAAATGGATCTTCAAAATCATATTTGCCCACCTTACGAGCCATTTTAGCTTCATGTCTTCTCACAAGCTGCTCTTCAGATAAATTCTCTTCTTTTTTGCTATCTTCCTTCTTGTTCTCTTCCTTTTTACTTTCGTCCTTTTTGCGTTCTTCTTCTTCATTCTCATCATCTTCATTTTCGTTTTCGTTGTCATTGTCGTTGTCGTTGTCATTGTCGTCGTCATCGTCAATTAAGTCGTCCATGGTATCGATTGCTGACTTCGCTTCCGGATGAACAACTGACCACCCATATTTATCCTCAGCAAGCTTCAAGACATTCACAACTACTTCAGATTGACCAAATTTTGGGTTCTTTGGATCAATCAATGGAATATTTAATGCTATTATGGGAAGGTCTTTCTTCTCCTTTTTTTCAGGTGGTTCAAGAATATTATTGGTAGACCTTTCTGGTTCCTTGGGTTTCTCTTTCTCCTTTTCTTTGACATTATTTCCTTTATCAATTGCAGATTCTTCTAGCTCTTTGTCGGTCTCATTTTCCGTTTTTTCTTTCTTCGAAGAGTCAATTTCGATTATTTCTGGTGGTGGGACAGAAACTGGTTCTTTGAATTTAACTACAGGCTTGGCAGGTGCTTCAGGAGTTTTCTTCTTCTTGTTGGCTGTGACAGGCTTCTTCTCTAACTTTCTCTTTTCTTGCTTCTTCGGCTCGATTTTCTTGGGAGCTGGCTTCTTCTTTTGTGGCGAAGACACTAACACCTCTACTGGATCCTCAACTAATGGCTTATCATAGTTCATGATTGAACTTATAGAAGTCTTGCTGGGTATTTCGATCTGGAAACTGGTTCTGAACTTCAACACCTGGTCAGTCAAGTCAACTCGTTTACTCTCTGGATAGATTTCTTCAACCAGGGGAGTTGAGTCTCGACTGAGAACCATAATCGGATGAGTATCTGAGACAGTAGAAGTACTGTTAAGTAAAGGATTATTAGAAACCCTAGGTAGTGGTGATGGTTCAAGCGTTGGAATAGGAGAATTATCTATCACAAAACCTGAGCTCCCATTGCCCATTTTGATTTCGGTCTGATATAAGGAAACCATATCCCTTATGTTTGAGTTTGTATTTGCATTTATTTTTGAATTCGATGGGGTGAGATTGGAGTCAGAACTCCCCAAATTTGTGGAAATTTGTGTTTTGTTTGAATTGATACTATTCGATGGGCCTGCTTGAAGGTCTCCTGATAGTAGAGAGGATATGGAAACGTTTTTGGACATCCTGTTGTGGTTTACTGGAAATTTTAAAAATGCGAAAACCTCCAAATTTGATTGATTGTATTGTGGATTTACTAGGTATATTTAAGCTCTATCAAGTTGGGTCTTGGAACTATATAATCCTAACTTGCTCAACGTTAAGCTGGTGTCAGAGCCATATCCTTCAAGGGAGTTCATCAGCAAATCTCCGTTCCAGTAGTCTGCATACACTTTGCACATAGGCAATCCGAGTCCAAGCTTGTGTTCATGAGATCTTGTGATCAACCGTTCCAATGTAGACTTCTTGGACTTGGTCAAACTGTGACTATTGATATCTCCGATGGCTGTTTGATTGAGCATCTCTTCGTCTATTACTGATGATCCAGCAGCAGTAACTTTCAAATTAGAATACAACTGTAACCCCGGAATCCGGTGGAAATTGGCAAGAGATTTTCTGGCGAATTCGGGGTTTTTTCCAAACGACCAAATATTGGCAAGTTTATCATGGCTAATACCTCCACCTTCATCACTTACTCTAAAAATTATGCTTTGAGCAGTGTTTATGATGGTGATTTTGATGGGTGGAAGTTTTTTGGATGTTTTGGTTCCATGTTTTCTGATAGTAGCTTCGTAACTGTTTCTTAAGATCTCTCCGAATAAATAATGAAGGTGAGGTTTCATGAACGGAAAAGATACATTGAGATCACCTTCAATCTCTAAGTCGGGCATGTTTTCCTTGTTGGAATATATTGGGTACATGGAGTTTTTTACCAATTCAGCAACCACGTTCAAATGAGTAACCGCATCACAGTGGTCAAACATTTCCCCAATATAGTCCGGTGGTTTTACTTCCTGGGGCATTGACATGTAGTTTTCCGTCAATGAAAGATGTTCTTCAACAATAACTCTTCTACTGATTCTTGACCTGATCATTGAGCTCATAAACTCATCCAACTCTTCTTGGGGAAATTTCTGTAGAATGGAAACCTCAAGAGCCCCCATCATCAAATGAGACAAGTTGAATACATGATCATCCAATAATACAGATAATTGTTTGCAGAACTTTTCATTCTCTGGAAGGGATGTGATTTTAGGCATCTTTCTAAAGGCATTGAACAGATGATAATAGCTGTCATAAATTTGTAAAAAGTGAAAGTTATTGACAATTCCAAAGGGCAAGGTTTGCAACTCCCTTATTCTTATGGCCAACCTTATTGGAAGCTCGAGTCTTACAAAGTTAGCACTGTTTAAGATCTTTTCTTTATTGAGCTTCTTACCATAACCTGCTAGTTGTCTTAAAGACACTGGATGTGGGTCTTTTCTTGAATACTCCATAAGAATTTCATTCTGATAAAAGTGCTGAGGATTCAATATGTTGGAGTACGAAGGATACGGACCTAAATTGTCCAAATGTTGAGCAATTTCTTGCCTGTTCACCACCGAAAGGAAGTCCTCATCGATATATGAGAATGGAGTGATCGGAAAAGCACGAGGCTTCTTTGAGCTTGATGTTGATGTCCTGAGTTGTATGGAAATATTTCCTTGGGGTCCTGTGCACGGTTTGGTGCAGCTCCGAATACCTAAGCTACGGAGCATTGGAGTTTATCAGGTTGAATCATTTTGGCTGCGAGCGAACAAAGCTCAGTGGTGCGGAACAGAGTTGTTCGTACACGACCATATTGTTAAAGAAACAGGACTCGTCACGTCAAAACAGTGGAAAATAATGTCAAAAAAACCATGATGAAAATATAGCATGTCTTCCGTGACCAGTGAAGCAACTGAAACCAGTATTTGTCCAAAACACTTAACATCTTATCTTATTTACTGGCTGCGAAATTCACAAATTATATTACTTAATGCGAATTCTCGTTACCAACAACACAATAATTTGACTTCTCATGAATGCATGTTCAAAAAAACCCCAGAAAAAACCACCTATAGTTCCATATCATGTTAATACGGGTAAATGTCTTTTCTCTGATCAAAATCAAAAGGAACTTGCTTAAAACGGACTTCTCCATTGCCTCATCCCTCACTCTTCCAGATCCTCACAACTGCCTGCACATACGCCCCAGCCAGCCACTTGATTTCACTATCATACAAATAGATCGTATTCGCTGGGAAATCAAACCTCTCATATATCTTTCTCTTCCTTAAAACCTTCTTCTGTTTTGACCATGAATGTTACAGACAGAGGATATTATACGTCTACATACTTGGACACTGTCAATCGCCCTAAGGGTGGCCGACGAATACCATCTGACCTGAGATCAAAACGTGCCGATATTAGCCAAGGAGAGCCTCCTATTCCCCATTCTCAACCGGCGCCCCGAATTCCTCAAACCGCCGTAATGCCACTGCCTTCCACAGCCATGTCCAATTTCGAAGGCCCTAATGTGATGCCCCTTTCTCCTGAAGAGACCCAATTTACTGGTTTTAATGATTCTGTTGATACGCAACCAGTGGCATTTGATCCAGATCAATTGCATGAAGAGTTGACGCCGGCTCAGTTGAATGTGTTACAAAGGCAAGGACCTCCAGCTCACCGCAGACGTCGTCGTCGACCCAGAAGCTACTACGAAGACGACGGTTATGATGATGATGATAGTTACTATAATGATTCAGCCTACCATGACTACTACTACCAAGACCACCGTGTGAGGGTGCCACAGGCCGGTGCCAGGCGACCTCGACAACAAAAGTCTCTGTTCTCTAAAAAGAAAGGAGACGACTATTATATTGCCCAGAAGAAACGATACGATGAAGCAGAGTTCTACAAGCCCAAAAATTACACCCACAAGACGTTTCGAGATGTATTTACTGACGCTGATGAAGAACTGCAAAAGTATAATCCTATGGAGTTTGTGTTTGATGATCCAGAGAAGCTCAGAGAACAGGAACAGAACCAGAAAATCAAGAAGGCTTTTAAGACTATACAGATGAGGTTGGGCAAAGACGATTATGCCAACTATGACTATTACGACAACAAAAAGACCCTGACAGTTACCAATGACATCTTTGTTACCAACAATGATAGTGACGGTTCTGATGATGAAGAAAATAAGTTAGAAGACATTATTGGTGAAGGCGAGGAAGGAAGAGATGCCAAAGAGAGAGCCAAGAAGAAACGAAATCTTAAGAAGTTATGGAAATCCACCACCAAAAATCTCAAGAAGGAGTTGGGTAGAGACTATTTCAACAACATGGAAAAACAGTGGGTTTTGGAAGAAGAGGCTAAGAAACGAAAAGATATTGAGCAAATTGCTAAAGCACAAGCTGCCCAAGAACTTCTTGATCAGCTGGTCAACGAACCGATTATCACAGAACCAGATGATCATACCAAATCAGGGGCTAATTTCTATGCTGGTCCCAAACCTGATTTCCACCCCATGTGGAATTATATCTTGTCATGGGTAGCATACCAGCAACCTGCAGTACCAGATGCAACTGGTAAAGCCCAAGCTACGGCTGCAGCGTCTTTGAAACAGATTGAAGAACCTCCCCACACTGAAGTGAAGACTTTGATTAAACCGGCTAAACCAAAATCTCAACCCAAATCAAAACCTGCTAAGAAGGGTAACAATCCCGATAGAATCAAGGTTACTAAGGAACAATTTAAGAATTTTAACAAGAATATGAGCAAGCTCAAAAATATGTGGAATCTACCTGCTTCCAATATATTTGTTGGTGAAGCTGGTGGTGGTAATGATGGGGGAAGCATGAAATATATTCAAATGGATTCAGCTACTTTCAACGAATCTTTACCACAATCTTCAGCATTCAATATGCCATTTGATGGGAATTCTCAAGAGTTTGTAATTGAGCTCGAAGGTGATGAACAGACCATGGCTGAAGAATTGTACTTCAATCCTCAAACCGGTCAACTTGAACGTCAACCTCCTACCTCATTCTCATCGTTGGAATTCTCAGAAAGATCCTTGAACAAAGGCTCAAATTTTGCCAATAATAGAGCATTGATTGATACTACCAGAGGAGCTACTACAATCATATCAAACATTAACTCTTTGATCAAAAGCATAAAGTTGATGAAGATAATATTTGCACCCATTGATGTAATTGCCGAGTCGTTCCCTAATTTACAGACCGTTGTTATTATGGTGGAGTTGATAATATTCATGTGGATCTTATACGAGTTGAGTCTCTTGATTGATGCTTTGTGTATGATGGTAAAAGCGGTTTGTGCACCCATGATAGCTATGGGAAGATTTATGAACCGGATCATGTAGTCAAAATAAATAAGAAAAAATGCGAGACAGAAAAAAACCCACTAATGCTTAGACCAAGTACGAGAATAATTGTGAAAGTAGCCACTCCACGTCTTCACCTTGTGAGATGGAACTCATCCAAACAGAGCAAGGCCTTGTCACCCGAGGAAGAACAAAAAAGAAGAGAAGAAGCAGCCAAGGTGGCAATGCAGTCAATTAAAGACTTAGGAACGATGTTCTCCAATGCATCGAGCGACAAAGAAACAGAACCCATAGATACCCAACCTATCTATGATGATCCTCTGAAATTTGGTCCGTTAAGCTTGCTTCACCAGGGTCAGGTGCTTCAAGAGTTACAAGCAAAGTATGACAAGACTTGGAAAAAACTAAAACCTATAGAGAAGAGACTTGGCTATTATATTGCCTATGGAAATTGGGGTGTAAGGGAACCATTTGACAACTGGAAATCTCAAGATAAACCCTACGATTTACCCTTTACAAACCCAGTTTCCAGGGTAAGTCCCAAGGCAACAGACAAGGTTCATAAATTACCACCAGTGTATCTTGCAGAAACGCCCATTAGAAAACCTCAGTTCGACGTGAAAAAAATGGATCCGGTTACTAAGACGTTCATATACTTGACATTATTGGTTGCTTTGCTTGCAAGTTACAGAGACAAGAATATTGGGGAAGAAGGCAAACCTGTTGAGTTGATTATCAGAGATTTACATGAAGAAGAAAGACAAAAGAGAATTCAAGAAGAGCAGGCACAAAGAGAATTGGCAGCCCAAATATCTAATCGGAAATGGTACTTTTTGTGGTTGAGATAGAAATGAATCGGTTGTGTTTGTAGCGATACGCATGTACATAAATAATACACACATAGACATCGATCTATTACCAACTATATCTATCACTTATCATTAGCATCGTCCTCATCTTCATCTTCGTCCTCATCGTCTTCTTCATCGTCATCATCGTCATCATTCCAGCTATTTTCCACCGTTTCTCTGACCCTTTTAATATATTGAGACCGGTGTTCTTTATACAAGTTGGCAGCTTCAGCATTTGCTGGAGAGCTGATGTTGGGATCGTTCAATAAAGATTGGATAGACGTCAAGATACTAGACACATCATAAGTTGGAGACCATCTGTTTTGTAAGATATCTAAGCATAATTCGCCACTTGCGTACACATTTGGGTGAAACATTTCACTTATGAATTTGACGGTTGGAGGTTTATTTGGGTACTGTTCATCAAATTGCATCACCAATTTGAAGGTTCCATCTTCAAATGGAGTATCAGCTGGTCCTATGATGACAGCATTCCATGTCATGACGTTATCAGGTAAAGGAGATGCTGACACACCACTTGGAGCATCTTGTTGCATACGCTATAAAGGAATAATGTTAGTACACCTTCTGAGACACGGGACATGTGTTTTTACATACCTTGAAATCACGCATGAGTCTTCTTTTCGCTGGAGTCGACATTACTAATGTGTCTTATCTGTGAATGAACAATATGAGTCTTCTTATATGAACAGGGAAATTAACCAGAATTAATATGAGTAAAATGGTATATGTATGTAGAACAGAATGTGATACTCAAAAGCTGGTTTGGGTACTTTGGAGTTTATTGTCTAGTATCAAAAATAAGAGATTTCGGTTATGTGACGATCGAAATTTCTATGGAATATTTTTGAAGATCGCGAAATCCCCCAGACGTAAGAATAGAGGCGTGGTACTACCAGAGACTCTAAATGGTATATGTATATGCAATAACCAACATATAGATCAGAAAACAAACCTAGAAACATAAAAACAAGTAAGGGTAATCAAGTCAAAACAGATCCGATAAACCAGTGGTAGTCGCTTTGGAAGCTGGAACAAATAGATCAACTCTACGGAAAAAGACTTTCTAAGCCTTGACGCTGCCATATACGTTATTGATCAACTTGTCAATTTCATCAAGAACTGGAGCAGATGACTTACCAACAGATGATAAGAATTCGTCAAATGCATCCTCGATCTTTTCGATCTTGCTTGAAACTTTCGAGTCAAGATTAACTTTAGATTCAACAGTAACAGCTTCTTCAGCCCAGAAATCAGTAATGTTGTGACCTGCACCATTAAATGCCAAAATGTTTGGGGTATCTTCTGGGATATCAGTCAACAAGTCTTGGGAACCGTAGGCAATCAAGTTCTTCTTTAATTGATCTGGGGTAACAGAGTCGCCAGCAGTGAAGAATTCAGAGTCAGCGGAAGGTTGCAAAGAAATAAAGTAAGACAACAATCCACAAATGTGAGGAGAAGCCATAGAGGTACCTGACAAAGTAGCAGTGGCGGTGGTAGATCCAATGTAGGTGGACAAGATGTTCAAACCTGGAGCAAAGATATCAACACACTTTCCGTAATTGGAGAAGTAAGCTCTTGCATCAGAAATGGTAGAAGCACCAACGGTGATGGCATTTTCAGCAGCTGCTGGAGATGTGTTACAAGCATCTTGGTTTTCGTTACCAGCAGCAACGGCAAAGTTCAAACCAAGCTTAACAGCAGCGTTCACAGCCAAATCTAAAGCAGTTGACTTACCACCACCCAAAGACATGTTAGCAGCAGAACCTTTGAACCCCTTTTTACCAGCCTTGGCTTCATCTTGGTGAGATTTAGCAGCAAATTCAACACCCTTGACGACGTCAGACATGGAACCAGAACCGTTGGATCTCAACACCTTCACAGCAACAATCTTAGCTTGCTTAGCAATACCGTAGGCAGCAGAACCAATAGTACCGGCACAGTGAGTACCGTGTCCGTTACCATCAACATCACTGTCACCGTATGGGATAGTAGAACCCCAGACAGCTCTACCGCCAAATTCTTCGTGGTCAACGTTAACACCAGTGTCAATAACGTATGCAGTAACACCTTCTCCGCCTTCGGTATCATAAAGGTATTGGTTGAAAGAGTTCAAACTCAAAGGCTGTCTATGGGAAACTCTAGCCAAACCCCAAGGTGCACCCTTTTGGGTGTCGAATTCATTAGCGTATACCATTGAGTCCTTTTCGACAAACTTAACGGCTGGGTGACGTCTAATTAATTCGATTGTGTCATCCAAAAAGTAACCAGCATAACCATGTAACAAGTTACCGACATTGAAGCTGTCGACAATTCCACCAGCAGTAGTGAAGTCCTTGGTAGCATCAAAGAAGGTGTGTTCCGGGTTTTCTTTAATGGCGGCTAGAGAGTTGACGTGTTGTAAAGCAACCCATTCTTTGTGGAAACCAGCTTCGTCTTCGTTGGTACCATCATTGAAGACAACAATATACTTGTGAGGAATGATGTCTCTCTCCTTGTCAACGAATGTGATAGGAGCAGCATCCTTCAACTCCTTCAATTCGATTTTGAGCTTGTTTAAAACTTCCTTGGAGGTTTCCTTGATGGATTCTGTCACTTGAGCCACAGACTCCTTGAGGGAGTTCGTGTTATCCCCAAACACGTCAATGACATCGTGAGCTTGAGGAATCACAAGAGCTTGGACTCCTAAGGAGGTCAAGATTGATAAGGCGACGGACTTGGTTAATAACATGGGGATTTTTACTTGTGGTCAAAAAGAAGCAACAAGTTAAAAAGGGAGAAGTGGCGATAAGATAAACCTCACAGGGAGAAAAGAGGAAAAGAAATGATGTCCTGCACGCTTCCGAGCCAGCCCAATAGTGCGCGTTTTCATAAGCGCCTTCGCCACTGGTTTCGGATTGCGCATCGGCCAACCAGTCGTGTGGTCGTGCAATCACGCGCTCCGTCTATTAGTCTATATATGATTAAGTGTGGGATTTTAGCCACAGTTGAAGTAATTCATGAGTCGGGGTATGAATTTTACGGATGCCTTGAATCACGACGTTTGGGTCGTAATTGTCTGCAAACGCCCGGAAAAGGTCCATTTTAAGGTTCATTGAATCGGTGACGCAGAACCAGAATTTGTTAGGGTGTACAGGTTTTAGCTTGTTAACAGGTAAAGCTGGAGTAGAAATGTACAGCATTAAGCGTTCGTTGACGTATTTCATAATAAGCTTGAGCAGTTGTGGTTCTATAGTGTTGCGCTTGCACTCGGAGTTAATACAGTTGGTGAATTCGCATCCTTTGTTTAGCTGCAAAACATATCTTCTTTCTATTCTGGATTGCAATTTGACATTCTCAGGATCGTAAAGTTGACTGTAAAGGGGTCCATAGCACAGGCCACAAAGCCCTAGTGAATTGTCCTGCGATGAAGCGTTGATGCAGTTTTCATTGGTGCACTTTCGGAAATTCAACTTGAAGTTCTCTACTTTAGCACTAGTGTCGAGCTGATGCATTTTGAAGTGGGTATGGAAGTCCTTTCTCTTTACTAAGCGGCCACACTCGGAGCACTCATCAGTTTTGTTCCCACACGAGTTTTCGTGATGTGTCAAGTTAGCAAATGTATCAACGTATGTGGACTCTTCTTGTTCTAGAATTAAGTGGCAGAATTTGCATTCATGAAGCTTTTTGGGACAACCAGCCGATTTGTGTTCGATCACAAGATCCACAAACGTCGAGTAGACAGTTACATCATCACACTTACCGCATGTAAACTTCTGGTGATTTAGCTTTTGGTGCTTGAACTGGAACAAGCTAGAGTCTGAAAACTGGTCACAGTCATCACAGTGCCAGTGCGACAGAGGAATGGATCCGAGGAAGACGGTGCTACATCTGGGACATCGGACGTTGTTCTTCAAACAAAAAGCTTCATGAAGTGCAAAGGAAGCTTTTGAAATATCCTTACCACAATTTGCACACTTGAGAGAATCAACTGGAACATCAGCACCTTTCTCTTCAGTCATCACCGGAGAGGAAGTGATCGTTTCCACTGAAAGCTCTATATCTTCTGGGTGCTCCCAGGCTAATGGTACTATATGAATCCACCGTTTTACCTCATTGATATCAAAACCTTGGGAAATATCATGTTTACATGCATCAATATATCGTTGTATCCACGTCAACGGCACTGTTATGTGCTTCGAGCCGCCATTAGTCTGTATCTTAAAGTCATCATTGATGGTTGAAAACTTGAAGTTTTCCAATGTAATCAACTTGTCCACACCCACAATTAAATCACAATTGTAGTAATCATCCAGCTTCAAACATATGTCAATATCAGACACGATACCAAGTATATCAAGACGAAAGACCGTCACTTTCCCAGCATTAAATGGTGTTACCTGTAAAGACTTGATACCAAACTCAATGTCTTCTACAGTATCCGAACTGAGAGAGAGCTGCTGCTGGGCCATTATATCATTCAATGGAACAACATCGAAAGATATATCAGTATCAATCAAAGTAACCGTTTGATCACTGAGATCTTCAACCTCAAACTCGTAGCCGTTGATGACAGCCTTATCGCCCTTGGAAAGCACCGTGTAGAATTGGGTGAGATGTGATTCAAGATAATACTTCCAGTTGTTTACTTCAGGATAAAATTGAAGGGGCTTCAACTTCAAATAAGTGCCCTTTGGGATGTTGTCCATAACGTCTAGACTTATAACTTCTCCCGCAGCTATGCCAAGGCGGTCAATAATGAGGTGTGGAAGTTGAATAGTGTTATCGTTTGCTGTAAACTCTTTCACGCCAATAAAGGTAGATTTGCCTCCCCAGGATACTTTGAAGACTAGTGGATGCGGAAGCCTATCTCCGTACCGCTCGAGGATTATTGAAAGTACTTCAGGTGGAAGTAGGGCCTTGTCTGAATTTGGTGAAAGCAGACCATTATCTACGATGAGATCAAACATGATAAGCTGTTGCCACTATTTCTGACAAATTGATGCGAAACTTCAATTTTGCATTATATCATACAGGGCTAGAAATTTGAAGGTGCGAATTTGAAGAATGCAAAAATCAAAGCTGGCAGCCAATGGACCTTATCAGTGGTATCGAGACACCGAAAAGGCAGAACATCGTTGTCATATGGAAAGAGTGATATGGATCCGTTAGTTCTAATCTTCTCTAGCCAAAATTGTCTATTCTTCCGTACACCCCACCAATTCCCTCAATGATAAACAAACGTTTCTTTCATCTGTGTGTCATAACCTTAAAGTTCACATGAAAGACTACTAGTATCACACGTCTGTCGGTATAATACTTACATGTATAGAGCTTAGAACTTCGCCATAGATGCCTTCTATCATTTGTGCTCTGCTACCGATATCTCATAAGCGGGTTACAACTCTGGAGCAGTGTAATCCAACCTTCCATTGTAAATGCAGAAGAGATGATTTTGTCAATCTTCTCATCCCCTTCAAATACGGGGTCGTTCTAAACGGGACATAACGTCGCATATTAAGTTCTCAAGACAATCTTTTTTCTTCCTCAGAGGTAACTAAAAATTCACTAAAACAAAGAACAAACATCAATCCCAATTGTTGCACACAAGCCCGGTGAAAAGTTCGCCAAATCCTTTCATGTAGCTTATAGGGGAAATAGTACCTCTACATTACCCATTTGGTGCCTTCAAACAGCTTCATGGAGCGTACAGGCAACAATGTCCGGTAATATAGCCGGTCAAGTCGCCAAAAAATTAGGGCGGGCGTTAATCAATTCCACTTGCGTAAATGCATTGGAACAAATTCTGCAGGAAATCAGAGATAGGAGCTGAACTGGACCCTTAATGTAAATTTTGGGAGAACCAAGAGCAGGCTAAAGGAACTCCAAAGTGTTCGATTTCGAACCGATACTAAACAACCTAAATACTAGGAAATGCAACCCTAATCCAAATGTGTGTACGTGCTTTATCTACAATTGCTTGTAGGTGCAAAAAATAAATTAGAACAAAAAATATATTGGCTCCGCGTTAAAAACGTGAGCCTGCACTAGAAGTTATTCTGCCAGGGCTTTATTTTTTTTAGGGGTTTACCTTTAGTAGTCAATGGGAGTCCTTAAAGTCTTACAAGATCTCAATGGATCACGGTACCAAGTATTCCTCGTGGTTGCTACACTAATCATCCTATTGAATGTCAGCTATTTGTACGTGATAGAGGCTCAGCCAGATAAATCTTTTCCATCGATTTCTTCCAATCTTCGGCCACAGACTGACATGACCTCTGAGAAGTACATTAACGTTCTCGACAATCCAGAAGTCAAAGCAAGCAAAACCGATGTAATAAAAAAGGCCATAGCCCAGATTAAAGCAGAAAATGAAGATCGAATCATCAAGGTATTGGAAAAAGAGGTTCGTAGTAAAAATGAAGCCAGTATTTTGACAAAGGTCAAACTCACATTGAAGCGCCAGATGATCCGGAAAATGTTCAGACAAGACGTGATGTCAGGTCGGTTGATGGACGACATGAAACAAAAGTATTTATCTGACAATGAGCATTTGATGAAATCCTTTATCACCAAGGACCTCATACAGGGGTTGAAACAAAAAGAAGAATTTAAAAAGTTTGATGATCCTGCTTTGAAACAGTTGGCAAAGCTACTAGAGGAACAATTAGCTGACAGAGCAAAGAACACAGTATTTTTCCAGTACATTCTTGAAGAGCTCATAGGGGCTCACGACCCCAAAGTAAAAATCGAACTTCACCAGATACTGGAGAATATAATACCTACTTATATCAATAATCCAGATGCAAAAAACCTGATCACATTGAAGGATTTAAGCAGATTAAAATTGAAAGACCAACAGATTGAAAGCTTGCAACAGAGCCACGATCGTCTTGTGAGACTCTTAACCACCTTAGAAGTTCCAAAGGAGCTGGTTTTTTCAGGCGATGGTATAGTGATAAACACTGGAGATATTGGAATTGGATCGGTGTTGGTGTTAGTACTGCAACTTCGTAACACCGGTTCAGTATTACCGATTGAAGTGGTTATGAATACATGGAAATCAGCTGATAAAAAGATCTGTGACGAAATTCTTCCTCAGTTCAACGCAAAGTGTATTTTCATAGATAGGGCTATTCCTAAAATGTCCAAGTCGCTTCCCCAGAAGTTGGAAAAGTTCCAGTATAAAGTGATCGGGTTGTTTATTTCTTCTTTTGAAAGAGCCATTGTTTTGGACTCAGATAATTTACCGATTGACAATGTTGATACTCTTCTCTATTGCCAGGAATTCTTAAAGACGGGTTTTTTGCTTTGGCCCGATATTTGGTTCAAGTCAACCTCTCCAGAGTACTATAATATTGCCAGGTTTGAGGTTGGTGAACCCGTAAGAAGAGATGGTTTATCAAATAATAAGGGCTTTGCTCAATATGTTTCATCCGGGAAGAAGCATCTGAATGTTGCTTTCCATGATTTAGATGGCTTACCGAGTGCAGGAACAGCTGAAACTGGGCAATTGGTTGTAAACAAACGGAAACATATTAGGTCATTGATTTTGACCCTATACTATAACATTTATGGTCCAAACTGCTACTATACTCTTTTTTATCAAGGTGGTGCTGGAATTGGCGACAAGGATACATTTGTACCAGCTCTTCATGTGTTCAATGAACCATATAGTATGGTTGACAAAAGCACTGACCTTTTGGGTTTCAAATCAGGGGTTAATATGGATGGAGAGTTTGTGGATACTACTTTGATTCAGTATGCACCTACTTCTGCCAAATATCATCTCATAGAGTGGAAGAAATGGCTCAAGACCAAGGATCTCGATACCCGACTTAGTCCATTCCAAGACAATGATTATACCAGAAACTTATACAAGCAGTTTATGACCCACTGTAAAAAGCTTATTGAAGTCGAAGAAGAGTTAGATGACAGCTCAATAAAATTGAAGCCTTTGTTTTTGCACATCCATAGACCTAAGATTAACCCATTGGAGAATTATAACAGCTTGGGGATCCGAGACAAAAGGATCTTAGGAAAAAAGGAAGAGTATGTACCCAAGCTTGGGGAAGACTCTGACTGGGAGTTACATTTTCATTCATTATCCAAATGGATAGCATGCGATCTCCTCAAGGATTCTCAAATCTTTGCTACTTTTGAACTAGATCAAGCGGCTGTGTGCGATGGTATTTCCAAGCATGTGGACTATTTGAAGGCCACTTCATGGTTCCACCCGTCCGAATTTGTGGGAGATGTGGTAACCTTAAACAGTCCTCAGGATGATCAGACTTTACCAGCCAAAGTTGAGACAGAAGACGAAGATGTTTAAAAGGAGTAAAATTTGCGGAAAGAAACCAAAAACAAAGGCTCTCAAAAGTTAGATCCTGGAAACCTGGCAAAGTAACATTTTCTTACTTTAACAGAATTTGTATAATAATAGATCAATATTCTCAACAGACATAATTTGCAGCTGTAGAAACGCGATGGTTGAAAAATTGAGAAAAAAACCGTACTCTAGAATGCCAGGGAATCAATCACATTTCGAGGAGCTTGAATCCTTTGACGTCAGTTTTGCTCCGGTGAAGATCACTAAGTGGAGATCGTATCGCACAGGTTTGCAAGTATGCTATATTGATCAGCCTTCTCCCATAGTTCAGGGATATTTTGCGGTTGCAACCGAGATTCCGGATGATTCTGGATGTCCTCATACATTAGAGCATTTGGTATTTATGGGTTCGCAGAAATATCCTTACAAGGGCTACTTAGACACCTTGGGGAATAGGTTCTACTCCTCCACCAACGCTTGGACCAGTGTTGATCAAACTGTGTACAACATCACAACTGCTGGATGGGAAGGATTCAAGACTCTTCTCCCCATTTATTTGGAGCATATTCTCTATCCAACCTTGACGGATGAAGCTTGCTTAACTGAGGTGTACCATGTTGATGGAAAAGGAGAGGAGAAGGGGGTTGTTTTCTGTGAGATGCAGGGATATGAAACTCAACCCACTTTCCAGTTGTTCTTGAAGATGCAACGTACTTTATATGCCAAAGAATCCGGATACTCTTCAGAGACGGGAGGATTGATGAGTGAACTCAGAAATTTGACAAATGAACAAATCAGAGAGTTCCACAAGAGTTTATACCGTCCTGACAATTTGTGTGTGATAATAACTGGGTCAATCGATGAAGAAGAGATGTTGAAGATAATGAGTGACTTTGATTCTGAATTGCCTCTCTTGCCTTCGAAACCAAATAAAAGGCCATTTGTCGACTCAGTTCATGATGAGCGTTTGAAGGAATCGCTTGTAGAAGAGTTTGAGTTCCCAGAGAAAGACGAGTCGATGGGTGAAATTTTAATTAGCTGGATTGGTCCAAAATACGATGATAGCTTGACGTACGAAGCTTTGGAGATGTTGGGATACTACTTCACAGAAAATGCCAATAGTTTGTTTAATAAGAATTTTATTGAAGTTGAAAATCCGTTGGCTAATGAGGTTTACCATAGTTATGATAATTATTGGAACACGGGAATCAATTATGTTTTCAGCGGAGTTCCTTCTAATCGTTTGAAAGAACTTGATGAGAAAGTCAAAAAACTCATAAAAGAGCAAGCCAAACCGGAAAACTTCAAGTTGGACTTCATGAAACAGATCATTAGACAACAGAGATTGAGTTTGATATTCGATTGCGAAAAGAAGCCAACTCACTTTCAGACTTGTGCAGTTCTAGACTTTTTATACAGCCCCGTTAAAAGTGAAAATTTGAAGAAATGGGCCAACTGTACAGATGAGTATGATACATTACTCACATGGAAGGCTGAACAATGGTGCCAGATTATTGAAGAATATTTGGTGAAGAACCATTCTGCTACTCTTTTGGGTAAACCATCTGCTGAATTGAATAAGAGAATCAAATTGGAGAATAAGAAAACCAAAGAAGATAGAATAGCCAAGTACGGAGAAGAGGGATTAAAGCAGTTGGAAGAGAAATTAGACAAGGCAAAGACGAAGAATGACCAGCCAATTCCCGAAGAGTTGTTGGTGAAATTTGGAAAGCCAGATCCATCAAAAATCAACTTCATAGAAACCAAGTCGTATAAGCAGGGTCAAAATGATCTAGTTGCTGGATATGAGACTTCTGGTTCATTTCAAGATAAACTTGATGCTGATAAACTCGAAGAGAATCCACTTTTCTTTCACTTTGAAGACTTTAAGTCCCAATTCATAACCATTCACTTGGTGATGTCCACCAAGGATGTTGACAAGGAGCTATTAAGGTACTTGTCGATAATGGAGGAGATTTTCAACATGGCTATCACCTTACCAGATGGTACGTATATTCCTTACGAAAAGGTCATCAACACATTAAATGATGACTTGATTGAATTTGAATTGGATAATGGTTTTGATGGTCAGTTTTTAGAATTCATTCACATTAAGGTCAAATGTGAATTCACCAAGTACAAAGCTGCAGTTGACTGGATGTACAAGATCATGACCATGAATACCATTGAGAAAGATAGGATCAAGGTTATTGTCGAGAAGATAATCAATGCTTTGCCAGAAAAAAAGAGAAGTGGCGAACTCATGATGTACTCTAAGCAATTTAGGACGTTGTTCACCAATGACTCTACTAGAAGAGCTCAAGACCCTATTTACAATGAGGAATTCTACAAGCAATTACTCGACGATATTGAGAATGATAAATTTGATAAGATCAAGCAAGATTTGTCCGCTTTCAAGAAACAGTTGTTTACCCTCAATAACTTCAAAGTGTTTGTTAATGGAGGATGTGAGCAAATAGTGAACCCCGTTTCATCTTGGCTAGACTTTATTAAAGCGTTTGAGCCCACTAATGAACTCATTCCTATAAAATCGTTGCCCAGATCGCACCAGTTTCGAAGTGAAATTGGATTGAGATGCTCGAAAAATGTATATGCTGTTACCATTGCTGCAATAGAGTCCAGTAATCTTGTAACATTGACCAAGATTCCTGTGGATTACTTGGAAGATGACATCTTCAAGATAGCCTTGGCCAGTGAATACTTGAATGCAGTGGAAGGGCCCTTATGGAGAGGCCTCAGAGGGACTGGACTTTGCTATGGAACTAGCGTTTCTAGGAACATAGAAACAGGATATTTGAATTACTCGATTTACAGTTCCACTGACGTCGAACAAGCCTGGAGCACAAGTAAAAAAATTATTTCCCACTACGGCAACGGAACCAGTAAGTTTGAGAAGCTGAAAGTTGAAGACAGTATTTCTGCCATTATGAACGGTCTTGCAAACGGCCAATCCAACTTGTTTGATGCCTCGATGGTCAAAGTGGCAGACAATGTGTTCAGAAATAGAGGGCCCAACTATAGAGCCAAGTTGGTTGCTAAGTTGAAGACCATTACTGAAGAAGAGTTGGTGAGTGTGATGAATAAGTACTTCAAGAAGTTGTTTGAACCTGAACATTCGATAGTCTTTACCAGTATTCCAAGTTCTAAAGGTGAACAAGTTCAACTGTTTTTCCAAAAAGAAGGGTATGAAGTAGAGATCGAGGAAGTCAGCAATGAAGATTTGGAACTAGAGTCCGAAGAAGAAGAAACAGAGTCCGAAGGTAGTTCAGACGAATCTGACAGTGGGTCAGATTTAGAGTAATTTAGATATGTTTAGATTTATCTTGAAGTCAATGCCTATCTTCGAATTCACATAGCGAAAATAATCGTCCCTGCATCGTGTCACCACACCCGTCCCTGCATCGTATCACCAAACCCTGTTGACAGATCATTGATCGCCTGACAGCCAGTAATCTATCAGCAAGCCACCACTTACATAGCGGAATTTGATGCCCTGGTAGGAATTTGCCAGCTTTATCAAAATCTGGCAATGGGTTCGGAAACCCAGATCCTAGGTGAGGCCCGACCCGGGAAACCAAGTCCATTGTGTATCTAAGAGCGGGGCGATTCTAACAATAAGAAACTGGGTTCCTGACTGGTGGAGCTCCATATTTGCAACATATCAGCCCCAGATCTATAGCACATCAATAGCTGAAAAATCCAAAGTTATAGTTGAGGAAAACACAATTGAGCTCGAATTACACATAGTAGTAGAAAATTACTAAGTACTAGGCCCATTAGACTCTGATAACCAAGAATGCCACCGGTTGCTGTGGCTGCGGATGGGCCTACCTTTTTTTTAGACCCGGTGCAGTCGCGACATCAGCGCGACATCGCTTATCAGGGGAACACTTAAAAGGCCTGCGTATTCTGGTTTGAACTGACAATTGACAGAAAACAAACTCGATCTTAACTTCTCTATGACTATCAAAATAACACCACTGTACAAGGAAATATCTGACAGGAAGGTCAAAGCTAGAGATGCCAAATTCATCAAAGAATGGCTTGCCCCCGAGTCTATACTTCCAGACAGTTCGGTCAAGGACGTTACCAAGTGGATCAAAGAAAGTGGATGTTTGAACGACTTGGAATTGGAAATCACGGAAGCGGACGCTCCTACCATTATTGAAAACATAAAGACAAAGAAATGGAGGGCGGTTCAAGTAGCTGAAGCATTTGGCAAGAGAGCTACTCTTGCTCATCAGTTAACCAACTGTTTGACAGAGATATTCTTTGAAGAAGGATTGCAAACTGCCAAAGAGTTGGACGAATATCAAGATAAGACCGGTAAGACAAAGGGTCCTTTGCATGGATTACCAGTCTCTTTAAAGGATAACATCAATGTTAAAGGACATGCAACCACTATTGGGATGGTCAAATACTGTTTTGAACCTGAGATCATGGACACCGATTCAGTAATTGTTACTTTGTTAAGAAACTTGGGTGCTGTGTTATACGTTAAAACAAATGTTCCAGTGGCCATGATGATGCCAGAAACAACAAACCATATTTGGGGCAACACCACTAACCCCATGAACCGGTTACTTAGTGCTGGTGGTTCATCAGGAGGTGAAGCTGCTTTGTTGAAACTTAAAGGTTCTCCCATAGGCATTGGATCTGACATTGGTGGAAGTATCAGAATTCCTGCTTCTTTCCAGAATCTTTATGCGTTAAGACCTTCTTTTGGTAGATTTCCCACCTATGGAGCAAGATCTGGACTCCCAGGATTGGAGTCAGTAAACTCAGTTAATGGTCCATTGTCCATATCTTTAGAGTCTATGGAAACATACTGTAAAGCCATAATTGGCCAAGAACCTTGGAACCATGATGCCAAGGTGATTCAAATGCCTTGGAGAACCGTTGAATTGCCAGAAAAATTGAACATCGCTGTGGTGGTTGATGATGGATGGGTCCGTCCTGTTCCACCAGTTAGGAGAGGTATGAACATTGTCATTAACAAGTTGAAAGAAGCTGGCCATGAAGTTATTGACTGGGATCCTGAAGATCATCTCCGAGCTTCCCAGATCATTAGTGGATTTTTCTTGAGCGATGGGGGTGTTCACATTAAAGAAGTAACTGAGCCTACTGGTGAACCATTTTTCGAGTATATGAAGGGATATGAAACGGCTACCGAACTACCTGTTTCTGAATTGTGGAAACTTCAAGCTGAAAGGACTACCCTAATGAAGAAGTTTTTAGACAGATGGAATGCCACTGCTTCCCAAACAAGTAATAATAAACCCATTGATGCCATTATAATGCCTGCCACTCCTTTTGCAGGAAGTCCCAACGCCAAATTCAGAGATTATGTGGGATACACCTCGCCTTTCAATATGACTGACTATGCAGTTGGAATTTTGCCAGTTACTCGAGCTGTCAAAGATTTAGACCTAAAGGATCCTGAATCCACCAACCACAGTAAGACTGACACCACCATTTGGGAAGATTACGATCCTGAAGAAGTCCACGGTGGAGCAGTTGCAGTGCAAGTTATCGGTAGAAGATTTGAAGAGGAAAAGGTGATTGAGATGTTGAAGGTGATTTCCAAGTTGCTCGATCACTCGGATATTTAGAGAATAAGTAAATATAGAAAACCATGTTTGCACGCCAATTATACCAATAGTGTCGAACTGAAGTGCAGGGAATCTTAAAACCCATGTGTTATGAGTACTGGTAGTATACTAAAGCACCACTAGATGAAAGCCCTCAGAAAGAGAGTGTTATACCAAAATGTAACCCAAAAACAGTATCTTGCGCCACCCCACCCCCAGATCCCGCAAATAAGAAGGTCGGGGCTCAGCCTCCGACTCCCACACGGTTTCCGGCCATAACTTTGGACTTGTACCCTTCAAGGGTAATTGGTTCGGCAAAGTTGACCGATGAGGCCTGAAATGTCGCACAGTTGCTAACTGTTTTTCAACTGAAAAAAACCGTTCCCAGATAAGCAACGTCTTATCAGATGCTAGGGCCATTGAGTGAAAAGCTCTGCATATTATCACAATAGCTCTGAACTCGGTTCCCGATAAATACATAAATTCCTTTCCATTGTGAGTGGTACCATCAGTGTTCCGTGTATAAATATAAATATATCGGCCACTAATTTTTCACACCGGTTTAATACAAATCTCCAATGCCTTCTATTCTTCATAAAGCCAAAGTTTTATTGTGGGGAGAAACTCCCAAAGATCCCAAAGAGGCCCGTCTCTTATTAAAAATGGATTGGTTCATCCTTTCGTTTGCGTGTTTGCTTTATTGGGTCAATTACTTGGATCGATTGAACTTGAGTAACGCATATGTGTCAGGAATGAAGGAGGAAATTGGATTGGTGGGAAACCAATTCAATGTGATCAATACGATGTTCACGGTTGGGTACGTGGTGGGGTTGATCCCACACAATTTAATATTATTAAGAGTACGTCCTAGTATTTGGTTAAGTGTCTGCGGATTCTGTTGGGGTGTGTTAGTATTGGGAATGTACAAAGTTGAGCACTTTTACCAGCTTTGTGTGATCAGATTCTTCCAAGCATTCTTTGAAAGTTCAACCTTTACCGGAGTTCATCTCATTTTGTCCCAATGGTACAAAGAGGAAGAATTGACCAAACGAACGGCGGTATTCACATCATCGGGGCTTATTGGCAACATCTTTTCATCCACCATGCAAGCCTCCATTCACACCACTTTGAATGGTAGAAATGGGTTACTGGGATGGAGATGGTTGTTCATCATCGATTTTATCATTACGGTTCCAATTGTCACGTATGGATTCTTCTTTTTCCCTGACACCCCAGCCACTGCCAAAGCCATCTACTTCACGGAAGAAGAACTCGAAATTGCCCGGCGTCGGATGCCTCCCGCCAAAACAGATGTGTTCAACTGGTCCATTGTGCGGAGGGTGGTGGGGAGCTGGAAATGGTACTTGTTCTCGCTCTTATTTGTGTTTGCTGGAGAAAATGAAAGTTACTCAACCAACTCGTTGTTTTCGCTCTACCTCACGTATTTCGGATATTCAGTCGATGCCAGAAACCACTACCCAATGGGAATGTATGCCATGGGGGTGTTTTTCACGTTTGGGTTCGCCTTATACGTGGATGGGACCGGGGCCCGTTATCACTGGCATGTGGCGGTAGCTACGGCGGTGATTATGATAATTCTGACCATCATGATGTTAGCCGCACCTGACAAAAGTAGTGTGATGTTCGCGGCCCACTATCTTCTGGGATGCAGTTATGCCGGGCAAGCGTCCTACTTTGCGTGGGCTAACGTGGTCTGTGCCAATGACCTCCAGGAGAGAGCGGTTGTTTTAGCATCGATGAATATGTTCTCCAATGCGGTTAATGCTTGGTGGTCAATTTTGTTCTACAGTGCGGACACGGCGCCGCACTTCACCAAAGGGTGCTACGCGATGATTGCCACCGTGGTGGCCAGTGTAGTGGTGGCGGGGTTAATTCGGGTTTTCCAGCTTCGTGATGAACGCATTGAGCGTCTGCCGGCTGATGATGAAAAGCTGGAGCACCTGATCGGCAAGGATGGGGTGGTGACGCAAGCGCAAGAAGTCGAATCGGGTTCGGTGGAGGAGAGTAAGTAGTGTTAATGTAAAATGTGGGGCACCCACGCCCTCTGTCAGACTGATCTAGAAAAGCGAGTTTCTTTTACCGGCGACCCCTGTGCAGGGGGAGTGCGGAAACCGGCACGTAGCCGTCGCCGTTACTGGTTTGGGTAAGTTCGAAAGAATTAGTAATCACCCTGTTTGCCTCTGTCATTTATAAACGGTTGTACTCCCCGAAAGCAAATATCCGTTTTCCGGTTTTTTATATCAGAATTCTACATAATGGCGGACATAAAGAGACATCATGACGAGCTTGCCAGTGCCAGTCCAGTTGATTATTCGGACTTGGACGGTTCCAAGAAGCATGTGAAACCGGGTAGAAAACCCATAGAAAGTGAGCCCAAATCTAAGAGAACCGCTCAAAATAGAGCTGCTCAAAGAGCTTACAGAGAGCGGAAGGAAAGGAAGATGAAGGACTTGGAAGAGAAGGTTGAGCTTTTGCAAGACGAAAACTTAAAAATGAATACCGAATCGGACTTTTTAAGAGCTCAAATTGACATGTTGAAGAATGAATTGATCAAAGTTAAGGGTGACGACTTTGAGTTAAATTTGCCTCAACGAGTAGGGAAATTAACTAAACCTAGCAATCACAGTAACAGTTCCAACACCTTGAACTCCAAATCATCATCAGACTTTTCCGACTCCAGATCTGTTAGTAGTTCGGTCAACGACTCAAGTCCTAACACTGATGTATCTGAAAATATATTGAGAAGTGAATTCCCATGGTCGAAGAACAACTTGCAATTGAACCAAACTTCTTACGAAGATCGCTCTATTGGTAAACTTGGCTATAATAATGTTCCTGATTTGGTGTCTGGGTCAGTGTCTTCAAATTCCAATTCTCCTTTAAATGATAATATATTGTTTGAAGGAAGTGAAAGGTTTGAGGAACAATCCGATCCATTCTGCAAAAGCTTGAATGAAGTATGTGGCACGAAGGAGTGCCCAGTTCCTAAGTATAAACAAAAGCAACAGCAACAGCAACAACCTACAACTCAAATTGACCGCAAGACCCCACAAGCTTTAACCAACATACCGACAGATATGGGTAAGAAGGATAGCATTTCCTCAAACTCCCCTTTCAGTTTTTTCAATAATGACCAGCTCTTTGCTGATCCTTTCAGTTTTAATTTAACCCCAAAGAATGATGACAATGACCCGTTATCTTTCTTGAATGATAATAATTTTGATGTGAACTTGGCATTTGACGACGGAAAATCCGGCATCGATCACACTTCTCTTGACAGTTTGGTAACAGAGGAATCCTTATATGATCCTTTGAGAAATCAACAGAACAACAATTTTAACTTGAATGAATTTGTTAAAACTTCATTCTCCGACAAATCATCGTCAGGTGGAGGTGCAAGCCAACAAGAAAGTGTTCCAGCATTGGCAGAAGACGATGAGGTTGTACCTGCTCCAGAGAAGACATTCAAGTGTTCTGAAATCTGGGATAGAATTACATCTCATCCTCGGTACACTGAAATTGATATCGATGGTTTGTGCAGTGAATTGAAGACTAAGGCCAGATGTAGTGAAAGAGGTGTGGTTGTTAATGCCAGTGATGTCAACACGTTATTAGAGCAATCAGCTACCAAGAGGTAATTGATACTACATATTTGTACTGTACATATTGGTAATGGGATTTTTTTTAATGATTTAAAGTTTTGTCTAAGTAATTCAATAGCAATCGGCGTTGTATATTTATATTTGGCAGTTCGCGATTAATTTGCGGTAAAGACGAGAGGCAATCTACAGATATGGTGAAAAAACTATTAATTAAGGCCTCGAACAGCTATTCTGATAACTTTCAGATTGTTCCTATCAATACACTTATACCTGTTAGAATTCAGCTGGAAATTGGTGATTTCGAATTGTCTATTAACATCAAAAACTTCGATGGTTCCAAACCTCATGCCGCTAACAGCTTGTACAATTTAGGTGACCAATATTACCTCGATAAAACCCCCATAGATCCAGAAAAATTCCATAAAAATGAAGTAGAAACGTCTCAGATTCCTAACTTGACCTTTGAAGTGAACTTTAGACCTAAATTTCCCGTCAACGGTAAAGAATTTTCTTTTGGAAATGATTTCACAACTCCTATAAAGGACTACGTGCCAACCACGTTACTTTCCGCAGGCTTGAAATTTTTCAATTGGTTTATTAATAGCACCGTCAAGGGTGATGTTTACTGTGACAAACCCTTTTTATACGGGCCAATCTTGAATAGTTGCACCTATATGTCCATTGATGAAGATATGCCATCGAAACAATCGGTTTTGGATACAAGCAGTCAAAAATTCCCAGAGAATTTGAACAGCAACGTCGATAATATCTTAAAGATCCCTGAATTCTCGTTGGAAAGAAAGAAGTTCTTCAACAAATTGGTCAATTGTGAAAACTTTGTATTTGTTGAGTCTTCTATGTATAAGCTTAAGTTTGACACAAATTTCATTAAGATGGCGGACTCAAAATACTCAGTGAGTTTGCCCACTTATAACAACAGCACCTTTGATATCAATGTACTGAAGTATGCCAACGACAAATTGGACAACTTCAATTGGATTATTAAGATCGGTGGATACGAAGGTGTAGGTTACGGGAAGCTCGGGTTGGTAGTAAACTTTTCGTTGGTGGATGAATAATTAAATCTCTACATGTATATATAATTAATTTTATGGCTACGATACTTATAGGGGCCCTGTAGTCTTCAACTCTGACGTAGGATAGTAGACGTTCAAATAGACATAGTTTGCAGTAATTTGGGATGCACACGTCTCAGGATTTTGAAGATGAATAGGTCGCACAGTTTTTCCTCCAATCATTTAGCAAATAATAATAACTAACAAGCATGTCTACCTCCCTTGCTCGTACTATCAAAAACGTCTACAAATCCGGGATCAAGAGAGCCGCCTGGCAAATAGCATTTCTCAATGATACCAAACCTGGTGGAACTCTTGTTGGAACCGACGATCATGGTAACAAGTACTACGAAACTGATGCACCTGAAATCCACTTAAGAACCAGATGGGTTGAATACAATGCCACCTTTCTCAGTATTGACATCTCTGCGGCCGAACCGGGATGGCACTACTGGTTAGGCTACGGTACCAACGTGTCTCCCAACAATTTACCCGAAGATCAAAAAGCCGTAAGAGCTTACCCCATGCCAGAGAAACATAAAATCAATTTGACTGGTACTCGTGGAGCCTACGTTCCTTACAACACTGCCAAACCCAAGCACGAAGCCTGGACGCCGATAGTGAGTGAGAGATCTTGAATTCACAAGCTGAAACACATCCACACACATCATAAGTTGCAAAACATAAAAGAAAAAAATCCATAAAACCTTTTTGGTACCCCTTCAGGTGCCTCTATTAGTTGAAGAAATACATATAAACATAGAAGCATTCTATTTTGTTCGTATTAGTGTAGTTCACCCGGCAGAGATAAGCTATTTGACTAGTGTAAAATTTCCATTAAGTCGCATGGATTTAATTTGAAAAACTTCTCATCGCATCAACTATGAGTCAAGCTGATAAGATTCCTGGATTAGCCAGTGATGCTGTTCTTAAACAGTCTGCACCAGTTCCTGACTCGTTTGTTGAAGTCAAAGGAATTGACTACTCAAAAGACTCTGCCTACAACATGACGGCCATCGACTTGATTGCATCTATGAAGACAATGGGATTTCAAGGTTCTTCCGTAGGAGACGCTTGTGATATCATTAATAAAATGAGATCTTGGAGAGGTAAACATAAAAGTGAGTTGGAAGAACATGATATAAAAGGAGAATTTGATGACGAAGGATACCAGAAATCTACGATTTTCATGGGTTACACCTCCAATTTAATTAGTAGTGGATTGAGAGACACTTTGAGATTTTTGGTCCAGCACAAGATGGTAAGTGCAATTGTTTCCACGGCCGGGGGAATTGAAGAAGATATCATCAAATGTTTAGCGCCTACCTTTATGGGTGAGTTCAGCCTTCCAGGTAAAGGCTTAAGAGATCAAGGTATGAACAGAATCGGAAACTTGCTTGTTCCAAATGACAACTACTGTAAATTTGAAGAATGGATGGTCCCTATTTTGGACAAGATGTTGGAAGAACAACAAGAAGAGTTGGAAAAGAACGGTGCCGATGCCTTTGACAACACGGCTGGGGTTTGGACACCTTCTAAGTTCATTGATCGGTTAGGACAAGAAATTAACGATGAGACTTCTGTTTTATACTGGGCTCACAAAAACCAAATTCCTATCTTTTGTCCAGCTTTGACCGATGGATCGATTGGAGATATGTTGTTTTTCCACACCTTTAAGGCTTCCCCAAGACAACTTCGGTTGGATATTGTAGCGGATATTAGACGTATTAATTCTATGTCAATGGAAGCCAATAATGCTGGAATGATCATACTTGGAGGAGGTTTAATCAAGCACCATATATGTAATGCCTGTCTCATGAGAAATGGTGCTGATTTTGCTGTATTTATCAATACTGGCCAGGAATTTGACGGGTCTGATGCGGGTGCTCGACCTGATGAAGCCATTTCATGGGGGAAAATTAAGGCCGACGCCAAACAAGTCAAAGTATATGCTGATGTCACGGTAGTATTCCCATTGATTGTGGCTGCCACTTTTGCAGCCCAAAAACCATAAATATGTAAGTATCATTCCCAATATAGAAGTGTAATAAGTGCGACTTCCTTATCGAGCCAGCAGCCACACCCCGAGATGGAACGGCCTGGGGAGCTCGCGTATAAAAGCCAGCCAATTCGCATCCGCCATACATTTTTTATCAAGTTCCTTCTATATCGTCTTTCGTTAATGTCTGAGTTCAATGAAATGGTCCGTGCCTTGAAGGCTACTCTCGACCAGTTGGAACAAAAGGAAATTAAATCTCAATCTGATTTTCAATCTCGAGTTACTTCCAACAACGCTGCCTCCACCCCGGTTAAATCCATGGATTTTGCTGCCGTTTCCCAGAAGTACATCGACTTCACGTATGAGAACCCCACCATCTACCATGTGGTGTCTCACTTTTCCGGAAAGTTGGAAGACAATGGGTTCACTTACCTTTCTGAAAAGAAGACATGGTCCGACTTGAAACCAGGTCGTTACTACACGGCCAGAAACGGTTCTTCTTTGATAGCCTTTGTCGTGGGTCCTGACTGGACGGCCAAGAGAGGTGTTGGAGCCATTGGCTCGCATATCGATGCGTTGACCGTTGCTCTCAAACCCAACTCCACTAAACTGAAAGTTGACGGCTACGAATTATTGGGTGTTGCTAATTACGCCGGTACGTTGAGCGACAGCTGGTGGGACCGTGATTTGGGTGTTGGAGGTCGGTTGTTGATCAGAAAAGATGGAAAGCTTGTCACTCAATTAGTTGACTCCTCTCCTAATCCAATTGCCCATATCCCTACATTGGCCCCCCATTTTGGAACTCCAGCAGTTGGTCCTTTTAACAAGGAAACTCAAGCGGTTCCGGTCATTGGATACCTGTCCGAGGATGATGAACCACCGACTGAAGAAGAAAAATCGGCTCCATTATATGGAAAACACTCTTTGAATGTGTTGAGATATGTGGCCAAGCTTGGAGGTGTAAAGGTCAGCGATATTTACCAAACCGATTTGCAATTATATGACGTTCAAAAAGGGTCCTTTGGAGGTTTGAATAAGGAATTCATATACTCACCTCGTATTGATGATAGAATTTGTTCTTATGCTGCTATTGAAGCATTGGTGGATGCTGCAAATGGAGGAGAACTTCCAGATGATGGATTCTCTCTTGTAGGATTGTTTGACCATGAAGAAATCGGGTCTGCTACCAGAACCGGTATCAAGGGTGGTTTAGTTGAGTCCACTGTTGCTCGTGTGTTGGCTTCAGAATACTATGCATCTGCTACCCCAGTTGAAGAAGATATTAGGTTGGCTTATGCTAACACCATCATTCTTTCTGCCGACGTCAGCCATTTGTTGAATCCTAACTTCTCTAGCGTCTACTTGGAGCATCACAAACCACTTCCAAATACTGGTTTGGCATTAGCTTTGGATCCTAATGGTCATATGGCTACCGACTCTACTGGAGTAGCATTGGCTGAAGAATTGGCTCGTATCAATGGAGACAAATTACAGTACTTCCAAATCAGAAATGACTCTAGATCTGGTGGTACCATTGGTCCTTCTATCTCCTTACAAACTGGAGCTCGTACCATTGATTTGGGTATTCCTCAATTATCGATGCACTCTATTAGAGCTGCTACTGGTGCTCGTGATTTAGGATTAGGTATCAAGTTCTTCACCGGGTTCTTCATCAACTGGAGGACTGTCTACGATACTTACCTGGATTTGTAGACTGCTGGAAAACAGCCTTACTTAGAGTATATTAAAATGAACACTGATTAGCATTACGTTTCTCGCCTGTCTGTTTTGCAGCTATTGCTGGAGCCCTCACCAAACTATTTCCATATACTATTTCCGGATTTACTTTGACAACAATTCATGTCTATCTGCGTTGAACACGTTTTATAACCTGAATGTCGCTTCTAGGACCTATTAACCATATCTGTGACAGCTTTAGTTTGCCCAATGTGCTACTTCTGCAACTGGTCAGTTATTGCACGACCTCGCATTTTTTTATCATACAGCGTCAATACTCTGCCAACTGAACACAAGAGCATTGACTTAAGTAACTCACATCGTTCCTTTCATATACAATTGATAGTTACTATACAATGGGTATGTTTTACAGATCAGTATATCACCAAAGTCATCATTGGATTAAGCCAAAAACCGCCATTTTTGTGTGACTATTTTTGTGTGATTTGCGGAGACCTCACCTCCTTTACATTTTGAATACAACTGTTACTAACAATTTGCTAGTGCCTCCCAAGAAAATGTCCTTACAGGAGTTCATCACCGATGAATGTACGTACAAATAAATGATGACACGATGCCATTGCAATGATCGAGATCATTTTACTAACTTTATCCAAGCACTTGGTGGTTCATGGGCTGATGATGATATCGACGTGGCGTCCATATCTGTACCCACTTACCGATACCCAGTGAATACCGGAAGACATATGGATAATGGGTACCGTGGTGGTGGCAGTGGTGGAATGAACCAAGATAATGGTCCCCCATACATTGTAAAGCTATTAAATCTACCATTAGACGTGACCGACGATTTCGTTCAGGATCTATTTAGCAGTCGGTATACCAGCTATAACAAGTTCAAAATTGTGGTAGACCCTTCTTCAAATGTATTGGAGACTTTTGTTGTTAAAAAAGTGGCATTTGCCGAGTTGAATAATAATCTGGATATGTCCAGAGTATTAAAGTGGCAGGATTTATATTACAAGGCTAGTAAGCGGGTGATGATCGAACAAGCCAATTTTTTGGATTTTCAAGATTGCATGCGGTTTAACCAAGAGCACGCATTAGAACTCCAGAGAATCGAAGAAGACCTTGCATCAGGAAAATTGAGGCCGAATGGTGAACATGGTGGTCCTCAAAGGTCCTTTGGAGGTCATAATGAGAGATCAGATGGTTATGACAAAATGAGACATAATAGAAATCATGGTCTGGCTTTCAACAATACTCACACGCCCATGCTAGGCCATTCTCAAACCTCTTCCTTCGGACCTGCTTTGGGTGAACTGTCTCCGACTCTAACCCCACTTCCTTCTCAACCTCACCACCCTAAAGCAAACCCTTTTGGGGCAGCGAAGCCTGTGGATATATTAGCACGCCAGCATGAAATTGAAAAGAAGTTAATCACCATTAACCACACAACCATTCGAACCATTAAACCCGAAGATGACAAATCAATTGTTGCCTCTCCACCAAAAGCATCTCCAAAGGTTTCCAAATCCTCGATATCAACAAGTGCATCTCAGACCAAAGAAGATGAGCCAAGCAAGGAAAGTAAATATCGCCCTGCTCCAATTGCTCAATTACAAACCAATGGGTTGAGCTTGGCTGAACTATTGAGTAGTAAACCCCAAGCAGATCTGGATTTAAGGCACAATTCTCCGAAAGCTCCCATTCTTAAACCCGTGATCTTGAAGAAGAAACAACCGACTACTCCAATTCCAAAAGAAGAACCGGTAGTTGAACCAACTGCAACAGAAAAAGAAGAGTCAAAACCAGTAGAAAAAGAAGAAATAATACCCAAGACTGAACCTCCAACTGACAAGGAAATGATAAATGCAGGACCTAAACCCAAGACTGAAACCAGGAATGAGAAATCTTTGGAGGCAACTGGAAATCACGAGAAGGAGAGACCTACACGTTCTAATTTGCTTGGCGAAGGACGTCACAGCACAAGAGGAAGAGGGTCTAATAATTACCTGAGGTCTCAAGAGGTAAGACCAAGGAGGATGCGTGACTTTCCAACCAGCAGAAGGTATAGCAGGGAGAATGGTGAGAGAAAGCCTTTGGATCCTGAAACAAGGAAAGAATCTCAGCCTTTTATTGCAACCCATAAAGAATATGAGAGTGGTCTTACAAGTGATGATAAAGTGGCTCGTGCTATTGAGCAAAGCTCTCAAGAGAGAATCAAGTTTTTGAGAAATAAAAGTGATGGCAAGTCAAGAGGTGGTCGAAAGGACAAGTATCCAGGACGTCCCAAAGATAAGGCCTTCAAGACTAGGTCTAATAGCATTGAAGGAAAAGATACATCAAACAGTACATCATTAATTGATACAACTGAAGGTGCAAAAGATCCTGCCGTGGATATTAAATCAGAGTCAGTAGATGTCTCTAAACCAGAATCGAAAGAGGAAGCCCCAGGAAGACCATCAAAACCAAATCCAAGAAGAAAGTCTAGAAACTCCCCAAGAAGTTTTTCTAAACCAACTGATTCAAAAGAAACCCCGGAAAGTGAAACCAAAGGTAAAGGAAATGTTGAGCCAAAGTCTGATGAGAAATTAAAATCAGAGGGTGCCGGTAATGTCGATCATGAAAGGGCAGAGAATTTGGAAGGTAACGAATCTGGAGCTGAAGGTCATGAGAATTCATTCCGTGGAAGAGGAGGGAGAGGTGGAAGAGGAGGAAGAGCTAGAGGAAGGGGTAGAGCTAGAGGAAGAGCTAGAGGAAACTTCAACCTTCATTACACAAGAAGGCGCGAGAATGAAGGCGACGGTAAAACTGAACCTCAACAAAAGGCTGAGCCCCATACAGAGTAAAAAAGTTTATAGTTAATGTAAGATAGAAGCCTTAATAACTCGACTGCAATTAATTGTCTTATTACAAAAACCTGAATAAATAAATACTATTATGTGAACTGAAATGATTTTGTGGTTTGTCTTCTTGCTGGATGAGTCTTCACAATAAACCACTGTCTTTCAAAGAATTCTCCAAGATAGTCTCTTTAACGGCTGCAAATACCAACTCGATATTAGAAGTATCCGTTGCTTGGGTGACGTGAGGATAAATGTTAAGACCTGAACGGCTGACTTGAGTAAACCGCCACAAGATATATTTCGCAGCCTTGTTAATGTTATTTCCTCCACTATAATCAGGGAAATAATTTTCCAAAGGTGAATATGGTAATTTTTCAGCAAACACATCAATTTTATTCAAGAACAACACTATTGATGTCCGAGCAAACCATCTGGAGTTCACCACACTATCAAATAATGTTAATGATTCTTCCAATCTATTTTGACTGTTTTCTTCCAATAGTACTTGATCGTATTCAGAAAGGGCCACACAGAATATAATTAATGTTACATTGTCAAAGCAATGGATCCATTTTTTACGTTCCGACCTCTGTCCTCCAACATCATACATATGGATCGGTAAACCAGGACCCATCAGAAACCTGAAATCATAAATACCAGACGTTTTCTTTCTGGTTCTTAATATATCATTTGTAGTAGGAATGTAATTCTTCTTGGTGATACGCATAATATCTGATAAAAAGTAATTGGAAGAATCAATCAAATAGAAATCTGCCAGGTGATACTTGATGAATTCCTTGACTTTAGGGTTGGAATAGGCCTTGTTAATTTTTAATGCAATTTGTTCGTTGAAAGGATCTTTGGAGTTAATATTCACTTCGTAATCGAGTATGTCGTTTAAATCATTATAGGACAACAAAGTGTCATCTTTGTCCTTTTCACTTGCATCTTCGACCTTGCGAATCAATTGTGGTTCCAAGTCGACAATGGCATTGATTATCAGTTTGATACAATCCATGACATTCTTGTACACAAATGGTTTATATTCCAAGAGTTCTTCCTTGCTGTAACCATTCTGATGTAAAATCTTCATTTGCTTAACAATGGTAGACTTTCCACTTTCACCAGAACCCAACAACAACACCTTTACTTCTTTATTCAACTGGTTACCAGCTTGATTGTTATTACCGGTGGGGAGGCCGGAACCGGCCGATTCGCTATTCCCCAACTGGTTCTTTTCGTTATAGCGAGTTGAATCATCATTACTCGAATCGCTAGAATTGTTATGTTCTTTGGTGGCCGGAATGACCACAGGACCCGAAACAGCCTCGGATTGACGAGTTCTTGCGATCGTGGTATTAGTATGACTCTGACCTGACGCCTTTAGATTGGTATTAACCTTTGATTGAGCACCGGAACCGGCTGGTGCATCAGAAGACTTGGAAACACACGCTCCCATATTTCTCTCTTACACAGATGTAAAGGATCTGAGATTATTGAAAAAGGCAAAAACGACCTTAAAAAATCGCTCCCAAAATTAATTTCGTATTATCAAACGGGAGGGTCAAGTGGGTTTTATATTTTCCTTGAAAAATTTTGACCATTATGAATTTCCTCACTGGCCAAAACTCAAAATGCCAGTCGAGCCAGTGGTCTATGTACACGAAAAAAATACCTTATGACTATTTTTTCCCAAAGCATGACCTCTGGCACTTTACGCCAACAAGATAAAGAGGGGGCACACTTTGTACAAACAGAGCTACTATTTATATCCGCTTATTCCTAAATAATATATGTTGTAGTCCCGTGAGCTCCCGCCTTGAGTGATACTCGCGTGCCTCGTCTATGTATGACAGAATAAATGCCTAATGATACAAAAAAGTAGGTATACAGTATTTGGCTTTACAAGCTGAATCATGGCTACGGGTGCTCATATTTGACATATATATGGCATGTTTTTTTATTTTTTAGCCAAAGATCTGATCTTCTATTCGCTTACATTTGTGCTTCCCTTGATTCGTGAATTTTGCAGCAACTGATAGGTGAGCGATATGAAATTTAACAAGTATTTGCGGAATAATGTGTGAACAGCCGATTTCGGGCTCGTAGTCTTGGCGATAGTACCTTGAGAAGGCATTGCAATAAACAACTAATATTAGGTTTTAATACAACCAGCAAGCAAAAAATAATTGAACCAAACTAGCGCCGCCCGGTTTCGATCCGGGGACATCAGGGTTATGAGCCCTGCGCGCTTCCACTGCGCCACGGCGCTCAATCTTAAATTTATTTGGGCTCACTTTGTCACGAAAATAATGTGGAAAAGCAATAAAGAATTAGGTAACACTTATGATAATTTTGTTGTATACATGAGGGTCTAAGAAGCAGTACTTGCTCCATAGCATAAGAAATATTTACCGATCAGTTACCTGTATACTGATGAATGCTATAAATAACTGACATTTGATTTACACTGTTTCACTTGTGAGCGCTTAACTAGTCTCGTTTAGGCAGAAATAGCTAAACCAAGTTTCATTTCAAACTGCAAATCACCCCACTCTCCAAACTTTTAATGCATTTGTCGTATATGACAAAGGGTTTACATTACAGGTAGCTCCTACCGGAAACCCCATTGGGAAGCTAGTTTGGTACTGGTATATGAAACTCTATTTCAAGATGCACTTCATCACCATTCAAGTATAAGGAGCAAGTGGATCACGTTGTTACTAATGAGGGGATTGGAACCAGAACATGCTAAGCTTAATGAAACACATGCTTCATATCCTCAGCCATGGAGGGGCATGTTAGAGTGATCTTTCAATATTTGTAGCAATAGTTAATGTTCTCAATAAGGCAGTATAATATACTTTTACTAAATAATATTTAGGATACAGCTTCAGATAGCTAGAAGGTTTTTCGCACATTGATGCGGCGTGCAAATAGGAAGACTAAAGTTCTATCGTACAGACTCAAAGCCGAATACCATTGATACACTACAGGGTGCATTTTCCCACAAACATATTTGAAGAGATACTCTAGCAGACATTAGCATTCAGTTCCTTTAGAGAAAAGTTCGATTCGCTAACACCATAGCGTGTCTCGTTTAGTCAACGCACACGTCCCGGCCCGGATCGGGGATCCCATTTGCACCCAACGGACGTAAATATTTCTTAAACTACTAGTTATAGGCATAAGTTACACCAACGGGCGGACAATCAGGAGTATATACTGACAGATGCATATACTGGACACACACACATTCACAAGCTCATGAATGCTTCATGAATATCTGTTTAGTACTAGTGTATGTGAACTAAGTACAAGCCGCACCCAGTATTGTTGATGGACCTAGTTCAGGCCTCTGATAGTTGACCCAAAACAAAATTCAGAGATTTACCTGATCTCTGCATTTATGTTCAACATCCACAATCCTTATTGCATCTCATATATACAAAGGGTTTCCAGAAAAGTCTGTGATAAAGTCATCTATTACTAGAAATTACTAATAATGTGTAATGAGCACTCCGATTTATCAATTTGGCTCAACTTGCGGATACTTTTTCGAACACTCTATCGCTCATCGCGTTAATAATAATTCCGCTGAACATGTCGGAAGCTCGCTCTATTGAAAGCACAGATGACACACGCAAAGAGTCAGAAGACTTGGCATCTCCCATACCTAGCCCCACTCCAGATGAGATTGGACTTCTAAGAGAAATCGTATTCGTGGGTCTTGTGGTGGGAACTCAATTGTTGACGCAGGCCTCCTTGGCACAAACAATTATTACCGTTGGAACTCTTAGTAAAGATTTTGATGTCACAGACAGCCCAGGTGAACAATCTTGGTTTACAGCTGCCTTCTCGTTAACGGTGGGTACCTTCATCTTAATTTCTGGAAGGCTTGGTGATTTGTTTGGGTATAAAAAGATATTCGTATCAGCTTACTGTTTCTTATCATTAAGCAGTCTAATAACTGGCTTCACCGTGTATACCCACTCGGTCGTCTTCTTCGATGTCATGAGAAGTCTTCAAGGGTTGGGGTTTTCTTTGGCCTTCCCTAATGCGCTTGCCATTTTTGGACACTACTATCCAATGGGTCCCAAGAGAATCTTATTCATGTGCTTATTTGGGGCGGTAGCCCCTGGTGGGTTTGTTATTGGAAGTTTATTCAATACCACCATCGTCAACCATGCGTGGTGGCCTTGGGGTTTCTGGGTATTAGCCATCGTGGCTTTGGTGGTGGCATTTACATCATTTTTTGTTATTCCCAAGAATATCGTGAACAATTCATCTCACAGAGGAGGGTTTGATTGGGTTGGCTCGGTGACTGGTGTGTGTGGTCTTATTCTCATCAATTTTGCCTTTAACCAGGGCCCTAATGTTGGTTGGGACAAACCCTACGTGTATGTTTTATTGATTGTGGGATTTCTCTTTGTTGGAGCATTTTTCGTGGTTGAGAGAAAGGTTAAAAACCCTTTGGTGCCCAAGGAGGTGATGAGAGGTGAAACTGGGTTTGTTTTAGGGTGCATTGCTGCTGGTTGGTCCAGTTTTGGTATCTGGCTTTTTTACACCGCCAGATTTCTCTCAGTATTGGACCTTCTTTCACCTATGCAAGTAACCGTTCGGTATATCACTGTGCTCCCCATGGGAATAGCTGCTGCTGGTCTCACTGCGGTTTTACTTCCAAAAATAAATGTGTCTTACATCATGATTATTGCCATGACTGCTTTTCTTGTTTGCAATGTATTGATAGGGAATAGACCTGTTGGGCAAGTGTACTGGGCACAAAATTTTGTATCTTTCCTCATTGGTCCATTTGGAATGGATATGAGTTTTCCAGCAGCTACTGTCATATTGTCCCATAGTTTCCCCAAGCACCAACAAGGTGTGGCGGCGTCATTAGTTTCCACAATCGTAAACTACTCCATCTCAATTGGTCTAGGACTTGCAGGAACCGTCGAGTACTACACCGTAAAGGGACAACCAGATACTTTTGAAGTGACAGAAAGAGGAATCCGTAGAGCCTTCTACATGGGCATGGGACTCGGAGGCTTAGGAGTTGTGACAGCTATTGTATTTATTTTCTATGAAAGGGCTAAAGACAAAAGGAAAGAAAAGGCCAGTAGTGATGCAAAAGAGCATTCTTAATCTCCATTTGTAGCTAATCGAAGAACAATGTCATTAAACAAAAATAGAAAACAGTGTTATGTACTGTTATAAGATACATATATATATTTGAAAAGCTAATGAAAAGGCAAGTTTAAATGATGTTATACTCTTTAGCAAATGCCACGATATTTTCTGCAACTTCAGGAGCATGACTGATCCCAGCAAAGTGTCCGCCTGGAATATCAACCAATTTGACGTTCTTGGAGTCTCTCTTAAAAGCTTCCTGGCCTGCCTTAGGGAAAATGAAGTCATTAACTCCCCAAATGACTAAAATTGGAACATTTGAAGTACGAAAGTACTGGTGAAACACAGGATACTTCTTGACATTGTTTCGGTAATCTGTGAACAAAGTCAATTGGTTGTGGGTGGTGTTGGGATATTCACTTAAAAGTTGAAAGTCAACAACAGGACCCTCAGGATCAACCCTGCTTAAATCCTCTTCACCATCGAAGTACTGAGAATGATAAGGCTCATAGGTAAGGAAAAGCTTGGTCAATTCAGCATTGATACTTTCCAATTGGCTACTTTCTTTTGGTGTTAAACTAGGCTTTTCAACCAACTCCCAGACTATTCTCAAAGGGTCCCAAAATTCTTGAAGTGCATCCTCGTATGCATTTCCGTTTTGACTAATGATGGACGAAACCTCATATTTTGGGTCGAGTGCCAATCGGAACCCCACCGGAGCACCGTAGTCGAAGACATAGACGCTGAATTTGGTGATTTTCAACTCATCTAATAATAAGCTTACTGTCTCAGCAAGCGCATCAAAGGACAAGTTGAAGTCTTCAGGCAACTTGGTCTGACCAAAAGCTGGTAAGTCAGGAGCAATTATATGGAACTTATCATTTAATAAGGGAATTATTTGGGCATATTGCCTAGACGAACTCGGGAATCCGTGTAAAAGAAGCAAAATTGGTTTCGACTTGCAGCCACTTTCTCTATAGAAAATTTCGACTCCGTTGGAGAGCTTGGTAGTTTTGAAAGTAGTGGTGGACATCGGTTGTTTCGGAAAGATCAATTGACTTTTGAAGTGAATTGTATCCTAATTGAACGGAACTCTCTTCTCTTTATATAGTGTGAAACTGGCCGGAAGTATGCACGGATAGCATGGGTGATGAGAAATCATACAACCCCACTATGAAAATATAATGGTTTCGAGCCCAAGGCTGACTAATGAACATGGTTTCGAGCCCAAGGATTACTAATCATCTGGCCCCAAATCTCATACACGGTAACTCCTTTTGAATATAGATATATTGGAATGGAGACACACAAAAGCATGAAAATGGAGTCAATATACACTGCTGAAGAACCAACATTGCAAGGAGGATGACTAATTGTGGATTAGTGATGAATAAACCTCGATAATTGCGTCTTCTGTTTCCCCAATCACCTTGTATCTTAGTCTTGCTGTATATTCCATATAATCTAGATTACATAGAGAAGTGGTTGTATTCACAGACAAGAAATTGAACGAATCCAGCTTTTAATCCCCTCTCTTAATATGGCTGCTTTGCATCGATCGCAAAATGTAACTGGAATCGCGAAGTCTGAACATTTTTGACGCAGCCCAAATGCTATCTAGAATATATAGATACGTTCGAAAAGAAGAGCGGACGCCTTCACCATCTGAGATCACCAATGGTCAAACTGACAGAACATTTGATCCAGAAGTTGAAGAAATTGATGAAGTCGATTTACTTGCCGATGAGCTAGAAGGTGATTCTCTCATTATCGACGAATCCCGTTCAGGACCTATCTACAATCATATACTTCGACCCCAACAATATGGAACATCTTTTGCCAATGCTGTCGACTTTAAATCAGATTCCGACTTCAAACTTGTAAAGTTCAACTCCGAAGTGGACCTTTTCCCCAAAATTACCAAATTGAAGAATGAGTATGAAACAAAGATTAACAAGTTCTATTTACCAGATTTACACAGACTCGAGAAGAAAGTGCCAAGTGGTGTCATATCAGATGAAAGATTTAAATACTCCGTTGACTACAAACTCCAGGAGGTTGAAGACGAAAAGAAAGAAAAGGTGAGCAAGGTTGTACCTTTGTCTCCTGAACAATTACAAGAAGTCAATAAAGCATTGCGTGATCACAATTCTCAAAGGGTGGTTGTTTCCAATTACCAAATAGACATAACGGTAAGGGACATTCAAACTTTAAGACCCCAACAATGGTTAAATGATAATATAATAGATTACTACTTCAATCTCATTTCAGATCAAAATTCTGACTATTACAGCTGGACCAGCCATTTCTATACAACATTACAAGAGAGAGGATATGATGGGGTTAGACGATGGTCCAAAAGGCGGAAATTGAACCTTTTTGAAAAGAAGCTCATATTCATACCTATCAACATTAGTTCAACTCATTGGGCATTATCCATTATCAATAACCAAAACAAGACTATCGAATACTTTGATTCATTGAGGATAATCAGTGGAGAATTCTCTGGCCTTTATTTGATTAAATCATATATGGAAGGGGAGGTTATAAGGCTTGGAGCTCTGGTTGATATAAGCGAGTATAGGTTTCTTCCAAACTCCCAAGTCCCTCAACAGAAAAATGGATTTGACTGTGGTGTTTTTACTTGTATCTGTGCTAACTACTTATCACAGTCCAAGGGTTTAGATTATAGTCAAAAGGATATGCCCATATTCCGTCACAGAATGATTTACGAGATATTACATGGAAAATTACTAAAGTAACATGGTGGTTTATTAGGACAAGTATATCGTGTGCTTTGTAATATATAGACGCATACAAATAAACAATTGAGTTCAATAACCTAGCGGTTTTACTGTCAGTAAAAAAGATTCAAAAAAATGCAGCTGAAGTCGACTTTTAAGCTGGTTGCATGATAGAAAAGAGGTAAACATGGAAAACAGGATACGAATCAATGTGTCTAACATCTATATTCAGGTTCCTCAAAAATGCGTGTGAACTCGTTTCAATTATTTCAATAGAATAGAAGGCTTTGCAGCCTTATTAATTTTGATTCACTCGTATTTATTCATACTTCTTGAAGCCAGAAGCCATCATCTCTTTAATAGCCTGTCTGATATTTCCCCAATCAGAGCATTACAGCCGTCTCCACTTCAAATTACAAACTTTCCTTAGGCCTGTACTTTTCACGTTCACAAACTCTTCGATTTCCCCATTCGCACTCTTTTCCACAAGCACTTTTAAAGAACTGAAACCCTTCCCCGGTTATTTTTCACTCGAGTTCATTGCACTACACCAAGCATGCAAGTATATCCTAAACAATTGGAGTTCAAAAGCGACTTCAAGACGCCTACCACTGCCTACCTTACCGTCAAGAATACCAGTTCATATCCATTAGCTTTTAAGGCCAAAATTAATGTTAAGAATGTGTATTCTGTTAAACCTAATATCAGAGTTGTAAATCCCCAGGAATCGGTCAACGTCTCGTTTACTTTACCAACATTGAGATATCGGTTACCTGTAAACTATCAATCGAAGCACCAATTCTTAATAATGTCGTTGCCAAGTGATGGTCTCACTACTGACGAACTCTCTAACAACTGGCCAGAGTTGCAGAAAAAGTACGGTGACTCCTTGCAATTGGACAAAATTAAGGTCAAGTATGTGAACCTCAATGAATCTGCTGAGGCACCAGCCGCGGCTGCCGATTTGGGTGTTGGATCTCCAACTAAATTGAATGGAAAATCCAAAAGGATTTCCAAATTTGTTGCTAACGGCTCAGCTAACAGCACCAATGGTTCTGTCGCCGGAACAGCTGCTGCCGGTGCAGCCGTTGGGGCAGCGGGTGCGGTAGCATCGGTAGGAGCTAAACGTTCCTCTGGTTCTACAAGTCGCCTGCCGGCCGATGAAGTTCAGACTTATAACGGTGCTCCACGTGAACATGTTAGCCAACAGCCTTCAAACAACAATTACCAAAGTGCGTACCAAGCTGCTAAGGCCAAAGAAATCAAAGAAGCACAGGCGTCGCGGGAATCACAGACGTTGGTACCTTCCGATATTTCAAAGGAATTCGAGACTTTACACGAACTGAATGAAAGATTAGGGAAGAAATTGGACAGTATTGAAAGGTTGATTATCATTGCATTGATGCTTCTTTCGTTTATTCTTGGGAAATCAATGGTTTAGGTGCCAAGTTTGTAAATCTCTGTTGTACTGTCCCTTGACAAACTTTTATTAAGATGAATACGAGTCCATTAGCTATTAAAACAAGAGTTTACTATGTACAAGTAACTAAAAGATCTTAGAAAATACCCAAAAACGAGGTAGAATGATTGGAAACTCCTTTCTTAATATCGTCCGCTGTTTGTTCGTATTGATTAACTTTGGTGTTAGATTCCTCAATCTTATCGACTAAATATTTTAATCTGTTGTCCAATTTGTATTCTTTGAAGTGGAATTTACTCAACTCTTCTTCGTAATCTTTAATTTTAGCAGTTTCGAGCTTGGCCAAATTATTATAGTGGCCGATTTCGAGGCTCGCAAAGATATCTTTGTCGTCGATCAAGGTCTTGAAGGCTGCTTTGAAAATTGGCCTTCCAGTCCTGATTTCGTTTAAGACCCCATTTTCACGTCTGAGGGTAAGCAAGTCATTCTTCTCTAATGCTGACAAGACTTCCATTGTGTTATTACCAGCTTTAAACAAAGGCGATTTGGTTAATTCGTTGTATTTGATGATGTCCTTAGAAGATAACAATTTTATCAACTCCCACACTTGAAGGGGATCCCAGTTCTTGAAGTCTTCATCACCAGGCTTGGTATTGTTGTACAAGAAAAAGGTGGTGATTTGTTCAGCTGCTTGGGATACCATTTCTGTTAAAGATTGCTGAGGAGTCTCACCAGACCTTATTCGTCTGATAAATGCTTGTAAATCTAACATTCTGCCTCCCAATGGCTTCAAAGTTTCCTTAATAATATCCGAATTGAACTTCTCGTATCTTAAATCTTTTAACTTGTTCATCACATAGTAATAACTACTGGTTTCGGAAGCATCGTTCAAAGTGATCGTCTTGAAAACCTGATTTGGCAAAGAGGAATTCAATACCAGAATGGAACCAACATCATTGGTGATAAAAATGACATGCGCTAAATTGCTTTGAACAAGAGTAGCAGCCCAATCACTCATCATCTTGTAAATAAAATCATTGGAGCTATTTCGAGATTTACTGGCAAATTTGTTGATGACAATAACAGGCTTAGCTTCAGGACGTTGCTGTAAATACTCATCAGGTTTCATCACATCATCCAACTTTATTTCCAACCCTGGATTCAGTCTTTTTCTATGTTCTTGTCGTCTTTTCCGAGCAGAAACTTGACGTTCATATTCACCATATTCTCTCAATGCAGTAGATCTGAGGGCTTGAGTTGTCAACAGGAATATGTTCTTGACTTGTGTCTCCTTTGATTCACTTAATCCAGATTTTTGACCGGTAACACTCTGAACTCCCAAATCAATAAATTGAGATATAGAGCTCAACCAACTGAAAACTGGATAATATCCCACCTGAGAGGCAATGGATTCTACTAGTTTTGTATCAGATCTTGCCTTAATGATTTCATCGCAGTCCAAGTACAATACCTTTTGTTTTAATTGGGCATCTGATAAAAGGGTATCCTGGACAACCATCTCACGTTTCCCAGATCCTTTAGGTCCTCTAACAATGATAAAAGTCAGCACATTTTCAAGAATCCATAACTTGAGTTGTTTTATCTTATCTGACCTCTCGTGCCACAAGTTATTGGAATCCAAATTCTCTTCGTTATCCAAGTCAGATTCATTGGCTATCGTATCTTGGTGGCATTTTGAGTCCAATGATTCACCTATGTAGTCATATCCTGTGAAAAACCAAGACTGGATTGTGACCAAGGGTCTTGTAAAAAGCTTGAGATACCTACTATCTCTATAATACAGGAGTGAAAGTCTGTGTTGAATCTTTTCTTCAATGAAAAACTGTCTGATGGGGTCAAAAATCAACACAGCAACAGTGGCAAGTAGAGCTAATAAAATCGGAACAGCGATTCTTTGATGATTGGAGATAAAGTCAGTAATATAATTGACTCTTTCAATTGGCACATATTGAAGGTGCAATGTCGTTTTTCCTCCATCTAAGCTTAAACCCGTAATACAGTTCTTAGCACAAATACTGGATCTGAGCCTTTTGAACTGAATCAAGGCAATAGGATTGGAACTAGAAGCTGGATTTATATCAATTATTGTACCGTAACGCCTGAAGAGAATGTATAATTCTTCTTCTGTCAACGAGGGACCTTCAAACTTCACTTTAAGCTTGGAACTTGGAAATCTTCTTAGATCTTCAATCCAGGGAGTCCCTTTAACTTGAAAAGTGGTCGGATTATTCCTTGTCAATCTCATATAAAGCTTTTTGAAATTATTGGCATCGTTTTCACTGTTAGACACATTGGTACAAATTTTAGCAATCACTTCTTTAGGAGAGTATCCTTCAGGTACCGAAAACTTCACGAATGCTCCAGAATCTCTTCTCAATGGAATAAAGTCCATAATACTTGTAGATTCAGGCAATGGATTGTCTTCTTTATTAGCCATTTCCCAGACTTCCTTCTTTAATGTATCAATGTCCTTATCAGGAATCAAAAGATTCAAATACTGTTTGAACTTAAACAGAGAGACACCCCGATCGTAGATATGGTCGAAGTATAACAATACTTCCTTAGTCTTATCGATATCCACCACACCTGTTGCTGAAGCTGATACATCAGTATCGTTCAAGTCTGTTTCTTTCTTGATTCTCTCAATATCTGTGTGGTACATTCTGTTCCTCAAGGACTTTTGAAAGGCTGGAAAATGACGAACATCTCGAAACATAGAAATTTGGGCTTTCCTGTTCGAGAGGAATCTCAATTGGCCCCATAACCGTGGTTTATTCACTAATTTAAACATTGGAACGGAGTGTTTAATAACTGCGAACTCCTTTGCTACTAGATCAATTAATTCGTGATGGTTGCGATTTTCTCTGAGCAGCAAGGCGGAAGTGTTTGTACCATAAGAGACTGTCACAAATGCAAATTGTTTACAAACACTATTAATCTATAGAGGATGAAGGGATTGCATTAGGGATGTTCTTCAAAAAGTCATTGGTTCTTAAAGGTTTGACCTTAGCGCTACCGTTTTCAACACTAACCTTTTTCCCATTTTTATAGTTAGATCTGATGAATTCTCTCATGGAATTTAAAGCTGCTTCTCTGCATAACTCTTTCAAGTCCGATCCACTATAGCCTTTTGTATTAAGGACTAAGGATTCCAAGTCAAAGTCCATTGAATCCACCTGGCTGTCTTTTAGAATCTTTGTGAGAATCGATCTTCTTTGAGCAGCATTGGGTCTACCAATTGCAAATTGTTTGGGCATTCTTCTCATAAACGCCAGGTCAATATCATTTTGCCTATTAGTAGCTCCCATCACCAATATCCTTCCGTTGCTCAACAACCCATCCCAAAGAGTCATAAATTCTGCTTTCAACATAGCACTCACTTCGTGATCGGTAGAACTCCTATCTCTCAAGAAGGAGTCAATCTCATCGATGAATATTATACAAGGCTGCAATTTGTTGGCTAGCGAAAATATAGCATCCACTATCTTATTACTCTCTCCGTACCATTTATCCATTATAGTTGACATTCTAATCAGTAAGAAAAACGCTCCACTTTCTTTGGCAATAGCCTTTGCTAACATGGTTTTACCACAACCAGGTGGCCCATGAAACAAGACTCCTTTAGGTGACTGGATTAAAGACAGATGTGCTTGGAACAAGTCAGGCACTGTTAATGGCAATATCACCGCCTCTCTCAATTCGTCGATGATATCATTTAGTCCACCGATATCATCAAACGTCACCTTAAGATCATCTGGAACAATTAATGAATTCAATAACAGCTTTTCGTACTCAGTGAAAACGATGTTTTTCAAGTCTGGATTGGAATCTTGTAGTTTCTTCAATATTCCCTGACTCTTCTTCTTGGATTCTTTGGATTTGATAGTGTCATTCAAAGGATCATTCAATATATGAGTGATCAAGTAGTACATGGATAATCCTGCTCCCGTGAGGAAGAACAAGTCTCCCAAGAGCTTGAGATCTATTTTCACTTTCCCCAAATCAATTTTAAATCTGTTCATTCGTGACAGTAAAATAGAGTGTTATGTGTTGAGAATTATTCTTCCCTTCTTGTGATTTAGTTGTGCGACTAGGGAACATTTTGTTTGAGTGAGATGAGATGAGCGCCAGAATGGCTAAGGGAAACAGAGATGATGCCAGGCATGGTATTCGTATGCCTGGTGCATTATTGGACTCTATTAGAGATAAAACAGATAAAGGAGACTATGAAGAAGACTCCAGATTCAGACAATCTGACAATAAGAAAAAGAGAAAATCGGTTGAAAGTGCTAAATCTCGTAAAGAGAAGAGACAAGAAGACAGAAAGTTGAAGAAGCAAAAGAGGTCAAAAAACAAGATCCACTCTAATCAGCAAGGACAAGCAAAGAGCATTACACCAAGCATATCCAAACAAGTATCCGGGAAAAGCCATCAAAAAAGCATAAGGACTTCTAGTGAAGACCCTATAGAAGAATTAAGAATGCTCAAAGAAAAGAAGGGAACAAAGACTTCCGGAATACGGATTGTCAGAGAAGAAGACTTGAGCGATGACAGCCTCTCCGATGATTTTGGCTCTTACAGCGAAGGTTCTGAGGGAGAAGATGAGGAAATCGAAGATGATCCAATGGAGGCTCTAAGGAGATTGAAAGAGGGAAAGCCTCGTGGGCAATCTGAGCTTCGAATCGTCAAAGAAGATGAGTTAGAGGATGATGAATTCGATGAGAGTGATTTTAGTGATGATATACTTGAGGAAGACGAGTTTGAAAATGAGGAACTGTTAGAGGAAGAAAACGACCCTATCGCTAAATTGAAAGCTTTGAAAGAAGCAAAGATAGCAAATCAACCCAAAGAAAAATCCAAAGATAAAATAAAGACAAAGTCACAAGAAAGTAAAAGAAAACCAAAGCATGCTATCCCAGAATCTGTTCGTGAACAGATGAAAAAGGATGAAGAAGAGATGGCTTTTTATGCAAAGAAGTTAGGGTTAAAGAATGGGAAAAAGTCTAAGCTTAATAGAATGGATGATGATGATGTTATCGGTGGGTTATTGGATGGTTTGGACTTGGACTTTGCTAGCGAGGCTGAAGTCGACAGCGAATTGGAGGAAGAAGAAGGCGATGAGGATGACAAAGAAGACAAAGCAGTCCCTTCTAAGAAATCAGAAAACCTTCCTTTTGGATCTGATGACAGTCTTAGTGAAGGCGATTTTGACAGCGACTTGGAAAGTGAACTTGAAGAGTTATACGGGACCAAAAGAAGAGGACACGAAGATGACGATGATGATGACGATGAGGCCAACACTATTCCTAGCAATGAAAATCCTTTTGTTGCTCCTTCTCAGGATAATGAATCTTCCTCCAAGTACATCCCACCGGCATTACGTCGCAAGATGGCCTTGGAAGCTGAAGAAGTATCACCAGAAATCTTAGCATTGCAAAGAACAATAAAAGGTGCTGTCAACAAGTTGTCTGAAGGTAATATGAACAGTATTGTTAATGAAATCAATGCTGTGTACCTTAGTAACCCTAGAAATATTGTTAATGAAACGTTAACGAATACTATTATCGATGGGATTGTTTCTCAAGGACGATTGTTGGAAACCTTTGTGTATTTGCAATCTTGTCTTGTCACTGCTGTTTACAGATTGCAAGGTGTTGAATTTGGGGCACATTTCATCCAAACTTTAATTGAAAGGTTTGACAAAAACTACCAGAACCTGTCTATGACTAAAGAAGTCTCGAATATAATATCATTGTTGTCTTCAGTATACTCATTTCAGTTGGTCTCCTCAAAATTGATATATGATATAATCAAAGTATTAATCAATGAGTTCAATGAATCCAATGCTGAGATTTTATTGAGATTAATCAGAAACTGTGGTAATAACATTAGAACGGACGATCCTACTGCTTTAAAGGAAATCGTTATTCTTACCAATAAGGTCTTTTCTTCTATGAAAGACGCTAACCCAAGAACACAATTCTTGGTTGAAACAATCAACTCATTGAAGAACAATAAACTCAAAGCAGAGAATGACTTTACTCAAGATCTTGGAGTCCGGCTTAAGAAGTTTCTTGGTACTTTAGGTAATTTGAATGATCCCATCCAAGTAAGCCTTGATGATATCAGAAATGTTGAAACAAAGGGAAAATGGTGGCTTATAGGTTCTGCTTGGAAGGGAAATGATGCCACTGCCACTGAAGGCTTCGACTCAAAAGCTTTAAGCGAGGTTTTGGATGGAGCCGAAACTAACTGGATGAGAATTGCCAAAGAACAAAGAATGAATACCGATATCCGGAGAGCGATTTTTATAACCATTATGTCAGCTGAAGATTATGTTGATGCTTTAACTCGTTTAGACAAATTACAATTGAAAAAAGCCCAAGAGAGAGAAATCCCTAGGATATTGATACACAGTGTTTGTATGGAGCAAAGTTGGAATCCTTACTATGGTTTGTTGGCTAGCAAGCTTTCAGAGAGTCATTCTTATAGAAAAACATTCCAATTTATGTTTTGGGATGTTTTGAAGGAGTTTGAAAAGGCGAATAATGAAGACGAAAGCGAGGACGAGTTTATAGGATTCGATGACGAGAGTGAAGAATCCAAGTTAAAGCGAATCTACAATTTAGGTAGATTCTTCGGCTTCTTAATTGCTGAAGGTTCACTCCCGTTGCACTCTTTGAAGAATGTGAACTTCTTGGTTGCAACTAATGACACAAAGTTATTGCTTGAAATTGTCTTGGTTACCTTCCTTGATCAAGTGGGTAAAAAATCTCAAATTAATGTTGTTGGAACTGGGATTGGCAGTAAGGTCAAAACTGCTGATTTGAAGTTTTCAGATCAATTATTGATCGAGAGAATAATGAAAGCCAAAGAACAAACAGCTTTGTTGAGAGGATTACAATACTTTGTTCAAGAAAAGACGTTGAAAAGTAATTTTGTTGACGGGAAGAGACAAAAAAAGAGAGTTGAATGGGGATCCAATGCTATGTTTGATATAATAGATGAGCTTTTATTGAATGCCCAGGATTAATTAATATGCACATGTATATATAAATAATATTTTTGCATTATAATAATTCCAAGATAGCTACAGATTCGACATGCTTTGTTTGGGGGAAAAAGTCGAAGCCTGTTACGTCTTTTATTCTGTATGCTGGGGTTTCACCTTGTAGTTCCATAAACTGAGATAAATCTCTCGCCTGAGTGAAGACATTGCAACTAATATAAACAATTAATTTTGGCCGAAATGCAAACAACTGCTCTAAAAAGTCCTTATTTGATCCTTTTCTGGATGGATCCATGATAACAACGGAATCAGAACCTATAATATTGGCCTTTTTGAGCACTTTATTTGTAAAAATCTCATCGGCACTTCCATGAATGAAGTACACTTTTTCTGGAACTTTAAGGCCATTTATTTTGGCGTTGTGTGTAGCGTATTCAATTGATTTCTTTGCAAGCTCTACTCCATACACCTTTCCATCATCAGGAACTTCTTTCGACAATGATATACCGAAAAATCCAGACCCACAGTACGTATCTATAAGGTTTTTGAATTCCAAGCCTTCAAAGTGGTACTTTATGTATTCCAAAACGAGTGGAAGAATGGAATTGTTGTTTTGGAAGAATTCGTTTACCGGGAACTGAAACACAAAATCACCAACCTTTTCTGTGACAACCTTATTGGGATCAGTTAGGCAAACAGTGTTGTGATCTCCAGTCTTGAAGTTGATTCTTATACTTTCCCTCAATACTAACGTTGATTGACTGTGTTTGGGTTGTCTTGAAGCCATACCCTCGAGAGTCGAACTCCTCAACTTTACCAACTCTTGATTTATCGAGCGAGTAGCAATGGGACAATGGTCAATATCGATGGTGCCCTTTGTAGGATCAATATGATTATATCCAATAGCCACATCTTCTATCTTTCTCTTGTAGGTGAAATGTGGAGTGAGCTTAGTTCTGTAAGAATATTCCACAGGAGAGGGGGACACCACTCCGAAATTGTTCATTGGTATGGAATCAAATATCTTTGGATAGAAATACCGGAAAGCTTTCTGAATTGTTTTTTGTTTCAAATTAAGTTGATCGTCGTAACTTAGCATCTGAAAGTTGCAACCAGTACACTCATTGAATTTGTTGCACACTATGTATCTGTTGTTACGTATGCTATTTCTTGATCCCTCGTTCTGGACCTTTACTAATAAACCCTCTACATGGTTATGCTGGTGCATGAGTAATCTTGCTGTCACAATATCTCCGGGAACAGTTTTTGGAATTTTTACCACAGAAAATTCACCGTTCTCCCCTGACTTGAAGTCAATGTACTTAATTTTAGGAACCACGCCTAAACCCTCACCTTCTGAAGTCATATATAGAATCTCTATATCTTTGAGTTCCACATAAGGTCTTGTTTTTGTGAAGATAAACTGTTGCAATACATCTGGGCCATTCCTCACATCATCTAGGCCGAGACGAGTGTCAGATCCCTTATCAAAAATATTTAGACATTCTTGGATTTCTCTATTCAAAATATTCCTTCGACTTGTTTCATCTCTAGTATCTCTTCTGGTCTTTTTATTCAAGATTTTAAGGTAACCTTTTTGCCGTGGGTTTTTTTTTTCAATTGTCTGGGTAAATCTGGAGGTCGGATGATCTCTTGATGGTATATGGGCGCTTCTGAAGGTTTCGGGAAAGTGCTACCAACAAATATACTCCTTAATTGTATCCTTGTGATATTTTCCGAGTAGGGCCTTTGTAATAAGCGGATCATAGAGGACTGCCTTATTTGGCATATCCACATCTTAAGGTAAGCAGAATAATCTACAAGATAATTCGCACATCGTTAATTAGTGCGATGAGATCAATGTAATGGAACATGATAAACACATTTTTTTTTATATATTATACAGTTTTCAGCTACGCAGCGGCTCCAACAATGGGTGCTTCATCATCTGGATAATCACGTAAATCAAGTGTGATAGTTCTAGAGGAGTTTTCCCGTTGTTCTCTATAAATACCCACCAAAGCATCGGATTTTTCAAATAAGGCATTCTTCAAAGATATAACAATGAACTGGAAGGTTGGACTTGAGATCTTTTTTATATAGTTGGCAATTTTGTTGACATTAGCTGAGTCCAAAGCCGCGTCTACTTCATCAAGAACAAAGAACGGGGATGGGTGGAATGAATGAATGGCAAACAAAAGGGCTAGCGCAGCCATGGTCTTTTCTCCACCAGATAAAAGCTCCATATCTCTAAACCTTTTCATTGGTGGCATGGCATGATACTTGATCCCATGGAGATAGGGTTCATCATCTGACTCAAGAGTTAAGTACGCGGACCCCCCCATAGGTGATGCAAAAGTCTTTGTGAGCTCTTTGTAGATATCATCAATCTTTCCAGAAATATGCTCAAAGGCTTTCATAAACATTTCTTGACGCTTGCCTTTGATCTTGCTGAATTTTTCAGCCGCTTTGTTCTCTCTTTGTCTAGCCATAGTGAAGTCTCTGTCAAAGTTTCTCAACCTGTTCTCAGTTTCCTTCAATCTTTCAGATGCCTTGGTATTTGGAGTCAAATTGACCAACTCTTCAATTACCTGGTTTAATCTTGCATCTAATTCTGCTTCCATTTTGGCATTAAAGTTGTCTCTAAGCCTATCGTTCAACATGGAATAATCAATCTCGATTTCATAAATTTTCTTTGCTATCATATCAACGGATTCATTCAATGAAATCTGTTCTAGTAACCCGTCAACTAACGGAATAATGATATTTTGAATCTTACAGTTCTTCAAGATATTGACTCTTTCAATGTCAACCTTTAGCAATATTTCTTCTGTGTTCGTGATCGATTGGTACAAGTTATCGATCTCAGATTTGTAATCCTTGATGTTTGCCTCAATATGATTCGTGTACTTCAATTTTTCTTTCAACTCCTCGGAACTCTTGGTCTTTTCCTCGTTTAAGACCTCATACTCTGCTTCTAAATCACATAAATCAGATTCGATGTCGTCCTTTTGATCAGTGATACTCTGAGTTTTTGCTTCCATACTCTTCAATTGATTTTCAAGGTTGTCCTTACGAGCTTTTGTTTCTTCTAAAGCTTCGAATTCAAACTGCATTCTGTTCGACAAGGTCATGATAATCTTATTGAATTGTGCCCTCTCTCTAGACTTGGATCTTAAAGAAGCACCATGGAGTTCCTCGTAATCTTGGATTCCACCTCTGAACTTATGCTTTTTACAGAAGTCGGCGAAAATACCCTGTTGAATTTCTCCAGCTTCTTTGACCAAGACCTGAATCTTCAAATCCACCTTTTTCATTTCTTTCTTTTTGGATTCAATGAGCTCTTTGGAAGAAACTATTGCATCCTTATTAAAGTCAATTTCAGTGATCTTGTCTTTCATAGATCTTTCAATTACTTCCTTCTTATTCCTCAATAATGGCAACTTATCTTCTAAGTCTGTGATTGAATCGTTTATCAAATTGATTTCGATTTCTTTTGGCTTTTCGTCATTGATCTTAGCTAGTTCTTGAGTCAAGTCATTCTTTATCTCTGTTAAAGCCTTGACTTCTTTATTATCCCAACTAAGATTGTCGATTCTTTCGGTATTAATTCCACCGGTCATTAAGCCAGATCTGTTAATAATGGAGCCTTGCAAAGTAACTAGTTTTAAATCCAATCTTTTAGGGCCCCATTTTAATTCCCTGGCTATTGCTAAATCATCCGCTACCAACGCATTCCCAATGACATAGTTAACAGCATTTTCTAGGGACAGATCTTCTATATCAACAATGTCAACACCAGGTTGAGCATTTGGATGAAGTGATCTAAGATAGTTTAAGTTTATAGGACCACTGGAAATGGAATCCAAGGGGATAAAGGTTGCAACGCCTAATCTCCTTTCTTTTAAAATCTCGATACATCTGTAAGCAACAGCTGTTGTTTCAACAATGATAGAATCAATGTTTTTTCCCAACAATGTAATTAAGGCAGATTCATACCTTTTGTGGGATGGCTGTAATAATTCATAGACAAAGCCTTTGACAGTACCCTTAGGTAAGACGTTCTTTAAGAGCAGTAACGTTTCTCTTTTCTTTCTGAATTTGTTTGATTCTCTCTGTCTTGATGTCATGTCATCCAACTTAACCAAAATATCCCGTAATTCAGAGTTTAATTTCAATTCCTTGTAGTTAGACTGCTCTAGTTTTTTGATCATTTCATTTTTAAGACTTACTTTATCATTCTTGGTTGCAAGAATCTCAGAAATCTCGGAATTGATAGAACTAAGATTCAAGTTCAATTCACTGTTCATGTTGAATTCTAACTCTGTGATTATATTATCCAAATCTTCGATTTGCTCTTCTCTGATTTTGATCATAGTCTCTATCGAGTGTTTTTCATTGGTTAGAAGACTTAATTGCTCTTCTAATTCCGAACCGCCATTGGCCAAATATCTATTTCTTAATTCCTCATATTCTTTGTGAACTTCAGGGGATAAATCTGATGATGAGATGCCCTTGTTGATTTTGTCTTCGAACTTTTTAAATTCTTTCTTGACAGCATTTAGTTGTTGCTCAAGGGTCGAAATGGTATCTTCCTTCTTTGAAATTTCCCTGGATAAATCCTTGATTTTCAATTTATGGTTATTTGTTTTGTTTAACAAAGATTTCTGATTTGCAGAAATCGGGATAAGTTCATTTCTCTTTTCATCCATGCTGGTTTGCAAGTTTTTTATTTTGTCGGTGAATTTAGAAAATTCCAAAGATTTTGAAGAATATTCGGTGATTAAATTGCCATAGTTCTTTTCTTCACTTTTCAACAGGCCTTTTAAAGTTTTCAACTCTCTCATTTTTGAGTTAAGAAGATCTTTCATTTCATCGTGCTTAGACTCATTGTGAAATAACTTGTATAAGTTAATAGTTTTAATCAAGTTAGACTTCTCGATCAATTTCTTTTCAAACAATTCTTGTTCAACCAATTGCTCTTTATACTGCCTGGACTCGCTGTTCAAGTTTCTCTTTCTTGCAAAAACTGAATTTGAAAACTCATGAGACTTATCCACTTCGTCCTTGAGCTCATCAAATTCCTTGCTGAGCTCTATGGATCCACTGATAGTTTCAATTAACCTAGTTAAGTCCTTGGGTGTCTGAGATGCTATCAGCTCAACGTCTCCCTGGAATACCAAGAAGTTTTTGGCTTTAATCAATATGTTTTCATTCTTCAAAATGATGAAGTACTGAGCGGCGGTCACGGCTGTTTCGTTGATTTTATAATCCGTATTTCCGTTGGACAAAATAGTTCTTTTGAACTCGAGCTTTTCCCCATCATCTTTTTCATATACCGCTTTGACATGGGCAGTAGTTGGATTCTGGTCAATCACATCCAAGGAAGCATCTTTCAATTCAGTATCTTCGAGCCTTCCTCTATATACCAAGTCCTTCATATTCTGGGACCGTAAATGAGAAGACTTGATTCCCAACACGAATGAGATGGCATCCATCATATTGGATTTACCAGCACCATTTGGCCCAATAATCGAAGTGAAACAACTGGTCCCAAAGCCTATCTGAGTAGTTCCTTTGTATGACTTGAAGTTGTGTAACTCAAGACCTATCAATCGTCCCATAGTGTAATATTCACGAACGTTAGAAACAAGTTATAGATATATTTTATACGCGAACGCGTCAATTCGTGTTTTGTGTGCGAGACATAAGAGACTTTTCTGAAGAGACATTTTTTTGGCTGAGAAAAACGCTGAGAAAACTGGCTGCCAATATAGGTACAGAAAATGAGTCAAGACAGTAGTGTTTGTTAATTCTAAACATTCATATATGGACTGTATGTTTGTGACTGTTTGCGTTTATCTTAGGGTTTATACGCATGCATTTCATTTCAGGAGAAGAAGAGGAAATGATGTTAATGTTGTCTTATATTTTTTGTCGTCTAACACAAGTATATAAAATGCAAACTTTACAGATTTTAAGCAGTAAGAACAAGACTTCTAGAAAACAGGCACACCACAAAATTATATGACAGGCTGACAAAACAGTAGCCCACGTAAATTAAACGTGAACTAGCATGCATGACTTTGATTATTGGTTTCGTCAATATGCCAATTAGCTGCTGGTGCCTTCATTGAGTGGCTCTATACGGTCTTCGCACTACAGGGCTTTTGATAAGCAAGATATAAAAAGCTCTTTCGCACCTTTAAAGTTATCACAGCATAATGAGTTATCACGACGAAAAACAGTTCTTATACAAGCCTGAAGGTGACGAAGAGCTCGGCATGCAACATAGTCTTTTGGCTACTCCATTCCTGTGCTTGGGGTTCGGTCTCAGAAACAATAAAAGGACACAAATGACTGCTTCAGCTTCACATAATGCTTCCCACGATAGATACCATGACTACGAATCTGACTTGGAATCAGATACTGACAGTGAGATCTTGCCCGACTTACCGTATTCAGCCAGCTTAACCTACAATTTCCAATCCAAACTGTCCAATACCGAGAAACTTCAAAAATTAAGAGGTCTTATGAAGCAGCATGGAATTTCCGTATATATTGTTCCCAGTGAAGATGAGCACCAAAGTGAATACACTGCCCTTGCAGACAAGAGAAGGGAGTTTATTTCTGAGTTCACGGGTAGTGCTGGAATTGCGGTCATCACTTTGGATGATGGTGAAACTTTGACTGGTCAAGCTGCTATGTCTACAGATGGAAGATACTTTTTGCAAGCAGAAAAGCAATTGAATAAAGAAAACTGGACGTTGTTGAAGCAGGGAAATCCTTCATATCCAAAGTGGACTCAATGGTGCATCGACAAAGCGATACAGAGTAAGTTTTCAAATGTCATTTCTTGTGATCCTAGAGTGATAAGCTTGTCAACTGGTGAATTTTTCGAAAAGGCAAGTAAGTCACAGTACCTGGGACAGATTAAATTTGAACCTTTATTGAAAACCAATTTGATTGACGAAGTTTGGGGAGATGAGAAGCCTTCCCGCTCATTAGAACCGGTATTTGTATACGAGATGGAGTTTGCTGGGGAAACTGTGGAGTCCAAGTTGAAGAGAGTTCGGAAGAAAATGTCTGAAGATGGAAATGGTACCCACTTACTTGTAACTGCATTAGATGAAGTGGCTTGGTTATTGAACTTGAGATGTACAGCAGATGTGGAGTTTAATGCGTGCTTCTTTAGTTATGTGATTGTGACTTTGGATGGTCTTTCTTTGTACATTGATGAAAGAAAGTTATCAGATCCCAAGGTCAAGACTCATTTGGACCAAATCAAAGGTCTAGTTGTGAAAAAATATGGTAGCTTTTATGATGATTTAAAAAATTTTAAATCAACCATCAACTATCCAGAGATGGCTTTGATTTTACCATCGAAAACTGCAACTACGTATGCTATACTTGCTTCACTTCCACAATCTTTAATTAAACAGAGGGTTTCTTATAACCCTATTGTTTCTTACATGAAGCTCTATAAGAATGAGACCGAGTTGAAGAACGCAGAAGTCACCCAGTACAAGGATTCTTTGGCCCTTATCATTTTTTCAGCCTGGCTTGAACACAGCTTATTAGATAAAAAGATGGTTATTAACGAATATGAGGCAGCTTGTAAAATCCACCAAATCAAAACTAGATTCCCCAATTTCTTGGGCGAATCATATGAAACAATCTCTTCTTCAGGACCAAATGGAGCCATTATCCATTATGCTCCTTCTAAAGAAGAAAACTCAATCATTGATCCTGAGCAAATCTATCTTCTTGATGTGGGTTCTCAGTTCTTAGAAGGAACCACAGACATCACAAGAACTTACAAGTTTGGATATGAAGGTCTTTTAGAGGAAGATAGAAAGTTCTATACTTTGGTTTTGAAAGCCCACTTGGCTGTTGCTTTGGCTAAATTCCCTCCTAATAACCCTTTAACAAGTGCAATTTTGGATTCATATTCTCGTCAACCTTTGTGGAATGAAGGTCTTGATTTTAATCATGGTTCGGGTCATGGAGTTGGAGTTTGTGGAAATGTTCATGAGGGTCCCTTGTACTTGCTGACCACCAATGGTGGGCCATCTAACCAATCACTATTTGCTCCAGGTGCCATTACTACAATCGAGCCTGGATATTATGTTGATGGAGTTAAGGGATTCAGAGTTGAAAGTGAAATCCAAGTCATCGAATGTGAGGATACTGTGGGAAGAACCAGAGAGGGAAACAAGTTTTTATGCTTCAAATACTTGACTCCAGTACCCTTCTGCCATAAGCTAATTGACACGAAGTACTTGAGTCGAGTCGAAATCGATTGGATTAATGAATTCCACAGAAGCATCAGATTAGGTCTTGGTAAACAGTTATTAGAAATGGGTGAATTTAGAGCTTATAAATGGCTTGTCAACGAGACCAGACCCATTTGATAAGAATGAAATACATGTGAATTCTAATATACAATATTATACAAGGTGTTGTTAGTGTTTTATCGAAGTAGAATATAAAGGTGGGAATCCTAGACTCTTACCCTTTTTATCATTATAGCTAGGCTTCTTGAACGTACCCGGCTTTTTCAAGTTTCTCATGTTCATCAGAGAACTAGCTGGCAGTCCAGAAATCACTTGGGTATTACTTTTCTTCATAGTTTCATCGTTTTTGTATGCTGGAAACTTCAAGTTTATAGAGCTGTTTTCCACCTTCTCTTCGAGCTTCATACGTTTGGTTGAAGATTCAACGCGTATTTCATCAGAACTCTCATCTCTAGCACCTTCACCCAGAGAGTTGGACTGTCCCAGGTACGAATCGACTTCTGATTGCTGAATGGTGTTCAATTCAGGATCCACTGAATAATTTAATTCGTCATTGTAGATGGATTTCAAGTTATCCAACTTCACGTGGGACCCCCTAGCCAAATAAAACAACCGTTCTTGTTGATCTACCGAATTAAAGGTGCTTAGTAAGCTATTAACAATGGATGTAACAATCGTGTCAAGCTTTTTGAATTCGAACAGTGGATTGAAACTTAACAAATAAATAATTGAGGCCGATGATATAGTCACTGACGTAGTGAACAAACCTGTTTCAGGATCATCCTTAGGCGAAAAGTTTGAAAAGATGTTAAAGAAATCGTTGACCAACTGTATTAAATTCTTGTCTTGGATAAACTGTTCATTGTTGAAATCTTTAGACTCGTCACCACTTAGAGAGTTGGGACCGGTGTTTTCCTTCTTTTGCTTCGATAACCTTCTTTCTTTTCGTCTGTTGAACTCTTCTTCGATCCAATTTAGCTTTTCAATAGACTCCTTTTCTCCAAATGTGGCATTGGCACGTTTTGAAACTCTAGTTCTCAAATCGTTGTCTTTGTTTCTCTCTCTATTTTCTTCTCTCCACTTCTGCTTACGCTGCCTGTTTTCAATACGAATCTTTTCCTTGTGTTCGAGACTGGACAACCTAGGCTTCTTGAAAATAGAGTCCTTGAAATTCTTGAGATTTGCATAATTGGTGATGCAGTTGATAATCGAGTTTGTGATTAAAGTTATTAGATTATAATTGTAGTTCAAAATATCCCCACTAATAGACTTTCCAAACAAAATCAAAATGTTATCAATTGCCACGATACACTTCAATTTGGAATTCGATCTCAAATAATTCTTGGATAAATTCAAGGAATTAATAAATAATTTTTCAAAATCATTGTGCTTATACTGATTTATGATGGATATCAAGGATTGGGAATTTTTGAAGATTTGGAAGTTTGAATTTGTCAAAAATGTCGTCAAGGATTTAATAACATTTAATAAGTTGGAATCATTATTCTTAGACAAACTCGCCATCATTGATCCTAATTGGTGATTCAAATCCACTGGTTTCCTGGTGCTCAGAGAATCGATGAGAGATAATCTCTTATTCAACTCATGGTTGTCGTAATGCAAATCCTCACGAGCTTTGAACTCATCGGTTTCTAGATTACTCAACAATTCTGTAGGATTTTCCATAGCCATATTAAAGGCATTGGTTAAAATATCATTCATTTGCAGGTTGTCCAATTCCACTTCCTTATTTTGCTGCCCTTCTCCAATAACATTCTTGACCGCGTCAGCAATAGTTGATTGTAATTGGGAATCGTCATCACCGTCTCCCTGAGTAGGAATTTCTGCAGGAACAACAGCATCTGATCCTTCACGCTTCTCCTTATTAGCTTCGTTAACGAAATGATTCAACACTTGATCATCTATTTTAGGCAAGTCTAAATGCTTGTTCTTTATTTGATTCGAATCATCCATTTCACTGACCTGGTTAGTTATTTCTTTGGCTAATTGTTGCAATACATCTTCAGGTATATGCTCATTTTCACGCAACTTAGCTATCTGAGATTTGTTCAAGAGTTTCTCTCTACCAGTCAAATTTTGAAAAGACTCAGATATCACCTTATTCAAATTAAAATCGCTCTCTTTGATTGACTCAAAAGCATTTCCTATGGCATTCTGTAAGTCCAAGTCATCCGCAGCATCTTCTTCATAATTCTTTTCAACTTGGAGAGGAGAGTATGCAGAATGATCCTCGTTTTGCTCTTCAGACGGTTGCTGCAGTTCATGACTATTTTCTACCGGTAGCGACTTATGTTCATCTTTTTGGTCATCAGATTGTTCGTTAGGTTGTATGGTATTGATGCTTTGAATGGCGCTGGTAATCACATTAGCCAAGTTGAAGTCGTCATCCTCTATGCTGTTCTCGTTATGGTCATTATCGTGGTTATGGTTTCTGATATCTTCATGTTGTTCGGAAGCTTGTTGCAGATGAGATTTTGGGGGTTCATTATTATGTGCCTCATCCAGCAAAGCCGTGTCCTGGGTCTGTTGTGGCGTTTCACTATGTTGTTGTTCGTGGTGTTGTCGTATTTGTGAGTCATGTAAACTACTAAATGCACTGGTGATGGCATCATCAATAATATCCAAATCATGATCATCATGCTGTTCGGTATCGTGGGGATGTGAACCTATCTGAACTAAATGATTTTGTGTCAGAGGATGGTAATGTATGTCCTTATCATTGAACTCCTCATCGGGATTATGGTCAGCCAGATTCTGGTCAACGACTGGGTTCTCGGAGCCGGGGATTGCCTGGGGGTCAATTTGTGACAACTCAAACAGCTTGAAGACGTCCCCGATCGCATTTTCAAGGTCCAAGTCGTCAGATTCATACTTGTCAGTCATGGCTAGAGTGTTGTGAAAGGCGTGAAAATAAAAACAACTGCGAAAGATGCGAAAAGGGACAGAGTGGAGTCACCGGGGGAATTGCGGTATCAGTCTCGTGGGAGATGGTGTTGGATTTTACCGCCTGCTTGAGACAAAAGCTAATTACAGAGTTGAGTATGCTGCCAACTAATGAACTCCAGTACTACGTGATCTCTTCTGAAGTTCACAATCATTATTTATTAAACTAAATTCATATATTCAACACACGAATTGAGCATCCATATAGCAGTCCAGCAGTAAGAAATTAATCCTTACAGCAGCTGACGTCTTCATCTGTAGAAGAAGGTTCACTCATACCAAATACCAATTTCCCAAAGAAAGCCCCCAATATACATGAGATGATAATATACCCGTTGTAATACATGAACAACAACATGATAATGTAACTAGCACCCCATTGAATCGTGAAAATAATACTTCTGATTAAGTGGTGTACCCAACTCGAGTTGCGGCGTCTCAATAACCATTGATGGGAAACCAAATATACGAGAGGACTCGAAATGTCTTTGGAAGTGTACTGTTCTTCTTTAGGAGAAGCAGTAATAGTTAAAGCATCAAATTCTTTGGCTACACGTCCAAGCCATTGGTAGAAGAACACCAACAAGAAAACACCGATACAGGATCCAGCAAACATACCCCTAGTCCTCACGTGCCACGATTTGGCAATAAAGCACGAGTCAATGGTATACCAGTTCCACAACATGGAAATTTTACAAGCTGGTTCACTGGAAGAAGAAGAACCTCCCATAGTCATTTTGACGACCGGATCTAACGACATTGTATTATCAGTTTAAATCTGTAGAGTTTCTCTGAAAGTTCAGGGTAGAATTGTAGCTTTATATATCAACGAAGATCGTAGGTGTGAGTAAATTAAATTTCCAATTTGCACCCGAAATACTTTAATCTGAAAATATGAGCCAATAACTCGATAGAGCCTTGTTCGGTCATATACGAACTTCATACAGGTCAAGAAATATGACACTGTCAACTCAATATCTACTTGTGGTGGTATTCCCACCGGGCATTTGCAAAAGTTAAATACGAGATTAATGTCTCATGCTGACGTAAGCAAAAGTAATATCACATAAACGAATAGCGGCTAAATGGTTTAGAGATGAAGGGGCAAGCTGATGTAATGGTATGAACAAGGTACCTGATAGCTAAAGGTAATAGAAATCATGCTTGCAGGTCAATATGATACATCACGTGACATGCCCACAGTTTCCGTGGACAACCTGCAAAATGACCCTCAGGTCCACAAGTGTCCGAAAATGAACTATTCGAGAAATGAATCGGCCAACAAATCCGCAACTCTGGGGGAAAGATGGGGCGTGGACGCTGGTACCGCGCCCGCCGATTCAGCTTATTATAGTTCTTGAGTCATTTTAATTAGTAAGTTGGTTGTAACAAACGGTGATGGTGGGATAGATGACATGAACTTCCTTTTTAATTTGCAAATGGTCATAAATTAACTAAGCAAACTTGCCCATTCCTTAATTTATTTGCCCAAAGGAAAAACAAATTTCGCCGGATTCAACAAGTGCGGTGGACAACTACCTCAATATAAATAGGGCCGAAATTTCTCGCTTTTCTTCCAACAGCAATTTTCACAATGGCTAACTCATTAGAACAATTAAAAGCTACCGGTACTGTTATCGTCACCGACACCGGTGAATTCGAATCAATTGCCAAATATACTCCACAAGATGCTACCACCAACCCATCTTTGATCTTGGCTGCCGCAAAGAAGCCAGAATACGCCAAGTTGATTGATGTGGCTATTGAATACGCCAAGGACAAGGGTACCACCAAGTCCGAAAAGGCTGCTGCTGCTTTAGACAGGTTATTGGTTGAATTCGGTAAGGAAATCTTGAATATTGTTCCAGGTAGAGTTTCCACCGAAGTTGACGCTCAATTGTCTTTTGACAAGCAAGCTACTATTGACAAGGCTCTTGAAATCATCAAGTTGTATGAATCAATTGGTATCAAGAAGGACAGAATCTTGATCAAGATTGCTTCTACTTGGGAAGGTATTCAAGCCGCCAAGGAATTGGAAGCCAAATATGATATCCACTGTAACTTGACCTTGTTATTTTCCTTTGCTCAAGCTGTTGCTTGTGCTGAAGCTAAGGTTACCTTGATTTCTCCCTTCGTTGGTAGAATCTTGGACTGGTACAAGGCCTCTACTGGACAAACTTACACCCAAGAAACCGACCCAGGTGTGGTTTCTGTGAAGAAGATCTTCAACTACTACAAGAAGTATGGCTACAACACTATTGTCATGGGTGCTTCCTTCAGAAACACTGGTGAAATCAAGGAATTGGCTGGTTGTGACTACTTGACTGTTGCTCCAAAGTTGTTGGAAGAATTGGTCAACTCTGATGAGGCTATTCCAAAGAAATTGGACGCTGCTTCTGCTAAATCTTCTTCTGATGAGAAGGTTTCTTTCATCGATAGCGAATCTGCTTTCAGATTCGCTTTGAATGAAGATCCTATGGCCACTGAAAAGTTGGCCCACGGTATCAGAAGTTTTGCTGCTGATGCTAAGACTTTGTTGGCCCAATTGGAAGAAAGATTCTAAATGTGTATGTACGTGAACAAGCCAATATATTAGTAAAACATGTTTTCCATTTGTAATATTCTGCGCGAACGAATCTCTCATTATTCAATCATGAGAGATCCTATAAAGACGAAGATTTCAGAGCCGTACCCTATCATCGAAGAATCTGAGATCATCAACGGATTCGGTAGAGGATCATCAGAACTAGGAATCCCAACAGCCAATATCCCCATCAGTTCGAATTTGAACAAGTTGGATCCAGGTATCTACTTTGGATTCTCCAAGCTCATACCAGTTTCTAAAGATCTTGAGACCAAAAAGAGATCTGATGGCCATCTTGTAGAGTTCAATCATGGGGCTAACTTAAGCGGTGAAGAAACGTGTGTCTTTCCTATGGTGATGTCAATTGGGTATAATCCATTCTACAACAACACTGAAAAGACAGCAGAAGTGCATATTATCCACAAATTTCAAGACAATTTCTACGGTGCCAAGATAAAGCACGCAGTTTTGGGATACATCCGGCCTGAATTGAATTATACCACTAAAGAAGCCTTAATAGAAGACATCAACTTGGACATCGAAATGGCCCTTAGAGCGTTGGAACTGAGCGAGTACAACCAGTACAAGCACAAAATACTTTAAGGTGGGATATAGGCAATTACTCGACTATTACGGTAGCCATTTATTATAGAGACTTATATAGGTTATACACACATAATATTTTCTTTAAACTTTTTGTGGCCTCCATATCTTTAAGTCTTGTGCATCATTAAATTAACTTTTACTGCGCACCCTTGGATAAATTAATGGTACCATTAGAACTGGCAGACACCTGTGTGCTAAACACCTATACGTGTGAGTCAGTTCTGCAATGTTCAGAATACTTCCGAGTTGCTCAGCAGTATTACTGTAGCTCTCCAAGTACGACGCTGTTCATTCTCTACAGTTTAGGGTTTATCCTTATCATTGCTACTTTAATCTTGGTGCTAAGCCTAGTCATCAGTAACTATATGTTTGAGAACCTTCACAAGATTACCGACAGTGTACACATCAACCCTAAGTTCCTATATTTCATAATCATTCCCCTTATCAACTCCCTAGGCGATATCACCAACTACCATAATGGACTAAAGATAAGCTCTGAGTTGGTGCTAGGACAACTCATTGGATCCAATCTAATTATATGTGGGCTTATAATAGGCCTTATATGTGTTATTAAGCCAGTTTCGGTAAGAAATGATAAGTCGGTTCTAGTCGACTTGGCATGGTTGTTGACGGTGTTTGTGATATTCAATTGGATATTGCAAGACGGTAAGATCACTCGTTTTGAAAATTGTGTCATGGCTGGGGTTTATATTGCCCATTTGGTATACTTGTTTGGTACAAATAAACAAGCTGACGAAGAACTTATACCTCTCAATATTGATGAAGAGTTAGAAGATTTGGAAAGACAAGATGAAATAAACAGTACGGCTATACCGTTTTGGCTTGAGTTGTCACATTTTATTGTGCATTGGATCAATCAGGCCATTAATATTGTGATTCCACTTGGACAGCCCACCTCACTATTGTACTATTTCACCATCACCGGAGTGTTAATGTATTTGAAGTTTCCGTATGCGGCTACAGTAGCAGTGCTGGCATTAGTGCTTTTGCTCATACTCGGGTTGAAATTAAAATATGACTTGCCCTTTCTAATGAACGCTATAGGAATTGTGAACTCAGCACTAATAGTTTCCAATATATCAGTAGTGTTATTGAGGATAGTCAAGAACTATGGACTTATTTTGAAAATCAGTGATTATTTGCTTGGATTTTTGGTGTTCTCGATTATGAACTCAATCAATGACATTGTTACAAATGTGAGTTTATCCATAAAATATAACCTGCTCATTGGACTAAATGCGTGTTTGGGAACTCCATTACTTCTTATCCTCATTGGTATAGGATACAATGCCCTCCTCATTGGTGGAACTTTAACATTTACCCTCCACCAAAACCTTATGATTACAGCCAGGGGTCTAATAGCACTCATTGGATGTCTAATGGTGCTCGTACCCCTAAGTAGCTGGAAGTTTACCAGAGCCATCGGGTTTGTTGCATTGGGATTTTGGTTTTGTATTAGTATTTTGAATTGTGTATTAGAAGATTGAGATAATATATACATCCGACTGACACTAGAGAAATGCAGTCAATTCTTCATCAAAGTCATTAGCAGTAGTATCGGTGATAGTCTTAAACTGGTTCCGATATTGGGGGTTGTACTTCAACCAAAATCGAAGTACTTGTCGGTACTCTTTTGTTTCATTTTTACACGATTTAAAAAGCTTCAATTTGGTATCATTATCAAGCTGGTGGTAAACAAGAAGCTCCCAGGGCTGGGAGCTCTCAAAAAGTCTGGTAATAACAGCAGTATTACCGAAAAGCCATTCCAAGCTAGTGAGTTTGTTGATACTAACCTGTGTGCTCAAAAGATTCTTTGACACCAAGAAGTTGGAGTTGAAGAGATTCAAGTCAATAAGTCTATCAATCAATTCCTTTTTGTTGAACTTTCGGAGGGAGATGGCCCGTTTGAGAACCTCGTTTAAAGAGTCGAGTTTGTTCAAATTGGTCAAGTAGTTCATGTACTTCAACCAAAGATCATTATAGTTACAGGTAGCGAGAACCGACCGTTCGTACGCCTGTATCACATATTCGTGCGGGTAGTTCAACTCAAGGTAGGCCATATATTTCTCCCAAGTTTTGAGTTCGTTGATGGCGATGGGCTTTAAGTCAAAATATGGATGCAATTTTTTCTCAAAATCATAGAGCTTGAACGCCTTATACTGGGTTATCACATAAATGTCCGTGATGTTTTTCCTGAGCCCCTTATCAGATGTGTGTGTAAGTTCTCCAGAATCGATCAAGTCAAACATGGAGGTGAAAAAAGGTGAGTAATTGTACATGGGTACCTCCAACACGTAGCGAAGCAAACGTTCATACTTAAGTTGGAAATTCAAAGTTGGATCTATGTTCTTGTAGGTTGACAAAAACTCTAAGTACAACTTGTAGAAGTCAGCAGAAAAATAGTGGAAACCAACATAGCTTCGGGCCAGTTCGAAGAGTTTAAGGTATTGCAAGCAGTTCGACACACACACAGGATCAGCGACAAGACAGAACTCCAAGTATGCCAACCACACACGGGGAGAGTAGCTCACATAACGAAGGGCCCGGTTGTATATTGCCTTAGATTCCACAAAGTTAGCAAGTTCATATTCAAGATGAGCATACTTCAACCAGTAGTTTTCGAGTAGCGGATAAATCGTCAAAAGGGCATCGAAAACGGCTCGGACTGTGGGGAGATATTGATCAGTCGACGCCTTGGATAGCTTCTGTACACTTTGCTGAAGTAGGCGGTCCCACTTGGCCACACTATATGGATCCTTCAAAAGGTCGATTGAAATCTGTTCCATATCGCTAGTATTCAAAAAGAAACACCAAAATCAATCGCTTTCGCGAGGTCCCAACAAACCCAAAATTCTTCATCAGAAACTCTAAACACACGAGCGGAGAACGTATATGGGGAACAAAGAGGATCCCACTAACAGATACGGCAAACAAACACAGGAACAACAACCAGCTCAGCCTCAAGATACACGGTAGGGTTCCAAAATCCCCATGTATGGGTTCTATTGCGGCAAAAAGTGCTCGCACCCGTTTTGCAAGATGATAATACTGGAGCAAAACCCGGGGGAATTAGTATTTTACGGTTGAATCTGGAACACGCGGTTAACAAAGAGGTTACTGGCGCAACCGTGCATGGCCAGGAACCAGTGCAACAAAATTATCGGCTGTATATAAGTCTTTGCTTAATAATCGTTGCTACCCCGGAACCAGTTCCTAGGATCCAGGGTGGGGATATTCCAACTGGGGTATAACCTTATCTGCACCCCTCCAAAATATAGACGAATCTAGCTCACCCTCAGATCAGTGGTGGATGGTTGCATACACTATTAACGTGGGGCAACTTGAACCTCAACCCACCGTCCATAACGGCTGATTGTTTGTTTCGAAGAATTCCACCTAGTTTGCAATTTTGAAAACGCCCATGAAGAACTTATTCTTGGAAGGGCGTCATCACAAACTGGTGTCTTCGTTGGTATTCCCTATGGTAGCCGTGATTGGGTACTAGTTGGATGTAAGTTACTTAGTATTAGGCGCAAAATTACTGGTGTGGGTTAAATTATTGTACCAGATGCTGGATATTGCCGTTTCCAACAGGACTTGTAACAGCCATTCATTGATGTACAGTGGAGCAAAACCCGGTAGACCAGGGCCAACTACGGACCGTTTCGGGTCCGAGGCACGACTTCCGACCCTCGGATAAATCATCGCGATGTGCCAAATGACTTTTATGTCGGTCGATCTTTGAGCGGCCAGGTTATTTTTAACATAAAATAAGTCCTGTAACTTACAGGATCACTATGAGTATAATATTGTAAATAATTTTACAGACATATAGGAAGCTATCCTCGTCGACAGCAGAGTAAATACAATAAAAGAAAGTTGTCTTCAAACCAGAATGCATATATGCCTTCATATACCCTGAGGTACAAATGGGCCCCGCATATGCACTCTTTTCTTCCCGCATTTGTAATGGCACAGAATATAACGCGCAAAAACCTGAAATGGTTAAAAAAGTTGCTTCCTCATAATACCGTCGTCAGTGTGTATATATCTGCAATGGTTCAAACTTAATTCTAAAATTAAGTTCCGTCCAGATATAATATAGTCATGGAAACCGCGTCTTTCGGCTCACCAGCTGTGTTTTTCTGTCTACCACACTATCTTGTTGAACTCTTGAAGTATGATGCTAGTACGGCTGTAACCAAAATTTAAGCGGCAGTGGTGGCATCAAACATGTCAGCAGCAACAGAAGTGGTAGATCCTCACAAAAGAGACGCTTGGCCTGTATGTACCGCAGACGACACATTCCGTTTTGAGCGTTTAACAAACAATAGTATGTGTTGTGTGCATATAATTTTTCCGGGTCGCAGTATGACGTCTTCAAGTGATGAATAAAAGGTATTTTTTCTTTTGGGGTTGCTGCCTGCTTAGATATCCGATATATAAATGAACACCTTTACCCCATTATATACTTGGAATTAATTGCAAATTTTCCTATTTATCATACTCATTAATTTTAATCATGGTTTGGAGTATTGCTTCTAAAACCAATACTTTTGGCTTGAGAGGAAGAGCATTAAGAGTTGCCATCACCGCAACAGCTGTTACTGGGTTTTCCTTGTTCGGTTATGATCAAGGTTTAATGTCTGGTATTATCACTGCTCCTCAATTTAACTCAGAATTCCCTGCTACTTTGAACGATAGTGTCAACCAAGGAGCTGTCACTTCTTGTTATGAAATTGGTTGTTTCTTTGGGGCTATATATGCCTTGGTCAGAGGTGATAGACACGGTAGAAGGCCATTGGTTCTTTGTGGTTCTGTAATTATCATCATTGGTACAGTTATTTCTGTCGCAGCATTCAAGGACTCTTGGGGTTTGGGCCAATTTGTTATCGGTAGAGTCATCACTGGTATTGGTAACGGGTTGAACACTGCCACTATTCCAGTTTGGCAATCTGAAATGTCCAGAGCTGAAAACAGAGGTAGATTGGTAAACTTGGAGGGTTCTGTTATTGCCGTGGGTACCTTCATTGCCTATTGGTTAGATTTTGGATTGAGTTATGTTAACACCTCGGTATCATGGAGATTTCCAGTTGCCATGCAGATTCTTTTTGCCTTAATGTTGTTATTTGGAATGCTGCAATTACCAGAATCTCCAAGATGGTTAATTGCTCACGACAGAAAGCCTGATGCTTTGTTGGTGTTGGGTGCTTTGAACGATGTTGAACCAGAATCTGACCAAGTTTTGGCTGAAATTACTGTTATTGCCGATGCTGTCAACAGGTTCGACAAGCAGCAAGTTGGTTTCAAAGACTTGTTCACCGGTGGTAAGACCCAACATTTCCAAAGAATGATGCTTGGTTCTATTGGTCAGTTTTTCCAACAATTCACCGGTTGTAATGCTGCTATTTACTACTCCACTGTGTTATTCGAACAAACCATTGATTTGGACAGAAGGTTAGCTTTGGTTTTAGGTGGTGTTTTTGCTACCGTTTACGCCATTGCTACGATTCCTTCGTTCTTTTTGATTGATACTTTAGGAAGAAGAAACTTGTACTTGATTGGTGCCATTGGCCAAGGCTGTTCTTTCCTCATTGCTTTTGGATGTTTGGTTCATGAAACTAAACAAACTGCTAAGGGTGCAGCCGTTGGTTTGTTTTTGTTTATCGTTTTCTTTGCCTTTACCATCTTGCCTTTACCATGGATATATCCACCAGAAATCAACCCATTGAGAACCAGAACTCTTGCTTCTGCTATCTCTACTTGTACCAACTGGATCTGTAACTTTGCTGTTGTTATGTTTACTCCTATTTTCATTGCCAAATCTAACTGGGGTTGTTACTTGTTTTTCGCTGCTATGAACTTTGCCTTTGTTCCTATCATTTTCTTTTTCTACCCTGAAACTGCTGGTAGACAATTGGAAGAAATTGATATTATCTTTGCAAAGGCCTATGTTGATAAGAGACAACCATGGAGAGTTGCTGCTACTTTGCCCAAGTTATCTTTAACTGAAATTGAAGAATATGGTAACCAATTGGGCTTGTACGACGGTGACTTTGAAAAGGAACAAAACGAATTGAGAGAAGACTCTTCAATCGTCAAATCCAATGATGAATCCTCCCACAACCAGGAAGAGAATACCGAAGGTGTCTTCGCTAATGATACCAGCAACAAAGCTTAATATGGCTCGATGTCACCACTCCCTATAATATATACATATATGTATAGACCAATGTATTATTAATTAGTCTTAAATCGTTGTACAAGTCCAGGGATACATATAAATTTGAACTAAAGCTGATTGTTTGACTATATACACGTTACCATAGATGAACTTCGAAAGAATTCATAAATAAATGTTTTTCATAAACCAATGCTGTTGTCGTAGAAGAAGTTGGGGGTTCCCCCACCAAACACGCGATCAAGTGCTTCATTAAATTCGGGATCTCCCAATGGAATCTTACCGGAGAAATAGGTGGAAGGGCTAGGTGAATTTCCGTAATTAGGGCTCACTTTGGAATCCCAAACCAGGTTTATTAATGGGTTCTTGGGATCATGAACTGAAAGGTAACCTGTTGGTCCTGGAATCAATCCTGGGCAACCCATTGGTGAAACTTCACCGAAACTATTCATGCTGTTTCCAGTACTATCTGTGGATGGAGCTGTAGTAGCAGTGAAGTTCGACTTAGAGTCTCCAATAAGGTCACTGGCAGTTGATGAACGGTCTGATTGTGTAGCGGGATTAACTATTTCAGCTCTCAAGATTGGATCGGCCCGCTTCTTTTGGTATAGCTCAGGGAAAAGGGCCATAAAGTGATTCAGGATTTGAATCAAATAAGGGTTATTGTCAAAGAAAACACGTTTGGACTGGCTTTCTACAATTCGTATTCCCATTTGCAACATAATAAAGGTAACCAAACACATAACAGAATCAATTTGATTAAACATTTCACCATTTTTAGGTGGATTTCTGAAAAGTTGTTTTACCAGGCAATTTATCATGCCGTCAATCAAAAGTTCCATATCCGATACAGTGTCTTCACTTTTAGGTTTATTTAAACACAGTTGCAAAATATCCAAGACAGCAGCAGACAGATAGAATATCAACCAACTGAGGTTTGAAGCCGAAATTGTATTGCGAACAGTTCTCAATGTTATATGCACTATGGTTCTGGCACTATCCGAAGCAAGGTCTCTGAGATATATGGCTTCAGAGTTTTTGATTTCGATTTCATGAGGATCACATTTCAACCTAGTGATTAATCTATTCATTGTCATTAATTGCGTAAAGAACGCTAGGTGGAATGACAATAGCATCACTAATTGACCGTCTTCAATTGTCTTATTTTGGAAAAGCGCCAGATTACCAAATTCCGAATCATTATAGAACCGTGGTCTGAGTTCCGGACTCATGCTTGATCCAAGTTCCCACATTTTCTTATTCATGGATGTCAAGATATAAATGATGTCGGTAAATGAATGATCACAAGAACTAGCACTGAACAATTTGGAATACGCTTCAAATCTTAACCTGTTTAAAAGGCTCATAAAGTGACCGAAGTATACATCGAGCCCTTTCTCTTCTAAAAGAAACTTCAACAATTTAGGATCCAAGTGGTTGTCAGTATTAATATTAAAAGGTAAATTTTTAACGGTAGAGCCCGAAATAAAATCTTTCCTGGTCAACGTCGAGACATCAGCTGGGTTAATCAAAGGAGGCTTTCCATGTCTGTAACAGATTTCTATATCCAAATATTCACAAAACCACCAAAGTTTTCTTCTGAATGCCACTTCTTCTATTGGTAACCCTTCAAACGACTCGCATCGGTGTAAACCTATTTCTTGGGCAAATCTTACGGCAACAGCAGCCAAGATATAGTTGGCAGTAGACTTTACCAACGTGAGCTCCAAGTAGATTATGAACAAAAGAATTGCTTGAACAGTTGAGACACCTTCACTCATGACACTAACCTTCTGATAATAGTGAATGGAGCTAACCAAGAATTGAGACTGTAATTTAATTAAATCATCCTCACCGTAAGCATCCAATGTTGGAGTATTGCAAAGAGAAATCTGCTCACCTGAAGTAGGGGTGCAAGGGCCTGGTTTTCTTTTGTAAAGAACGTGACTAATACACAAGGCCAACGAAATATTCATAATCAATAGTTCTGATGACCTGAATTGGTACCTCACACCCCTGTTATACGTCCTTCCACCTTCATACTTCTGATTGTTATAGTAGTTCTCAAATAACTTTCGAAGGTAACTAGTTTCTACCAATTGGCCAGCCATAAACACACGCGAAAAAGCCTCGAGAAGATCATACACCAACTCTTGAGCTTCAGGAAAGTCACCTTCAGCCATTTTTTGTTTAGACCTTCCGTCCTTAGAGTTGGCCCCAGACCATACTTCGTTAAAGGATTCAATACAAATGCTGAATAAGCGTGGAAGATTACGAACAGGAATAAGTAAATGGATATGCTCTCTGGGAAGTCGACTGTGCATCCACTCAAGGCTCTTTTCACTGAAAATATGAAACATGGAATGACTTCCATAAAATGCTTCGGGCAAACAATAAGTCCGCTCCGTGTTGGTGTTACACTGTTCTTCATGTTTTAGCACAAATAATAAACTACCATTCTTTTCACGCGTATCACGAGAGTAGTCACCTTCAATATCCAAATCCTTAGCTTGTATAGGTGGATTCAGGCCCTCATTCTCTTTCGTTATACTTTCATCTCCTCCTTCCCCTGTTTCATCTTCGTCTACACCATCATTTTCAGACTGCTCATCGCTCTCTGTAAGTTCTAAATTGCCAGCGCCGAGTTTCAGAGCCAAGTTCGTTAATAACCCTTCAAGTTTGGCTAACCTTGAATCCAACTCGGAGATACTTTGACCCTTGTCATTCTTAGCCCGTTTATTACGAACTCTCTTCTTGGTTTCAGATGGATAAGTACATTCGCCGCCCAAATAACTTTTGCAATTTCCACATGGAGACTGTCCGTCACACTTTACCTTCTTTTTCCGGCAATACAAACAGGCCCTAGCAACTCTGTCCCGCTTCTTACGTTCAGGAATTACCACACTCATCAAATGTACAAGTGATATAGATAAAAACAAAAAGTAAGATTTGATGATTAATAACCTGGAAGTGCGGAACAAATGGAAGCCGCAAGCTTCCGAAGGATTGAGGGGAGGTACACGCTTTTTCTTTGATTTGCAACCCTGGACGGCTGTTCATTATTCATTAAGCTATTTAAGTGTATATCAAAATCCAAGATTATTATCGAAAAAGAAGTTAGGCAATTGGTTCATTTGGGAATTGAGCAACGGATCAATAGCCTCATCGGGGAAATCGAAGTTCATTATTGGTGAAGATACACTCGATGAAAAGCTCTTCACACCGGGTACAACATCTGCCAATGCTGAATCATCTTGTGCATTATAATAATCGGTTGGATGCATTAGGTTTGCCAATGAAGGATTATAACTGGGAGACTTAGATTGATGATCACCATTTCCTGATGACGGCGAATCACCTTCATTCATTGTTGTCTTATTAGGGTTGTTCTTAGCAGGTGAACTAAGCACCTCAGGAGTTTCAACTCTAATCGTAAACCCTGGTGACCGCTTTTTACTGAACAATTGGGGCTCACATTTTACCAATACAGCAAATTGCTTATAGTGCAATTCACTCAAGGGAAGTGCTTTCTCGGTCCGACTTTCAATTACTGCTACCACCAACCTAAGAAATAATTTCATAGAAATTACAAAAATCAGCATGTTGGTCAATCTCTTGCTCTTAATAATTTTCACGTCAAAAAAAGCAGTAGACACTTGATCCAACAAGCCAACATCGCTCAAGGTTTCTGCGTGGAATGGATTATTCACACAGTTGGAAAGAAGCATCAAAAACGCAGCAAATGGGAAGAAGGAAATGCGGTTTAAATGCATCAAGTTATCTGTTTGTTCCCTTATTTTTAGTGACAAATGTAAAAGGGTTCGAGTACTCCGAAGATGAAGCTTTCGAAATACTGACATCTGGTAAGTATCTGTGCTCCCCTTTATTAAAAATGGCACTCTATTAGTTAACATCAAGTGAAGGAAAAACTTGCAATGATTTATTATGATCATGTCCTTAGTTTCAGCGGTAAACTTGTCCAAATTGGGGCAGAACCCAGGATCATCAAAGAAAGCTGGTTTGAACTCATTAACAAACATATCTGAAATTAAAAACGCATCGGAGTTTAACTCCTCGAGCGTGTTTTGAATACTATTACTAGTAGTCAGATCTCCAACCGGAGAGAATAATTTGAAATATGCCTTAGACCGTAATCTGGAAACAACGTAGGTTTGAAAATACCAGATCATTTCAAAATTATTCTTACGGTATGCATCGGCAATCATGTAAGGGCCCATTTCTAAGAGAGTTTCATAGCTTTTCTGACTGTTTATTGGACCTGGTAGCAAATCCGAAACCCTATAACCTCCCATGTCTTCCACAATAAACTCAACAATGTCAGATGAAAATCTCATAATGTCATCCGAACTTAAAATAGGAGGTTTACCATGACGGAAACTGAAATCAATGTCCATTTGCTGACATGCCCACCATAAGTGTTTCCTAACTCTCACTTCATCCGAACTTAAATTGGAGTAACTTGCAGGTCGATGCATTCCCATGTCTTTGGCATGACGTATTGCTACCGAAAGTAACATATTATCAGCTTCAGGAAGTCCATGAGCTCCAATTGCTGTAGTATGAAGAAGAATTGCTTGAACTGTCAGGGTACCTTGCCCAATGACTGAAATTCGGTTGTATAAGCACATTGATGCTTCCAAAACCTCATCCAAAAACTTTTCCAATTCATTTGGTCCATACCGATCAATTGGTCCATGTACTCTATTATCAGACTCGATGTTTCCCTCACGTTCGTCAAGGCTGGCTCCTATAAATATGTACATTAAGGAGCACAATATCAAAAGCTCTGAAGCAAGCATCTTCTCCTTCTTGTAATATCTGTCAAACAAGACTCGGGTAGATTCTGGAGAAATAAGGTACTCTTCAAACACCATTTGTGGTTTACAATGCTCCAAAAGGCTAAAAGCTAAGGCTCTGTCCTCTGGAAGAGGCCGTTCCAAAAGTCTGGTTTTATTTTCGGGTGTAATAAGTACAGGGTCCGTCCATTTGGCTAGAAACTTATTGGACCGCGTGTAAAGGAAGTATGGGAACTTATTGAACTGATCAAGGACTTTCTTTTTAGATGGAGCCAACGAACGGCTAATCCACTGTAATGATCGAGGTGAACACACCAGAAAAAATGAATGTGTTTCAAAGAACGTTTGTCTCATATTATAAATCGTATAGCTTTTTCTGTTACTATTACGCTTACCCTTCCTGGAAAGTTCAGATAGCTTTGAAATAATGCCATACTTATCTGTCGTTTCATGGACGGTTTTGATTTGATGGTGTCCGTTCTTACCATACTCTGTATCGGCGAAATCGGGTCTTTTCTGGTCATCTTCTTCTTGGTCATTAAGATCAGCTTCATCGGTGTATTCATCTTCTTCGTAATCTGATGAACCACTTTCGGAGCTATCAGTCGAGTTGTCATTATCCTTCAAGCCTCCCTTTAAGGTGTTCAGCTTAGAACCTGAACCTAAACCAGCCATATAGTCTAACTTTTCGGACATATCCATCATGAAACCTTCCAATCTTGATAGTTTATGCTCCAAGGTTTTTACGGCTTTGAAAGTACTTGACCGTTTGCTTATCGACTTGTCATGATGCAGCTTCTTTCTGAGCTTTTCAATATATACACATTCGGTTTCCTTCAGCTGTTGACAGTTGGAACAAGGATTTGAACCACTACACTTGATCTTCTTGCGTCTGCATGTTTCACAAGCAACCCGCGTTCGCTTCATGGAACTATATTCTGGGCTGTTATCACTCATGACGAAAGCTAAGATAATTTCTCGATTTGTGTGCGAAATTGAAAATTAGTTCCGATACCCGCACAGTTTGAACTGTTCTAATCACCTTGAGTTTGAATATACTATAGCTATAGATAAAATCTACAAAGTCATAAATCGTGGAAGAAATTAGGAAGTCCACTAACGCTTGAGGTAAAGAACTCTTCTGGCTTACGAGGATCCAAAAGGGCCTCTAAGAAGAAACTTTTACCTGGTCTTCCTTCATCTTCCAGGTTGATGAGATTCGCTAATGTGGGTTCAAGTCTTTTGTTGTCTGTTCTGGAGTTAGGATTCTGCTTATCATCTTCAGACGCAAATAACTGAGGATAGTACTCCTCTAAAATGCCAACGTATTTTGATAAAGACAACTCCGTCCCCAAGTCTCTCTTCGATTGACTTGACATCACCCGCAATAAAAGTTTCATCATTATTCTGACAATTAAATCACAGAAACAAGCCTTTTGTTCAAATCTGTAGACATTGAAATGGCTATTCACATTCTTGAAGACACCGTCACTGCAGAAAAAACCCGTAGTGCATTCTTGCAAAATCTTAAAATCATCCATGGCATTTGCTTCGTTTGGATGCAATACGGTATTAGCCAAAAGCGTCATGAACCCCACGAGTGCAAAATAAATTACAGTCCCTTTCGGGACACTGCGTTTATCGGCGGTATTTAGGCCATTGATGATATGAACGATTGCTCGGGCACAATCAACTGACCTTGAAAGATGGAGATTGTACCGTTTCACATCTTTCTCTTTACTGGCCATTGAAGCTCTGTGAATAATCAAATAATGTGCCAAATAGTCTATTCTGAACAACATCATTGTGAAATCCAAGTTGTTTGTTTTGCTACCATTCTGTAGGGCTGGGTTTAATCTATGGTCATCTTTGAAATCTTGATATGGTAGCTTGGGTCTAAGACCAGGATCAGCTAATCTGCACAATTCATCTAACTCTTTGCACACATTATCTATGACTCTGTGGAAGTGTTCTTCTGATTGGTTTTCCATTTGAGCTTTAGCACTAAATATCAGTTCATATGATCTTCTTTTGATACGGTTCAAGGAAATAAGAAAGTACAGAGAATAAAATTGATAAAACTGCTTGTCTCTCACATGTTCGATTGTGTGAGAATTGATAATGTGTTCCTTTACGGTTAAAGGACCAGACAAGGAATCGAATTCGGCATCCAACTGCCTAAAAGTTGTAACATCATTGGAACTCACCAAACAACTATTTCCAGTCTTATAGCAAACTGAAATGTCAATATATTCACAGTACCACCATAATCTTATGTGCAAATCATATTGTTCTTGGGATAAAGGAGACGAGTTTCTGTGAACTCGGTGGAGCCCTAGAGCTTGTGCATGTCGTATCAACACAGGAACTATCATGAAAACAAGATGATAGTCACAAGCACTGTAGGTCTCTATGTACTCAATCAATATAATCAAAGATTGAACGGTTTCCACTCCTTCACACATGACTGAAACTTTGTCATAATACGAAAGTGCTGTATCAAAAAACAATTGCTGAAGTTCATAGAGCTCTTCATCACTGAGCACCAGCAAACGAGTATACATGTGATCCTTCGTGTGAGACTCCATCCATTTTCTCAAACACAAAGCCAAGACGGTATTCATTATCATTAATTGACTGTATTTGAATGAGTGGCTGGGGTCTTTGTAGTATACTTCAAATAGACTCCTGACATTGGAGACATCTATCACATACGTGAATAGAAAGAACTGGTCATGACAAGCATCAAGAACTTCAAAAATAAAGTCTGGGTTCAGCAGTGGGAAACATCCTCTGCGTTCATGCTTCAAAGCCTGTTGCTTACAATTAGGGTTTATGAGGGCTTCCATAGTATCTCCAATGATATTTCCTAACATCAAGGAAATCTTCTTCAAAGCTGAGAGGTCTACCGCTCCATGAAATCGCTTTTCCAACCATTGCAAACTGGCATTCGAGAACAAAGAAAAGATACAGTGGTTACCAAAGGTTTGGCAAATACTTGAATCAACCTCCTCATCATCAGCTGGATTTCCCTTTGGGATGCTTAATACACTCGGCCAGCTTGTTTCCACACTTTGCAGAAATACTCCATGCTGAGAACGGCTGTGTGATTGTAACAGACTCACTACTGATGACTTTCTAGATTTGTCTTCATCAGTTTCCTCATCACTAGCAATCAGCTCATCGCTTTCGGAAACTATTTCACTATGATCAGTACCTATGTAGTCTTCGGTGAATGTTTTCTGGAGCTGTGGTGTAGGTTTCCCATCAAGATGATTAGAAAGTTTTAATAACACATTCTCCAAAAGGTTTAACCTCTGGTTGATGAGATGAATTTCTTGACGATTATTGGTCTTTCCTTTACCTCTCTTCTTGGGTATTCTCATATCTGGATACATACAATCCTTTCCATAGTAAGTGCAGTTAGAACAAGGGCTTTCTCCGTTACATTTACTCTTACGTCTTCGGCAGCTCAAACATGCAGTTTTGATTCTTCCGTGTTTATTGATCGAGTCAGACATCAGGTTTTGGTCAAACCCTTTTGTCCCATAGTAGGGATCAGTATTACCATTCTGGGGGTGTGTCATCGAAATAATCTCGAAGGGTTCTGGGTATCTTGGCGGTATCAGTATATGAGGGTGTGGAGTTAATGATTATTAGCTGTTGACAATCTCGCGGCGCGGGAATTTTAAGCTTCCGAGCTCCGGATCAAATAAAGCTGAAAGGGTGGTCATTTAAGTTACAGTTTTGCCACAGCCACGAGATTCCCGACAACTGTATTAGATTAACGCATCAGCACACCAATGTTTTATCAGCATAATATCATCTAGAAACCTAAGTTGCCATTAATTGGTATAAAACAGGCTAGTCGAAACCTTGATCAGTTACCGGTTGGTACTCCACAAGCGGCTTTCGCACCTTACTACTGTATTCCGAAATTGGCTACCTAGTGTAAAATGGCTGTGTGGTTATACCTAAATTCTAGTACCCTAATGAGGTCTTCGGACCACATGACTCCCGAAATTCTACTGGAGTTTTTTGCAGCAAATATTGAGTCGTGCCTCCGTCAATCTTCGCACCAAAATTTTTCAACTTCAGCGGACTGGTGTGCTCGAACTTAGCACAAATCGAACCCACTAGCCATGGCATCTAAAAGGGCACCAATTCTTGGGAACAAAGAAGATACCAATTTCAATGAGGCTTTGAAACTATACGATAGCAAGCAATACAAAAAGGCACTCAAACTTGTGGATGCAAATTTGAAGAAAAACTCCAGTCATGCCGCGTCGTTGACCTTGAAAGGATGTATCAACTACTACATTGGCAACAAACCTGAAGCAGAGCTGTATATCGTTAAAGGATTGACCAAGGGTGAAAATAACTATATTGTGAACCACTTGGCTGGGATTTACTACAGGGCAGTCGAGAATTACACTGATGCTGCCAAATGGTTGAAAGCCGCCATTGATAATGGTTCTCCAAATAAGCAAATTTTGAGGGACTTATCAAACTTGCAAGTCCACATTAGAGACTACAAGAGCTTAGTCAGCTCTAGGCAAGGATATTTGGAATTCCAGCCTGGTTACAGGGCCAATTGGACAGGTACTGCTATTGCTCTTCACTTGAACAAGAACTATAAGGGTGCTATTTCCACATTGACCAAAATTGAGTCCATAATTAAGGAGCACTTACAAGACCAAGACATGTATGAACAGAGCGAATGTCTTTTGTACAAGAATGATATCATTTTTCAAAGTGGTGATGTTCAAAAAGCCTTAGAGACTTTGGAAGATGATAAACCATTCATCAAAGACATGTTATCGTTTTTGGAATACAAAGCTAAATACTTGATGGTTTTGGGGAGAACTCAGGAATCGTCTATTGTTTACAGGCAGTTGATCCAAAGAAATCCAGACAACATTGAGTATTACAAACAATTGGAAATTTGCCTCAATATATTTGAAAAGCCTTTGAGCTCGAGAATTAAATTGTATGAAAACTTGAATAAGTTTTATCCAAAAGCTGATCCTCCCAAATACTTACCAATGATGTTTATTCCTTCTTCCCATCCCGCTTTTAAAGAAAAGGCTCAGAATTATATCTTGGGCCAATTGAAAAAAGGTGTCCCAGCTAGTTTTGTTAACATCAAGCCAATTTTGAAGAATCCAAAAAAATTGAAGATCATTGAGGAAATAGTGGCGAGTTTCTTTGAAAACGCGTTGTCTAATTACGATCCAACCATCAAGGTCTGGGGTCTCTACTTTCTCAGTCAGCTCTCACTCTATCAGAAAGATCTTGCAACTGCTACCAAGTATATTGATACTGCTTTAGAACATTCTCCAACCTTGGTAGAATTATACATTTTGAAAGCTAGAATATTAAAGCATTACAAGAAATATGAAGCTGCTGCTCAAATTATGGATGAGGGCCGTCAATTGGATTTGCAGGATAGATTCGTTAATTCTAAGGCTACTAAGTATTACTTGAGAGCAAATGAAATTGACAAGGCTGTGGATTTGATTTCATTATTTACGAAGTTGGATAAGGATGCCGTAAATGGTTGTAAGGATTTGCATACCATGCAAGCGAATTGGTTTATTACCGAAAGTGCCGAAGCTTACAAAAGGCTATACCACCAATACGAGGAAGAATTGGCCAGTATTGAGAAGACACCAGAAAATGAAGAGATAATCGGTAGTCTTCATGACAAAATTGAAACATATAAAGGGTTAGCATTGAAGCGTTACACAGCTGTTGTGAAGATTTTTGATATTTTTTTTAATGATCAGTTTGACTTCCACTTCTACTGTCTAAGACGCGGGACCCCAAGGGACTACATCAAGACATTACAATGGGAAGATACCATTCATTCCACTCCGATATATGTTAGAGTTATCAAAGGATTATCTGAGATCTACTTGGAAATCTATAAAGAGCAGCAGCAAAAGAAGGCAGTTGAAGGTGAAGACGACGGAACTACAGTCATCAAAAAGAACAACAAAAAGAACAAAAAGGCCAAAGCACAATCTTTAAAAAAGAAAGAATCTTTAATTGCCAAAGTGGAATCTGAAAAGGACGATGCCGATCCCTTGGGTACAAAGTTATTGAGTGACTTGGTCAATAATGCTCATGGAAATATCATCGACAACTTACTCAAGTTGTCTCAACCGCTTTTGAACGAGGCCAAAGATTATCAATTTAACTGGGAGTTATCGTTCAAATTGAATTTGATCAAATCTAAATATGTCTTAAGCTTACAAGCTATTAAGAATTTGAATTCGATTTTAAGTCTTAGAGGAAGGATCACCTCCAAAATTCCTCAGATAGAGCAATTGGTAACTGAGTTGGGCGAGGCTGTTTCAAAGGATGAATCGGTTAATGAGGCAATCAAAAAAGTTGTTAAAATGGGATTGTCTGCTTCTTTGTCTGATTATAAGGAAGCTTACGAGCCATATCTCAATTAAGCGTGTATTTAAAATGTACATATATTTTTCAAAAGATCTATGACGAAATCCAACTATCAACTTGACTCCTGGCTACGCTACTGGCTAAGTTAAGCGTTTGTTTCCCCAATGGGAAGTAACTGACGGTATACCAAATTGCACTTAGCAACTGAATAACGGCAAAAATGATTGATAATAAAGTACTCTTCAACCCAACGCTGCACACCAACGTCATCATAATACTTGTGATAAACACAATACTGAAAATAATCCTGGTTGACAGGAACAAATGTAATATATAGGCTTTTGTGCCCTGTAAAACTCCAAAACTCACTAGAAATAGAATGGATCCTAAAGACCACAATAACGCAAACTTTCTTGGTTTCAACGAAAGAATTGGGAACAAAAATATGCATATCAAGTAGCAGCAAACAGAGCCACCAAAGGTTAATCCGAATATAAGCATTCTATCCCATCTACTCAATTCGAAATATCCTGGCTCAGAGGTCACATAGTTGTCGTCATCCTCCAAATACACTGAGTTGTTCCTGAAGGGATTCAACTTCAGCATACGAGTCCTGAAGGAGTTCGGTTGCGTTGGTTCTGTGGCTGGTGGTGGTAATGGTGCCCCATCATCAGTGGACAATGCTGTGTAATTGCTTCCGAATGACTTAAAGAAGTTCATGGTAAGATTTATTGAGGTGATTGTATTTCTCAACTCCAAAAAGTCTCACACATCTCTGGAAGCGAACTTGAATATCATGTCACTAGAAATAGAATCGGATCAAAAACAATTTATATCCTCTTACTTGCAGTTGATAGCACTTTCAGACGAGAAACCTTTGTCGGCCTTCAATTCCATTGCCGACTATTCGTCTTTAACATCCCTTGGACCTTCCTTACCAATATTTGAAATCCCATTCCCATCCACTGATTCATCTATTTCCACCGTTGACTTGAGCTTCAAATCAATAAAACCTCCCTTCAAGTTCCAAACCGAATTGAAAGCCATACCAGAATCTCAAAGTATTTTCAATGTTAAATCGTTACTCATTGATTCATTGGCTCTAAATGAAAACAATGTCAAACCCGCTGATATCAAGTTGTTAATCAAGGGGAAAGTCATTCAAGATTCGACTCTTTTGTCCTCCTTGGACTCATACGCATTTATGTGCATGGTATCTGTGCCAGTCTCCTCCACCACCAATATACCATCAGTTCCTATTCCTAGCGAAAGTGCAGACCCTGATGTGGATATATCTGAAGTATGGTCAGTATCCAAAACCGCTTGGAAGAGGATATACGAAGTGCTTAAGACTGACTTGCAAAGTGAAGAAAAGGCTACAGAGGTCTTGAACAAATTTAAATCAGTGCAATAGGTTAACGTAAATTCATTAATAAATAGCTATATTTCATTCGTTCTTGGAACTGATGAACCTCCTGTAAATGATATCCTTGATTCTTTTGCCCTCTGGAGTATGGGATCTTGTCTCATGCAAATAGTACGCACAGACACCAATTCCCACGCCAATCAAAGGATCCACCCATCTTGATACCAAGAATTTATACATAATTGCCCAAGAGGTTTTCAAGTTTTTTTTTTCGGTTCCCTTGATTCGCAATGAATAGGTTAATTTGTATTTCTATGCTATACCAAACTCGATTTTGATGCTTTTCTACTAAATCTCTTCTTCATTTTGTTACTGATATTGTTGTTCCATGCGACGCCACTCATTATAGAACGATTGAATCCATAAACATCATGAATATCATCGTCTCCGGTTAACAATCTCCGTTCTTGAGCATTCATCTCGGGATTAATAACAGAGTTGCTCTTATTCTTTAACTTTTGTCTCTGTTTGGCAACAAACTCCCTGCATTTGTTGATTTCGTCTTGAGATATTGACCCGTAACCATATCCTCCAATTTTCTTGAAGCAGTTATCCACAAGAACATTTGGATTGATCAATGTTTTGGGGAAACTCTGCATAAATTGAAACAATTCGACTTGTTCTAGTTCAGTGTTCTTCTTGCGTGGTTTTGCGTTTTGAAATTCTTCACTCTCAAGACAAGTTTTACACAACGTTAAGGCAAATCTGAAAATGGTCTTGGATCCTTCGTACCATAAGATATCCCAAATCCGTAATACGCTTTCAATAGGCAATACACCCACAAAAACCGACATGAACCACGAAGATGTGACTAGTGTTACTGGTGGAAGTTTGGTAAGAATCTTGTCTTCAGATAATACCTCTCCTTCGAAGGTCTTACCTAAAATTGACCACAACAGGGGAATATACTCCTTAATGCACAACATCAAAACTCCTTGATCGGTATGAACCCCTTCTAAATTTTTGGAGTGAACCTTTGGAATTATCCTTTCGGTCAAGATTACTAACAACCAAAAGGACCTTTCTTCACTCATGAATAACAAAAGCAACCCAGCAAGGAAGTTTAAGGACTGGCAATATCCAATTTGAGGCTGGTAGTGAGCAAATGCCACCAATACCCTCCGAAGAGACCTGATCATTGGACTGCTATTCTTTTCTTCTTCTTGTGATTGCGGTTTCTGCTTCCCTGGTGTACCATCCTGATTGCTTCTCAATGACCCATTGAAGTAAATGTTGTCAGGAAATGTTCGATTTAAGTCTCTTTCAATCACATCTGTATCCTTGTTCTGTAAATTTTTGGTGTCTCTGACTATTTTGTCATATACTCCCACATGCTTGTTCAACTTTTCGTATCCACCAGCATAGAAGAACCAAGCACTCCCTCTCCACTCACCAGGAATGCCTTTGCGTATAAGCTTCTTAACCTTATCCGATTTTGGAGGAAATCGGCTAGGTATAGTCTTTTCCGAGTCCACCTGAAGGCCATTAGATTTCAATAACATCACCCATTTGGTCTTTCTTTCTTTCAAGAATTCAGCGTATTCCTTAAACCAATCGTTATATGTTTCATTGGTGATACTCAGATGAACTGATACTTTTTTAAACCCGTATCTATCAAAGTCCCCGTTAAGAATCTCCTTAGTTGTCTGCTGATTTATCGACTGGATATACAGGGGCCGTTTGGCATTGGCAAGTAATTCATCGCTAAGACTATCGGAGTATGCAAATGTGGTAGTTTTAGGTCTCATATTGGTATCATTGTTTTCAGCCAAACTAAGATCAAGGGCCACGTCTAATTTTGATGTATTGAGTGTGTTTTGTTCATCCTCAGAATCTTCTTTATACATATCAAGTAATGAGTAATTATTGGAGTAGTTTGATTCGGATCGTTGATGCATGGTAGTATTAGCCTTGCTATCTTGGTTAGCACAAGCATTGCCATTGGGTTCTAGGGACGTGTTGTTCAGCATTTCATTAGGTTCCATAGTTCTTTAATATTGACTTCCTCCTCGTTTATACCATTTATGACTCCCAGTTGGAGATGTGTAAAGGTTGTGAAGATTTGGCTGGCACGCTAGCTGAATCGAACTTGTAACAAATTTTACCCACCTTAATTTCGCGGCTTTGTATATATCTTGACATTCGGGTAACAATTAATGTCCTGGAGAAATACTGAATGGACTCGTCCGTATGCCTCTTGTGAGGAGTTGGAGCTTCCATCGGGATTACTAATACCCCAGAGCCAGAAAATGCACATTTTTATAAATCAAGCACTCTACAAAATGAATTGTTATGAGAATGCAACGCCTAGGATGAGTGCAAGTGATGGTAAGCTCGAGTCCACATATGCTTCAAATCTACCGATAGTGGACTATTCTTGGGCCCAATTCACCCGACATTATAGCAAGGGAGGTTTTGAATATAGCGTGGTTCCCATAATATACTCGGTATCTGCCCTGGCAGTTATCACTTGGTTTTTGACTATTTTCATATTAACCAGTTACACAATAAAGTCCTCATTACTACTAAAATCATCAACCATATTGTCGTCAATATTTCTTATGATTGTTATGATTAGAGGAATCTATGAGTTAGACTTTGAACAAAAAAATGGCTATTTATCAGGACTAGGTTTCCTTGATACCCTTAATAATTCCCTATACCTTAAGATATTTGACTTCTTGTCGGTATTGCTATTACAAATTAATCAGGTACAAGTCATCATGAGATTGTTTTCAAGACAGAATGATAAAAGACTCATATTACTGCTTGGATTGACAGCTAGTCTTTCGTCTCAAATAATTTGGGCAATCTCTAAGTTCCATGATTTCGGTTCTTCAAGTGAAACAGGTTACATTTTGCCAACCTTCATCTATTTGACAAGAACTTCTATGGCAATTTGCTATGCATCTTTGATTACGGTGTTTTTGATATTGAAATCGAATGACATTATAGCCCATCGAAACATTTGGCTTATCACCGTCCTCACATTGATCGTCATTTGTGGACCAGTAGCTTTCTTTGTTGCTGATGTGGCAAATGCATTTGTGTATGAGCTTTCTGATATTTTTTCAGTGGTTACATACGTTATATGTGTGGTCATTCCATGGGAATGGTGTAATAGGTACAATATGATCATGCGAATGAAGGAAAAAGAAGGTGTTCTCGGAAGGCGATTCTTCGAAGACGAATTTTACCATCTCGATGGGCTTGAGTTATTCGTAGAGGATTCTGACCCGGAAAATGATAATAATGAAAATCAAGCTGGAGATTCCCAAAATAGAGGTAAGAGAGAAGGTAGGTATGTCTCCTTACAAAAGAAAGTTAGTCGGCTTGATGACCCACCTACTACTCTAATGAACATGTGGGGAAAGACCACTCTGGCCTTTGTGGGTATAGCAGATGCTATAATTGCAACTGGTTTTGCAATCCCTCGGTCTGTAAGTGTTCCGAGTGCTTCTGGCTCGTACAATAATAATAATGACCATAGAGACCCTGAGACAATCCCCTTGGACGATTTGACCTCTGGTACTTATCCCGCCGCTATAGTGGGAGTAGAACATCAAGCACGTACCTTGGATATTAACACAAGAAACAGAAGAGATATTTTTGTGTACTCCACAAAACAAGTTACTATCAATTTTAGTGACGATGACGAAAATAATGACAATCACATCAACTACCAGAACCATAACAACCATGAAAGGTTGCGATAGGAACTCTTATGTACAAAATTATATAATTCTATTAGAACTTTTATGGAATTGGTTGCTGTTGATAATGAATACAAATACCCTTGGATAGTCAACTAAAATGAACATGTAATAAAAGCTTGAACTGACCTCTATTTGGGTAGTGGGTAGAACAGATTAAATATTTCATTAGAAGTGAGAATCTTGCAATACCTAAAAATAAATTATAATACCCTATGCAAAACTTATCCGCATCCATTACTCCTTCCTCCTTGTGGCTGGTCAATCCTTATCTTTTACCCATTATTCTCTACTCACCCCCTGATCGCCCCCTATTCACCCCTTCCCCCCTTGCCCCCTTCTTCTTATTGTTTTATTTATTTTGCATCAAAGACGAGCGGCTATATAAAATGTCTATAAGCGCACAAATGCAACACCTGTCAAATTAAATTCTAGGACCCTTCAGTTTCTATTTTATCGTGGCCCTTTTTGGCAATCTTAATGGCTCGTTCTTCGAACCCTGGTATGTGAATATATTCAATTCCATGAGATACCAACTTGCTTACACTGTTATTGTCCTTGACAAAGTCATCTGGTTCTGATACTCCTACAAAACAAGTAGAAATATTCGTCTCCAAGATTCTATCAGCGCAAGGTAAGTTTCCACTCAACCTAAAAGTGCATGGCTCCATGGTGGTATAGATTTCTGTGCCTTTTGGTAGAGGTTTTCTGGTTCTTTTCTGGTACTTTTCTAACGCACATTGTTCAGCATGGGTATTACCTTCGAGTTCTCTGGTATGACCAGTTTCTAAGACTTCACCATCGTGCACCAAGACTGCCCCTACATTGAACTGAGTTTGAGTCTCTCCACATTTATCTGCTTCTTCAAGTGCTAATTCCATGAACCCTTTTGTACTCTGCGATGCCCAATCAGGGAATGTCGTTTTATAAGACCAGGATTTATCGGCAGCTTCATATTTATAGGCATGCAACCATAGCTCAAGATCATTGAACCCGGGGTCTGTGTATAATGGTGAATCACAAACAGTGCATTTCTCGCCTGTCATTACTTCACCGTCACCTTCTGGATGAATCCAGGTTGAGACTGCTCTATCTTTTCCAGTCCCATCAAGCTTAGACACTATTTCATCTGTATTGCCTTCGTTATTTTTACCCAAGTTTGGGCCCCAGACGTATTCACTTGAATATATTGGATCGTTGGCAATCGGATGTCCAAGAAATTGCAAGTGTACTCTAATTTGATGGGTTCTACCTGTTAAAGGTAAGCACTTAACAATGGAGGTATTAGACTTTTTGTCATAAGATAGTCTCCTAAATACCGTCTTGGCTTCCTTCCCTTCTTTCTCATCAACTCTGTTCAAAGTCAACTTAGGCGCTATTGTTCTCAAAGGTTTGTCTACTGTAATTTCTTCAACGGGGAATAAGCCTGCAACTCTTGCAATGTATTCTTTTCTGACACTTCGGTCTTTTATCTGTTGAACAAATCCGTCAGCTCCTTTGGAAGTTTTCCCTAAAAACATAAGTCCACTGGTCAACCTATCGAGCCTATTACATGGGTGAACCACTTTCCCATACTCATGCTGAAAAATCTTTGTAATCGTATTGAATCGGTATCTTCCAGTTGGATGGACAGGGATCCCAGAAGGCTTATCAATAGCAATTATATTCTCATTTTCAAATATGATTTTGATTTCTTTTGAACTTACACATGGTTCATGTCTATGGGCTCTATGGCTTATCAAATCTCCGTTACGGACAATAGTGTCCAAGTCAGCTGGTTTCTTATTTAAAGTCACTTGACCTGAAGCAATTGCTTTCTTGTAGAAGTCGGCATCTTTGTCTCGGAACTCGTCAACAAAAATATCAAGTAAAGGTCTGTCTCTCCATCGTAATTTACAAAATGTCAAATAGGTGAAAAAATATGGGGGAACTCTTCTCAATGCTCCATCTATAATATAACTGGCTCCTTCGGTCTCTTCTTCTGATATTGTTTTCAGTTTGTTCAATATGTTTATCAGATCTGAATGTTTGTCCCCCCCGAGTTGTTCGTACGCAGTCAATGAAGTTTTGTCTATTGCTTGTCTTCTCAATCTAAATCCATTGCTATCTCTGACTTTGGAGAGACCAAATAGATTACGATCTTCAGGAGGGATGGAAGCTGGTCTTTTGTTTGAGTTTGGTTTGATATTGTCGGCCATTCTTTTTATAACACTTCGAACTAACCTACTGATCATACCATTTGCAAAAGAAACGGTAATAAGTTTTGTCAGTTCCATTTCGCGATGATTTTAATCGTACTATTTGTAAATTTTGCATCCATTCCCAAAAGCTATTCCTATATAATTCCTTGCTTTTTTAGTTGGATATAGTCTCTTTCTGACATTACATTTCCCTCGTTATCTTCTACTTCTATAGCATCATCAGCTATCCCATCTTGCAATTTGGATTCTCGTTTTAAAGTAACCCATAATTGTTGTGCTTCATCTATTTTGGTAATATTGGCAAAAAGACTCATTTTGCTTGTATCAACCCCTAAGAATTTTAGTCCTCGTTGGTGCTTGACTGAACTAAAGTGCTTTTCAAAACTTATACGTCCTTTGTAGCTCATATTCCCACAAATTTCACACTCATAACTATGATGTAAACCTTGAAGCTTGTAGAGCCAAAATGGAATAGGCGTTCCATCCGCCCCAAGAGGCAAATCTTTGAATAACTCATTATCTTCGTCATCAGAGCTCTCATTTCCTGATGAGCCGGAATAGTTTGAATCTGCAGTTGTATAATCGGACTCCTCTTCCTTGTTTTCACTTAATTCAATCATTCTTTCTCTCTCGGTCATTCCTTCTTGTCTTTCAATATTATTGATTGTATCTTCTATTGAAACCTTCAAGGTTTCCAGAAGACGCTTGATTATGAACTCTTTGTACTTGTTTGCTGAAATCTCTGTTTCGTTGGCATCTTCTGTGACAAGCTTCTTGGCATTCTTTTTATGTTTCTTCCCATCAAGATGTCCTTTGTAGACCGTTTCTTTACTGAATGTTCTGTCACAAGCCTTACAATATACTTCGCCATTCTCATCAGTCTTTCCTACATCTCCATCACTATTGTCCTTGAAGCTCAGTTCAATCTCATGAAGAAGCTTTGACACATCCTCTAATGGATCGATTCTCTTGAGAAAGCCAGATAAATAAACGCACAAATTGTGGATGTACTTTTTGTAGGTGGGGTCATTGCTGACACCCTCATAAGGTACCTTGTTGAACATTCTCAAATACTCGATATAAGTGCAGTCACTTTTAGTGAGCAGGAGATAAGTCCCATGAAACAGTTTTAGATCTAAGAACTTGCCAAATTGCTCTTCTGGAGTGAATAAAGCGTCAATGTTAAGCAACCTTGAAGCGTTTTCACTGAGTACGTATTTCCTCTTAGCCCTTAATTTACCTTTCTTGCTGGTCAGGACCTCTTGTAATGGCGAACTTGAATATATGGAATATAACGATTTCAAATCTTCATTAAAAAGACTGCTATCTTCCTTCTCTTGTAACCCGTTCAACAAAGAGTCAAAATACTCAAATTTGAACTCTGGGTCATTAATCTTGTTAAGTGATGTTTCAACCAAGTCCTTGTCTAAAGAATTCAAGGCCTTTGTGTTTGAGTTGTATTTATCTTGAAATAGTTTGAGCTCATGCTTTTGTAACATGGTCTCTTTGAAAGGTCTTTCTTTGTTTCCAGACAAAATATCATCTCTTTCTCTGATATTCGTAGGTATTAACGATGGATTCTTCCTAAATCTTTTTGAGGTCGCTTGGCGAATGATATCAAGTTCTTCCAATCTGGATCGCTGTAGCTCTATGAATTGAGACATCGGTGAGATGAGATTAAAGTATTTATTTATCTTCGCGATTAATATGGATCACGCTCTTCCCAAAGTTGCTTATGTCTTCTCGAACGGATACACCAAAAGAAATAGAACTTGACTTGTTCTTGTTCACACATAATTGTGGTAAACGAGGAATTGATTCTGATGTGTTTATTCCTAAAGTAGCTAAAATCCTACCAAAGGAAGTGGCCGGTCTTTATGTGTTTGGGATAGAGGAAGCTTGCTCTATTATGGATGCTTCTTCTTACACAACATCTAATCCCCATTTTATCGCTGTAAACCAGGTACTTTTGGATACTTTACACAAAGCTTATGGGATGAGTGATACAAAGTTTCATACTGTCGGGATTTGTCATATTGGAGCAATTGGAATCTTTGTTATCACTCCATTTCCACTGAAAATTACAAAGGTCAGGTCTGCTTCTATGGGGTGTGGATATTTTTATTCCTCTATGAAGGGTGCTGCTGGTTTAAGAGTGACATGGAAGCCTTCTGAGACTTCAGGTGAAATGGTTGATTTAACGTTTGCTGATGCTCATCTTTCGGCATATGAAGGTGAATATTATTGTGCTAAGAGAAACTATGAGGTTATACGGTTGATGAGAGCACTTGACTTTGGAGACGGGTACAGTTTCTTAAAACCCAACTCTCACTCGTTCTTTATGGGAGATTTAAACTACAGAACCACCAAAGATATTAGGGCCGACACCAGTGCTATTGAAGAACTTACTTCTCTTCAAGATCAAACTATGACAACCAATTCTTCCACAGAAGAATTGGTTCAAAAGTATGATGAATTAAGTGAAAGTATAAGAAATGATCAAGTGTTTATGGGCTTTACGGAAGCTTGTATAGACTTCCCCCCCACGTACAAGTTCAATTTAGGGACAGCTATATACAACACTAAAAGATCGCCTTCTTGGTGCGATCGAATCCTTTACCAGTCCACTTATCGAAACCGGCACGGAGCTTTCAAAAGTGGTCTTCTGTCTCTGGCTGTCCCAAGAGTCAAGGAGTACAATAGTGTGAAGGCGCTCTTCACTTCGGATCATCAACCAGTGTATTTGTCTATAAGCATCCCATTCGAACCACCAGAGTCAATCATTTCAAGTTCTGGATACTTGAAAATACTCCCCAACGATCAGGGTATTGACCATTTCCATCGCAAAAACTCTAATGAAGTAATCGCTGACAGTGCTAGTGGGCCTACTCAAATCTATGGAAAATCTACAAAATTGGATAGGATCATTAGATTTTATTTAACTCCATTATCGGATCTGGTAATTGGTAATGGGTTATGGGTTTCTACAACTCCCAGCGGTAGAATTGCCATATTGGTAGGATTGCTACTCTTGGTAGCCGTTTATCAAATTTTCAAATAATTCCTGTGAGGCTCAAGATATCCGTTATTAAGCGATAATTCCCGTTCATGTATAAATACTCGATCAAGGTCCTCCTATATTTGAAAATTCTGTATTGTTTACGTTATTCTAGTCAAAATTCGTTACATCCTACTATTGGCCTATATATTAATAAACTCATGGGTATAATCAGCCCTTCGTGACATATATAAGCAATGTCTGTAAAAAAATTGTTGGTCAGATTGCTTGACAAATTGGTGTCCAAATTGGTGTCCAAATTGGTGTCCATGGATGTGGGAGCCCTAATTTGCTAGGTATTCAGGCAAAGTAAAGACTATTCGTACTATAAACCCGTTAGTTCAGGATGCTCTCTTGTGGTTGCCGTTTAGGATCGTATGAGAAGACCACAAAACCGTATTTTTTTCTTGTGTGAAAATGCCTATAAGCCCTTTCACCCGTGCTACCAGGACACACATTGCAAAATTTTCCAATTGTAACTCTGAATCTTTTGTAGGTATTCAAAAGCCCGTTATCAATGCTGGGAGACTTAAAGGTCACTTCAGAAAGTGATTCTTCATTAGTAAAGGTCTCCAACACCCTCGAATCCCTGTCACAACATGATATTCCATCCATGTCATGGTGGGGTAGCTTTAAGGATGGGTTTAAACCTTCCCCATATTGTACCACAGTTGATACCACGAATCTCACTGATATCGAAAGAGCCAACAAAGGTGTTGAACAAACGGTGTTGAATAAAGACCTTAAAAATAGACATCTTCAAATGTTAAGTTTAGGAGGGACTTTGGGAACCGGATTGTTGATAGGTTCGGGGTCGGCATTAGCGACCGGAGGACCAGCAGCATTAATTATCGGTTGGGGGATAATTGGAACCATGGTGTTTAACACTGTGCATGCATTGGGAGAGCTTTGTGTTGCCCTTCCAGTTTCAGGAGCTTTTTCCAGTTATGCAACAAGGTTTATTGATTCTTCGTGGGGATTTGCAGTCGGTTGGAACTATGCCCTTATGTGGCTTATAGTGTTACCATTGGAATTAGTGGCTGCTGCTATTTCGATCCAATTTTGGAATTCAAATATAAACCCAGTTGCCTGGGTGAGTGTCTTCTACATTTTAATCGTTGCTATTAATTTGTTTGGCGTTAAAGGATATGGAGAAGCAGAATTTATATTATCTACATTCAAAGTAATTGCTCTCTCAGGGTTTATAATCTTGGGGGTAATTTTGGTATGTGGTGGAGGGCCTACACATGAGTTTATTGGAAGTAGATATTGGAAAGATCCGGGTCCTTTTGCTAATGGTTTTAAGGGCGTGTGTTCAGTGTTTGTTACTGCATCTTATAGTTTAGCAGGTTCCGAGTTAGTTGGACTTGCAGCATCTGAATCCGAAGATCCTTCCAAGACGTTACCAAAAGCCATTAGACAAGTTTTCTGGAGGATCTTCTTCTTCTTTTTCATAACGTTGACAATAGTGGGATTGCTTGTTCCTTATACTTCTTCAAATTTATTTGGTTCTGGTTCTGCTGTATCACCATTTGTGATAGCCATTAACAATGCCCACATCAAAGTATTACCATCCATTTTCAATGCAGTTATCCTTGTTTCAGTAATTTCAGTAGGGAATTCTGCCGTATATGGATGTTCACGTACAATTCAAAGTCTTGGTGCTCAGGGCCTAGCTCCAAAATTTTGTGCTTATGTGGATAAGCGAGGAAGACCTTTAGGCGGGCTTCTTGTGGCAGCAGTATTTGGTTTGTTGTGTTTCCTAAGTGCATACAAAGACGAGGAATCTATCTTTGCTTGGTTGTTGAGTATAAGTGGGTTACTGACAATATTCCTGTGGATTAACATAGGGGTATGTCATATAAGGTTCAGAATGGCACTTAAACTTCATGGTAAAACCACTGATGATTTGGAGTTTGTCTCGATAGGAGGAATTTGGGGATCAATCTATTCAATTGTCTTATTGATATTGGTCTTGATAGCACAATTCTGGGTTGCATTATTTCCTGTTGGAGGGGACGGTTCTCCGAATGCTAGAATTTTTTTTCAGAATTACCTTGGCGTCATTGTGATCTTGGTATTCTACTTGGCTCATAAGTTGTATTCGAAAAATTGGAGACTATGCGTACCCCTTTATTCAGTGAAACTTGACTGATCCACCTTAAGAATATCAACTACTCTTTTTGATACCCCTTTTAAGCACCGGCTTTTATTATGAACCCTAAAATGTTAGTTGTGTACAAACAAATTTTACTTATTAGAAACATACCAATTTCTTACTTGAACATCCGTGAGGCTTGCTCTCTCTGCAATATCTTGGAAAGATTTCTTACTGATACGGGACAAATCCTTGTGAACTAAATACCAATCCTCTAGCTCCTCCTTTTGGTTCGCCTGTAACCTTTGCACCCTTCTTTTCAAAAGTTTGTCATTATGAACGTACTTAAATTTAGGTTCCTGGTCAGCACCTTCTTCCTGCTTTTTCTTTGAAATGATATCCATATTTTGCCTCTCGATGCCCAAGACCAAAATCAACTGTGCCAATGAGCGAAGTTTCATTAATTGTTTGCTTTCTGATGGTCTCATAGAAGAATAATTGAATTGTTCAATCTCATAATTGCAATACAACACCTTTGACTGAAGGGCATCGGTATTCAATGTGTGCTGGGTACACAATGAGAGTAAAATATCCTTCAATCCATTCTCAATAAATGTAACTGATTCTAAGCAAAGTGGTTCATGGCTCATTGTTCAAGTTCTAGCTGCACTATAACTAAAGCTCAGATGCGATTTATCACACTCCAATTATCCTTTAGCAACAATATAATGTCGTGTGCCCCCCATTTTTTTAATACTCCTGAAGTTCTCATTTCTTGTGTATCAATCAACAAATAAATATTGAGTCACTAAATGGGGTTAACTTCAAAGTTAAGACTTAGAAAGGACAACAGTCAAGACTCGGTTGATAATGGTCTGCAATCTGCTGATGATGTGGACGAAATGGACAATGAGAACCAATCCATTCTTCTAAGTATTATAGCCCAGTTAAGGCCAGGTTCGGATTTGACCAGGATCACCCTTCCAACTTTTGTTTTGGAAAAGAAATCTATGCTCGAAAGGATTGGTAATGCTTTCTTTACGCCACAGCTTCTTTTAGAAGCGAATGGAACAGATGATCCATTGAGGAGATTCATGTTGATTGTTATATGGTATTTGTCAGGGTGGCACATAGCCCCCAAGGCAGTAAAGAAGCCATTAAATCCTGTTCTAGGCGAAATTTTCTCCTGCTATTGGGATGATTTACCCGAGAATAAGAAAGCATTCTACATTGCTGAACAGACTTCACATCATCCACCGAAATCTTCGTATTTTTACCTTCTTCCAGAACTGAAAATCAAAGTAGACGGTGTAGTTGTTCCAAGATCAAAGTTCTTAGGGAATTCGTCTGCTGCAATGATGGAGGGCCTAGCAAGATTGACATTGGGAGAACATGATGAGGAGTACACCATGACCCAACCAAATATCTACTGTCGTGGAATTTTGTTTGGTAAGCTCAAGTATGAACTTGGTGACCAAATGACAATCAAATGTGAGAAACTTGGCTTTGAAGCAAGCATTGAATTCAAAACCAAAGGTTTTATAAGCGGTGATTACGATGTAATTGAGGGTGTTATCAAAGATTCATCCTCACAAAAGATTTTGGCGTCTGTTTCAGGTAAGTGGAATGAGGTGATGACGATAAGTCCAACAGACGTAAAGCTCGAACCTATAGTATTGGATACCAGAAAGGCTCTGGTGAACACACCAAGTGTTAAGCCCTTAGAACATCAAGCTGATAACGAATCAAGAAAGTTATGGAAGAAGACTATTGATGCTTTGCATAAGCGAGACCATACAGTTGCAACTGAAGAAAAATTTAAGGTGGAAGAAGCACAGAGAATAAGAGCCAAAGAAAGGGTAGCTAACGGCGAAGATTTTGTTCCCGCTATATTCAAACCAGTACAAGATGATGTTCCCTTTGTTCTCAGGAAAGAAATGAATGTGAAAGACGAAGACCCTCAATATTTGATCCACGAATTGTTGGACTTGCACCCTATAACTGGTTTCAATGAGTAATACGTGTTCGAGTTAGTATAGTATATACATTAATAAATTTTGTTTTGTATGCAATCTTGTTTAATTTGTTGTTTTTCAAAACTGCGCGACTCGAATTATAGAAAACTAATTCTGACACTGTTGATGCAATGAGCATGGCAGAGGAGGAGAATCGGCCTTTGCTTGAGCTTATAAACTCTAAAGATTTCGACATTCCTCAGTGTCTCAAGTATTTAAGAATCCACACAAAAACTATAGGTATACACCACTTCCTCATTCTGAAACTATCCACCTACAGTTATGAAGAAATCGAGTTTTACATTCCCCAATTCATTCAACTACTTGTTTCTTTCGAAACCAATTCTATGGCCTTAGAAGACTTTTTGTTGGACTTCTCTTCGTTATTCCCTCATTTCAGTCTTATCGTGTTCTGGAATTTACAGGCTTATGTATTTGAACTTCGAAATGATCCCGAATCTTATTCATTTCAAACTGTCCGGAGATTCATTAATCAGCTCCAAAATATAATGTTTAACTCAGATCTCCCGGTTAAGAATCCTCATGAATTTCGGGAAAATCTTCACCCTGGGTTAGTTACAATCGGTTCAATTGCTGCTTCTTTTGCATTACCCAATAGCACCTACTATACTTTGCCTGTTATTAAATCCCAATCAAAACAACAGAAAGCTTTTGTTTTTCATCTTGCTAACTTTCAGAAAGCACTAACGAAGAACTTAACCTTGAAGAACCTGCGTATTTCTTCTGAGTCAATAGACGATGCGTCCTTGAAACTTCCACAGAAACCAGCCTCAATTTCTCTGCCAAAAGTCTCTCAGACTTTCGGATATTCATCAGAGAGAAACAGTATGGTATTGACTGGTGAAGATGGAATTATTTCTTCAGATGATGAAGAAAGAATGTCACTGGACTCCATACGGCCTTCAAATTACACCGGTTCCAAGACATTGAATGAAATCGAGGAAGCTTTAAAAATTAATACAACAATTAAGTCAAAGAAGAGCACTGGTCAATTATCCAGGCACAGAAGTCTTGAGCTTATTCAGTCTCCTAAACCAAATACGTTATCCCAGTCCTTGCCTGATTTAAGGGAATCACAAGGCTCCCCTGTAAGGCCATATATCTCCCCCGCCGAGTCAGAAACTTCTTTAAATTTGCCTCATTACAATTCTGTTAACTCTAAAGAGAGTATATTACCAAATTACTCACTGGCTAGCTTTCATTCTCAACAAAGAATGCTTTTTGCCAATTATGCTAGGAAGGAGACCGATTTCATAATGTCCTTGCAAAATGTATCTTTCAGGCTTTCTCAAATTCCCAAGGAAGCACGATTATCTGCTCTCCGTGCAGAATTATCAATGATAAATGATACCATATTGCCTGCTGAAATCGACATCCCCCAGCTTCTTCCCTTGACTAGCAATAGGAATAAGAAGTACCACAAGATTTTGAAACTTAATGTGAATGAGGCATGTGTTCTCAATTCCGCTGAAAGAGTCCCATTTTTGCTACTCATTGAATATTTAAGTGATGAGTTTGACTTTGATCCTTCCAGTGAAGCAAATCTTAGAATAATCAATAGCCAGCTTTCACGAAGCAGCTTTGAGAAGTCAACCAGTGTGACTAAAAGAGATATTGGTCCATATTCAGCGGTGAACTTGGAAAATGATGAAGGAGATCCAAGTTCTGATACTACCGGGTCAATGGTTAATGAAGAAACTGACTTAGGTGATTTGAAAGACCTCAATAATTGGAAAAGTGAACAGGATTTGAATAAGTTAAAACTTCTTGAAGGACAAAATATTAGGAATGAAGAGTTGCGTGGTAGCAGCCCTCAACTTACTGATGTCCCTTCCAAGGTTTTAGCAAATCAAATGAGAATAGCATCGGTTATGTTGCAACAACTTGAAGACGCAGGAAAGGAAAATACTGAACAATCAGCTTCTATTAGAAATAGAATAATTCAGTCTATGATATCTCTACAGGACCAATTTGAGGCTATCAATTATGAGAAACTCAATGAATTGAAGGGTGATGATCCGGATGCTGGAGAAAGAAAAATGGAAAATGATTTCAAACTAGGAGAAGACTGGTTGAAGAAGAAAATGAGAATCAAAAAGGCAAGCGTCTACGGACACTTGAAGAACTGGGACTTGTGTTCAGTTATCGCCAAAAATGGTGATGACTTACCGCAAGAAGCATTTGCTTGTCAATTGATCACTATTGTTTCCAACATTTGGAAAGCCGAGGAAGTACCAGCTTGGACAAAGAAAATGAGAATTTTAATCACAAGCGCTAATACAGGGTTAGTTGAAACGATCAATAATGCCATGTCAATTCACTCTATAAAAAAATCTTTAACCGAGCATTCAATAGCTGGTGGTGATAATTCTAAAGGAAGAATTTTTAGCCTTCTGGATTATTTTGAGAAGTTGTTTGGCCCAACCTCTCTATCGAAGTACAAAAAATCACAAGAGAATTTTGCAAGAAGTCTCGCAAGTTACTCCATATTGTCCTACATTTTCCAAATTAAGGACAGGCATAATGGAAATATTATGGTTGATAATGAGGGGCATATAATTCATATCGATTTTGGATTCATTCTATCTAATTCTCCCGGAAGCCTAAATTTCGAAGCAGCCCCTTTCAAATTCACCCAAGAATATGTTGATTTATTGGGAGGATTTGATTCAGTTTATTATGCACTTTTCCAAGAGGTTTGCAAAAAGTGCTTCAAGGCTGTCAGAAAACATTCCGAGCAGATAATTGATATTGTTGAATTGATGCAAAAAGATTCTACACTCCCTTGCTTCAAGAACGGGGAGAACACGAGTGTTTTATTAAAACAACGGTTGCAATTACAACTTTCAGACGATCAGGTAGATTCATTTGTTGAAATATCGCTCATATCCAAGAGTCTTGGAAGTATGTACACAAGATTATACGACCAATATCAAATGGTCACACAAGGTATATATAATTGATCATTTGTATGCTATTAAATATACTGCGAATTATTTTAAAGGGTCCCCCTCGCCAAGGTTACAAGAGGATAGATCAAAAATACCGCATTTTAAATTACCAGCTAACTCAACAGATGAAAACAGCTCCTAAATATACTATTCACAGGTTCAGGATGAAACTTGAAGGATCAAATGTCATCCAAACAAGGCCGACATCGTCTGACAATAGAATAGATGACTCAAGTTTGCAAGCCATATATCTTACAAATGAATTACCTCCCCTACCTAAGGCTTCTCAAGCTTTGAAAAGAATGTTACTTCATTTTAACAACGATAAGAGGACAACCCCTAAGAAAATAAAGAAGACCAAAATGTTCAAACGTCTTAATGCGTTCATAGCTTTCCGCTCCTTTTACAGCCAGTGCATCTCAACAACCGAAAGTCAGCGTAAACTATCAAGTCAACTTTCAACAATTTGGAAACTGGATATTAACAAGGAAATATGGAAGAGATATGCATTTGAGTATAACAAAACTAATCGCACAACTAATTTCAATGACTGGTTGTGTAATGCATTGGACATGGGCGTCATCGAAAACCAACAAAGGATCATCCAGTCTAGAATTGTATCTATTCCTATTGAAGATGTTATACTCACATGGGATCCTTAAACTGGTTAAATTGGAACAGCACTTTTTGACCTTTTCTGTATATCTCCCTTACTATCGGCTTTCCGTTTTTTAGACTGTTTAATGGGCCGTTTTTCGCCTTCCTCAAACACATCATCAGGTAGTTCATAAAGTTTTACGTTCTTTATCTGTATAAAGTGGGTTCCTTCTTGAAATCCAAGCCACCCTTTGCAGATGTTGTAAAATTCAGAACATGGATACTGAATATCAAGCTTCTTAGGCTGCTTGCTCGTTGAGTCATTAGATTTATTCAAACTTACATCAAGACCGATGAATAACTTCATTAAATGTAAAGTTTTTGTGGGGGTGTCTCCCTCTTTCTCTGACCCATGTATAGTTCTGGGCTCCACCTTCTGTAATTTATTTAACACGCTGGCGCCACTTAATATTCCGTAGGAGTTCACAACTTCAAATGGTTCTAAATCATTGATATCATAACTGTCATTGAAGTCTTTCACATAAGGGTGCGCTATCTCAATACCACTAGTTGCTTCTAATTTTTGAACCAAAAGCCTCAACTTACTTTCCACAAACCCGCTCCATTTTGAATGCTCTTCTTCATTCGCTTTGGTACCAACAACAATACATAAGTAAAACTTGTATCTAAAAAAAAAGTCATGTCGTTGGAAAAGATCCGACCACGTTCTCTTGCCTAACTTGATGTCACCAACGATATCCACACCTTTTACCAATTCTGAAAGTATGACCTTTTGAGTAGAGCTCGTTATGTTATGTGTCGCACACATGGAAGGATATGCTGGCGTGATTATTGGCATTCGATGATTTCTATCGTTTGTATACAATCTTGGATTCCAGACCTTCACTTGAAGTGGTCCATCTTCTATAGGCTTTAATAACACTGGTTGAGGCCAGTTCCACTTCGTGTATATATTGAAGAATTTGTCCACTATTACTGCCCCGACAGCATTTGGGTAGAGTTGACAAATTCTTGCAACCATCATTGCCCAGGCTACACCTCCTGGGAATCCAAATACATTTCCATAAACTGCTCTAGCTTGTGCCCACATCTTTATACAACGAAGAGCATGCTTGAAAACTGTTGGTTTTGGTACTAGTTGAAGAATCTCATCAGTCACCCTAGTTCCATTTAAGGCTCTCATGTCCCTTTCATCGAGATTCCTGAGCAAGTTCTTATCATCTAAAGTCATGTTCAAGGGAACCTGAGGCACATTCAAGGTAGCACAAATTAAATCGATAGAGATCCCATCGAACTCGATTTTGATAATAGGGACAAAAGCATCTGGAACTGAAGTTATTTCCTCTAATTCTGGTCTTTCCCTTACGATTGATTCAAAAACAGAAAAAAAGTCCTCTCTTGTCACGTGTTTTGGTACAACAACCAAGGTGTCAATATCTGATCCCGGACCATAGACGCCGAGCCTGTAAGATCCGAATGTGAAAATCTTCCCACCAGCATCCTTCGCCATGCCTTCACTCATATTTTTGCTTTTGGAAACTTTATGAACGAACTCCTGAACTAACTTCTGAAAAAGATTGAGAATCTCAACTCTTTTCCTGGTTGCTTGTTCACTCTCGAAAGAGCCACGAGCTTTCAATTCAGCGATTAGTTGATCATTTAGAGTAATCTCTTTGGGTGAGGGATTATCTGTTGAGATTGGAGGAGTGACACCAAATATCCGGGAAGCCATCTACAATTCTGAAAAATGTGAGAATTTAGAACCATCCAAAAGTTCGCAAATATAGTAGTTTCTATTGTACACAGAGACACTCAGTTCTCAGACTTATATACAGACCATTATCACCTAGTTCTTTTTTGCTTCACCAACTTGTTGATTACATGATAGGGTACACCTTGTTTTAGAGAAAACGAGAGAATTCTGTCTAGTGAGCCCTCCTTCAAAACACCGCTCTGTGACTTGAGCACTAACTGCATGAGCAGAACGATATTCTTAGGCTTTATCTTTGCCTTAAAACCATATAAACTGAGCTCTTTTCTGAAACTCTTGTAAAGTTCAAGTTTTTCATCTACTTCGAGTTTGGATGATAGTATACCTGCTTCTACTCCATCCATTATATTCTTGGTGAATTTGCTCTTATCATCAGCAAACTCTTTCACGATTTGAAGAGATTTTGTGGGACAATTTTTGACCTCGTAAAAGTAACAGATATAACTCCGAATTTTATCGTCTATGATGAGATCTTTGGCCAATAGACCGATATCAATATTCCTCAGTGCATCCCTTGAAATGAATCTGAAAACTTCCAAAAGCAATGTTTTATAAATCTTAAGTCTGAGGCGAAGGTCCATATTTGAGAATTCCTTGGAGTTAACGAAGCATTGGTACAAATTGTTGAGCACAATCATACCCTCCTGGGTTTCAAGGATGGATAAAGATTGTGCTATTGCTCGAACAGTATTGTTGAGTTTTATTTTCTTTTTCTCATCTATTACCTGTATTCCCATGGGAGTCACTTTAGTTAGTTTTAATATAGAAGTTTTGACAAGCTCATCAATCACATTAGCATCTAAGACTCGGTTCCTTACCATCATACTTCTTATTAACTCAAGGAGAACTGTCGTAGGTCTGATCTCAGCAGTGATAAAATCCCTGTATAATTCTATTGTTTCCCGCCTTTCATTCTCAGCGATTGGAAGGTGGACTCTCAACCTTAAGTAAAAGTCATGAGAATTGTTAGTTTTCAACATGGCCTTGTGGAGCAAGATCAGCTCTATGCCATTTGGTCTATATGTCTCAAAAAAATGCTTGTAAACCTGCTCATACTTGCGGTGGTTCTGTGCATCAAGCATTGAACGCAAGCATTTTAAAAACGACTCATGTTCTTTTTTAAACATTTCCTGTAAGCAACTTACTAAGATGTCATTGCTAAGCTCATTATGGTGTTCCAAAACAATTCTTGAAAGCAAAGAATCTACATCTCTATCAATAAGCTTATTCGTCAACCTATTCAACGACCAGCTTATGTTGGAATATACATATTCCTGTTGGAAAAGTTCATAAATTGATGAAGACGACATTATGTTCAAGTCAATGATCCTCAGAATATCATAGTCATTGAGACCTGCCCCTTTCATCATCTGGAGAATGAGTTCCAACAATTCCTTGTCAAGGGACTTGCTTTCTATGTTTTCGGTTATAAAGGCAAACCATCCAGCGATATTACCTTTCTTGGAAATACAGAGGTCATGAAGCGTTTTCACCTCAGCATTAACATCTTCATGAGCATGAAGCTTCTGTCTCAAAATTAAGATCACTTCATAAATATTCATAACCGATAAGGGTTTAGAAAGACTGGGATGTTGATCATAAGTAATCAAGGCTTCGCTCAAGGTGTTCCTCAGGATATCAAAATTGTGGGATATACAGTCTAAAAGCACAGCTTTCAATGACTGGTTGGGAATGTTACCTTGAGCCTCTATCAATGCTTTTAATAGTCCGATATCTATATTGTTATTCTCTTTTGCTGTTTCTCCTATAATTATGGCAAGTTCTTCAATGTCGTTAATGGTGCTCGACTCATCTATGAAGACTTTCCAAATATGTTCATAAAGATTATGAAATGCTAGTCGACTGACGAAAAGATTCCTTGTTCGCTCATCCAATGAAAACTTGTGCTCATATAAGAAATGAAGATATAATGATACCGGAATGTCAGAAGGCTTGAAACTTAGGACTTTGATGAATCGATTATAATCATCAACAGAATCATTCAAAGATTCAGAAATACGACTAGACATGCCCTTAAGATTTTCAGAACTCAACATTTCGCTTGTTTCTTCTCTCGTTAGTGAGTCTGCAATGAACTTAGATTCCCTTTTAACGAACTCCAATAGAACCTTGGGAAATGATTTCACAAGACTATTTTGATGAGATGAGTTATATCGGATTTGTCGTATCTTAGTAGTGGTTCTTCGTAGCACAATATTTTTTGTAATACCCAAATTGACCTTGGTACTGCTGCCCTGTAAAACAGCTCGTAGATGCTGAGTAACTGGTATTTTGAGCATAGTAGCTCATCAGAATTCTATAAGAAAATGGGAATACTATTGTCGCGAAAAATAAGTAATGTACTAAACATGTATAATGGCTCAAGTGATATGGAATTCAGACATTGACGTATATAATCCAGATGTGATAGCGATTCCTGTCGCACAAGGAATTGTTAAATACCTTGCCATTGCTGATTTATTGGTCTTCTCGAGGGTATCAAAAAATGCATACAAAACTGTGAACGACCCTCAGATTTGGATCTCTATGCTAAAGGAAATAGGACTATGGCGAAAGGAGGGGACTAATGAAACCAAAGACATCAACTCTTTGAAACTCAATGCACTCAACTGTATGGACCAGGCATGTCTGACCCCCGCTCGTGCCAAAAAAATAGTTTTGGGTATCCACAAAAGTTTGGAAAAGTTCTACGTGGACCTACTTTCTAATAAATCTTATGATAAGCTTAAAATCTTTCAAGAGTTTCAAAGTCCAGAAGAACAATGCAAAATCTTGAACAATTTGATGCAATATAGTCATCTCGATAAGAACGACGAAACAAGATTCACAATACAAGAGAAGCTTGGTTCCTTGTTTGAGATTTTCGAAAATGCCTTGCTTCGAGAACTTGATATACATTTTGATCTTGAGGATTATTCCACTATGAAGAGGTTCGTCAACGTGATAATTGAATTGAATAATCACCAAACATTGATTGACTTTTTCATGCAGAAGAGCATTTTTGATAACCATGACAATGTTTTTGGTCTATTAGAATATTTCAACCCTGAAGAATTCTTCACGAATAAAACTGTAGGTGAAGAATTGGAATACGAATTAAATTCATCAAGATTCAATGAATTGATGAACCAATTGATTACAATGTTCAACTATGAATCAAGGACAATTGATCTCATTTTCCCCAAAACTGTACCTATGATGTACAAAGTTAGCGAAGAACTAATTTTGAATCAGTTAGCGGACATTTTCAACAGGTTGATAGAGGCTTCCAAGGGCAAAAAGCTATACTTGCTGATAGTTCCTTATCTATATGACAAGATAGTCAACAGTTTCATCTCAAAATTAAATCAAAGTGAAAATCTTGGAGGAAACTACCTCAATTTGATACAGGAATTATTCGACATGCTGTTTGAGCAAGTAGTTACAGAGTACTCCAGAGAAGAAATAGTGTCTTTTAAAGGTTTGTCTAACCAGAAAATTCAAGAATGGAAAGAATCCATTGAGAGAAGAGAAGTAGAAACTAGTCAGAATATTCTACGGAATGTGAAAACAGAAACAAAAAATGACTTTTTAACAAGTTTCAGAAAAGCTTTTGCCGTCGGGTCAAATAGAAATACAGAAGACGAGCAAGTTGAAAACGAATCATATTCGGAGATTCAAGCCAAAGAGAAAATTTTGACGGAAAACATGAAGTCCATTAATAAGATATTCAGTTTAAAGCTTGCTATGCAGATTTTGAATGACGGAAAGAACTGTCTAATAAGGATGTTACATTTCAAGGATTTTACTATTGTGAGTGTTCGCCAGTCTTTGATGACTTCAGTTCAAGAAATTTTCATATCTGTTCTAGAGCTGATTGGAAACGATCACTTAAAACCTGGATTCGATAAGGCGTTGGTGTATTTGAGAACTTACAAGCCCGTGGAAGATGATACACATGCTCCTGAACCAATCAAGCCATTGGTTTTGTTTTCTGATTTGGTGAATGTTGCCGATTTGATAATGCAGATGGTTGAAATTTTTTATAAAGAGGAATTGATAAATCGCCGTATTATCAAGAACGAGAACTCAATTTTGAACCCATCTTTGCAAAGAAAGAAAAAGTTAGAAGAAATGGTTGATAATTATGTCGCCGATGGACTAAATATTGGTATTGATGTGTTGATCGATGAAATCGAACAAGCATATTCTCCAGTCTTACAAAACAATAGTTACTGCCCACACAATGAAACTTCTGTTGAAGTACAGGATTCTACACCTGCTGCGAGAAGAGTAGTACTGGTTTTGGATGGTAATTTTGACCTCTTAGTTGGCTGTGCAGATAAGTCTGTCATAGATGTGTTTCAACAAGAATTAGCTGAAAGATTTTTTCAGGTAATTGTGAAAGTTATGAAGTCAGCGACTATTTCAAATACAGGAGCGGTGACACTCATATCAGATTTGAATATCTATTACGAGTGTATCCTTAATCACATAAAAACGAACAAACGATTTATACTTCCCTTGTTTGAATCACTTAAAAAAGTTGGCAGTATCTATCTTATTGGTGGAAATGATTCAAAAGCCATTGGAAAACTCGTCAGTGATTTGAGCAAGTTCAATGGAATTTTTGGACAAGAGGAAATCTATGAATTCGTTCAAAGACGAGAGGATTGGCCATTAATCAAGAAAGATGTGGAAAAGATCATGTATGGTTTGAGTTTAGGTGATTGTGTTATTGCATGAGGAACCATTTTATTGTAAAATATATACTCAATGGTGACTAATGAATTAGCTGTCACTGTTTTTTTTGTCAATTTGGTCAATATGTGATAGTGTAGCACTTGCGATAATAAATTCTCTGATATCGCGATATGTTTTTTTACTGCGATGCCTGAGACATCCTTCCTTGGTTAACATGTTTAAACCCAACAGGAGTACAAGATTACTAAGATTTCGAAGTGAGACAAGAAGAATAAGGAATATTACAATTTCTGAAAGGCATCCGACTAATTTCATAAATACACAGGGAACTGAAAGGGTGTACAAAGCTTATGATATTTTATCTAATCCGTACGAATCATTCAAATACTCAGTTCCAAAATGTTTACTGGTCTATGAGTCAACGAATTCGTGTTTTCTTGAGGAGATTTTTGACCACTTTAGATCTAATAAAGACATCTTTGAATTCGTCTGTCAGAAATTTTGGAAATCGGGTTCAATTAGGTGTATTGTCTTGGACAATCTAATCCATATTTTGAGCCAGGAGAAGGTGCAGCTAGTTGAAGATATTCTTGATAAACTTGCTGAACTGGGAGTTGCACCAGGGTTCAGTGTGAAACAGAGAAAAGGTGAGATCACATTGTTGGATCATATGGCTAATCAAATAATTGTTTTAGCAGCAATTTGTGGTGAACCGTTGGTTGCTACTCTGTATATGATACAGTGCAAAACTCTGTACCAACAGAACCAAGTTCTTATTGAAGAGGAGACAATAAGGACGGTTTTAAGGTGCCTTTGCGCTTACAGGGGCAAAAGATTGGTGTATTATAATTATGCTGTTGTTCGATTGGTTAATTCCTTCTACTTATATCCATACTCTGCAGTGGATCTTGCGGGTATAATCTCTTTGGCCATATCGGGACTGGATGATGTGTACTTTGCAAATATCATCTATGGGAAGCTAAGTAACAAAATCACAAAAAATGAATGTTCCATGGACCTTCTGCTAGCTTTGAAAGATTTAATTTTGAAAAACGTAGAGTTGGGACATCACGAAACTGCATTAGAGATATGGAGAAACTCCAAAGACTTGAAATATGTATTTGATGATCCTGATGTGCATTTATCATTTCTTGGTAACTTGAACGGACATTATGCCGACCTTTTCCTACGAGAGGCGAACCTAGATGAATCCAAAAGAGAAATTGTGGATGCTTTGATACGGGTTGTTGGATCTAAAGATTCTGAGTTACTTGAGTGTATAATGTTGAAGATCGGGTCTCCTGTGAGACGTCTGACACTTTCTGCTTTGTTTGAAGCATTTCTCAAGCAAAGGAAGGATGCTGAATCAGAGAAGGTCCTTCAGTCAATATTTAAAACAAGAACAGGTTTAGCTCCCCAAGATTTTAGCCAAATAGCCAAAAAAGTGTTAGAAGTGAATGATGTGGAGAAAGCCATTGATATGGCACTGAGTTATCATATCAAAATATCTGGAGGTGGTTACGTACATATTTTTGAGCATATCCTTATGAATGAAGAACCTCAGAAATACAATGCATTCTTCAATACGATGGTAGAAAAAATGAAGGATGCTGATAATGACTCAAGATCATTACTTTTTCCTATACTTGTTAGATATTTGTCAATCAAGTATCATGTACGTTTAAGTCGAAGCTTTATCAGTTCTATGGTGAAGAACTTTCATACAAGCGACTCAACCCCAGATATATCTGAACTTCCAGATTTAGGGAAATATTCTCTTACAAATGATATTTATAATGTGATTTACTTCAGTCCTTCCAGCTTTCAAAAGGGTTTAGTTGTTCTTTTAGAGGAAGCCTTAAAATCAAAGGAATTGGATATTGTCAAATGGTGCATTACAGAACTACGACAAGAAGGATTCTTAGTCCAGGAAATCCTTTCTTTGATCAAGAATTTCAACCCCTCTCTTTTTAGAGAATTATTCCACGAAGATATCGAAAACAGTATCAGATAATCATCTATTATATTATGTACATGCAAAATAACAACGAAACAGGTAGGTATGGTTTTATTTCTTAGATTTCAGTTGTTTTTTGTCAAACAACTTTCCACCGCTGGCCACCTCTTTCACATTTTGGCCCAATAACTCTATTAAGCCATCCTTTTGGGTACTATTAGTTTCCGACGTCTCGGACGTAGCTTCTATACTTGGCAGAAAAGATGCAAATCTTTGATTGAACTTGTTAACCTTTCCAGTGGCATTTGGATCCACCGCCACTAAATCAGATCTATTTGGGTTCCATAATACACTATTCCTCTGGTCGTTGATCATTCTGATTTCATCTTTAGGGGCTTGGGATCTTCTTTTAATCACAGAACCATCGCTTAATTCGACCAAAGTCTCGAATTGATGGAAAATAGCAGGTCTTGCTTTTCCCAATTTTATCTTTCTCATCACTCTCCTGTTTGATAAGTGCACATCACCCTTCATGGCAATACCCCTAGCAAACTCTCTTTGAATAGAGAGTTTACCTATCATCATATTTCTGAACATTGTTATATTGAAAAAACTTTTGCACCAAAATCCTTCGCGAATTTTGTTCGTTGAAAACTTTTGCTGAGCGATAATTGATCTAATTGAAAATGGCATTTTCAACACAGACTCCCACCATCGTGGTTTTGAAGGAGGGAACGGATACCTCACAGGGTAAAGGCCAGATAATTAATAATATTAATGCTTGTTTGGCCATCCAGGACACCTTGAAACCTACCTTGGGTCCATTTGGTTCTGATATTCTTATTGTATCTTCTAATGGCAAAACCACTATTTCTAATGATGGTGCCACTATTTTGAAGTTATTAGATATTGTTCATCCAGCAGCCAAAATGTTAGTTGATATATCCAGAGCGCAAGATGCTGAAGTTGGTGATGGTACAACATCTGTTACCATTTTAGCAGGTGAACTATTGAAGGAAAGTAAAAGTTTTATTGAAGATGGTATCTCATCTCATTTAATCGCAAGAGGTTTGAGAAAGGCTTGTGATCTTGCAGTGGAAAGGATTCATGATATTGCAATTGAGGTTAAAAAGGATGATCCTAAAGAATTCCGCCAATTATTAGAAAGATGTGCCACTACTGCCATGTCTTCGAAACTTATCAGTCAAAATTCAACATTTTTCACGAAGATGGTGGTAGATGCTGTCTTAAGCTTGGACCAAGACTCATTGGATGAGAAATTGATTGGAATTAAGAAAGTGCCTGGTGGTTCAATGGAAGAATCCTTATTTGTGGATGGTGTCGCCTTTAAAAAGACATTCTCTTATGCAGGTTTTGAACAACAGCCAAAGAAGTTTTCCAATCCTAAAGTTTTGAACTTAAATGTCGAACTTGAATTGAAGGCCGAAAAGGATAACGCTGAAGTAAGAGTCGAACAAGTCAAAGACTACCAAGACATTGTTGACGCTGAATGGAAAATAATATTTTCTAAGTTAGAAGCAATTCACAACAGTGGTGCCAATATTGTGCTCTCAAAATTACCAATTGGTGACTTGGCCACTCAATTTTTTGCCGACAGGGATATTTTCTGCGCTGGAAGAGTGGCCACAGAAGACATGGACCGAGTTATCCAAGCGGTTGGCGGAACAATACAATCCACGTGTTCCAATATTGTCGATAAAGACCTCGGAACTTGTGAAGTGTTCGAGGAGGTTCAAATTGGATCCGAGAGATATAACTTATTCAAGGGATGCCCCCAAGCTAGGACATGCACATTGGTTTTAAGAGGAGGTGCCGAGCAAGTCATTGCTGAGGTTGAGAGGTCATTACATGATGCAATTATGATCGTCAAAAGAGCCGTCAGTCATAACTCTGTAGTTGCTGGAGGAGGCGCTATTGAAATGGAATTATCCAAATATTTGAGAGAATTTGCAAGGTCAGTTGCTGGTAAACAACAGTTGGTAATTTCAGCTTTCGCCAAAGCTTTGGAAGTCATTCCTAGACAGCTTTGTGAAAATGCTGGTTTAGATGGTATAGAATTGTTGAATAAGTTAAGAAGCGCCCATGCGAGAGGTGAGAAGTCGATGGGAATAGATTTTCACAAGGAGTCAATTGGCGATAACATGGAGAGTTTTATTTGGGAACCAGCATTAGTGAAAATAAATGCTCTCGAATCGGCTACAGAAGCAGCAATTGTTGTTCTTTCAGTTGACGAAACAATAAAAAGCGAAGACCCGTCGCAAGAAGGAAGAGGAAGGGGTGCATTTTAGCTTGTTCGTAAATTGTGTACTGTTTATAGTAATTGTCACACTCACAATAGCCACGAAATTTTTGAAGGACTGGCGCGCACCACCAAAGTTTTTGTTTAACGCGCATTTCGCGTCTTCGTGATTAAGGTTCAGTCCGAAGTTCATCACTTCATTTAAGTTCTCACGCCCGCTTTTTTTGAGTAGCATCTAATTCTTAACACTTTCTTTGATATCCAGCATGGATGAAGTTTCACATAATAGATTGTATGGACCGCCACAGCGCCTTCCTTTGAAGCTGTATCCAAGAGAATTGGAAAGTTTAGAAACTATAGGGAACAAGAAATTAATTAAAGATTACAAGAAAAACATCAAGAGTTTCATGGCAAGACTTGAATCGAATAATGATATTAATCCTGCCATGATAGATCTCCAACCAGAAATTCAGTGGTTTATGAGGCCGTTTCTTTTGGACTACATTATTGAACTTCACGGTTCATTCAGGCTCCAAGCCCAAACTTTGTTTCGCTGTTTTAATATCATTGACAGATATTGTGCTAAGCGGATAGTCTTCAAGAGGCATTATCAGTTAGTGGGTTGTACTGCTTTATGGATAGCTGCCAAATATGAAGATAAAAAGTCACGAGTTCCCACTTTGAAAGAATTGTCGATAATGTGCCGTAACGCATATGACGAGGAGATGTTCATCCAGATGGAAAGACACGTACTCTCTACGTTGGAATGGTCTTTGGAACGTCCAACTCTTGAGGATTGCCTTCAGTTGGCCATTGACCTGTTCATCGGTTTCGATAGCATTACTCCTATCAGAAATAGCAGTGATAATTCTATTGTGTCTGCTACAACAGCTGTAACTAGATTTTTGTGTGAATTGAGTTTGTATCACAGGGATTTTTTGAATTTTGAAACCTGCATAGTTGCGTCAGCAGCTAATCTTCTTGCATTATCGATGCTTAAAGTGCCTCATGGTGCTAACTACGTTCTAGGGCTCATCAGCACCAAACTCAGAGTAGAGGCTAATGCCGATACAGAAGACTTAGAAAACGTCGAGCCAGAAATTTATGGTCTGTTCTTAACAGGCTTTGATGAACATACACTAATAAAAGTACGAAGAGTGTCATTGATGTTGGCAATCTTTCTAGAAGAGGCAAGTGAAGTGTTAACAACAAAGTACAAACCCTTGGGTGTTATGCTGGTTGTTGAGAACTTTATTGATACAAACCACCAGATTTTCGAAAAATTAAGGGTTCACAAAACTGATGTTACAAAAATTGACGAGGAAAATTTCGAAGCCAACACACCAATCACTTTACTAGTTGACATATTGCTAAATATGCATGAGTCTTATGATGGTGAATTTGTTCATGATGCCCCTATCACACCACCGTCCATTTCAAGATCTATTTTTTCGGACCTACAAGCTTCATCCCCATCATTTGGTACGCCAACGGTTTATAATATTGGGAAGGGAAGTCAGAGTCTGTTGCATGATATAAGGGAACCACAACTGTGTAAAACACTGTTTGCTTATAAATTCTCTCCGGATAGAGAAACTTCAGCTGTTAGAATGGGTAATTTTTAATATCTATTATACCAAACATACAGCAAAATGCATTATAATGAAACAATAACCGCCATAATGAATAAATACTAATATTTACCTCGCTCGCAAGAAATGAACCTCTCCGATGGAAAGGAAGTTGACGTGTATAACCTCTATTCTGGCCTAACTACCTTTTTGCATCCATTCAGTAATTTTTACCGCGTGTGGGTGAAATGACACAAAGTTGACATTACGATCTCACACCCAGAAACAAAAACAATCATTTTGGCGTTTCGTTAAGTGATTTATTCGTCGTTCGTTTACACTTTTCTCCAACTTGATAATAGTACATAGTATTTCAGGGAGTTTTGAAGAACCCAGAAAACAAAACTACCGTACTTGTCCTTTAATTGTTTACAAATCCAACTAAACCCCCTTTGTTTACGTTGTGCATCGCTCTCGTCTACTTTACCACCAGAAGTTGGGAACCAATACCTTTTAAAACAATACTGACGTTGAAAAAGAATAAGATCACAGTCTGAAGAATTATTCATTTGAAATGGCTGAAGATGAAGACTTTAACTCCAAGAATTGGGTGTGGATTCCGGATGAAGATGAGGTGTTCACTAGAGGTTACATCGTCGATTATTTGGAGAACAATCTATGCAAAGTTAACTACAAGGAAAACAATAAAGAGGCATCGAAATTGTTGGATACAAAAGAACTAAATCCTTGCAATCCCTCCAAGTTCAATAAGTGCAATGATATGGCCGAGTTAACCCATTTGAATGAACCTTCGGTTATCTATAACTTGTATTTGAGATACATGGATAATTTGATTTATACTTATAGTGGTCTTTTCTTGGTGGCTATTAATCCGTACAAACTGTTGCCGATTTATAACACTGAGATGATAGATTTCTCTAAACCACATATTTACTCGATTGCTAAGTCGACTCATAACAATTTAGTCCAAAACAAAAAGGATCAATCTATTTTGGTCACAGGAGAATCAGGTGCTGGTAAAACAGAAAACACGAAGAAGATTATCCAATACTTGTCATCTATTTCTTCAAATGATTCAATTGATGAGAAGATCTTGCAAACAAATCCTATTATGGAAAGTTTCGGTAACTCAAAGACAATCAAGAATAATAATTCCTCCCGGTTTGGTAAGTTCATTAAAATTTATTTCAATAACACTACCCTTAAAGGGGCTAATATTGATTACTATTTGTTGGAGAAATCAAGGGTCATAAATCAACAAAATGGTGAAAGAAATTATCATATATTCTATCAGTTTTTGAAGGCTTATAAAAACTTGCCAAAATTCAAGTTGACTTCTAATCTTAAAGATTACAAATACCTTAGTAACAACAGTGATGATGGCTCTGACTATGATGTTACACACGATCAATATCTAAATGATGAAGAGGAATTTGATTGTCTTTTGGAAAGTTTCAGAATCATCGGGTTACACGAAGATGAAATTGAAAATATCTTCCAAGTTTTGGCATTGATCTTACACTTGGGTAATCTTGATTTCTCTAGCTGGAAAAGTGAACAAGCCAATTTTCATAAAGATTCCCCAATTGATGAAGTTCTATTATTATTGAAGGTAGACAAGTCAACTTTTGAAACCAATTTATTAAGACCGAAAGTCAAAGCGGGTAGAGAATTCATTTCAAAATCTAAGAAACCACAGGAGGTTAAGTTTTTGATCGATTCCTTGTCCAAATTTTTATATGAAGTGATTTTCAACTTCATAATTACTAAGATCAATGAAAGTTTGAAATTGGATAACAAACCCTATCTGAATTTGAATGATTTTAACTTTATTGGTGTATTGGACATTGCTGGATTTGAAATTTTTAAGATCAATTCTTTTGAACAATTGTGCATCAATTATACCAATGAAAAGTTGCAACAATTTTTCAATCACCACTCTTTCATTTTAGAACAAAGTGAATATTTGAAAGAAGATATCAAATGGGACTATATAGATTTCGGCAAAGATTTGCAGCCCACGATTGATTTGATTGAAAACCAGAAATCTCCCGAGTTTGGGGTTTTCAAAGTCTTAGATGAGGAATGTTTAATGCCGAAGTCCAGTGATAATCAGTTCTTGGACAGACTATTGTCAAACTTCAAGAAGAACCCTAAATTCAAACCAAATAAATTCAAGAATGGATTTATAATAAACCACTATGCTGGAGAGGTTGAATATAATGTTGAGAATTGGTTGAATAAGAACAACGATCCTATCAGTGATCCATTGATAAACTTATTGTCAAGTTGCTCAAATGATTTCATCAAAACCTCTATGAAGCTTTTAAATGGTGGAAGTTCCAGCAAAAACAAGAAATCTCTTTCAAACAAATACAAGAAGCAGTTGAATGATTTGATGGAAGACTTGAACAATACTGAACCTCATTTTGTAAGATGCATATTACCCAACTTGGAGAAAAAACCAAACAAGTTTGACAAGAATTTGGTTTTAAATCAATTGAGATGCAATGGTGTTTTGGAGGGGATCAGAATCACTAGAGCAGGTTATCCTAACAAGATGGTTTTCGAAGATTTCTTTGGGCGATATTCTGTGTTGAACCCCAAAGGGATTTTTACCAAGAATTTCAAGACCAATTGTGAATTGATTTTGAAACACATAGATTTGAATCATGAGACTTACAAAATAGGAATTACGAAAATATTCTTTAAGAATGGAGTTCTTGGAAACCTTGAGGAGTTGAGGGATTTGTCCATCAAATCTATATTAACCAAACTCCAATCTGTAATCAGAGGAAATATATCAAGGAAGTTTTTCAAAAATGAGATTGAAAAGATCCAAAACGGTCAAGTAATTGCAAAGAATTTCAAGCTCATCCATGATTTTAAGCTGAGCCCTACTCAAGGTAATTTATGGTATAACTTGTTCATCCAAGTAAAGCCACTACTTGAAGATTCAATAAAATTGATGAATTCTAAGGAAATTAATAACAACCTCAAGGATATTAAGTTAAAATTGAAGGATGCAGAAAAATTGAACAAGAACTACGAAGTTGAACATGAAAGGTTAAATGGAACTTTAACTAGCTTGCAATCTAAATATGATGAAAATTTCAAGAGCATCAAAGAAAAAGATGAGTTAATTAAGTCTTTGAAAAAAGATGAAAAGGCATCCTCGAAGAAATTGAAGGAGTTAGAAGTGTCTTTGAAGGACATAGAGGGTCAGAATTCTTCTTTGGCCACAGAGAAATCTAAGATAATGGAAAGTTTGAAGGACTTGGAAGTGAAACACAAAGAACTAGAAAGACAATTCACACAAATGTTAAAAGAGCACGAAAGTTTGAAAGAAAGCTATGAGTCAAGTAAGCATTTTAAGCATGAATTGGAAACTGAAAAAGCTAATCATGAAAAGTCAATTGATATTTTGAAGATTCAACAAACCAAGCTACAGAAGTTGGGTGACCTGAACAAAGCTATCAAAGAGGAAATATCCTCTGTCAAGCTGGACAAATCTACACTTGCTTCCAAATTTGAAACCTTATTGAGAACACATAAAGATTTGAATGACAAGCATACTGAATTGGTTAAGTCCTTCGGTAACAGTAAGACTAATAACGACTCCAAAATCGAAGAATTAAGTGCTGTGATCTCCAAACATAAAACCAGTTCAACACGAGATAAGGGGGAAATCTCCAAGTTGAGTACAGCTCTAAACAAATTAAGAAAAGACAACGAGGAATTGATTAACAACCTCAATAAATCCAACGTTGAAATACTCTCAGCTAAGAATGATTTGAAAGAATCACTTGGACACGCTAAATCACTACAAAGCAATATCGACTCGTTGAATGCTCTTAAGCAAGAGATAAATGATTACAAGCTTAAGGAACTCAAAAACCTAGAGTCTATCAAATCACTTACGGGTCAGTTGAATGAATCCAAGAAATTCAATGAGGTTAATGGTATCAAGATCAAAGAATACTCTTACAAAATCATTGAACTTAATGATAAGGTTACCCAGCTTGAATCCCATAAGAAAGAAATAGAAAAAGAAAAGAAGAATCGGCCACCACCTATGCAACAAAATTTCCAGCAGGTAATGCAGGACTACTCGACCTTGAAACTCAAGTTGAATGAAATCAATGCTAATTTAAGAACTGAAAAATTCGAAAACAAGAAGTTGACTGAGGAAATTTCGATTTTGAAAGTTAAACTCCAGAACAACGTTAGTCCATATAGCTCTCCCAACAAGCTAACAAGGAAGTCTCTCAATGTTGGTGAGGATCCTACCAGTGAGGGTAATAAGTTCTTGTTGAGACAAATTGATGACCTCAAGATTAAGTTAGAGCAGGAGGAAACGAATAGCACTCGGGCTGAGAATTATGCAATCGAACTACAGAAGAAACTCAATAAACTTCAAAACACAAGAGGTTTAAATTCTTCAATTGACTTCGAAAAAAGGTACAGAGAAAGTCAGCTTCGTATCAGCGAATTGGAGACCAAATTCTCGAATTTGTTTGAAGCAGTTTCTCCAAACACTACTCCAACTAAATTGACCAAATCTGAAAGCTTTGGGAGATCTTCTTTGATTAATAAAACCTTGGAAAATGCTAACCAAGACTTTGTTAGAATCTACAGTGACGTCACTAAAACACTCAAGAGTACAAGAGATGAGTTAACAAATTCCAAGCTGGAAATTTTAAGGTTGAAGTCTTTATTAAGGGAAAGCGAAGATGAATTGTATCAAATAAAGAGAGACCAGCACAAAACCTCCATCGAAAACTATGAAAATGAGTTAGCCCAATTGAAAGTCAAACAAGAAAACTTGAAGTCAAGAAACGAGGATATGACCAAAAGTGTCGACTTGTACAAAAAGAGAAGTGACGAGTATTTCAAGAAGCTTGAATTGGCCGAAAATGCAGTGAGCATCTCAAAAAGACATGAAGAAAACGCTACTAAAGAGTTGAATGAGATCAAAACCGAATTCAAATTAATCAAGGAAGAATTGAAAGCCTGTGCAATCTTAATTAAGGATTTGAATAAGGAAAAGACGAAGTTGAACAACGAAATCAAAGACAGAGATCACCAAATTGCCAAATTGAAGGAGGAGTTGAAAGATATTAACGATAAGATAGCTTACAATAAGCAAATTTATGAAAACAAAGAAATCCATGGAAACTTGAAATCTGAGATCCATAATTTGAATAACGAATTAAGCTTCAAGTTAGAGAATGAGTCGAAATTGATCAAAGAGAACAAGCAATTATTGATTGACAACGAGACATTGTTGAAACGAAAATCTAATTTAGAAAGGGATTTTGAAGTTCAATTGGACAGAGTTGATGAGTTGGAGGTTAAGCAAGATGAATTAAACAAAAAGCTCAGAGTCTTGGAGAACGAAAAAATCATTAACGAAAGAAAGATTGGTAACCTCAACAAACAAGTTGTCAATTTGAAGGAGCTCATCAATGATATTACCTTACAAAGAGATGATTTACTCGAAGTGAAAGATAAGATGGAGGAAGAACAAATGATTTTAAGCCAAAATTTGGACGAAAAGAAGTTTGAGATTTCTTCATTGCAGTCGGATATGAAAATCTTGAGAGAACATCTTGAAGTCCAACGATTGGAATCACTGGAGATTCAGCTGGAACTAAATCAATCCAAGTCGTCCACTTCTGAAGATGTGGAAAATTACTCCAAGTTGAAGAAAGAAAATTTGGTGGTTTCTCAAGAAAATGATGCGTTAATTAGGATCAACAATGAATTGAAACAAAAGGTTAGTAATTTGGAGAACAAATTGTACAATGATGAACAAATTAAGTATTGGGAAAATAAATTGGATGAATTGAACGATAAATTAGACCTGTCCAATACCGAAAACTACAAGTTAAACAAGATTGCATACAACTACGAGCAAGAAGTTAAAGGACTCAAAATCAGATTTGAAAACGATTCGAAACTTGTCAAGAAGTACAATGATGAAAACTTCGATCTCAAAAATAAAATAAATCATTTCAAGAGCTCCTTGGATATACTACAAACAGAAAGCTTTGAAAAGGATCTCAAAATTAAAACTTTTGAACGTGATAGCTTGGAGATGAAAGAGAACAACTTGATGTTAGAGAAAGAAGTATTAGAGCTTAGGGCCAAACTAGGCATTTCTTAGATAATTTTGTACAGTGTATAAGACTAAGATTATTTACAAGAGATAAATAGATCAAAACCACTTCGACCGCTTTTGATTAAGCCCAAAGTGTTTGAAGACATCGTCCAAATTCCCAAACGCCTCACGGTCACCTTGTAAAACAACGGAAGGATTGGAACTTATTAACTTTTCCACCACTTTCGTTAAGTCCTTAATCGTCAATGCATTGATTTTCTCTATCATTTCATCAATGCTAACTAATTTATTTTGACATTGAATTTGTCTACCCAAATCTTCTAAAGCAGCCAACTTACTTTCAACATTATATAACAAGGTTGAAATCAATTGATTTTTAGCTCTGTTGAACTCTGAATCTGAGATTGCATTAGGCTCTAGTAAGGAACTGAATTCAAAGCCAATAATTTGTGGCATAACATGAGCAGCATTAGGTGATGCAGAAATATTAATACCGAACAATCCAGATCCAACGTAAGAATGGTTGAAAGAGGTACAGTTTTCAATGAATGCATATTGGTTCAAAACCCTGGTATACAACCTAGAAAACATACCTTTACCAGGGCCTCCAGCAGAGAATGATGAACCACCGCCAAGAAGCTTCTGTAACACAGCCAAACTATACAATTCGTCATTCAAGAGACCTGTAGTCTCAAATCCGATCTGCATGTGGTACAACTCAGGCAAATTCGAAAATAGTGGTGGCTGGAAAGGAATGTGTATTTCTCCACCAACATATTTTGGTTTGGGAACCTGATGAGCTGGACCTTTAGTCAAGTGCCCAAAAGTTGATTCCACTAATTTAATAGCGTGCGCATGTTCGACACCGATCATAGACACAACTATATTTTGGGGTTGATAAAAGCTCTTGTGATAGTTTAGAACCTCATCTTTCAGAATGTAAGGGATTCTCTCAACCGGACAGTATAGCGGTAATCCTAAGGTGTTATCTGGATACGCAACCTTGTGCAAGAGCTCTGGTAACACGATGTCTGGTTTGTGTACCATTACGCTGGTTTCGAAATCAATTGTGGATAAAGTTTCCAAGAACTCTTTATCGGTAAACTTTGGCTCCAAAATGGTTTGACTGATACAATCAAACATTTTATCGACATCTTTATTGAATACGGAAGCCTGGTAAATCATCGACTCACGCTGAGCTGAACACATATAATTACCCCCTAAGTTCGACAAGGCGTTCATCATTTCTGTTCCAGTGTATTTTTCGGTACTTCTCCATGCTAATCTATCCATTAGATGACTTATACCCGGCTTGGATGGATCTTCAAATTTGGAACCAGCATCGATGTACGCCCCCAAAGCACTAAAATGACCAGGAGTTGAGTCTGTAATTACTCTCAAACCATTTGGTAATGTTGATAGATTGATGCTAGGGTTGCCATGGACAACATCATTAAAGTGTGACCTCAGAGTACTCAAGTATCTTCTGAGCATCGTTCTTAGAAATAGTTTTTGGCAAACAATTATGTTTGCGTGAGCATCGCGCACAATTTAGATTCCATTTTAAAATTACTTGAGGTCTTCTATGAATTATATGACATATATGAAAACTATAGGTCCACGAATTTAACTTCAGGGTGATAATAAACAGGACAGTTCCAGTAGCTTCTCTTGATATCATCCCACACTTCTAAAGTGGGCAAGTTTATGTCTGTGAAAGAAATTTGCAATCCATAATTACTCAAATCAATCTCTACGAGCTTCTTGTAAACTTCGTAAATCACTTGCCTGTCCGCACCTAGTCCGTTGAAAAACGAGAATATCCCTTGAGGTTTCAATAAGCCCACAATTAAGTCAAAAAGTTCCAACATATCACTATAATGTTCCGAATATGTGTCATAGTATATTCCGTTGAAGAAAACGCCTTCGGAAAGGAGCTCTGCTACTTTGTCTTGCCATCTTCCTTCAAGGATTACTACATTTGGCTTTTGGTACCAGCCATCCTTCTTGAGTTTTTCCAACACATCAGGATGAGGTTCACAGATGTAGTGCTTAAAAGGCTTTTTGTCTTGGATCATTGTATCAATAATACCCATCCCGAATCCGATATTCAAGACAACCATTTCCTCTTCCGGATCATCTTCTCTATTTTTGAACAAAGAATTACAACCCATTTGCATCAAGTTATGCTCCCAAGACATCATTACTCCATCTTTATTAGAAGTAACAAGTGCATCATCTTTGTACTGTAATTTGGTATTGAGGTACGTCTCTTGGTGTTCTGCTGGATCCAAGTTTGTGGACTGTGGATCTACCTCTAGAGTATTTCCTTTTATTTGTGAAATATCTTCTTGTGCATTTTCCGTTTGTTCTTCCAGTTCTACGAGCTCAGGCACTTCCTCTTCATCCAGAGCTTCGATGAATTCGATATTGTCATTGACTTTCCTCAAAATTAACTCGGCTCGAACTCCTGCTTCGACAATTTGGTTAAAAGCAACAGAATCCTTCATGTTTCTCTTGATCAATATGCACCCTGGAGTTTCATTATTGATATCTGTGAAAGACCAACCAGCCCCGTACTCAAATAAAACTGAGATCATTTCACTAACGACCAACAATTCCTCTTCAGTCCCATTCGTTGGAATATTTTGACAAATAATATGCAAAGGTGTGGTGGTGGTGGTGGGTTCCTCTTCAATACCATTTGTATAATTATAAGCTTCTTCGACGGTATAAGTAGAAGGAATACCACTTTTTAGGTATGCTTTTAGCTGGGTTATATACTGATTAGTTACTGGCCTTGAAATAAAGCGGCACAAGTCGTGCAAGTCGCTCATTTAGTAGGAATCTTTGTATGGCTATACGATATTGGGTCAGAACTTTTTTTTGGAGATGAGATGATTAGCTCTCAGGCAGACACGCGCGATGGGGCTATCCCAAAGTCTACTCTTAAATTACTCCGGACTAGGAGACCACCCGAAAGGTTGTGTGTAAATAACTGTAATGTAACAACTTCAATACGTGGCTGCATCTCGCATCCCGAATATTTGGCCTACGTGCCATACATATAGGCAGAGCTCAGCAGATTTTAATATCCTGTATCCAGGTCCTGCAAATTGAATTTCCTATGAATCATGAGGTTTTCATGGATGCAAAAATCATACGATTGCCCAAAAGTCAACCTTTACCAATAGAATTTAATTGTTATTTTACACGGATGAGTTTAACTGTTTTGTAGTTTTAGAACCTGACCCGAATACTTAAAACTTTCACTTTCTTGTCAGAATCATTTTTTTTGCATTTCCAATTTCCCAGACACAACAACAAAACCCATAAGCAAAGACCACCTTCAGAAATTGAGCTCATATATTTTTTTGATCATGGCATTCAAGTTGAACGATTATAATGCTTTTTTGACGTCTTTAGTGGAAAGAGAGAAGCTGGATACTTCTAGGCCCGAATCAAAAAATATGACTGAAACATTGAATTCCCCCACTGATGATATTGCCCTTATGGATCAACAAGATCCGATGAACTCCACGTATTCTCGACTTCCCATCGACTTTGACTTTGGCCTAAACCAAGAAATAGATTTTCTGGATGACCTCGATCCCCAATCTACAATGAACCTTAATATGAATGATGATAATGACCTTTCTAAGCGCAGCTATAATCCCAGTAGCAAGCTTACCAATAATGCCAGCACCACCTCAACTAACAGAGCCTCCAGTAACTCTACCAATAATACTTCCGATATGGATCCTCCTTTGAAGCAGGAAGATATTTTTTTTCCAAGGCAAGCATCAGCTCCTGCTTTAGAAAGTAATTTTGAATCTGTTCCAAGTTCCTCTAATTACAGAATTCCCATACAGATAAAAAACGAATCCTCAGATGATGAATTAATGTCTCCAAACTTGGATTTACCCGATGGATTCTGTGATAACTTTGATAACATCAACACTCTTGACCGTCAGCATTCCAATACGCCCACTGATGATTTCAGTCGAAGAAGAGACTCGAGGCCACTTGTCCAAAAAAGTGGGGGTGAAGGATTAGGATATGGCTCTATGACTAAGTCTTACAGGCCCAGATTGCGTTCTTCTCATAATGTTATCGAACAAAGATATAGGAACAAGATTAATGATAAATTCAATGCATTACTGAATTCTGTCCCTACGTTACGGGTGGCAACTAAAAGGAAAACCAAGAATCCAGACCACATGGATAATGATGAGTTTGATGAACACTACTATCTGTCATCTGACGAATCGCCAGATTTGGAAGGTTTAGAGCCTGCTAGAAAGTTGAACAAAGGAGTGATTTTAAGTAAGTCCGTGGAGTACATCAGATTTCTCGAGTTGAAAAACGACAGAATGAGAGAAAAGAACCACGAGTTACTTGAGAAGGCTAGATTGTTGGGAATACCCTTGGACAAATTGTAATACTTCATAATAACTCTGTGATGCTTAATGATAGCCACTTCCCTTATTTAGGTAGAAATAATACACATGAAATGACTTGAGGAAGGCTATTTATTGAATATTGTACTGAACCGACCAACGAGAAGTATCATATTTACATGAGACCTAACTGGTGCAAAATATTCCCTACTTTTAGTCGTATAATTAGCTTATTTTGAATCGTATTATTATCACCTCATTCCTAAATGGCCCGTTCTCGTTTGCGCGATTCTATACGAGATAATATAAATTTTGGCTGAGTCCTTGACATCTTAACGAGCATTAATTTCATTACAGTTAGTCTATCTTTGCTTTTTTTGTTTTCTATACAATGACATCAATGAACTCTACGTTGGACTATGCTAATGAGGCCATTACCAAGAACTTGAATATATTTTTGGGCTTAAGTTTAAGCTACAAGATTTCTATTGTTCTTTTGATACCTTTTGTCTATAATTTGTTATGGCAGCTTTATTGTTCTTTGAGAACTGATAGAGCTCCTTTGGTGTTTCACTGGATTCCATGGTTTGGTTCTGCTGTTCCTTATGGAATGCAACCTTATGACTTCTTCGAAAATTGCAGAAAAAAATACGGCGATGTGTTCGCTTTCATGTTGTTGGGTAAGGTGATGACGGTTTATCTTGGTCCAAAGGGTCATGAATTTGTATTCAATGCAAAGGTTAATGATGTTTCCGCAGAAGATGCCTATAAACATTTGACTACTCCTGTTTTTGGTAAAGGTGTTATTTACGATTGTCCTAACTCCAAATTAATGGAGCAAAAGAAGTTTGCTAAGTTTGCTTTGACCATCGATTCATTCAAGACTTATGTTCCAAAGATCAGAGAAGAAGTTCTTGGATACTTCAAGGATCATCTCAACATGGATAAAAACAGTGGACAAGTTAATGTCATGAAAATACAGCCAGAAATTACCATTTTCACTGCCTCCAGGTGTCTTTGTGGTGATGAGATGAGAAAGAAATTTGATGCATCATTCGCTCAACTTTATTCAGACTTGGACAAGGGGTTCACTCCGATTAACTTTGTGTTTCCTCATTTACCTTTGCCTCAGTACTGGAAGAGAGACTCGGCTCAACAAAAGATTTCCAGTGCTTACATGTCTTTGATCAACAAAAGAAGATCAACTGGTGACATTGATCCTAAGAGAGATTTGATTGACTCCTTGATGGCTCACTCTACTTACAAAGATGGGGTTAGTATGACTGACCAAGAAATCGCTAATTTATTGATTGGCGTGTTAATGGGTGGTCAACATACCAGTGCTTCTACATCATCTTGGTTCTTATTACATTTGGGAGAAAACCCTGAGTTGCAGGAACAATTATACAAAGAATTAACTGAACTATTGAACGAAAAAGGTGGTGATTTCTTCGACTTGAGTTACGAAGACTTGTCAAAGTTATCTTTGCATAATAGCGTCATAAAGGAAACTTTAAGAATGCATATGCCATTACATTCTATTTTCAGAAAAGTTAAAAATCCTGTTAGAGTTCCAGACTCAAAATATGTTGTCCCAAAGGGCCATCATGTGTTGGTTTCTCCAGGGTACGCTCAAACTAGTGAAAGATTCTTTGCTTTTGCAGACACTTTCGACCCTCATAGATGGGAAACTAGTAACGCTTCAAGTGGTAAGGGAGATGAGAAGACTGTTGATTACGGATTTGGTGCCATTTCCAAGGGTGTTTCATCTCCTTATTTACCATTTGGTGGTGGTAGACACAGATGTATTGGAGAACAATTTGCCTACGTTCAATTGGGCGTCATTTTATCAACATATGTTTACAATTTCAAGTGGAAATTGGCTGGTAAGCTCCCAGATATTGACTGGGCTTCCATGGTCACTTTACCCATTGAAGAAGATTCAAATATCATCTGGGAAAAGAGAGAAGGTTGTGTGTTGTAAACTTTGAATGGGCTAGTGAACAAATATAATAGATCTACGTATACATGGCTCTCAGAAAAATATTACAATTCCTTAAATGTAGAAATACTACACGCTCTTGGGGGTCTATTCAATATAGTCCTGTTATTAACAGCTTCTTAAAAGAAATGGTGCGGTTTGCAATTTTCTTGCGAGTGAGTGTGAATCATCAAGTGGTTCAAGAGCTCGAAATTTTCATCAAAAGACATTCGTTCGTTGTTGTGAAATCAAACACACAAAAAAATAGCATGGTCCCCAGCCCCTTCACTCTCAAAGTTCCCGCCTCTTCTGCCAATATTGGACCTGGTTTTGATGTTTTGGGGATTGGTTTAAACTTATATTTGGAAATAGATGTTAGAATAGACCCTAGTGTTGACACCTCAGAAGATTCATTCCATGGAAGGTTAAGCTACGAGGGAGAAGGCAAGGAGGGAGTTCCTTTAGACACTGGTAAGAATCTTGTAACTCAGACGGCATTGTACGTAATGAGATGTAACGGTTTTGAAAAATTTCCCATGGGAACTCACATCCACGTTAAAAATCCAATACCTTTAGGAAGAGGATTGGGATCATCGGGAGCAGCTATTGTTGGAGGTGTAATGTTGGGTAATGAGATTTGCCAGTTGGGTTTTGATAAGATCAGACTATTGGACTACTGTTTGTTGATTGAAAGACATCCAGATAACATCGCTGCTGCCATGTTGGGTGGATTCGTTGGCTCTTATTTGAATGAGTTAACCACAAAAGAAACGAATGATAAGTCTGTTCCATTGGAATACATATTGCCAAAGGATAGTACTCCAGAAGAAAAAATCGTATCCACTGCTCCTCCCAAAGATATCGGGGAATACTTGAAATACAACTGGAACCATAAGATCAAGTGTGTGGCAATAATTCCACAGTTTGAGGTTAAAACTGATGATGCTAGAGCAGTATTGCCAGATTCGTATACTAGATCTGATATTGTCTTCAACTTGCAGAGATTGGCTGTGTTAACTAGCTGCTTGGGACAAGATCCCCCAAATAGTAAATTGATTTACAACTCCATGAAAGACAAGGTTCATCAACCATATAGAGCCAGTTTAATTCCAGGTTTGACCGAAGTGTTACAGAATATCACTCCGTCATCAGTCCCTGGTGTTTGTGGAATCTGTTTATCTGGAGCAGGACCTACGATATTATGTTTAGCCACGGAAAATTTTAACACCATAGCTGAAACCATCATTGATGTTTTCAAATCCAGCAATGTCAATTGTCAATGGAAGTTGTTGGATTTAGCTTATGATGGTGCCACGGTAAGTAGACATTAGAACATATTTAGACTTCGATTTGCATTCTTAAGGTTCGCGAATATACCCTCTCCAATAGAATTTCAGTAATTCATTTAGAGACAATCATGGAAAATATAAGTATCAATCATGTGGACTTGCAGACCAAGATCATAGCTCAGGATATTTTGGATAAGTCTTCTTCTCAACCAATTTACTTATCCTCGGTTGAAGTGGTAGGAGGTGAGACTTTCTCCAATGTATTTTTCAAAAAATTGTTATCACCATTGCTCGAGACCAGTGATTACACCTTTGGCAAATTGGTTTCGAATGTTGAAGCGTCATATAACAAGTTGAAGGATACTGAGGTATTTACGGACATTGGAGTGAGTTTTTCGACTGATTTTACTTCCGGTATCCCCTCCAATGTTAAAAATTACAACAGCAAAACTGATAAACCAATTCCAACCAAAGTCAAGTTTGATGTTAAGTCTATTAATTTGAATATTGGAGAATACTTCTTAAACTTGGATAATGACACTCCTTTGAATGTCAATTTACATTATCTTAACAACAACTTCAACTCAAATGCCGAATTGATAAACGTTGGAGTAGATTATAACCCATACAAACCAAATCAACATTTAGTCACTAACGGAAAATTGATATCTAACTTGACAAATCCAAGGTTCAAGTTCGTGATTGACTTATTCAACACAAATCAAAACAATAAGATTTGGCAAAAAAGTAGTGAAAACTCATTGGGAGGTGTTATTGGTTTGCAGTATAATAACACCTCTAGAAATCTTCATTTCTTAACTGGTTTATCTATATTGAAAAGGAAATTACATGATATGGATGATTCAACAATAGATGATGTGAAACTATTTGCCGGTGACAACATAAAGTCTTCAATTATAAACGAATTGAGTTACTCCAATTTGAGTTTCCTCAATAGTGCAACAAACAACTTTCCTGTTAATGGCTTCAACTTTCTTCTTTCTAATGAATTGAGTTCCAATCAACAATTGAACGATCCCAGCAGTGATTCTGGATACTTTTGCAAGTCGTCATTTACCAGCAATATCTTCAAAACATTTGCTAATAACTACTTAACCTTGAAAATATCCAACAGCTTTGGATCCATATACAACCCTTTACTTGAGGAGCTTTCGCCGGTTCATGTCTCCGATAGATTTTACTTGGGAGGAAGCAAGTCCTTCAAAGGCTATTCCAAGAATTCAATTAACGCAAATGGGGGTAATCAATTCTACAAATTGGATTCTTCATTATTCCTCAAATTACCTCACTTCTTATATTCACCAAAACATAATCAGAATAATGAAGCCAATCCTTTGAGATTATACGTGAATGGTATAGCAGGAAATGTGTCTGATAATTTACTCGACGATAGTTCTTTGAGTACATCGGTGGGTTTTGGATTGAAATACTTCAATAATTGGGCTCATTTCGATTTAGGATATTACTTGAGCAAGAAGATAAATAACGTAGATCAGCTTGGAGTGAAAGATGGCTTACAGTTTTCATTATCCGTGGGAGGCTCAAACCGGAGCTCCTTCTAAAATATTTCAAAATAAATAGTCTAAAATAAAGAAACGCCTCCATTTATTTTGGACATGTTTGTCCAAATACAACTGCAACGTATATTATCGATCAACTAAAAACTGACTTCCTGAAGAATTTACAAGCTCGCAGCTGATTTTAGTTCCTTCACTCAAATTGAGCATATATTTGTGTTTACACCAAAAAAGAATTTCACGAAGCACAAATCATTATTGACAATCATCCACGTACAACAATCTGTTAATGCCAGCTATCCATATATTGTGATTTATAAATTAACGCGATGTCCCAATTACAAGAGAATATTATCATCTCAAAGACCTTGCTAACATTGGATAAATATAAAAGCCTCGACCACTTGAAGCGAGCAGTAGTTGATAACGAATATATTCCTAGCAGCTCCAAGTTCTTACGATCTCTATTGTGGAAAACCGTATATATTACGGAGAGTTTGAACATCCAACTATGGCAGAATAAGTTGAACGACACGCGAAGGGTGTACCATAAACTAATTCAAGATGACGATATGACGATACCATGGTATAAATTAGAAGCCGACAATACCTACTATAATCCAGTGGAGCTTGGTAGAAATTCAAGTTTACGAAGAAAGAAGAAACTTAACGGGGCTAGCGTTAAGAAGTCCAAACTTGCATTGGTTCAAGTCCAAACAAGTGATGATCCATTGGGTGAAAATAGCAGCGAACTGAACTTCAATCACCTTGAACATGATGACGATCTGGAACTCTTGAGAACCATAATATTGGACATTGATAGACTCTTTCCTGGCGAAGAATATTTTAACAACCGGTTCTACAAGCAACAGATTATCGAAATATTGTACGTGTGGGCTAAATGTAATCCTAGGATTGGATATAAGCAAGGCTTCCATGAAATTCTAGGCCTAATCTACATCAATTTTAGGAAGGATTCAGTGAGCATCCCTAACACTAACACATTCTGCTCGGAAGATATAAGAATTTTGAGTTTGTTTGATGTCAAATACTTGTGTCATGATCTATTCACTGTTTTCAACAAGTTTATGGTTAATACTTCGATTATATCCCATTTTTATGAGAATGAGTACACTCTTATGAACTCAATACAGTCTTTCAATAAGTCCTTGATGAAAGTAGATCAGTTAATCCACTACAACTTAATTTCCAAGTTAAAATTAGAATCTCAATTATGGTGCATTCGATACTTTCGGCTCATATTGTCAAGGGAATTGGGCAATGACTTGGCAGTCACAAATATGCTTTGGGATAAGCTAATCACTATAGAAGGTAGCAGAGTTCCGGCTCTCTTGAACTTCTTGATTATTGTCCTATTGATCAACGTTAAATCTGATTTGATAGTATGTGATTTCAGTGAATGCCTTTCACTACTCTTGCATTACCCGATCAAGTTTGGAACTGGGAAAAAAAGTTATGTAACATTCATCCACGACATTTTTACTGATGCTAACAGATTGTTAAGCGTAAAGGATAACGATTTGGAACTATATGAGTGTGGGATGAAAATTAATGCAAAGCTTAATCCAGACTTAAACATATCTTTAAGTTACAATGGCAGAACTTCCGGAGAGTCAATGAGATCAAGAACGAGTTCTCCAGGCACAAGGCCTTCTGATGAATCGAACCGGGGAACTATGGGTTCAAAGGACTCAAAAGCTGAAAAGATGGCTTTTGAAAAGTACAGAATGGAAATGAGGTTGAAGAAAAAAGCTCAACTGTTAATGAGACCTTAAAGTTTTCAAGGATAAAAAGTATTGGGCAACCTCACGATCGCTAACGATGAGATCCATACCCTTGTAGAGGTACTCTTCTTATTACATTCAGATATGGTTTTAAAGTGTTCTGAAAATTAGACAAACTTGCAGATTTTATAAAATTAACGGAATTTAGCGACATGCACAAAATAAGCATACAACATATCAAAGCCTTCTTCTAACCTCAAGGACCTGTTTCCACTCTTTTCAGTCTCCACATTGGCCATACAGTTGTCCAAATATAAATGGTGCTGGCGTTTAATTAGAACCAACTCTAGACTATATGTAACAAGTATACATACGTTCCAACATGTATACCCAATAGCAATATCCTAGATCTAATTCTCGTAAATTTATTACCTAGACCCTTTAGCGAGAAATCCCCACCTGAAATTTAAGTTTTCAGGGCCGTATCTTTTAAAAAATTGTCCTCAAAAGCTTGTATCCTCTATCCCCCAATTGACGGAGACGATGTTGGCTACCCAGAGAATAAGCATCAAGTTGAAGAGATTGGGTATCAGCTACACACAATTATTCGTCGTTTCTGTTGTGTTAGCTTTGCTATACTCATTCTTGGGGACTACTTCTAAGATATATGAACCCCAGCTTATCAATGCAATTGATAAGTACTCCGCCAACATATTACTGTATCATACCACAGATACTCCTGTTGATTTCAGCTGGATCCAGTTTTTAGATTTGAATCATTTCTTCGCCAGTCATAAAAAGTTAATCCTGCCATTGAATTGTGAAGAGTTTGCTAATCGAATTCAAAAAGGTCCAAGGAGTTTCTTCAATTGCAGGGATCAACCCGATAATAAGTTGGTTCCCATATCCCTACAACAAAATGTCAATATGTACATTGATGATATGTCCAGAAAGATCTTTGGCAAGATTCACCTTTACAAATCGTTTCCTAACCCTTCGAATCTATTATACCTATTCCATGACAATTACGTCAAATTTCCTGTAAAAACTGAAACAAAGTTCATGTCATTGAAGCTGGTAAATTTGAAATCAGCTGCTTCAAAATTGACTTCTTTCAATCAAGATTTGAGTCCGAAGCCAGTCATCTCCCTTAACTATGACGATTTCAATTACAAGAAAAACTTGGAAACTTTCTCAGAAGAAAGTAAAGTCAAAGAGCTTCATTATAAGTACAAAGACACTAAAAGGGCACGGAAGTATTTCGGCGAAGCCTACTTAATTGACTATACTGGTGCGTTTAACTTAGACTGGAGGTTTTTCAACGCAACAAATGTATTGGAAAAAGACCTTGACTTGAAAAATGCCAAAATTTCCAGATTAATAAGAGGGTGGCTAAATTTGTGTTCTAAGTTGGAAATTCCATCTTGGCTAACTGATAACAATCTAATTGGCTGGCACATGAACGGATTACATTTACCTTTTGAAGATGATTTCAGCTTCCAAATCACTATGAAGGATATCTTGAAATTAGTGGATCAAGGACTTAATCAGTCTATTATCTTTGATTATAGTGATATCGATAAGGGAATCAAAAGTGAAATGTTCTTGGATATTTCTCCATACTTCAAAATGAGAGACCGTAACAACAAGGAAAATTTGGTGGACATAAGGTTAATCGATCTTGAAACTGGTTTGTTTTTGAACATCATTGGAGTGAGCACCTTTCAATACGAAAGGTTGTACAATTACCAACAAAAGCCAGTCTTCCAAAGTTTGGAAGAAGGCGATTCCAGAAGAATTGAAAATTACATCAAAAGGTTCAAAGACTCAAGAGAGGGTTTGCTCAATACCAAGAACCTTGAAGTATACAACTTCGATGATTTTTCATCCATGATACCAGTCATGTTTGAAAATCAAGTTGCTTACTTACCAGCCAATTATATGACTCTCTTGACGAACAAATATTTCGATCCGTTCGCTCATTCAAAGAAAGGATATATCTATAGAGCTGGCATCAATTTGTGGATTCCAAAGGATACTTGCAAGCTACCTCCATTTCTAAGTATTCCAACAATAGAGCAAGACATGCAGTGTTTAAAAATTGATAAAGTTAATAGGTTGCACAAGGAGTATAAGAAAGCCACAGAATTTCATGAAAGTTTCATGGAATCTTTCAACGAACTTTCTGATTACCTGGGGTTCACTTTGAAGCCTCTAGACTTTGGGGGGTTCAAGTAATAAACATTGTTCATAGTCTATTTGCAGCATCGGACTCTGATCCGACTCTGAAACCGCATCCGGTCGCACCCAGAGTCAAAAATTGCTGCTCGCTTTTTAAGAGGACCATTTTCCCTCAAATCTATTAAAATACTAGATATCTTCATTATAGCCGTAACACAATGTTCAGATTCACACAACTTAACAGATTCATCGCAAGACCTGTGGGTCAATTCGTTAGAATGAACAGTACCAATCATAAGATAAATACCGAACTGTTTGTCTTCAAGTACCTCCAAGAGGGCCCTAAAGCAGTGAAATTCACAAGCGAACACGAATGGTTGGCCCTTCACGAAGATGATACTGGATTTTTAGGAATTACTAAATACGCTAGTGAAGCTTTAGGGGATGCCACCTTCATTGAACTTCCAGAAGTGGGTGATAAATTTGAAGCTGGTGAATCTATTGGAAGTGTTGAATCAGTCAAGAGCGCCAGTGAAATCTATTTACCAGTGGGGGGAGAAGTCGTTGCTATCAATGATGTTTTGGAATCAAACCCACAGTTGATCAATGAAGATCCAATGGGCGAAGGTTGGATCATCCAAGTCAAATTGAACGATCCAAGTTTAGAAGGTGTTGAATTGTTGTCTGAAGAAGAATACGAATCATCTTTACACGAGGCTTAAATATATTCATCTTACTCAAGTTATTTATCATATATACAATGAGATAGCTATCTCCAAATACAATGATTAGAGAAAGCCACTCATGATATAATTCATTACATATATTCTTTTTTTATTATATAAACATACCTTTATAAACCCTTATAACATTATGGTTATAAACAGACGCAGTGTACAAAGTACTGATAAGTAAGTGACGAAGTTATTATTTTGCAATTAGCTAAAATGAACGGCAATGGGAACAATTATGACAACCAACACAATGATGACTCCCAAAATTAAACACATTCTCATCTTCATGTCTTTCCACCACATATCCTTTCTGACTCTATTAGCACCCCTTCTAAACCCTTGGGCACTAATGGCTAAATTGTCAGTTTTGTTTTCAATCGAATCTAACCTCTCTCCTCTTTCTGCCACCTTATTGATGTTGTCCCTCATGATACCAACAGTATCATCAATTTGGGCCTGTATGGCGGCAGTTCTGGAGTTTGATTGATCTCCAGTGGTCTGACTAGGGATATATGGATCGTAAGGAACTGACGAAGACATTTCAATTGTAACTTAAGTGTTCAAAGTTGACTTGTACAAGAAGAAAAATCGATTTTTAAGTCTGTCTGAAAATGAGGGTGCGAACGAAAGTACAGATTGGTGTGATCTTGTAGCAAACAGGAAACAGAGGAGCTAAGTATTCACTAGATTAGTCGAGAATAAAAGATAAACATAGTGTCTAAATAATTTGTATATCTATATATCTATATACATGTACTGATTCTTGACCTCATCTGAGACGATAGTCAAGCTGGATGTTCTCCAATTCAAGTAGGAATGAAGACATATATTCCTGATACTGCAGGTGCTGCGACTTTTGGTGGCTGGCAAAGCCGGAACTAGTTGTTAGGGGTACCTCTGGAATCTGGGACTATTACCTGCGAGTGACAACCTACAACCCATAAACTAAATAGCCAAAAAAATGGCACATCAAGAATTACGTACGCCAACCTACAGAGACTTACCATGGTCCGGTTATCAGTTTAATAACCAAGATTTGTACTCTAACCTCATAGTCGATTATGAAGGCGCATCTGTTTATTCCGTCGTCTAAGTAATGACCAAAATAGCAAAGCCTCAGGATAATCGAAATTTGGATCGTAAAGGCAAAGGAAAACCTGTTATATCAGAAGAATCGCTCCTGTTTGAGGTGCCAAATACACCCCTCTAATCAGTTGGCTTGTAAAATTCTACCCTTTCCAATCGCGATACTTGTCGATACCCTCCCTATTCGGGACACGTCGACCAAATTTCAACGAACGAGAGAGAAAAAAACTTTTGAATTTTTTAACACTGTGTTTTCTTCTTATAAGAATAGACAATTAATTTACTAGTCAATCAAAATGGACGGTGGTATGTATATGATTAGAATTACCTGACCTTGTTATGAACATTGACCGAAATATTTGATTGGATTCGATGGAATTGTCCGAAGTTTTTACTTGTTGGTTACCTCACTTTCTCGCCCTCCCCTATAAATTGCTGGTAGATATTTCAAGACGTGTCAGTTATCATCCTATTTTAACTTGATCCATCAATCAATCATAACGGGAAGTCATCAATCGGGTCTGATAGCATTTCAGTCCCCACTTGATTGTCACTTTTTCTGTTCTGTTGATAATTTGACGTTGTTGATAGTCGATTGTTTTCCAATCTTTTGACCGCCATCATCCGACTTCTTCGTCATCCATAGGAATTGATCATTTTCAAGTGTAATAGATACGGTGCTCAAGGATAGTGTATCATTTATTCAACGCTCCGAATTCTTATTATAAGTTACATCTGATCTTTGAATTCAATCAGTCAATTTTCATTTTGGTATATATCATATTTCATGTACTAACAAACTTTTTACAGAAGAAGTCGCTGCTTTAGTTCTCGATAATGGTTCTGGTATGTGTAAAGCCGGTTATGCCGGTGATGACGCCCCAACTGCTGTGTTTCCATCTATCGTTGGTAGACCAAGACATCAAGGTATCATGGTCGGTTTAGGCCAAAAGGACTGCTATGTTGGTGACGAAGCTCAGTCCAAGAGAGGTGTTTTGACCTTGAGATACCCAATTGAACATGGTATAGTCAACAACTGGGACGATATGGAAAAGATCTGGCACCACACCTTTTACAACGAATTGAGAGTTGCTCCTGAAGAACACCCAGTTTTGTTGACCGAAGCCCCAAAGAACCCTAAGTCTAACAGAGAAAAGATGACTCAAATCATGTTTGAAACCTTCAACGTTCCAGCTTTTTACGTTTCTATTCAAGCTATTTTGTCTTTGTACTCCTCCGGTAGAACTACTGGTATTGTTTTGGATTCTGGTGATGGTGTTACCCATGTTGTTCCAATTTACGCTGGTTTCTCCTTGCCCCACGGTATCTTGAGAGTTGACTTGGCCGGTAGAGACTTGACTGAACACTTGATGAGCATCTTGTCTGAAAGAGGTTACTCCTTCTCTACCACTGCTGAAAGAGAAATCGTTAGAGACATCAAGGAAAGATTATGTTACGTTGCTTTGGATTTCGAACAAGAAATGCAAATCTCTTCTCAATCATCCGCTATTGAAAAGTCTTACGAATTGCCTGATGGAAGAGTTATCACTGTTGGTAACGAAAGATTCAGAGCCGCTGAAGCTTTGTTCAGACCAAGTGACTTGGGATTGGAAGCTGCTGGTATTGACCAAACTACTTACAACTCTATCATGAAGTGTGATGTTGATGTCAGAAAGGAATTGTACGGTAACATTGTTATGTCTGGTGGTACCACTATGTTCCCAGGTATTGCTGAAAGAATGCAAAAGGAAATCACTGCTTTGGCTCCATCTTCTATGAAGGTGAAGATCATTGCTCCTCCAGAAAGAAAGTATTCTGTTTGGATTGGTGGTTCTATTTTGTCTTCCTTGTCTACCTTCCAACAAATGTGGATCTCCAAACAAGAATATGATGAATCTGGACCTTCCATTGTCCACTTGAAGTGTTTCTAAATATATCATATTCTTATCTTATTATTAGTTTGGTAAAAGGATTTGATAACTAGAAGCTAGAAAAAGGTTTTAATCTTTTCAAAATCTGGTCTTGTTGATTTGGAAATTTGTAATAACCTTTTTTTTCGTTTTTTATTTTTACTATATAATAAATAAAGAAGAAAGAAAAGTTTGAATACGATAATTGTAGATGTAGCGAGGTGTATAATTTGAACTAGAACTTCAATTCCGAAGCTTTTCCTTTTAAAGTACCCAAAACGCACAGAGATGCATAGCGTTCAATAACGTTGTCTTCATGTAACATGTCAAAGCTTTCTGTAGCATCCTTTCCAGCAAAGTTTAAGATAGACTGCTCGCCTCCAGGATGGTCAGCTAAGAATGAGGTTAAGTCCAAAACAACGTTCTTCACTACACACCAACAATCATCAGATTTATTGTGTTTAGCGATCTCTTCCATTGTGAATTCTTTCTTTGGGATAGAAAAAGACTTACTTTGTTTCTGTTCTTCTTTTCCCGGGGTTGGGGACCTCGGGGGTTTCAGTGCAATCTGTCCATCAGCTTCCTTTCCTTGATTGGAATCCGATCCTGGGCCATCCCAATTGATCGTAACTCTATTGCTTTGGGGATCAATATGCAAATTAATCTGCTGCAATCTCACGACTGCTGAATTACTATCTTGAGAGTCTTTGGTTTGTAAAGTATTAGAAAGCTTTTTGAGTAAAAAACTTGACGCTTGATCAGCAGCTAATCTCCCAAAAACAACACAGGCTAATAAACTTGAACCTCCTAATCTATTATGACCATGAACGCCTCCTGCCACTTCACCGCAGGCATATAAGCCTTTGAATGGCTTAAAGCTATTGCCTTCTTCGCTGTCCTGGTACATCACTTGAGTCTTATCATTGATCTTAATTCCTCCCATAGTGAAATGAAGAACTCTGGTTACAAAAGAAACATAATATTCTTCTTTGGTATTGAAAGTAAAAGGAGTATTTGGGAAATACTTCTTACCAAATTGATCTGGGGTAGAATTGTTGTGACTGTTATAATCATCAAACTCCTTAGTCAAAATTAAGCTGTCAACTCCAATATCTACAGCTAATTCTTCACCTGTGACCTTCCTCATAAGATTACGTTGCTGGTAATGTTTCACATGGAACTCTAGCTTTGATGCAGCCTTGGAGTTGAGGATTAATCTTATAGGACCTTGGCCTTTCTTCAATTGTTTCTCCATTTCTCCACTGACATAGTCTCGTGTACCGAGTTCATCTACAAACCTTTCACCTCTCCCATTGAGCATTATACCTCCTTCCCCTCGCAATGCTTCTGCCCCTAAGAATAGAAATCGAGGTTGTTTCAACCCATTGATGACATCTTTACTGTCATAGTCAATTAACCCAGTAGGGTGAACTTGTACTTTGTCAAAATCAATTCCAATGGCCTTGTTTTTTAACATAATCTTTTGTCCATCTCCAGTAGCATGAACTCCGTTAGTGGAAGGCAAATCAAAAATATCTGGTCTATACTTTCTAAGCAACGAGTTTTTTGTAAAGTCTGCTGCATACCCTCCAGTGGCCATAATCACAGGACCACTAACTACACCTTTTTCCTTTGTCTTCAAGTCCTTATACTTCACTCCAATGGTATCTTGTCCCTCCATCAATAAATCAACTACTTGGGTATTTTTAAGAATCACGACTCTACCTGGTTGTTCCTCACTCAAGTTCTCTAAGGTCTCAAGTAATCTATAGGTGATTGCCATTCCTGGGAACTTTGCGTCATGGCCTCTATGAGTTCGTGGTTGGGAATGACCTCCTAATCTGCTTACTACCGTCAAGTCTAAACCAAAAACTTCTTGAAGCCAATGAATGGCATCACTTGAATGGTAAGTTAAAACCTTGATCAACTCGGGGTTAGCACGATCTTTTGCACTAGCCAATGTATCCTGGTAGAACTGATCAACTGAATCTTTAATTCCAAGTTGAACTTGTGTTCTAGTGAGAGCACCATTGATCCCTGAGGTTGCCTTTCCGGAGTTTCCACTGAGAAACCCCTGTTTATCTATTAAGACCACATTGGATCCTCGTAAATAGCATTCATGAGCAGCAGATAAGCCGGCTAATCCGCCACCGACAACTATTATGGGATTGTTTGGAAACGACATGACTTCTTCAACAATTGTTAATGGGAATTGTAGTAATTTATAGTTGCTTACTTTCGGTTTCTCACAATTGGTCAAAGCACCTTTTTTGCGGGGGAGGATGGAGTTAAAGACATATAGGCTCAGTATAGAGTGAGAGAAATTATGTTTATATGCTATAGTTCTATTCGATTCTGGTATGTTTAATGGGAAATGTATTGGAAGACGTAACTGATATCGTCGAATTGGCTTTCATTTTGTAGTAAATCATCATGATTCTCTTTCAACTTCTCGTGATTCAAATGGTTCCAGGTGGTGGCATCTCCATATAACATAGCAGGAGCATTGGTGAGTTGTACTCCATCTTGACACCGTTTACAACCGTAAGTGTCATGAGTGTCACAAACGGTATTGGATTCGAATTGAAAAAGCTGCTTCAAGTTATCTGCACTAAAAAGTCTTTCAACGTCAACCTTTTCATCAACAACACATGAACTTAAACTTAATTTCATTGACTGACGCTGAAATATCTTCTCTTCAATTGTACCGGTAGAAATGAATCTGTAAATAAAACAGTCCTTTTTCTGGCCATCTCTCCATACTCTTGCTAATGCTTGTTGGTCCGCAGCCGGATTCCAATCTGGATCAATCAACACTAATCTATTGGCGCCGATCAAGTTAATTCCACATCCACCAGCTTTGGAACTCAACAAGAAAATAAACTCCTTCCCATCTGGATCATTAAACCTGTCAACTAGTTTCTGTCTCTTATTAATATTCATAGTTCCATCAAGTCTAAGATTTCCATACCGTTTGACTCTGCACATCCTCTCAATCAAGTCAAGTGTTTGAGTATAGTTTGATATCAAAACAATCTTGTCTCCTGTCTCATGGTGAAGTTTATATAGGAATCTCTCAAGTATTGAAAATTTACCACTTAGCCACGTTTGAACTTCACGCTTTTTATAGTCGTAGTCATCTGGCATTAACTCTTGACAGCCGTCTAAGTCCTCGGGAAGGTTGAGCAAATTCGGATGGTTGCATAATTTCTTCAAAAGGCCAATAGCCTTTAAAGGTTGCAGCCCATGGCCTTTGAGTAGCTTTTTGATTTCGGGACTTGTGATAAAGAAATTGTACAATTTTGTTTGTAATGGTGATAGGTTGACAAATATGACGTGCTCATATTTTATAGGCAAGTACTTTGATAGAATATCATTTGTACGTCTAATAATGAACCTAGATACAAGGGTAGTTAGCTCATTCAACTTTTTATCACCAGACTCACGTTCTTTGTCGCTGGCATCTGCATCACGACCTCTCAAAATATCATTTTCGTAGTTCCTTCTGAAGTCATTTCTAGTACCCAAATAGTTGGGATTGGAAAAGTTCAATAAAGAGAAATACTCAGACAAGTCATTTTGAATAGGAGTTCCAGAAAGTATAACCCTTCTTTCACATCTCAATTCATTCAAAGCATTAAATGTCAAAGAATCTCCATTCTTCAATCTATGCCCCTCGTCAGCAAGCATTAAACCAACCTCTGTTCCTGATAGTTTGTCAACATGACGTCTTAAAGTTTCATAAGATATGATAAGAACTGGCCTGACAACATTTCTTCCGCTGGCAACACTCCATTGTTTTAAGCTATCCCCGATCTCTGAATTCTTAACGCTTTTCCCATCAATTGCCAAAGGTGTCAAGACCCCTTCGCCAAGCCATTTTATAATCTCGTTAGCCCAGTTACGAACCAAAGATGAGGGACAAACAATGATGCACTTGCTGATCGTCTTTCTTCCTCTTGGACTTTGCTTCAATAATGTCCACATAAGTGCTATGCACTGCAATGTTTTGCCCAATCCCATTTCATCTGCCATAATACAACCCTTGGCTTTCGGGTCTATTAATCCAGAAGTGCATCTATATAAGAACTTCACCCCTTCAACCTGATGAGGACGTAAAATCTTGGCTAGTCTAGGATCGATAACAACTGGGACATTAGGATGTTTAGAGGCATCATCCTTATATTTGGAGATCCCCAATATTTCTGCAAGAGATTTGTGGACTTTACGCTTTTTGGTGGCTGGCTCTTTGTTCTCTTTATTGTCATCCAGTTCTTGCTTTGGTTCCTCTGTCTTTTCCTCTTCTCCAGGTATTACATCTACAGTTGGATCATACAAGACAATGGCAAATTCACTTAAGGGATCATGGAGTGCCCTTGGTGGGAGAATGACTTTTGGTTTTGTACCCAATGGCGGCGGTGGCAAGTTCACGATCTTAGATTTGTCTTTCAATGGTACTGCAAATTCAGCTCTCAAGCGTGTCTCGCTATTTAAGCTTACTAATTGACGAGGGTTCAAAGCACCTATCTTCTTTGCTGGTATCACGTGGCCATCTTCATTTACAGGGATATCATCTGGGTTCTCTAGGTCCAAGGCATAGTTATGCTTCTTATTTCTGGCAGACCTTTGTGGTTGGTTGTATCTGGAGCCATCTTCATTGGAGGCAATTTTGAACGGAACTTTGAATGGTTTAGCGAGCCTTTCAGCACTGTCTTTTACAGGTTTTGGCCTTCTGTTCTTGGGAACTCCTGCTCCGGATCCTAAGGGAGTGGTGAATTCTGAAAGTGGTTTCCTATTCCCTGTGAGCTTGACCTTCATCACTATCGTGTTTATGTTTTGTAAAAAAACGCGACTTCATCAGATAATCTTTCTCATCCCCAGATCATCGTTTTAGATCTTTATTCCGTCACATGGACGATTTCATTACAAAGGCATCAAGCCAAGCGGTATCATTTGCCATTAGATCGGGTATATCATTGGCATCTGGATATGCTATCCGTACCGTTACTAAATTTGTCGATAAAATTCCAGAAAAAGACAAGGCTCAGTTGAACAACAAGATTCATAGAGTGAAACTTCAAATCAACATTGTCAGTCCTTCAATAGAATTAATCAAGTCAATGAACGCTGGTGGGTTCAGTTCTTTACAAAGCTGTAATGAGCTAATTGATCAAATGACTCAGCTGTTCAGAGAATTTGATGACATGGTGGAGAAGTGGCTGGACCAACTTAGCAATTCTAATACTGGAGATGTCATTAAACAAGTTAATAAACAGCTTGATGGCTTGATAGACATGATTGATCAAACAGTTCCATTGTTAAATTTATGTATTGTCACTAGTGGCATTAACTTAAACCGAGACTTAAGTGAAGAGATTAGTATCAATAAATTGATAGAGGCTTCCAATATAATTTTGGGTAGCAGAGATAGCACTAATACAGGGCCTGTGTTTGATTTAACCTTCTTTTCAGTATTCTACAACCCAAGCAGGCTCAAGTATATTGAACATGAACTGGGAAATCAAGAAGATGAAACTCCCATAACGTGGAAAGAGGAATTTGCTAGGGCAAAAGTCCTGATTAAGTCTACTGGAAACTTTTCATATGACTTGAATATAATAGAGGACTTTGATGATGATAGATATCATGAGGGGGCACCAAAAACAAAGGTGGTCAAAGTGAACGATGTACGAAAGATTTTCTTTAGTAGATCAGGTAAGCTATTGAGATTAGACAACAATGATTCTGCTGTATTGATTCTAAAATTAGACGATGAATATATCGCTTTTGGAATATATGAAGACGTTGATAGTGAAAGTGATAATAATGAGAGTGACGATTCTGAAGACGAAATAGAAAAAGGTGAGACTGCTAAACAAGAAACTTCTAAATCCTTGTCTCTATTAGAGTACATTCTAAGATTAACAATTCTAGAACAAGTTGAATCGAAGTCATTAATTGAGATAACTGATGAGAAACTTTTGATTTACTTGAATAACGAGATTCCAAGAAAGAGTTCTAAAGTATCGACTCAAACCCTTGACATGGACTCAAATGTCAATAGGCTTGAGAACTTAAAAATATGACAAACATGTGGTTTTCTTTTTAAGTTTAATGTGTTAATTATGAATAAATAATCTTTAATCATTATGTAACATTTACTGATTATTATCATAATCATTCAAGAAATGTTCCAAATCTTCATCCAGAATATAGAGCTCGTTTGATTCCAAAATGTTACCAAAGGGAAAATTTTTACTTGTAGGAACTGGATTCATGATCACATTGCTGTTGTGATTATTGTTAACATTCACGTCCGCATTTTGAGGACTATGTGGAGCAATATTAAGGTTTGAAGAAGAGTTTATGTTGGAAACATTTCCTGATGGAGGATAAGCATCGAATTTCGAGTCGGTAAATGATGAGCCCGAATTCACGGATAATACAGATGATGGCCTATTCTTAAATGAATGAGACCTTGCAATAGATGAAACAACCTGAAAATTTGGATTCGAATTCAGATGTGTTGTTGTAATGCCATTGCCATTGGTTGAGCCCATTTCTGAAGCAGCGGCATTATTGATGATATATCCATCATTATTGTTAATGGACATACTACTTTGGGCTGGAGTAGGGCTACTTGTTGACTGGTTTGATGAATGGGAAGAACTGTTATTAACCGATGAGGTTTGGTTTGAATTACCCATTGACGACGTAGGTTGATCAGAAGGTAGCGATGACAAAGGCATGTTTTCGTTATCAAAAGATTGAGTACCAATCAATGGGAACAATGGAAAGTCCATTGATTTATCAAAATTTTTGTGGTTCCCACCATCTGAATCTCGAACTGAGGATTTCATATTATTGTAATCACCAAGGTCTAATTGATTTGAGTTTAAAAATTCGAATAAATCACTGTTGGATTTGATGAATTCGTCGTCAATGGTAATCTTTCCTTCCATGATAGAAGTTGTCAGACTAATAGCATTTTCTGAATCTTTGCCCTTATCTTTCTTTTTTGACTTTTCGGCAATTTTAGACTTATGAGTATGATAACAAGTACAACCTGCAGGGTTTTTCAAACAATTTGAAGCATGAGTTCCTCCTTTCTTGTCACAAGAGCAGCTAATATGTAAAGATTTCAACTTCCGTTGTTCTCTGCAATGCTGGCATTGAGATGCTGGTCTTCCTTTGGGTTTTATCATGGTCAAAGGTTGATCCGTATGAGTACAGGATGTAACTCGATGACCTCGAATACATCTTTCACAGGCATACTTAATTCCATGAACAAGCACCATCCCTTTCAATAATGAACCGTTGAGTAAGAAGGATTTTTTATATGAAACAAAAGAATATGTTCGAACTGCCTACTGCCAGTGTTGGATCGAAAAGTATCTCTATCTTGCAGGATTAAAGCAACCAAAACCTGGGTTCAAGGAAACCCAAACAAAAAGCACCACCTAACGTGCAAAGGGGCGTATTGATCAACTAGGAAAGACACAACGCCTTAAAGAAGTGGGACTTGTAAATTATATCCTAGGGAGATAATAACTTCGGCAATGTATTTCGAAATTCTTGTTACCTCAAGAAAACCCAGTGAACAAACGGTGGGTGGGAGTAGAAGCGACTCTTGTTACACAAGTAGCAGAAAACAGCTCTGAATTAGTTTGGGGATTAAACAACCAGTAATTTTATGTAAAAGTAAGCAGACAAAGCTGGGATTTCCTTTGAGTGATACAACATCTCAGGAAAATTTCTGAGAAAATGGGTGGCGCACGTAATCGACAGAGAGCTATTCGGCTTAGAAGGTTCCAAGAACCAGTATTGGATACAAGTTGATTAAGGTTAGAACTTTAAAATTCAATATTTAATATTGCACTACTGAGCTTTTTCTCCCCCCATCGATTACCTTGATCGTAACTTTTCAAAACCGTAAGCAATACAATCTGACACATTACTACGTCATTTTCATCGCAGCTCGGGAGTCAGCCGCAGCATTTAAAGTCAAAGTGCACAAGAAAAACCAGGCTTGCGTCTAGACCTTTTGGTTTTGGATACTCCGTCATTTTGCCATAACTACATTCTCTAAAACTAAAGATGAGGTGCGTGTAGTCTCCGTAGATATTACTTCTATTGCTGTCTCCGTCTTCAGTACACTTGGATGGAAGCTTGGCTCCGGTCGCTCCGCTCGGGCGCTTAGACTAGAATCCCAAGGTTAGAATATCTCTGCATAACGACAAAAAGAGCCACGTATGAAAGATGCAACAATAATTATATTCATTCTGTATACTGTCCGTTTTGTGCACTGGATCAGAAAACTATTGATTCTCACTAAAGACCCCTATTTGCAGCCATATAAATGAGACATATGAGTATACATGTCATCGACTTTCTCAAAATATTTCAACAGTAATACTGGGTGCATACCGAAGGAGGTTCTAAAGGAAATAGTCTTTTGCCTTCCAAAAAGAACATTTTAATTATACGGTTCAAACCGAAGTGCCTTATGAAATTAGGAGTTACTAGAAAATGCCATTCGCGCTCGATCATTCCCACCACCCAATTCCTTTAGCATATTTTTATTGATTCATTAAGCATCTTCTTACTTGCAGGCTTTATAAAGATTTTGTATCCACAATGCCAGCTGTCAGTACTCATGGAAGTCAAAGGAACCAAATGAACCGGTCACTCCGTGAACAACTAACATCCTTATGTCGAACTCAACAATTTTATTGGTTCTTGGGTCATCTACTCACAGTTGTGCTCTTCATTTCCAATCTTGCAGAGTCGATATTCTCTTCAAATTTGAAGTACTATAGAATGTGTTTATTCAGTGTCATTGTGACCTATGTGATTGTCATAAAGCAGATACACTTCAAGAATAGAACTACAATCAAAAACTTTACAGTGGCCAAGTTTTTAAAAGATGAGAACGCTCAATACTTTATCCTTTCTGTCTGGTTCTATCTTGTCAGTTATAAAATAGGTAAAGTCAGTGGTGCATTATACAGTTTTGTGATATATTCTATATTTCACATCCTTTCTTACTTCCAATCCAACATTTTGGCATATTTGTCCATTGGCATTCAACAGGAACAAAAGATTAACAATCTCATCAAGCGATTCGTATCTCAGTTTAACCAATACGCTTTAATGATGGCTGCCAATAGCGAAATATTCATTGTCATCAGCTTAGCATTGTACCTGCCACTTTTGATGTTACGAATTTTCAGCCAATTACCTTACATTGTTATACACTTCGCTACACTCGCTATCATGATTGGATTTCTCAAACTCAGGTACACAAATAGTACTTTTACACGCCAAATATTAACTCAGTACGACATGAAGATACAACAAGTATTGGCTACCATGCCGCAATTACAGCAGTTCCTAGTGATCTACACTAATATCAAACATCTGATTATTGGTTATTTGGCACCCCTTGATGCATTAGTTGCACCTGTCGCTGAAAAGAAGAATCAATAATTTGTTCCGCACTAGTTGTTGAGTATAGGATTTTTCCGTTTTCAAGTTCGTTGTATAGGTAGATATATCTTGTTTATAATGGCATCATCGAGCCTGAAGAAAATCGCCCAAACGAATAAACAGAAGCTTTATGAATTGCATCTGATAAGTGCTACAGTGGTACTTTTGTGTGCTGCTATTGTATGGTTCTTCAAAAGACCTTCTTCCATTAAACCATTCCTATTTTTCCAGCTCCCTTTAATCGGCTGTCAGTACGTTATTGAATCTAGTTGCAGACCAAAGTATAAATACGACTCTGTTGGTGACTATGATAAGTTGGTAAGTTCTGGTCATGATATGAACCAGTCAGGGTTAACTGAGTATATGACCGATGTCATCTATTTTACCTGGATTCTTGACATAACAGTTGTTGCATTGGGATCTAATAAAGTATGGTATTTGTTGTTAATTATTCCCGGATATGCTGCATTCAAACTATCTGGTTTCATTAAAGGTTTCTTTCCTAGTAAACAACAACAGCCAGAACAGGCATCACTCGACCCTCAAAAACCTGAAGGTAAGAGTAAAAGACAACAAAAGTTGGAAAAGAATGGTAGAAGAAAGATCTTAAGGTAAAGCTGACTTCTTTTATCTGTATATGACTCCAAAATTATCACTAATAACACGATATAGCCTGATTCTTGCCTTTCTTTGCTCTCAATTGGTTCGCAGTAGAATTGTAATTTGAAACTCATCATCTTTGATTTGTCACTCTCATGTTCCAAAGACTTTACAGCACATTATCCAAAATGCCGGCCTGTATAGTAGTCAGATCACACGTGAATGGTCCTGTTGAAGAGAAGATTGTTAACAAGTTATTAGCTCTTAATCCTACTACTTTGAAAGTGTTCAATGATTCCCATAAGCATTCCCATCATAGAAGCATGCAAGAAGCTGATAATACGGTGGAATCCCATTTCAGAATTGAAATAGTCAGTGAAGAGTTCAAGGGAAAGGGTTTGCCAAACAGACATAGAATCATCTATAAGTTGTTGGATGATGAGATCAAAATAGACAAGGTGCATGCATTGCAATTGAAGACTAAAACCCAGGAGGAAGTAGAGAGAGCAAGTGCTTAATAGACGAACAGTACACAGCAGAGTATGTAATATTTCTTCATATAACAATGTTTTTGTGGTACCAGAATAGGCGATAATGCCAACTACCTGCACTTGGATGACAAGAGAGCAAGACCAATGAGATTGCAAATATTACTAGAAGAGAATCTTTTCAGCAACATCTCCACAATCATTCTGCTACGATTCGAAATCTCAGTTTGCTCTATTACTACTCGATGTCGGCTGACAGACTTAAAATTAAAATTCGGATGTAGATCAGTTATTTACATTACACAATTGTCCTGTCGCCCAATGTGAAGCCGAGACTTATCGTCATATATCCTTAACACGACTCATCAAAGACTATATTTTATCTTGTGATACTAACATCATTTTAGTTACGTCGCTCCTTTCAAGAAGAGAACTTCCTAATACTGTCAAGGAGCTCAATAAATGGGCTACTTTGCACATTGGAGCCTCTGTTATCATCTCATATCTCGGGAGTTATTTTGAAAGCAATTATTATTAACATATATTAAACAAAACACTCTAATCAGTTAAATGGATATACTAGGTTCACTACTTCTCTCCTTATCACCCAATGCTTCTTGAGCGGTAGCATTCTTGGCTACCAATTCAACAATTCTTCTAATTACCGGTAAAGTCAACCATGCTGGAACGTAAGCTTCCACTCTAGAGAATGGTCTCAAACTCACGGTTCTAAAAGGATCGTTGAAATATCCATCAGTAGACACTAATTCGAATAATTCTTGAGTACCAGCATCCCCTGAAGACTTCACTCTATCAGCAACAGCTTGAAGTACATCTGGTGATATTGGGGTTTCATAGTCAGCAACGTAATATTGGCTTATCAACTTTTGAATCTGGTTTGGTCTCAAAGCATAACAAATTTCATAAATGATTTCGATATCTTCGGGTGTATTCTTCTTGATCTGGAGGAGTTTAGCAGCTTGGAACAAATGGCATAGGTAGACGCTAGCTTCCTGTATTTCATGACCCTTGCACCATTCTTCTAATCTTGTCACGTTATAGTTCAACTGCAAGCCTCTCTTCCAAGACAAAAAGTTTCTCCTCATTATCAAATCATTGAAACATAATGCATCGATAAACCTGAGTAACTCGACCAAAACTTCATGCATCACCTCCTGTTCAATGAAATATGATTTCATTGACCAGTATACATTATTGAAGAAGCTCAAAATATCATCCATCTTGTATTGATTTGCTGGGGAAAAGACCTTCGACAAAAATGGTGAATTTTCTGGTGCCATGTATCCAGGTAAAGACTGCGATAAAACGACAGCAGAAACAGCCTTTTTCTCCAAATCTTTCTCCATCTTCTTCATCCACATGTTGTAGATGTTGTATGATAAGGATTCAAAATCTTCCTTGACAACAGCAATAAGTTTCAAGTATTCTTCAAATTCTTCTTCACTCATTTCAAAACTCAAAGTGTCGTTAGAAAGAATAGTCTGTTGGGCGTATGAAACGAAAGAATACAATTCATGTGTGTTGGATAACCAGAATGCACCATTGGGTATGACATCATCGCCTTTTAAATTTGAAACAATTACTTGAATTGTAGCTAACACTTCACCTAAGAACTCTTCGCTCTCTTTGGTTAAACCTAATCTCCACATATCACTCAAAATAATGATGATGATTCTAGCTGGGAACAAAATTTCCTTTCTGGTGTAATCAGAAGCAACTCCGGCTTGAGGTATCTTCAAATTCTTTAACAATCCTTCAACAACTTCACGGTGTAATTGTCTCGAGTTTCTTAATAATCTGAACAACTCATCATTAATGTCATCAATGTTGGTCTCATCATCATTAGAAACAGCAATAACAGAAACCGGCCTATTCGTAGAACCATCATAGTTAGAATTAGAAGTAACAACACTTGAGTGGCGTTTAGTATTAATACTTCTATTCTTAGCAACATTCAATTGAGGCAAGTTGATTTGCTGGTTCTGTAAAGCAGATAATTCACTTTTCAATTGATCTATGTGAGATTTCAAATCACCTTCAATCGTGTCTTTGTGGGCTAAATCACTTCTTGCCTTCTTCAAATCTTCCAAGTTTCTCTCAACTTCTGACTTTAAGGCATTTTGTTCTTTAGTTAACTCTTCAATCTTACTTTCAGCCATAGTGTAGTCGATTTTGACTTGGTTTAATTCTTTGTTTAAGTTTTCAATTTCAAGTTGGTGCCTTTCATCTTGCTTATCAAAATTCTTTTGGAACTCCAACTCTTTTGTCTTCAAGTTTTCTTGAATGGTTGCGGACAGATCTAATAAACCTTTCAAACGAGTGATCTCTTGCATTAAGCCCTTGTTATCTTTGATCTTAGACGTCAAAGATTGAGTTAACTCAACGACTTTGTTTTCCAATTTGTAAGATACATTCTTGAGGTGATTTACAGATTTAGCCTCAACCTTTAACTGACTTAATTCCTTTACAGCAAGTTTTCTTCTGATCAAAGATTGAATTAATACAGCTGACAGAACATGTTTCTTGTAGTTTCTTCTCTCTTGCAAGCCTCTCCATGAATTTTGTAAAACAATCGCAGATTTCTCTGTTCTTAATGACAAGAGTGACTGTCTAGCTTTGACTCCTCTCCAAGCCTTCTGTAAGACAACAATAGATTCAAGAGTTTGATTGATCTGTTTTCTAGTCTGGTATCCTCTGATTAAGGTTTGAATCTTGATCGCTGCGTTTGCTTCAGCTTCTCTTTGGATTTGAAGTCTTCTTATATGTCCCCTTACCAAAGATTGCAATTTAATATGGCTTTCTCTGATTCCCTTATACCTCTTTTGAGTGAGATGTCTCTTTATGTTCTTTTGGATCAAAGTTGCAGAGTTGTACAACTTATCAGCTCTCAATTTTTCAAACTGAGCCAACATACCAGCTTTAAAGAAAATCTTTGTGTTACCTAATTGATATTTAGCTTTATCAGGAAGGTTGGTCGTTAAGATCTGATTACACAATCCACTTACAGATTCTTTCGTTGTATCTTCGCTCATCACCTTGATCCAATCATTCGATGGAACTAATATGTGGTATCTATCAGCAAACTCCACATACGTCCAACGAGAAGGGAAACCAGCACAGGAAATTCTAATTGTTTCTAAAACTCCACAAGCTCGTAACTGCGACAAGACCATCAATGAATCAAATTCCCAAGCTTTCTTCAACTCGTTTGGCTTAATACATCTGATATAGTGAACGTTTGTTGAGTTTATAGTTTTCATTAATTCAATCAAGGAATTCTTGAAAATTGACCCCAATGTTGGCTTCTTATTTGCAATAGATTTACCACTTGTTGGGGCGCTCAACTGTAAAGCGGACGCGTTCTTGTCAATAATGGATAAAACTTCCTTCAACAATTCATTGGTGGAATTTTTCAAAACCTCTAAGTGGCCTTCACCAACGGTGTCTCTATTCTTTTCGATAAAACCTTCAATATCATAGGAAACATCTAAAGCATAATGACTGACAATAAATTTCGATTGGCCGAATCTTGGCTTTTTAAAGACGTGATTCGTAGGTTCTTTATTCAACGTCTGATACATCTTCTCAATCAATGATTGATCAGAACCTGCAGGCAATCTAGATTCTTCATCCAATAAAGATAATATACCCAACTTGTTTTCAATCAAGTTGATACAGGGTTGGTTATCCGAAAATTCAATAAAAGACCATTCGATTTCTTCCTTGATATATTCTTCTTGCTCTAATTTGAAAACATGTTGGTTGAATTCTTGTTGTAACTTTTCATTGGCATAGTTGATACAGAACTGTTCAAACGAGTTCTTCTCGAAATGTTCGAAACCGTAAATATCCAAGACACCAATAAAAGATTTAATATGTTCAACAATCTCTGGGGGACACAAATCAGCATTAATGTAATCAACTAACCAGTCAAATAAAGCAGCATAAATATATTTGGCAAATGAATCCCTTGCAACTAAAGCTTGTTTATAATTCAAATTGGAAATAATCTTCTCTGCTCTTGTAGTAATCTGTTTTTTAACGCACCATTTACTGAAAGCCATTGCGTCTATTCCCAATAAATCGCAAGCTTTCACTAAGTTGGGCTCATCTGAACTTAAATGTGCATCATTTCTTGATGGGGAAATTTCAATGTTACCAATATGTAATAAAGCAGCCAAAATCTTGAATATTTCGAATTGTTTGTCATCTTCTATTCCAATTAAGCTCAAAGCATCCTTAGTAATATTAAATTCTTCCTTGTCATCAGTACCATCAATAATTGAGGCGTCTCCTTGAGACGTGTAGTTATAATCATCAGGACCAGCTAAACTCAACTTCAGTTTATCATCTTTATCCAAACCAGCTAATAGTTGGTAAAAGATATGATAATTTCTTTCATTTTTAGGCTGAAATACTAATCTTGACCTTTCTAACAAGTATGTCCTGATTCTAGCACCAATAATGGAAGTTTTGTTGTCGAATAAAATTTCCAAATATTTACCGAAACGTGACGAGTTATCATTCCTGGTGGTTTTTGCATTACCAAAAGCTTCCATGATTGGATTTGTAGCCAATATTTGCTTTTCAACTTCACTCATATCGTGGGATCCATTTACGGTTCCAATACCATTGGACAAAACGTCAGAATCAGAAATGGCACCCTCAGGCTCCTCGGATCCAACAGAGGCAAAATATCTCATAATATATTTAGCACTCACAGTCTTACCAGCTCCTGATTCACCACTAACAACAATCGTTTGATTCTTTTGATCTCTCTTCATACATTTGTACGCGTCCTCAGCAATTGCAAACAAGTGGGGATCCAATTCACCTCTACCCCTTCCACTATAGGCTTGAATGATATCTTGAGAGTACAAGGCATCAATTTTTTGAAAAGGATTCGTGGCAATCAACACAATACCAGAGTAAGTATAGATATTCAACTGGGAGTATCTGAGTTTAATGGCATGTAAAACAGCTGGTTCATTCAAATATGATAAATTAGTTAAATCTTCAGAAGCTTCTAAAATAGGAGGATTTCTTAAAGGAATCTTTGAATTCTCTTCATTCGTGTTATCATGTTCAACTGTGAAGACTTCTTTTGCTTCAGTCTCACTTGCCAATTCTATAACAAATTTATTGCCTTTTGGAGTAACGGACTTAACAGTGACTCCTACCCATCCAACTTTGTCGTCAGGATACCAACATTTGGTTCCAACATCATAAGCTGACACCATGGCTTTTTTTGTAACTTGATTCTAATCCTGACTGCTTTTGTTGTCTTAAAAAGTAGACGTATTCAATCACGGTGTATTTTCAAATGCAATGGATAGTGTAATCCAAAATCAGATACAAAACAGCGAATAACAGTTACAAGAAGAAATAGATTCGTTGTGGTAATTGTTTAGTTTTGGATCACTTTGATCTCGACGCGTAGAAAGATGGTAGGTGCACTTAAATACAAAACTTCTGGTTTCAGAATATTTGGCGACTGTGCAACTAGCGAAACGGATTTATTTTACTCCCAGTTCAAGTTCATTTCAATTATGACACTATCTATCCAGGCATGGGTTAGTTTCTCTTTCATTTCATTTGTATTTAATACCCTATTTGCTCTACACCACACTCCCAAATCGTTTACAACTTGAAAGGAGGTGATTCCAATGGTTCGTACACGCTTTCAAATAATCTGTCATTCGGCATCAGTCGATTTTGAAACCGGGTATCGATAAACAGATCATTTAAGTCTTCAATACGACTGACCCCAAGTAATCTCATATTCATGATCATCTCATCCTTCAATATTTGAATGGCCTTGTAAACTCCGTCATCGCCGTAAGTGGACATGGCATAAAGAAAAGGCCTTCCAATTCCAACTCCTTTTGCACCAAGGCAAAGAGCTTTCAAGATATCGGTAGCTCTTCTTATACCCCCATCGATATAAATCTCTAACTTGTTCTCCAATTTCTTGGCCTTTAATATATAATGAAGTTCTGCAAGAACATCAATTGGAGGTCTGGAGAATTCAAGTTGCCGTCCCCCATGATTGGATAAAACAATACCATCCACTCCGTAGTCTATAGCCTTCAAGCTATCTCCAACAGTTTGAATACCTTTCAAAATAATGGGCAACTTTGTAATACTCCTGAACCACTTTATATCTTCCCAATTTAACAGGGTGTCGATGAACGAGGAAATAGCTCTAGCAGCCCCTTGGGAACGATCAATAGAATCATCGTCGGTGTCTTGGACGTGACTTAAGTCTTCAAAGTTCTTAGACCTCATATCTTTCTCTCTTCTACCAAGCTGGGGTGCATCCACTGTGATAAAAATTCCCTTTATGCCTCTGGCTTCTGCATGCTGGACAATTGATTTGCAGATTTCCCGATCTGAGTTGACATACAACTGAAACCATTGGATTTGTTTATCAGTTGCTTCATCTATAATTTCATCAAATGAGCACGAAGCTAATGTAGGAATCATTTGGATGATATCCTGCTTTGCTGCCGAACGGGTGAGAACCTTTTCCCCATCAGGGTGTCCTAAACGACCTAAAGCTGTAGCAGTGATATAAAAGGGAGCACTAACATTGTCATTAAGCATTGTGGTGGATATGTCAATAGCTGAAACATCCACTAAGACCCTTGGATTGAAAAAATAATGGTGGTAAGCTGAATGGTTTTCCCTTAATGTTATTTCATCATCACAACCAGAGGAATAGTATGCCCAAGCAGTTTTCTCCATTGTGTGCCTTGCTACAAACTCAAAGTCATTCAAATTGTAGATTTGGGAAATATCGGGTTTAGCTTTGGCATACTTACGACGATTCAATTCGTACGCATCTGGTGGATCATCTTCATCGTCATCATATTCACCGTCCTCATCTTCATTAGCAGCCAAATTTGCTGGAATAGGAAAATTCATGGGCCTTTTATTGTCCTGCTCATCATACTCTACATCAAACTCATCAACTGTCAGCTCGTCAGCCGAAACAACCGGTGTTGCTTGTGTTGCTTGTGTTGCTTTTGTTGCTTCTTTGGTGGCTTGAGGAGTCTTTTTTGAGGTGGAAGTTTTTTGTTTTAGCTTCTTGATACTATCAGGATCAACCTCGCCCTTGAAGCATGACCCAGGTAGATATTTGGTTAAAGTGTCAGAAGGATGAATAGGGTCAAAGGCCTTTGTAGCATCCTTCCCGGCATACTTAAGGATAATCCCAGAACCACCAGGATGTTCACTCAAGAAATCAGTCACGTCATAGACTTTGTTGTGGATAATCACCCAGCAGTCTGCTTTAGAATTGTGCTTTCTAACTTCTTCAATCAGTACTGACATTAATATGTGGTTGATTTAATTAAAGAGATAAGCTGCTGAAAAAATAATTAGCGGATTAGAATTACATAGTCAGTGAGTGGTTGCCCCACATTTAGGGATTTAGTTGCCAAAATTGGCCACTACTTACCTCCGAAGAACGCGAGCTTCTGAGATAGAGCAGAGAGGGGGAGTCTTTTTTTACTTGCCTAACTTCTTGAACACACGTGAACTACAAACATACAATAGCGAGTGGCAAACCTACTATGTTCTGTCTAAAACAATTCAAATATACTGAGTTTATCAGTCATAAAAAAAGACACCAAAAGGAGGGATTTCCCCAGGTTACCTCGCAAATAACAGAAAATGATAATACCTGCTACTCCCAGGGGGCTGAAAGACCCAAGGCGGCAATAGATGCTTCCAAGGTCGTGAGCTGTAATGAATAAAATTGTCTTCCAATATCCCCATTTTGATCAGGGAATCAGAAGACCTGGGGCTGCCAGGCGACTCCATCATTCTACAAGAAAACATGGGACCACCAAATGCTGATGAATAACATCATCCGGAATATCATCAATAATCATAAGAGTAACTGTCACCCACTATGTATACTGGGGGCGTGCTCCTCATCCACAGCATTTTATTGCTTTCCGAAGAGGGATCCGCGATTCCCCAGCATTTCCGAGCTTCCAGTAAGATCAGTCTCAGTCTTGGCTCACGTGAGCGCTGCGAAAATAGTCACTGTAGCAACTAAACTGACTAGGACTAGAAATCCTTCAATCATTTCTGACTTACTACTTCTTTTGACACAATGGACTTCATGTTCTTTTTATTTGGCTTCAAAGAGTTCAATAAACCATTGAAGGATGTGGGAAGTGTCGCTTGCTACTGTGGCAATTGTCACAATCAATCAGCTCATGCTATAAGGTCCATAAACACCGTGACCTTATTTTTCATTCCAGTCCTTCCGTTTTATTTCTCCAAGCGTCTAAAATGCTCTATTTGCGGAGCGTCCGGTGATATTAATGATGAAATAATCAATCGGCTAAGAAGCGGGCAACCAGTTGCAATTGGATAGATTATCGCTAAAAGAAAGTGTTTCGCAAAAAAAATGAGCTCACAAAAGCTCTAGAATTCCATAGAAACTCCAAAACCATAAAACAATGTACATTTACTTTCTCATATTGAGTGATTTTCACTCACCAATACCTATGAGGTTTTGCAGTCAATCCGGTTTTCCTTCATATATCACCCGGCTATGATCTCTTTTTTTCTTAAGGTTTCCTTGAAATCCGGTTGAATGATCACCACCACAGTTACCTAACCCCAAACTACCTATCAACCCGCCCTTACCGAGTGATGTGACCATTTGATCATTTGATCATCTATGTAGCTCTATATTCCTCTATTTGCTGTGCCTCTACTATAAATTATAGACATTTACCCCTATTATCTGTTTTCTCTATTAGAAACATTTACCGTTTAAGAAGAAATTAAATTAAATTAAATTAAATTAAAAGAAATTACTATTTTATCATGGCTTCAATTTCAGAGATCGTTGCACGTGGTAACCAAGCAATTGCTATTAACCCACCTTCATCTTCCGTCGATATTCACCTTACCAGTCATGGTTCTGATTGGCTTTGGGCTGCCTTTTCTGTTTTCGCAACTTTGGCCTTAGTCCATACTGGTTTATTTGCAGCCACACCATCTTCTACTAAGTCACTCAAGAAGTTTTTTACTTTAGTGCCACTTTTCACCAACGCTATTTTTGCTTACACCTACTTTACCTACGCTTCTAATTTAGGTTGGACTTCTACTCCGGTTGAATTTCATCATGTGTCAACATCTGAAGGCTTAGATGTAAGACAAATATTTTACGTTAAGTTTATTGGTTGGTTCTTGGGTTGGCCATTTGTGTTATTGGCTACTGAGGTAGCTACACATTCTATTGAAGTCAAGTATGACACGTCAAGTGAATTAATAACTAAGTTGTTTAACATCTTTTCAAGCTTGGTTGCTAAGGTATTGACTATTGAAGTCTTTGTTTTAGGTTTATTAATTGGTGCTTTGATTCATTCAAGTTACAAATGGGGTTACTTCACCTTTGCTGTATCTGCAGAATTGTTCGCTATATCCTTGATTGTTAACTCCATTGTTAGATCCTTGAAGACCCTGGAAACCAAAAAGGCTGGTATCGCTATTGTTGTATTTCAACTCGTTATTATGGTATTATATCCTATCTGTTGGGGTTTGAGTGAAGGTGGAAACAAGATTCAACCTGACTCTGAGGCTGCCTTCTATGGTATTTTGGATGTTATTAACTTCGGTATTTTACCAAGTGCTTTAACTTTTATTAATACAATAGGGATGGATGAAGGCTTCTTGAACAAATTGTTGCATTTGAGAAGCAATGAAAAGGTGGTTGAGACACCAAGACAAAGTGGAGAAACTGGTGAAACTGCAGTTTAGTTGAATTACTCTATTTCTGCTTGACATTTTGTTTTTGAGTTTGAGGAGTCCGCTCTTTTCATTGTTGGTTCAGCCCGCTTAATTCCTCTCATTTTACTTCACTTTACTTTAATTACTTTGGAATAGTATCTATCAATTAATAGGCTATAATTTGGACTCAATATAATACTTCAAAAAATAAATATATTGTCGTACATTAATTTAGAAATTAATGAGCTTCATGGTCGCAAAACCTATGGTGATAACCACAAAGTACGTGATTATTGAACTTGGTATACCTCTTGTAATAAATGTGCCGACTGTCAAGTATGGATTACCAAACTCATCGGTCATACAAATGGCAGTGACATTAGGAAAACCAGAAGTTGGTAATCCCATTGCGCTCGAGCATAATAAAGCAGTGATCATGATCAAAAGTCTTGGGTGTGGGTCAGGCAAGTTTGCACCTATTTCAGACACCAATGGAACAGTGATCAACGCTGCAACTGTGTGACTAACAAACGTAGCCATTATCAAAATCAATAGACCAAAAGTAATAGCAATTCCAAACAAAGAGAAGTCTTCAACTTCATGTTGAATACCGATAGCAATTGTTTTCAATAATCCCGAAGATGAAACAGCTTTTCCCAAAGCGGTCCCTCCCATGGCTAAAATGACAATGTTCCACGGATAGTTATTAAAATCTTCCGTGGTCAATAATCCTGGGCCGAAGAACAAAACGATTGGGAGTAATGAGATTATTCCCATTTCTCCAAATATTCCTTGTAATTTAGATGCAACACACCATAATACAATGGTTGACACAGAAACTGAGATGATATACCACTGAATTAATGTGAACTTTTCATCAATGGTTCTAATGGAAACTAACTTGGTGTTTTTAGAAGTGCATTTGAAAGTAATTAACAAGAACACCCAAACCAAGACCAAAGCTACCACACAAACTGGAAGCGCGATCACAAACCACTGTCCCCAGCTTGGTTGAGGATCCATAGCCTCAATAGCAATTATATTTTGCGGAGATGCAATAGGAGAAGCCATGCCTCCAATGTTTGAAGCTAGTGCAATACCCAAGATCAAGGCATTCTTGAACGTAGAGTCCTTTGGTAAAGTTCTCAATAGTGGCTGAATTAAAGAGAAGCACAAAACGGGAGCAGCAACATTTGACACCCACATGGACGTGAATAGCGCTATTCCCATGATGGTGATCAAAACAACAGATGGATTGGTCCCAGCTCTGGATAATATCTCAGTTGAGATTGACTTTGCTATTTGATACTTTGACAAAGCAGCAGCTAAAGTAAACCCGCCTAATAATAAAAGGATGACTGAGTTCCACATAGTTCCTAAAATGTACTTGGAGGAATCAACAGCATTCATGGCCGTTCCGTCATCATTCTTCAATACCTCGAATATTATAATTAACAAGGGAATCAACAATGACGTGACAAACAATGGGATTGTCTCGGTTGCCCATAACAAGGATGCACATACCATGAGAGCGAAACACTTCTCTTGCTGTGGATCCTCAAATATCAGAACGTTCAATAAGATCAAAGTCACAACTGTGATCAAAATTGAACGTATCACAATAGGATTTTTGAGTGATAGATTAAAAGTATCGATGACGGTTTTATCTGCCTTCGAGTTCTTTTCTGTACCAGTCTTTGTGGCATAGTTTTTTCTTTCTAATCCAATCATATCCCTCCAAACTGTATTTCTTTCCCAAACAACATGCTCTCTTAAATGAATAGATAATTCGGATTTAGCAGTTTCAATATCACCATGATTACAGATGATCTGATACAACTTTATAACCGAATCTAAAGTGCCATCGAGTTTGTTTGCGGTCTCATCTCTGAAAACGTACGTCTTTCTCGATAAATTATCCAAATACTCGTCCTTCAAATTGGTGTTCAAAGACTTGTCAAACTTCTTTAACGCCTTCTTAAACCCTGTCTTGTTCAACTCGATAAACGATTTCAACTCGGACATAGTTGTGTATAATGCAATGACTCTCTTCCTCAATAAAATCCTTGTTTCTGTAAGCAAAAGAAGTTGGGGTGGAAGGTTATCTGTGTGGCCCCATAGACCTGGACTTTTGGGTGATTTCAAATAGTTTTCCACGGTTTTCGAATTCACAAGGTTCTCATCTTCAGTCACTTCAGAATGGTCCCCAGGGTCTGTCTGGCTCATACCAGAAAAGTTACGAGCTTTAGGGATATCCTCCTCTTGGCTCCTAGAATGAGTCAAGGAAAATTCACCAAATTCACCACTGTTCTTTCTTCCAGAGTCTAAATCCTGTTCAAAGTCTTCAATATCTTTTACCAAGATTTCCAAACTGCTCAAAACAAACTTCTCTTGACGTTGATAGAATTCATCAATCTTTTTCAACTCGGCATCTAAAGCAGCAAGGAATACGACCCCGGGGTCTTTGAATGTACGATGTTCATTCAGGATCAAGTGACTGGACTCTTCGTCTTCTAAAGCATGCGCCTGATGAAGTTGATCTCTCTGCAAGGAGTAGATAAGCTTTTTCAAAGTTGTATAAGCAATATATTTAGAAGACCACTCAGGAACAGCATTAAACTGTAAAGAATGAGAAAACTTCATCGCCAGCTCTTATCAGTATCTGGCTTTATATTCCCGGTCAAGTAACTGAAAATTTAATCACACTCCTCCCCTCAAAAATACCGTATCTATTGTTGATTTATAACAAAAGCACTACAATTGATAACTGTGTCGCTGTATTACACTCCCCTACGCGAAACAGAGGATAGCTTTGTGGTTTTCGCACGTCTCGGTGTGGGTTTTTTGCGAAAAAGTGGCACCCTTGGTTTCTGGCGGATTATCGGGAAGGAGTGCCTTAATCAGCATTGTGAGATAGTAGGCTAGAAGTATCTAATTTGGTAGCCCTCAGAATTAATGATTTGCGATCTCAAAACAAAAATATCGATGAGGCTCTTTTTTGTCCTAAATTCAAGGTGACTTCAGTATGGCTAAGTCAAGAGGTATCCTAAGCTAGTCACAAGGTTTCTTATCGAAAGGTTTGTCACTAAACTCGTAGAGTAGCACAAAAATTGAAAGATTCCCCAGGCTCGAAATCTGACTTCAAGCAGCGCACTCTCATTTTCCTTATACAAATTTGAAAGTTTTGAATGGAGATTGTTGGTCAGCTCCGAAGCTTAATTACCAACAAACCACACCAAACACATAAGTTATTGCCCAAAGAGCTCGTTTTTGCTTTCGACCTTCCTTTGTACTTATCAATTTCATCAATAGCCTTACTAGCGTATTACATCTTATCTCCAACTTTATTCCCAAGAAAAGACAAAATGTTTACAAAGAGACCTGATAAATATACCACTGGGTTAATCAACATGAGAAACGATTGTTTTGCCAATAGTTCATTACAGGCCTATCTGTCATTGCCTGGACTTACCGAATATTTGAATAAGTTTATTTTATCATTTCACGATCTTACAACATTCATTGAAGACAATCAAATTGATATTGATCAAATTCCTGATGCACTTCCAGAATCCAACAACCCTTCAAATCCAAAGTTCAAGAAAATGGAGGCCAAATTTGAGGTTCCCTTGCATATCTCACTAGCAAAGATCTTAAAAAAGTTGCAGGCCACTCAGCTTACCACCAGGACTATCTCGGTATGGACTTTTTTGCACGATCTTGAAAAGATATTTGATGCCAAAATTTCGAGAAGTCAACATGACGCCCATGAGTTGACCCAATTGATCAGTGAAACTCTAGAAAACGAGTACTTGAAGGTAACCAAGAAATTTAAAAATCTACTCAATAATTTATCAAGCAAACTGCACAAGCATATTGGCGTAGTCAAGCTAATTGAGTTTCCTGATTTTCCCTTAAATGGGTTAATACTAACTCAGATGAAATGTTTTAACTGCAAAGGCGTTTCCAAACCCAAATTTCTGCAGTTCTTAATGCTTACCTTACACACACCTGAGACTATTTCAACTGACCTTGAAAGTTTGTTGAATGAAAACGAAAGCGAATCTATTGATGGCTATCAGTGCTTGAAATGCAGGGTGAAGTATATTGTCAACAATGAAAATTACTCCAAGGCCGAGAACAGGCTGAATCTAGCTGCTGAAGAAGAAATCCTTGTCAAAGAATTAACGAAACTAAATGACAATCCTTCATTTTGTATTAACGATGACCTACCTGAGTATTTGGAAAACTACATAAAAACTTACAAAAAGAATAATGTTGACATATCCAAGATTACTTCCACTGTATTGAGAAAAAACCAGATCTTGAAACCCCCCAAGATCTTTGGATTGCATTTATCAAGATCAAGTTTTAATGGTTTTAATGTTACGAGAAATAGTTGTAGGGTTTCATTCAGAGACCATTTAAACTTGAGTATTGGAAAAGAATATTCTGAGGATTTGAAGCATTTCCAATTAGCAGCTCAAGACAGCTTCTTCATAAATGAAGACACGTCCAAATCTAAGGTTTTAACGACAGATGTTGACGATATGGAAGATGAAGCGGTACAGAGAGAAGATGTTGAGGAGTCAGGGGACCATGATTCAGAATCTGAAGATCACGAGGATGAAGACGCTATAGCTGCTGATCAAACAGAGAGTGATGTGGATTCTGTGATTTCAACACACACAATTAGTCAGGCAATAGCATCTTCCAAGAGTTCTGCTTCCTCAGCTACTGTGAAAACTCCGGAGTCTTTGAACAATTCGCCCATTACTACAGACCAAACAGATGATTTAATCAACCATTTCAAGAAATTCAAATTCAATGAAAATGACGTTTATAAATATAGATTAAAGGCAATGATTCGTCATCAAGGGTCCCACACGCAAGGACATTACGAATGCTACAAACGTAAACCCTTGTTTGTGAAGGATAAAGATGGAATGATTATAAAGTTGTCGCCAGAAATATTAGACGAGGCTATTGAGACCGAAGAGGAGACACACGAACCTCCCGCAAGCACGAAGTTCAGAAGAGCTTCTATGATATCTGCTTCTTCTACTGAAATTGATGCTCCATCTTCTGAAAGTCAAAGGACTTATTCATCTTCTTCCGATAGGGCTGATATAATGGCCTCGTTGAATGAAGATAATATACCCGAGCCTCCAGGCACTTTCCGCAGAAAATTCAGCAACATGATGGGTAGAAGACCTTCTGTGTTCCAAGCTGATCCAGAGGATGTCAGGATTGAGGAAATAATTCCATCCGGATTGACAACTCCGGCCGAGATTATCGTTCAGGAGATGGATTCTGACTACTTCAGCAGTGAATTAACTGATCAGGTAAATGCCAAATTGAAGACGAAGGATCATCATCAAGACTCAGGAAACGGTGTCAAACTAAAAAAAATTCCCAGCTTGTTGAAAAATCCGTATTGGAGAATAAGTGATTCGCTCATTACCGAAGTTTCTAAGGCAGCGGTCCTCTGTGAAACCACTAGTGTGTACATGTTATACTATGAGAGAGTTGAGAAGTAGCTCTTGAAAAGCCCCAATTTAAAAATCGAAAATATACAATTTATGCTCAGTTTAATCTCGAACTAGTCTTTGCAAAATATATTACTTTTCACTTGTACATTAGCTCTGTCCTGTAGATTTTTATTTTCTTTCTTGAAGGTTGTAACCTTCCTCCCGAACATACAAGACTCACGACTACGACATCGCGCCCCAAAAAAATGATCTAACAAATTTCCTTGTATATCAGATGGGCTCTAACACCTTATTTCCTGGACCAAATTCATTTCAAAGGGTGGATCGATCAGATTCGTTAGCCCCAAATTCCACTGCTATTAATGCAAGACAAAGGCAGAAAGTTGTTCTAGAACCCGGTCATTCCCCCTTGGACTGGGCCAATCTAAATAGTAATTCTTCTCAGAGATATAAACTACGTGGTGTACCTCCAAATACTCCTCCTCCGCAGTATGTGACGGTCACAAAGGATGAATTGAAGCTACATAATAGAAAAGACGATGCATGGACGTCTATAAATGGAAAAGTCTTCAACATTACCTCATATATTGATTTCCACCCTGGGGGTGTTAAACAAATTATGAAATGTGCTGGACGAGATGGCACACAATTGTTCAACAAATATCACGCATGGGTGAGTGCAGATAGAATGTTGTCCAATTGTATGGTTGGGATGTATGTCAACTAAATTATGTCTTCTATTTATTAACGAAACTACTTTCAACTGACTAAATGCTAAATATAATATTCCTCTCCGGTAAAACCAAACAATCTAGCTTCCAGTCGTGCTCTTCTGTTGGAATTTGTTGTACAGCTTGTTCTTTTAAGCCCAATCCAACCAAAAAAGGTGTCTTCCCAAATTTATTATAATAGGCCCTCAAAAATTCGTCGTAAAACCCGGCCCCATGACCCAATCTTTTCCTTTCTAAATCAAAGGCAACTCCTGGCACTATTATGATATCTAATTCCCCCGTTTGCAAGATGTCTTGACCATCTGTCGGTTCCAATATCTTGAATCTGCCTTGGGGTCTAAGATTTAGTACCTCGCCGAAGCTATTAACCTTCAACATATGCAAGTGACCCTTCTTCCTGCCATATGAAGCTTCATAGTTGCACTTTGGAAGGTATACAGTCTTGTTTGATAGGAAACAAGACTCTATGATTTTTATCGTTTGGATCTCGTGAGGCATTGACATATATAGGGCAATTTTTTTAGATTCCTTAAACTTTTCAAGATTCAATAACTTCTCGTGTACTTTCTCAGATTGAAACTGGATAGACTCGGGGCTTAGCTCCATAAGCATAGTCTTCATCTTCGATCTGAGTTGTTTCTTGGCCTCACGTACGTACATTGTAATATCCAAATCAAATTTCGCGTCGTAAAATAACTTTTTGAACTTGAAAACTATAAACACCAACCACCTCAACTGCTGACAGTAACCTTTTCATCAAATCTTACAGACTTCCTCCTTTCCCCGCTATGATCATTTGGAATTTCAAGTTCTATACTTTCACCGTCAAGTTCTTCCCTTGTTTCATTTAGCATCTTTCTGATATCTGCCTTTTTCTCAGAGCCACCACTAGCTGTGCTAGATTGCCGACGGTGTTGAGCCTTCAAGTCTTCCTTGCACTTATTACAGCTACATGTAAATCCCCAGTTGGCCCTTAACTCTCTCTGTCTCTGAAGAACTGTGTGATTTGGGTTCACGTAGGTAGTGCTAAGCTCTTCCCCTGCTTTTATATCTTTAGCTGCAAAAACCTTTATTCCCTCGTATCTTGAATTTGGAGAGGTTTCGACATCTACATTAGGATTGCAAGTATGATTCAAGTGTGATTGAATCCGGAAAACACATGAATCTAAATTGTTGATATTGTAAGATCCCAACAACGTTAAATACTCATTGTAGTCCACAGTTCCATCGCTAGTAGCCTTGGGGAAAACCTTGGAAAACTTGGAAAATCCCTCTTTCCACAAATTCTCTTGCTGTTCTTTAACAAATAAAGCACCCCCTGTGAGACTGTCAAACGACCCTGCCGATGACTCCAATGCTTTGTATCTGGTGGCTTGTGATACTCTCGCCATGGATTTCACGTACTTCAACTTTTCACCACTCTTGTCTTCTACAATATCAGCAAACATCAAAGTTATGGCAAATAAAGCATTCCATTGCTCCTTAATGCAGTATTCCTCAAGGTCTAAGAATGCCTCGGGGTTGAGTGCACTCTTACGGCCTTTAGATAGATGTTTCAATGAAGCATGCAACGTTCCGTTCATTTTCTTACAGCTCATAGAACACCAGAGTTCTGGGCAACCTGTGCAATCCAAACCTCGTAGCATGGACACTCCTGAAGAGCTTCTTGCACTGGTCAATAATTTTCCACAATAAGTACAGGCTTTACCGCTTTTGATTAACTTCAAGTTTGCCAACGGTGGAATAAAAAAAAACGGCTTCTCTTCCCAGATTAAGGTTCCTTTTGCTATGTTCGACTTGGCGTATAATCCCTTTCCTCTCTTAGTAGTCATGATCACCTTCACTTTTTCAGGTAATTGCAAGTTTGGGTCGGATGCAGAAGAGATTTCTCCAGCATAATTAAACTGCTGGTTAGCATTATTGGATAGTCCGAACTTCTTAAGCAAAGTTTTAATTCTCTTTTCAGAAACAGACCAATTCGGGTGCCGCTGTTTTACAATACCATGAAGCTTGGAGATACTTGCAGATTCGGTAGAAGGATCCTCTCTCCAAATAGCAATCACGTCATCAACCACCTGTCGCTCATGTGGTACTACTGGCTCCTGGTCTTCCTCCTTGGAGTCATTGATTGAAATAACCTCGATGTGTTTAGCAAGGGAATCGGGCATCTTAACTTGAGATAGAAAATTTCGGCCATATAATATTTTACTAGTGTGAGACGCAAGAATTTCGCTTCACCTTGGACGCAATGACACCATAACTTTTATTGACTTTTTTTTCAGTATCTTCAAGATATATTCACAGATACACACCTGAGGCTAATATCTATTAATCCTTATTTTCGTTATCTTCGGGAATATTCAGGGCTAGCTATCTAAATTATATTACAAATATTGCTCTACTAGGCTTTTCTTCCGCCCTTCGCTTCCACCAATGATTACAATATCCTCTTTTCTATCATTAACTGAATACTCATCCTGGAAAAGACATTCCATAGAAACCAATTTACAAGCCAAAGATATTCTTCAATTTAACTTTGTTTGAAATGCTTGCACGTTCTGTATCACGTAAAATCGCTTCAGATTTTACTAAAGTTTTACCATTTTCACTCTCAATGGTGCTCTGTAACTTCACAAGTTGGTTAGACTCGCCTTCCATTGCAACTTTTTTGGTTTTTATAATCAAAAATTGATTTGAAAAAGAGGGAAATTTGTAAACTATAGACAAATTCTCCACCATGAAATCCTCCTTATATCCAGAACTAGTGTCCTTCGATAAAGCAGCATTACGTTTGAATGTTTCGTTCAAAATAGTCGCCAAAATACCACCATGAACTATCATTGGATACCCACATAATTTGTGTCCTGCATGGACTATAGTAACTCCCTCATTAGATTCATTATTATGATACATCACTGGTTTGATCAAAAACCCACCTGGTTTGGCTAATGTATGAGATACCACTGAATTTTCTAATGCACCAATGTGCTTTGCTTTCTTTGACTTTGTAAATTCTTGCTTATCTAGAATGTTGTGGTCAAAGTCCTCCCAGGTCTCAAGCTTGGACCATTGAACTTGGTTTCGGGGATGATTAAGTTGCTGATAAATTGGCAACTGAGTCATCCTGTACTTTAATTGCACTGGCAAAAGTTCATCCAGCTCTTCTGTTTCTGTAAACTGTGAATATGCATCCAATAGAATCTCACTGTAAGACAAGTATGATCCAATAGCTATAAAGGCAATTGTCACTCTCCAGTTAACAAATCTTTTTTTTCCATGCTTGGGCAAATAATCCAACGGCGAATCGTACTCTTGTCTCACAGAATAACCTCTTATACTTGTTTGTCCAGTAACAGTACGTAATCTGGGATTTTTCAATGTGTTCTTCAACTTTTTCAAGAACATATTACCCAGCTTCAGCTTTTCAAATTAGATAATTTCCGCGTTCTTCATTGGCATTACCATTTATGCAAATTAAAGTAATGGATCTTCAACATGAAATAGATATTCCTCTTAATCCTGAGGATCCCATTTCTCTGCATGAAATAAAAGACAGATTACTTGATGAGTGGGAAGGAAAAATGTTAAAAAGTTTCAGAGATTATGATGAGTGGGCAAGTCAAATGACCACTTTGATGAAATCAATAAATCCGAAGTTTATAAATTATATAAATGGTGAACTTCTGGAATCAGAAATAGGCCAAGATGAATTTAAAAGGTCTCTTGATTACCTTTATACTTTGTTCCGACTATCTATGTCGGATGAAATTTTTAAGGATTCGATCGTGGACAACTTTACTCCAGTAAAACTATGGAGCCATTTAAAGGACAGATACGAGAAGTTATCTAAGAATTATTATTCAAGTCAACAAAAAATAATGGAAGTTCTAACAGATACATCGACCACCGGTGATATGAAGCTTGACTCTCTTTTGGCTTTCCCTCAAGACATTTTTAAAATCATTGAATTCGATGTATGCAGAGAATTAGTAACATACCTGAAAGACTCAATCATAACATTAGCATACAATATACTAATAAAGAATGAAGTTGATATGACATTGAGAAGCTTGCAAGAAGAGGTAAAGGTTATCAAAAGTGCCTCGGATGCAGCAATGGATGAGAGATGTGCCAAGTGTCAAAGGTCAGGACACAATCACATGATGTGTACAAATGAACTATGGTGTAATATGGAGGGAGAAACTCTTTCCATTCCAGGGTCAGAAAATTTATTTCCTCCACCAAACAGGAGCTGATACAGCTTTTTTTGTTGAGCTATCTTAATTGTATCTCGGGGGTTTCACTATGTAGAATCATTAGCAAAACTACACATGTAACAAAAATATAAAGGATAATAATTGCATTAAAGAGCCAAATTTTCCGTCAACTGTTTCCTTTCACTCTCCACTTGTCCTTATTTTTACATTCATTGAATATCCTCCAATGAATTTATAGAACTTTGAGAAACTGTGATTTTCACAATTTGTGTTAAACTTGTAGATTCAGTTATTTTATATAAGATTTTCAGAAGCTTACAAAATCCCATCTGAAGTTGTAAACCATATGTATACCTATTAGAGTCACTAATGGTAATTGAAATATATTGATAGACAGAGCTGCTTCTCCCTTTCAAAAATTAGGGTGGCTTCCCGAGTAATTCTAAATAGTATCAATACAGTCAGTGGATTACAAAAGCAATGTCAAATGATCAGTAGTACTAAGAGCATTGAACCAGACACCATATATTTCCCAAAAATCTCTAATGTTTGAATCGTTGGTTATGTCTGATAAGAACGTCGGCCAATGAATTAGTGTCATTAGTTACATAGCTCAGTGGCTCAATTGTCAAATGAGCTTTCTTAAAATTTATATATATTCCTGCACTGCGAATAAGCCATTTTTCTTAGGAAGGATTCCATTTGACCACCAATGGGTTAAAGGAACAATGTAACAAGTGACAAGGTAGTAAGCCAAGTCTCAAATTGAAGATGTGGAATTTCCTACAGGACCCTCTAGCCATAGACCTCTGTGTAATTTGTAGTAGTCAATTTGCTTGCCCGCTAGAAATTGGATTCTGTAGCCCCCCTTTTTTTCTATTGACCTTGCGGATTGATGAGACTTACAATTTGTAGAATTAAATAGTCCTGTGTACTATATTGCTGCAAATTCTTAGTGCTTTCTCATACAGTGTTTTCTGGATGGATTACGCACCTCCTCAATCCGAATATCGCAGGTGATCAGTATTAAATTTCGCTCTCCTTAATTTTTAAAATCGTGGACAGAGTAAATGGATGCTCATTCAAGGTTCTAAATATCGCAGAAGTGTATAAATGACGTCCTGATAGCTTCATGATGTCTCAATCGTCTATATAAAAACATTGTATATTGGAAATAAAAAAGACATACAAAAACATATATAGTAGTTCCAACCAGTCGAAAAAAAATGAATATCTCCAACTGTGAACAATATTTGTCAATAGAAAAATAAATTAGCGTACTGCGAACAAAGTAAATGGGTACACGCATATACGGAAATAGAAGTTGATAGATATTGCTGTAATAATATTAAAATAATCTATTAATACTAGAAATCAAAGAGGTTTCTTCTCCAAACAAATAGAGAAATGGTTTTCTGAGTGTTTGATACTATTTTGTATATATTTAAGTGGTACAGAATTTGCAGCCTCTTTGATACGCAATGAAAGAGTCTCTCTTTGGAGGAGCTTTTCCCCCTTCAATGAACTTTTCCTTAGTGCTAGAATTGCTCAAATGTATTCAATTCTGGAGAAAAAGGAGGGAGGTAGAGTAATTTGTAACCTCTTGCTTGAATACTTCTCGAAACATTTTGGTTCTTATGAATACTAGCATTGTCCATAATTAAATAAGCATTTTTCATGATTTGATGTTCATCCAAAGTGTCCATCAAATCAAGAAGACACTGTTTGCAATGACCCGTAACTGTGCTTCTTGAGGTATTTTCTCTCTTGTCTTGATCAATCGTACACTTTTAGTTCAGATTTTATGCCTTTGGCTTCCTCAAACTCAATTGAACTACCCCATGATAACAAATTGCACCCAAAATGGTTCTATTTTCAGATCTTGTAGTGGGTGTTTTAACAATTGGTGTTTCTCCTCTAGTAGCCCAACCCCCTGAACGTTTCATGTTAATACGGAAACCTGCTTCGTCGATGAAAGCACAATTGGAGCAGTACTCGACATCAGACCCCAAAACTTCCTTATGGCCTTCACCAAGCTTCGGTTCAGCAGCCCTCCCCCTTGACTCAGCTTCTGGCAACTCTTGATCATTGGACTCCTTATATTCCTTAACCCACCTCTGCCCATTCCTAGGCTTTATACCCAATTTTTTAGCAATTGAAGCTATCGTAGACCCAGGTTTTTTTATCCAGAGATCAAAGAATTGTTCCCTATCTTTTGAGCTATAGAGACGATAGTTACGAGTATTTTCCCTTCTTTACTTTAACAGGTATACTTCTCGTAGAGTCTTTTCCACGACCGTCCGAAACATCTCTGTTATTCGACAAAGTAGCCAATCCTGATTGAATCCGACGTTCATGTTCTTTTCTTCCCTGATCACGGAATTGACTTAAATCAATTAGAATTTCAAGGGGAACTCAAATAGCAAATGTTACTGAGCACTAAGGACTGTACTTAGGACTGTACGCAATCTATTATGACTTACAAGTGTCAAGTGAAGGGTTCATGCAGATATCTCGAAAAGATGGCTCAGAGATCAACTACAATGGTTCAGATAATAGGTTATGGGAGTATACCATGGGTTTGACCACTTGGTCCTATATTGTGTTGAACGATTCAGAAGAGAGCACCACTCAAAGCAGTGACTACGTTTCACAATTTGATCAGTCTGTTAATCTGTCTATGACTTTGACAAAACGTGCAAACAACCAGTTTTCTTTGTTAGGCCATACCGGAGCTAATTGTGAAGGAGAAATTAAATGGACGTTTGATGTTGACAGCAACTCTCGATGTCACGAACCGAGTGTGAAATCGTATTCGACTCACATCTATAACCACAGGACTTTACGAGGTAATTTTATTTTAAAATCTGGCCGCACCATAATTGCCAGAAAGGGGATAGCACAACGTACAATTCACCAGCAGGGAAAGATGAATGGTACACAGAAACTGTCTATCGTTCAGAGTAAAATGACAGAAGCCATTCGTATGAATGGGTACGATATCGGTATCACAAGAGCGAAATTGATGGTGTGACATTTGCTGTTGGTGGCAACGGACTAGCTTTCCATTGACGAATATTGTTCACAGTTGGAGATATTCATTTTTTTTCGACTGGTTGGAACTACTATATATGTTTTTGTATGTCTTTTTTGTTTCCAATATACAATGTTTTTATATAGACGATTGAGACATCATGAAGCTATCAGGACGTCATTTATACACTTCTGCGATATTTAGAACCTTGAATGAGCATCCATTTACTCTGTCCACGATTTTAAAAATTAAGGAGAGCGAAACTTAATACCAATCACGTGTGATATTCGGACTCAGGAAGTATGTAACCCATCCAGAAAACACTGCATATTACCCAAGATTTGGGGATGTGAAGCGAAGAACTAGGTAGAATAGTGGACCCTAATCACCACACATATTGGCACCACATACAAGAAAACTAGAATTAGAAAGCACATTTCCATATTCCCCTGATTCCAGCCTGCAAAAGATAACGAAAGATCAACAATCTACCAAATACCCATAGACAGTAAGGAGCAACCTAAAGGAGATAATTCTGTATATCATACAAACTCACACTAAAAATGATCGTTGTAGATCTATGCTTAAGCAATAAAGCACTTTACCAGATCCTTTGCTCTATATCTCATAGCTTGAACAGCAAAAGATCGCCACAAATTATACAACACTATAACAAATAGGATCCTTTTCTAAACTGAAAACATTCAAGTTTCGCATCACAAAACACTGGAAACCTAGTTTGACCCAATCCTCATCAGTT